ATATAAGAGATTAGAATAACTAAATAAGAATAACTAGAAATATATTTCTAGTAATAAGAATCTTTATTAATAGTATTATAATAAGAACTATTACTTTTATTTTTTAGAATAAATAAAACTATATTAAGTTAAAACGAGCTTTAAAATAATATAGAGAACTTATAATAACTTATATAAGGGATTTCTCTAAGACTAGTATAAGTAGAACGAAAAGTATAAGGCTTTAATATAGACTTCTTTACTTTTAGTAAAGAGGTACTAGAAGTATTAGAAAATATTATAGAAATCTAAACCTTAATATTTTATTAAAAGTAAGCTTTATATTAATAGTTAAGAATAGTACTTATAATAGACTTATAAGCTATTTAATACTATTTAAAGTTAGTAAAAGATAAAATAAGAATATATTTCAAATTAAAAATATCTTGGATTTATAAACCGGAATTAATTTAATAATAATATAAGAAGAAATAAAAGCCATATTTATAATAATTAGAAACTTGAAAAGAAATCTCTAGAAAGGTATTAAAGAAAAGTATTTAATTAGAGGCTCTGGAATTAATAGAAAGAGAGGCTTTATATAAGGCTTTTTTGAAATTCGGTAATCTAGGGAAATAATATATACTAAGCCTATTTAGATTAGAATATTAATATAGCTTTATAAAACTTATATATTAGATAAATTTTACTATTTTAAAGTTCTCTAATTAGATAGAATAAATAAAATATAGTATTATATCTTCCTGAGAAATATATTATAGTAAGAATTATTAAATTAGGGCTAATATAATTACTTTACTTAGTTAGGATCTATATATTTATTTTCTAAAGCTTTATACTTTATTTAAACTCTTTCTAACTAGTTTAATTAATTCTTTTATTATTTAATATAATTCTCTATTTTATAATCTTTATATATATTACTTATTATTATAGGTAATTAGATTAATATTACTTTTTATTTCTTTATTTCTTTATTTATATATATTTATCTTATAGTTCTATTATATTAAATTTCTAAAGCTAAGTTCTATTTAATATATATATAATTTAAAAATAAAAGAATTTATAATAAGTTTATAAAAAGAATTTAGTAATAAAGATATTTAGATATCTAGTTTAGATATCTAATTTAAATATTAGATATCTGATTTAAATATCTAATTTAGATATTAGATATTTAGATATCTAGTAATATTTAGAATATTAAAATAAATATTTCGCTTTTAAATATTTTATCTATAATAAAAAATTTAAAAAGTAAAATATTATAATTCTAAAAAGATTTAAAGCTTTAAAAAACTTTAAAAATATATATAAGATATATATTTCAGAAAAAGAATTCTATAAATATAAGTATTATATAAATAGAAAAAAGAATTTTTAAGAAATTAGTTTTAAAGAATAATAAATAATTAATTAAATAATTAATTAAATAGCTAATTATTTATTAATTAGTAAAAACTAAAGTTTTTTTTCTTTAGGCTATTAGATACTTTTTTTATAAAATTAATAAATAATTTCTTCTTTTTATAAAATAGTTATTAGTTCTTAATAAAAGCTAGTTATTTTCTTATTTAGGCTATTAGATACTTTTTTATAGAATTAATAAATAATTTTCTTTTTTAATATAGACTAATTTAATTTTATTATCCGTTCCGCTACTGCCAGCTTTATATGGTCCGTATATAGCTAAGCGAAAACTAATGAAATGCCATATTTTAAGACTTTAAGAGACGTCTCCCTGAAATTTAGTAATCTGTGCCCTGAACTTTAGCGATATGGTCGCTAAAATATAGTAAGCTTCAGTTATAAATTTTGGTGTTCCTTGCTTAGTAATATATACGGACCATGTAAAGCTAGTAGCAGCGGAACGAATAGGCTATTAGATATTTCTTTAGCTTAAAAGATTTTATTCTCTAATTTATATATATAAATTAATTAGTATTAGTTTACTAGTAATATATAATACTATTATATAAATATAGAAATATAAAAATATTAAAATTAGTAATTTTTTTTTTTAGAAATAAGAATTATAATATTATAGTTTTAATATATAATTCCTAAATTTACTAAATCTAAAAAGAATTAGTTTACTAATTAAATTATTTATATAATATAAGATTATATAATTATTATTTATTATTTATATTTTATTATTTCTAGTTACTTTTATATTATATAATTATATTATATAACTATTAATAATTATAGCTATATTAATAATTATTTTGTTTTTATTTTCTTTATTAGCTTTAATAATTTTAAATAGAAATATATTTTAAAATATTAAAATTAGTAATATTAATTATTAATATAGCTATTTCTTTAGAAATTATATATATAATTATAAGATACGAGATATAAAATATAAATAATAGAATATAAGTAATAAAATATAAAATACGAGATATAGTTATATAATCTTATATTTTATTAGTAACTTAATTAGTAAATAAGATTTTTTTAGGCTTAGTAAATTTAGGAATTATATATTAATACTATAATATTATAATTCTTATTTCTAAATAATAATAACTTTACTAACTAATATAACTAGTATTTCTATATTTATATAATAGTATTATATATTACTAGTAAACTAATATTAATAAAAGAAAAAATAATTATTTTAAAAATAATAATACTAGTATTAAATTTAATAAAAAAGAATTATATAATAAAAATAATAAATTTTATTAATAATATTATAATAAATACTATTACTTTTTTTTCTTTTAAAAGTAAAAAATACTATATTAAATTAAATAAGCTTTAAAATAATATAAAAAACTTATAATAATTAAAATAAGAAATTTCTTTAATTTTATTATAAATAAAATAAAAAATATATAATTTATTTTTATTTTTATTTAAAAACTTTAGAAATGAAATATTAGGATTTTAAATTTTAAATTATAAAATATAAGTTTTATATATAATAAATTTATATATTATTTAATATTATTTAAAAAATTAATAAAATAATATAAAAAGTTAATTTATAAATATATTATTAATTTATAAAAATTTAAAATTTAAAAAAAGAAATAAGAAAAGATATTATATATATAAGCTATAATTATAATAATTAAAAGCTTAGAAAGAAAGCTTTAATAATAATAATAATAATAAAACTTTTTTATAAAATATATAATAATAAAATAATATATAAATAATTAAAATAAATTAATTTAATTATATATATTTCTTATATATATTTCTTATATTTTATAATTTATATTATAAGTATAGTATTTAGAACTTAGAAAATAAGATAAAAGATCTCTTATAAAAATAATTTAAAGCTAAGAAAAAGAAAACTAGAATATAAGAGGCTATAAGAAAATATATATATCCTATAATATACTAGTCCCGAAGGGGCTTAGCCTTCTAAATATTTCTAGTATATTTCAAATATACTTTTCTAATAAGGCAGCTATATTATATATATCTAGGAAGTATCTAATATTTAGTAAGATATCTCAGATACCAGATATCTGAGAATTATAATAATTTATATATATTTCTTTAATTATATAACTATATTATATATATTAAATAATTAGAATATTAAAATAGCTTATTTTAAATTAATAATTAAGTTTTAAACTAATAATTAAACCTTAAGCTAATAATTAAGCCTTAAACTAATAGTAAAACCTTAGGCTAATAGTTAAATCTCAAGCTAATAATTAAACTTTAGGCTAAAAATTAAGCCTTAGACCGAAAATTAAGTAAAATATATATTTTAAACTTAAGTAAATTTTCTTTTTTATTCTCAGGCTTCCTTAAGATTCTTTTCTCTTTTTTAGCTTTAAATTATTAAAATAAAAATAGTCTAACTATATATTTTAGGCCCTAGATCTTATACTTATAGTAATACTAGTTTCTTAAAGTTTTTTTGATTTTTGATTTTTGATTTTTTTTGGTATTCCCTACTAAAACGAGCCGACTAATTAGAATAGCGGAATAGACCCACATCAGAAAAGTAGCGAATCAGAAGCCAGATGTCATGTGATTTAACTCGTAGTATATTCTTTTCTTCCCTTTTTTCCACGTCCAAAACCCCTTCAACTTTAAGCAAGCTTAAAGGTTGAAGGCATTGCCTATGTCCCGTATCCCGTGTCCCGTGACTACGCACGTGACTCCCAAAGGAACAGCTGTACCAACAATAACCTCAACCCACAATTTTTCCCACTAGAGTCCGTTTCCGTCTTTGAACCTACCTGAGAAGTCGCTGCTCTAACCTAAGCCGAGTCCCGAGTCCTGAGCATGTTAATAAGTCTGCTGGATTTTGCTGGGGGGGGGTCTAGAATTGGATCCTTGACTGGCCTTTTCTAACTTTAGCTAGCGGCAGCTATAGCCGAGGAGTCGAAACAGGTTGCCGTCCACGCTGGGTCCGTCCACCATCGCTCTCACCTTCAACTCACCCAAAATTGCCGGTAAAGCAGCTCTGCTCACCTTTCTGAACAGAAACAGATTTTGTTCATGTCAGGATTGGCGTGTGATAATCATCTGTTGTATCCAGCCTTCGACTTCGCATTTAGGCTAGCGCGACCGTCTCCCATGGACGCTAACAAGTCTAGTCCTGCACGCGCTTTCCACGACGGATTTCGCGCAATAAGATGTATTGGAAGATATCCATCACTTCTGGAGATGGACGGATTTGCGCCACCTTTGAGAAGAAATCGCGGCACATCCAGACAATCTGTTGGCGCATCAGCGGCATAATGCAATGCGGTCGAACCATCTTCTGCCACCTCGTCAATCGATATTCCTTTGGCCAAAAGCAATTTAACCAGGTCTACGTTTCCAGAGGATGCAGCGAAGTGAAGGCAGGAGCGGCCGTCTGATGATCTTGCGTTGATATCAACCTCGCAGGATTTTGCAATAAAGTACTGGGTGGCTTCGAAAGAGCCAGATCCTGCAGCACACAACAGAGTACGTCCGTCTGAAGTTCTCTTCACTTGGTCAGTTGCGTCTCTTCTGGACTCTACCAAGTACTGAACGATCTTCAGGTTGTGGCCCGCGGCGGCCAGATGTAAATGGGTCTCTTCGTTGCCGTTGGTCATCTCGAGGTCGGCTCCCATCTCTTCCAGGTATTGAAGTACTTGGAGAGAGTGTGCATTTGCTATTGCCAAGTGACTAGGAGTCTCTCCACGTTTGTTTCTCCCATCAATACCTGCTCCTCTCTCAATTAAAACTCTCACCACCTCCAGGTGCCCGTTTTCTGATGCATAATGAAGGGCCGTGTTTCCGTCCTCGCCATTTGTTGCATCAATGTCTAAGCCAACATGGCATAGTAGCTTCGATACCACTTGATCTTGTCCAAAAGAAGCTGCATCCCATAGGGATGGACCATAATCTGTCATTTGGTCTCCGGCAATCTTCCCCAGTGGGGCCTCCTTTTCCAGCAAAACGATTGCCCTCTCCCGGCTTCCTTCGAACTCGAGTCCAAGTTTAATAAATTCCGATCTTACCTCCTCCGGGATATTCTTTTCCGTGACTAACTCTAAGAGCCACCAGAATTTGAAGTAACCAGAAGAGTCATCATCATCATCATTATCATCATAGCCATCATCAGATTGCATGTAGCTGATACAGTCAATATCAAGCACTGCGCCAGCTTCAAGCAGAAGCCGTGCATGATCTTCATCCTCTGTTCTCAAGGCCACTCCGAGCGGAGATAAAGAATGTCGCTGATCTGACCTGAACTCTAGGTTTGCCCCAGCATTCAAAAGTGTTTCCACTGTCCTAACTCTCGCCAAATCTCGCCATTTCGGGTCCACCGTTGCCTCATAGAAGTCTATCTCAGCTTCACAGAGATTGACTCTGCCAAGCAGAGCGCACTGAAGGGCAGGCCCAAATATACTCGACTTGTTGACATCACAACCTTGTTTGAGTAGCCATTGGCAAAGCTCAGCGAGGGCGAGGCTCGAAGCCCAATGCAGTGGCGTTGTATTGGCGATGTTGAGTTCAGTCACGTTGTAATCACCGAGATCTTTGAGCACACTCTGAGTCCAGCGAAGGAATTGATGATTCTTGGACGGCGCAAAGAGAATTCGCGATAATCGCACTATGATATCGTCTTCTAGGTGATCATAAACGTGGTCATCCCAATGCTTTGCTGCGTACTTCCAGAATGGGAATTCTGCATTTCGTGGGGAGCCGTAGTGCTCATCCTTGCGGGCATCAGTTGCGAAGTGTTTCAGGCAGAGGTAGGTCAAGCAAACTCTCCCCAACTCGACATCTCCACCCTCAGGTTGGACACGATACCTAGTAAAATTGCTGTTCTGGATGGGGTCGATGGTTAATAAGAATTCCTTCACTGTGAAGTGAGATAACTCGATCCCGCTCGAGTCAGATCTTCTTCTGACCAAGCTGCTGCACCATTTTAAGATCTCGCCCTCCTCAGTGATGGAATCTCGGTCCAGACTTTCGTCACCTTCATTGATGGAGATTGCCTCTAGTAGCGCCTCTGTTGAGAGAGGGGTTTTGGCGCAAATGATCCACCGTAAGACGCGCTGCACAAGAATCTTGTTGCCTTCATTGCTTGCGTTGACTCTTTCTAGTATTCGTTCGTACGTGGCGAAAAGAGTCGGCGGAAGCGACATTAGTGCCTTGCGACGTGCGGCGTCGTTGTTAAGCTCGCACAGATAGTCCATCTGGCAAGCCACCCATCGAAACCTAGGGTGTGGGATGAGTACCACGATCAGTCCAGAGGAACAGGAGCAACTCACATTCCTTCAGCCCCTCCAATCAGACGTTCCATGATGTGCTCTTTCAATTTAGGATCCCGCAATCGGAGCTGCTTCCTTCGAATACGCTGTTCAATTTCAGAGGCGACGTAAAGTTTTAGGTCGCCACTCCTCGCGGCTATGGCGACTTGTTCGTACTGTGAAAGGTGGTCCTCGATATCCACTTCTCGGCGGCTGGTAAAGAGAGTTTTGATATTACTATCACCTGATAGATTGAGACTTCGAAGAAGCTCGACAACATGATATCGATCCTGTACACATTCGTCCAGGGCATCAACAATGATGAGTGCATTTTCGAAGCATGTCGTTATGCTCTTCAAAAGGGTACACAGCTCTGCTGCTGTTGGTGGGATCACTGGCTTTCCTTTAGGATTATGATTTTTGTAAAAAGTCTCTACACTCTCCAACGCTGGCTCACTCTGCATTGCAAATTGCTTGATGAGGGAGCCTAATATGTTGATTGGATCCTGGGTCGAAGATTCTTTGTAATCGCAATAAAAGTAAGCGAGGCCATCGGTACCGGCACTCTGATCGATCAGTTTCTGCGTTTCTTGGATGATGGTAGATCTAGGACATTAGATCGCGTAGCACAAAATGCTTAGGAATAGTTGGATCTCACGTCAGGATAGTCTTTCCTGCTCCGGCTGTTCAAAGGCCAATTCCTTTAGTCCCCTTTTGAAATTGTAACAGAGCTGAGCGCGCTCACCCGAAATAAAGGAAGGCTGCACTTACGAATACCATAAAGCCACAACTTCGCATTCTTAGTAGAGTACCAGTCTTTGAACTCTTTCCCATCGGTAAACCAAATTCCGGTACCGGGTTGCCGAAGTTTGATTGCAGTCTCCTGATTCTTCTTTGGATCGGCAGATCCTAAGAAACCTAAGATTTTCTGACGTTCTTCATCTGCGCGAGATGTATATCAGTACACCCCACAGGAACAAGTTAATATCTGGAATGGAACATACTGAGTGCTATTCTAGCTTGTTGAGCACGCCTTTTCTGAAGGTCCGATCTCAATTCTGCTACGCCTTTCGCTACCGTATCTTGTCGGGCAAGAGCGAGAAGTAAAGCAGTCCTTCAAAGTACAATCGTCATCAGTAAGCACCTATAATTAAATTATTGACATTATGAAGTGACTACTCACATTCCATCTGCGCTTAGGGCTAAGCTCAGGGTTGACTTATGCCTTTCTACATCCGCAATCAACGACTTCGTCTCCGAGCTCGATAGGGGCCAGTGAAGTCTTCTTTTCGTAGCCTCCAATGGATTATGGGACTTAGCTGGGTTAGACTTGTCAAGTCGCGCCTGTATCTTTTCCAACACCGCGTAGCATGAGTGGATGTGATGAATTTGCATCGTGGAGTCGAACTTCTCGCCTTCAAAGCGACAGGCGACAAGGTGTAGGCTATGTAGAACACCGAAAAGGTTCGTGACCTCCGAAATCAATGCTGCCACCTGGCTCCCCGCGCCCTTTGTATCTTTTAAATACTGGTATCCATTTCCGATGACCGTTTCTGCGATGGTTATTAGGCCAGCCACACTGGCTGCAACAGACAGTGGATCCGCCATATTCGACAAGAACTCGATATGATGAAAGCTGGAGCTGTTGGGATGATGGCCAAAATGCTTCACAGGCTGCGCACCACGTTCTTACTACTTAAGCTATACCGTGTAACAATTCACAAAAGCAAAGAATATGAAGCCATCCTAGGGTTGAGGCGCAGCTTGAGTGAGGCGATGAAAATGGAGTGATCAATCTGCGCTTGGGGGAGGCTTTCTGTGTGCCTCGCCCACGAACTTTTACTGAAATATCGTTCATTGGCGAGCCTCAACAGGCCGCATACGCCACTACGGCAGTGTTTGGTGCATCGCCACCAAAGCATAATGCTAAGTTGTGGCAATGTTTGCTGCGCCAGCCACCGCAACCCACTTCGGTATTTGTCTCTGAGGTGGGAGCGATGGTCAAGTCTGAGGAAGGAGGTTCGGGGACGAATACACGTCCGTTCCCCACACCAATCTTTGCATCACTTGATGCCACGGTTCGACGAACGAGCAGATACAAATCGCCAGCTGAAAGCAATTCCCCTTAGCTAGCTTAATTCTATACCCAGGCCTCTTTGACGCCCGGGTGATCAATCGTATTATCTTTATCGAACCCAGCCTCCATTTTCCGAGGGTTTGAGGCTACCAGTGCACATCATGTTGAATGGTTGACATCAGGAGCCTAAGAACATTCTTGGGGGAAGTGTTGAAAGTGTGGTGGAGTGAGTGATGGAGAAGAGAGGGAGTGAGTTCCTCTCGATCCCGTCACGTGAAGTCACATCGGAGGAACCAAATGCCGTGCCTCGGCCAGCTTCGTCTGGCAGTCGGGCACCAATCCCTCAAAGTCCAGCATCTCCTTCATTTTGCTATTTATTTACCAGTCACTCCTTAATCATGGCCTCCGGAGCACGTCTTCCCCTGCGATCTATAGCTTTTACTGCAGCACTGACTCTCAGCATCACAGCCTCTCGAATGAGCATTCGAAAGGTCCTCCTGAACTCTTTCACAGGCCCCGGTAGCACCTCTCGAATAATAGCAACACTCTTCGTCCTTGCAAACCTCAAGAATGTTCCATTCGCATGGCACGCAAGTAACTTCTCACCCTTCACCCTCCCCATCTGACTCCCGTTAGTTCCGAGTCTTCAACGCAATCTTACGACACTGCCTCTTCAGCAAGCCGAACATACCCTCCACGATTGCGCCCTCCACTATCTTCCTGCCAGTAATCACGACATCACACTCCCCATTCATGGAGTGCGACTACAATCTCCACAAGTCTAATAGCACGTACTTCTCCGACCTCGACGTAACACGCTCACATCTCGTCTGCGCTTTGCTCGAACCTGGGATCGAAGCGCTGAAGAACAACACAAGAACAAAGCTAGTCCTGGATAAAGAAGGGAAACCTATACCGGGAAGATGGAGCATCATGCTCGGTGGCGTGATGTCTACCTTCAAGCGGGAGATTGGCATGTACCAAGGCTATGAGATGTGGTCTCGAGTTCTGTGTTGGGATCGGAAGTGGATTTACGTTATTACGCACTTCGTGAAGAAGGGGACGGTCAGGCCGAGGGCGTATATTTTGACTGATGGGAGTTGGTTTAAAAGGGGATATAAGGAGGTGCATGGGAAAGGGGGTGTTGAGGTGGATGAGAAGGCTATTTTTGCAAGTGCGATTAGCAAATATGTTATCAAGTTGGGGAGGTTGACTATTCATCCGGAAGTGTCGTTGGCTGCTTCCGGATTATTGCCTGCTAGACCTGGTGGATGGGCGACGATGACTGGGCCGTCTGGGGAGTCGACACCTGAGATATTAGATGTGGAGAAGGATGAGACAATAGAGAGTCAGAACACGGATAAATGGGACTGGAAACGAATAGACGCGCAGAATCAGAAGGGGTTGAAGTTCGTTGACCACTTTGCAGCACTAGATGGATTGCACGACGAGTTCTCGGGAAGCCAGACGCCTGCTCTGGGCAAGTATAGAGATTTCCTTTGGTAGACTTTAGATAATGGTGGAATGACTGCTTCTTTTGCACGGACTATGGATAGATACTTTTAATGCAGATTTGAGAAAGCTAGCCCTTCTAGATAAAGCCTCCTTTCGTGTGGTTCGTGGCCGTGTCTTAGGGTCTCCCCCTCTCAAGAGACCGAGGTTGGCTGCGCGTTTCAACGCCTACACGTTACTGGTTCTTAGAAGGGCTCTGTCAGCTGGTTGAGATATTCATGATCATTAATTTTTAGATCGGTGTATCCACCCAATTCCCAAAACTCCCATCTATTTACATTGGACCCATATATTCAATCATATAAAACGCCAAACCCCAAGACCCCCTTTACAGAGCGAAAGCAACGAGGACGACGGCGCCAGCCATGGCACCAGCAGCCTCCAGTCTAGTTCCAGCGGCTTTGGAAGCTGTTGCGGGACTGCTTGAAGTAGATGCGGTTTGGATGGTTGATGTAGGTAACGAGGTAGTAGTTGTTGCATCCACTGCACTGCCAATTGTGCTGCCCAGATTACTGACTGCTGGGGTTGTCGCCGCACCATTGCTTGTCGTGGCTGTTAGAACTCCCGAACTCGAGGCTGCAGCGGCCTGGATGGAACAGATCTCTTGACCAATCTTTTGGGCATCTGAGAATTGTTAGGACTAAGAATTGCGGTCGCAGTGCATGATAACTTACTCAAAGCTTCCGTTGTGTTGCAAGCCTTGACAATGCAAGGCGTTGCTTGTGATGCGATAGTAGGCCGCAGAGAGCCGCATTGGCAGGCATAGTCAGTGATACTGCAGCCGGCATTGACGACGGCGTTTGACAGGCACGCGAGAGAGCATGATGGTAGTTGAGCTACATCACCCTGAATTGACTGAGAATAGACAATACAGGCCAGCATAGAGGCAACGGCAAGAATTGAGAACTTCATGTTTGTGGTGTTGAACATGAAGAACTCGAACAGACGTGGGATATTGCAAATTAAGAGCTATTGCCTGTGCGGAGCTGACTGGGGTTCCTGACCATTTTATTATCATGCACGCAAACGGGGTGGCACATCTACCCATGCTCGCTATGCTCCTCACTGGTCAGCGGCGTTGAATGCAAATCTTTTCCCATAGCAAAGTTTGATGGGCCCAAACAAGCTCAGTTTAGACAAGATCCTCGACGCAGTCTCAGGTGCCTCGGCAGCTATTGTATCTGAACATGTTGGTGCTGCTTCCCGAAAGTGAAAGACATCTTCTGGGGAAAGCCTGGTTTCCCAAATAAGGGGACGGCGGAACATACCAGGATTGAATAGGATTGGCGGCAAGGGATCTGGCCGGATACAGGATACAGCAACGTCAACTTGGTAAGCCCGGAGTGCCCCATATCTCTCGGCCACCATCGCGCTCGTTGCGTCGCTCTGTTGGATCAAACTTGTGGCTCTGATCCTCAACAATTTTGCCCACTTTACCTTCTTTGGGGAGAGCAAGCGCTGACCTATTTCTTTCAGCATTCTCGACTTCGAGTTGCACAGAACATAAAAGGGGTCATAAAGCATTGGCAATAATTTCCAGCTGGGCAGGGGAAGTTTCATGCGCTTGTCCTGGCTTGGAATTAAAGTTGCTTATTCCCTGTAGCCTACAGCTAGTGAAAGGCGCCAAAAAGCCATGTGGCGCTGAACCGCCAGAACATTTCTTTTCATCTGATCCGCCCTGTGCCGAGGTGGAACCTTGGAGGGGTGGAGGGAAACGACCTCACATCACCAGGACAGAGAGGATATACTCGTACTTGACAGCAAAGTTATCTCTATCCCAGCAAGTGAGGGGAAGCGGAGAATATCCTGGAGGGGGGTGAGATCGGCAGGAAGGGTGGGGTCAAATGGGTCGGTATAATTTTTGTGTTCCGGCCTCAAGAAGCTTGTGAAAGTCTAGCATGCTTACTTGTTCTAACATGGTGAGGTGTCACGAGGGAGGACAAGAATGGCTTCTGAGTAATTTGAAGATGATTATTGTTGTTGTGGAGATCTAGCAGTTGATGACCTCAGGGAGCTGGAGAAACAAGCTCTACAACGCTTCGACGGACTCTGTTGAAGTATTATTTCAATCCCCTCCAAATGAGCAGTGGTGACAGTAACCGAAGTGGTTTCTGCGAACACAATCATATGCAAGCTTAAACTGCTTAAGCCATTGGAATATCCGAGGTCGAAGTTTGTCGATGCGGGGAGGATGCCAAAGTTTTTTCCCCTCTACCGAAAACGGGAAAGGATTGTTTGGCTGGCTGTATGGCGTCGACGGTGTCGCCGAACGCAGATACGCAGTGAGAGCGGTCTGATAGAAGATCGAGCGATCGTCACCGCAATAATCCTGATGGCCTTGGTGAACATTGGCGGCACAGCGCTACTGTACGTCGAATTTCCACGCAGTGTTTCCAAGAAGATGGCTCCAGGGCTGCTCGTGAGTGACGACATTGAGCCATCGCGATTGTCGAACCATCCAGAGATGAAGTCTTGCTGGAACGTGTCTCTCAATTGCTGTTCGAGGAAGTCGTTCTCTTGCAGGGAACTTGAAAGCGATGCAACACTCAGAGACAACCAGGGCTTATTGTAGCCCTTTTACCCTTCTTTTCGTTCCTCAACTACAAAAGACAGTGTTCCCAATACACTCAGAATATGCTTCACTCTTCAACCGCCGGCACACAAATCTAGCAGCTCCATCATTGGGCCCAGTCATAACTTCGCTCCACTCCAATCAAACTTTCCCGAATAGCTCCTATGCAATAGGGACCTATTCTGACCAGTCCTCAGTCGATTCTGAGACATTTCTTCCCTTCCGCTAAGCTCCGCGAAATTCTGAGGTGTCAATTGTGCCCGGCGTTCCAATGCCTCGCCCCTTACTTCTTTGAACAGTGGGGACCCAGGAGGATCAGCCTTCATCAACAACTTCCAAACAATTCCCATCCAAATGTCGTCCACTGGTTCGGTCGGTTCACTGGCCCAAGGACTCCACATCACAGCCGGTCGATTGAAGGCATCATGAACGAGAGAGAGGACAGCCTGATGTGAAATTTTATAGTCTAGCCAATGTGGAACATGAGAGAAGAGAGTTGGGAACGCAAAGGTGTTGAATGTTTGACATACGAGTCGACAAGATGAAAGAGATGATTTTGGAATATTGCTAACGATTTGTCGAATGAGTTCTGGGGGAAGAGCATTCATCTTAGAACAGTAAAAGAGAAAGACAGTTGAAACTTGAAGCTAGGGCAATTCTCTCCTTTTCTCGTATTTTATTATGTCAATGGTGGCACTCAGTCAGTGCTGACATGATGCGGAGTCTCTTAGGGATTACTCTACTTTGCGGTGCCCGAACACTGCACGAGAAAGGCAATAAATAAATCATCAGCGGCCGCAACTCGTAACACCTTGATGGCAAACGTGCGAAACGCGGCGCAAATCAGATCACTAATGTGTGGGTATCAAAGTCTCATCACTTCCGACGCAACAGCCCCTCAGCCTCTTTCTGCTCCTCCTCCCACCAACTCTTGAAAGTTTTGAGCCTTTCCGTCCTCTCTCGAGCCATTCTCATCCCGGGCGTCGTCTTCATCATGCTTTCGAGCTTCTCCAATTTGTCTTCAAAATGCTGAATCGTCTCTCCCATTTCTTTCGCTCCTTTTGCCCCACCGAAGGTAAACGTCCTTCCGATGCCAATCGCACCAATGGCATCCAATCGATCTGCATCCTGAACCACGGCTAATTCAGGGTACTTTTCGATCATAGCCCTGGTTTGTGCGGGGTCTTTGCATTCAGTGGAGTATGATACGCCCAAGACGATCCTCTGCACCTTGATGGCCAGGTCCTCAGGAGCACCGAAACTCAGAAGCGTTGCGAGGACGAGTGTGTTTGCATCTTGTCCTGGCTGCAGGTACTTCTTGTCTCCGACATCATGTAGCAGAGCACCGAGTGTGATAACGTGTAGATCCAGATCCGACTCGTCCTCATCAAAGAGCGGCGAGGATTCCCTCGCCCTGTTGATTTCTGTATAAATCAAATGTGCCAATCCAACAACGCGTCTTATATGATTGAAGTCGTGAGAGCCATCATACTTGCTCATGTACTTCTCCACGAAAGCCGAGACCTTGGGAATCAACGCCGCATTGTGCTTGGTCTTTGCCTTCTTCCGCTTCTTCGGTGTGGGTTTCGGAAGTGTGAGTCCTGCTTCTGCGGCCAACTGAGCTGATGGTGCTTCGTCCCCTTCCTCGGAATACTCTCTGAACTCGGGATATTTGGATCGCCTTCTCATTCCCAGCTTCTGCCGCAGACGAGCAAGATTCCGGGTCTTGACTTCGAACCCCTCCGAGACGAGGGCAGCGGCGATTTGCTCATCATTGAGATTTTTATTGTAATGATAGACAATTCGGTCGCGGAGGTCTTGGGTAGCTGTGATACGCGTCTTCTTTCGTGGGACATTCCAAGCCGTCAGTCGACGCGATATTGTACGTTCACTGACATCGAGACCGTGGTCGAGATTCAGACGCCTAGCGATGTCAATGATGGGGATGTTTTCTTCGGAGAAGAGCTTGATGATCTGCTCTCTGAAGGGTTCGAGAGAGGTGACTTCTGGTCGTCCCCGTTTTTTTGGAAGTGTTAGTGTTGCTGCTGAACTCGGAATGTCTACGTCGCTCCCTTCGCTATCACTCGAAGTGGCGGACATGGTGGAGGATATTGTCCTAAATAACCTTATGGTTCAGGAGAGACGGTGGGAACATTGTGGGGGGGAAGCTGATTGTCTCTGCGGTCCGCCGTAGCGTCAGCCTCAGCTTGACTTCGTTCCTTCACTCCTCTCTCCCTTTACCACACCATTTGGACTTGGTACATCAGACCTTATGGAAGATCCAGTACTCGTAGAATTCAAGTATGGGCCAAAAGTATGGATGTTGCGGATAAAGCTATCCCTGTTGAACATATGCCTCGGGCATACCTTTCCCCTCATTTTTTTACTGCGGGGAAATCCCTCATTCTTTGCTATATTCTCACTAACTTCGTCCTTGATGATATCAATTAATACCTCTTGTACACAATATTCACTTCAATATGACAAATCCAAACGCCAAGGCACACAACCGCCTCATCAAGATCAGTGATTTTCTCACTGGTAATAAAACCGCAACCACGATCCCTTGGGACCCAGATTGTACCAAGTTTCCCAACCGGAAAGATGTCCCGAGGAGAGAAGATGCACCAGAGGGAGCGTAGGTATTGGAGAACTACCAGGAAGAAAACGCTAACTTGTTGAAGTGCCTGGGTATGGGGAACGGAGGACTACGTACGACCCCTGTGCGAATTATATCCAGCTGCTAACATACCACAGCTTGGACGAATCAACCTCCTCACTCCCGCTCGAGTTTCTGCTGCCTCGAGAGAAATTAGGTCCGGAGACATTGTCCCCCTGAATTTGCCTTTGGATGTCCCGAATGTCCCAGCATTTGAACGTGAGCCCTTCAAGCATGAGATCAAGATATTGGCAAAGAATGTTGCATACGATGATAAGTATCAACTCAATACACAGTCTGGAACACAATGGGATGGGTTCAGACACGTTGCTCATATCCCAAGCGAGACCTTTTACAACGGGACCAAAGCTAAAGATATTGAGGGAAACACAAAAGAGGACAAGAATAAATGCGGCATTCATCACTGGGCTCAGCATGGAATTGCAGGAAGGGGTGTTTTGATTGACTATTTGAGTTATGCCAAGGATAAGGGGATTGTTTATGGTATGAATTATTCTTTAGCATGTGGTACATCCTAATGAATGTCAGATCCCTACGATTACTATACAATCTCCTTCGCGGAGCTTCAAGCTTGCGGGAAGGCTCAAGGAATTGATGTTAGGCCAGCATCCCAAGGCGGGGACATCCAAATCGGAGACATTCTCTTTATTCGCTCTGGATTCGTCTCAACATATCACTCCTCATCGCCTGATGTCCGGGCTGCAGCGGCCTCGAGACCGCACAGTAGCGGAAAGGATGACGGTCAACGATGGGCTGGAATTAAACAAGAAGAGGCAATGATTGACTGGCTTCATGACTGCTACTTTGCAGCAGTCGCCGGAGATGCGCCCGCGTTCGAAGCGTGGCCAAGTCAGGAAGAGTACATGCTGCACGAGTATATCCTGGCTCTCTGGGGAATGCCTCTGGGCGAGCTGTTTGATCTTGAGAAGTTGTCTAAGACGTGTAAGGAGAAAGGGAGATGGACGTTTTTTGTGACAAGTGCACCGGACCATTGTGAAGGAGGGGTTTCTTCCCATGGAAATGCGTTAGCTATCTTTTAAAAATACGTATGAGAGCAAAGATTGAGGTTTTCGTCTTTTAATGTAGGGATTTATTAGTGAAGTATTGACTCTGCAGCCGACGAGGAAGATGACGCTGGTACGACGTGGATCAGGACGTATCCGTACCTGAGGGGATTGAAATGCTAATCTCGGGAATATCTTGATTTCATATCGAACTGGACCCAAATCTTGTAGCGAAGAAGAGGGCGGAGAGGGCGAAGGGTGATTGGTATGGCTGAGATATCTGCCATACGGGAGTCTCTGGGGCCAGGGTCGTCTCGTGGAGACAGACTCACTGAGTCACTGACCTTCGAGGCTTGAAGATTGGGAGGCGGCAGGGAAAGGTCCGTATGGTTCGAGACTACCTTGAAGTTGGCAACCAGAGTGCCGACTACTATATGCATGCACTGCCAAGGCACAGTATCCAGCACATAGGATGAATGTCCATTGTGCTTTGCCAAAGTTTCGACTGCTTGCAACCATCCCGATTGCAACAAGGATCCTCCGGTCAAGCATGATCCTAAGCATTAACTAGTAAGTACTCTCTTAAAGACGCGTATATGGTATTAACAATATTCAAGTAATCGTTATGCATTGGAAAATGATGGCAACGGAAGCATAGGCAAGCACTTTGCACATGAGGGCCAGAAGTGACACAGGCATTAAATATCTGATTTGAACATCCGCATTCGTTTGCAGAGAGGGGAAGCGAGGCAAGCGAGGTATTCTATTTTTGTAATCGATCAAGGGCAGTCTTGTTACTTTGAAGAAGAGAGGTTTACGCGTAGTCATACCCTCATATGAGGAGATACATTAAAGTTCTTGGCTGTGGATTACTGTCCTCAAAACCATTTCCACAGAGAAAAAACTGATTGAAGCAACAATAAATCCGACCAGAAGCCTTATTGTAGGTATCCTTTCACCGGAACCCAGGGCTTCCAATTCCGGTTGGCAAATAACTCAACCGTTATCATCTTCCATTCTGCAACAACGATATAGTGCCTTCAATTTCGGCTGCCTTTATTCCCTTGTTCGCATAGGTACCGTAAGTAGGTTATAAAAACCTATACCTACTTACCTATGGGTTAGATACAAAACATACTTCGTATCAAGAAACCTACCCATGGCTTAGGTTTGGGCAGCCTGTATTGGTTACATAGGTGCCTACGGGCCACCCTAGTCGTCCATGAACGGCAAGTTTTCCCGATGCAAATGGGGAAATGGAAAACGGCCCCCCGGTTCCCCCCCGGTATCGATTTGGGTGTCGATTGGGGCAGGGGTGTCAACGACTTGTAATTAGCTACCTAAGCCCTTTAAAAATCCGAAGTTATATTTTTTTAATATAAGTATAAGATAGTATATTATAACCCTTGTATTATAATTACGTGCTATTAACTTATAATAAAAAGATTTCTTAAAATAGAAATTTAATTTAAGGAAATTTATATACTAATTAATTAAGTTCTAGTTTTAAGCCTTATAAAGTCCTATAAATTAGGGGCTTATAGGGCTCTTATATTTGGTTTTAGGGACTTATTTACCAAATTTCAAGGCTTTCTTATATTTATTTTTAGTTTATAAAATATGAAATTTTTGACTTCTTTAATTTAAAGAACTATTCTTAATTCAGAGTTTATAGAAAGTTCATACTTAAATACCTTTTAATCAGCGCCATAAGCAAATAAAGAAAGTATTAAATTCTATTAATTCCTTATAAAATTTAATTAAATCAAAGAAACAGCCGGGTTTTTTGTATTCGCGTCCGAGCGGCTCTGCTTTGGGTCAGCGGCCCCCAATCGACACCCCCAATTGACATCCGGGCGTTGTTTTACTTTTTTCCCCATGCAAACAAGTCAAATGACCTCTGACGTGTTTTCAGCCACATATGTCCCAACAAGCTTCCCTCCAATTGTTGGGCTCCACATACGAAACGTCAAGATACCACAGTAAACAGTCAGCATAATGATTGGCTCACCGTGTGCGCACACTCTCGAGGGCTGAGTGCCGGCATGACCATGCTGCCAAGAAGCCAGAGAGGTGCAGTCTCTTCCTGCGAGGTTTGACAAGGTCGTGCAGGAATGCGAGACTGCGGCTTTTAACCTGAACATGGATCATCATCCACCTTATCCACCTTATCTAGGACAGCAGGCAGTCGTTTCTCCGCCACATTCCTCGAACTACGGAGTGAACCCCACCGACTGCTCAGTTCATCCACAAGTTTCCAAATCTCTCTGGACTCAAACTCTAATTTCACCCCTAAAACTGAGCCTCATTCTGCACCGTCCGTCGAAAACACGTCATCACTATTGTCAGCCTTTGTCAATCCCCGAATTCAACACAGCAACATATTCAGCATGATGTTGTTCAACAACAGGAAACAATCCGTAGATGCAGGAGTCAAAGGGGTCGATGATAGGTTCGACTTGTTGGACCTGCTCGCCATTCACGCAAGCTCAGGAAGGGTTCGCGCTGCCATCAATCCGCAGTTGGCGGATGAGCGGGACCCTGTCCCAGCAGAGCTCAAGATCTTGTCACAGTCTGGCCAAATCCTTGTTGACTTCCCATTCTTCAACTTGCCCAAGCGAGACTATCAAGTTTCGATTGATTCTCAATCCGGACTTGTCAAAGGACATATTGTTCATGGCCAAAAGACGTCGGTCACCTCGGGTTCGGGGGGCATCGACTTGCAAGTCACGCCTTTTGATCCAAAAACCTCTTCGAGTCTGCAAACCGAGAGTAGATCTGGAGCGCAAAGGGTGTCGCTATTGAGCCCAGCAACTTCGGGGACTATCAAAGATATGTCGAGTTCACACAGGAGCCTGTCTGGGGCATTGGCTTTGCGTTATCCAAGGGAATGGGAGGGTACCATTGAGGGAAGCACAAAATCTGGAAAAATTCAGGTTCACGGAAGCGGTGTGGAGGTTGTTCGTCAAGAGTCCGACAAGTTGCATCATTATCTCCTGGCAAGAAAGGGGAATGGCAAGAGTAAGCTCAACTTCCAGACTGGAAGTGGTGGCGTGGACATTTACTTTGAATGAACAATCACAATGTTCAAACCCGGGTCTAGAATAGCGAGTGCACTGCGCTTTAGTTCAAGCTAGTATGACAGCTCAGAGATTGAATTGCTTGTTGGCTACTTGTCTTTATCGGAAAACATGGAACTCATCTTTCCTCGCTCACGAATGATCCTAGCAACGCTTGAGTGTGCTTCCATATTCGCCATTATATCGAGCTCGTTTGCTATCTAACCAAATTGCACCGGCTGATGAATGCGATCCATCACGCTGGTGTCGGAGAGCTAGGAAGACGAGTTAAGGAAGCGGTTGAAAGTCCCAACACCACATCTGTGAGGAGGTCATTTATAGTCTTAGATGCAAGCATCTGTTGAACAGTGATTCGCACTGCCAATTCTGTAAAAATGTCAGCAAACAACCTTCCGCACAACTTCAAACCAGTCACCTACCTCTGTAAAACCAGTACTGACATGCTACTCCGGTCAACGAATCGATCCCGTACTCGAGCAAGTTCTGCTTGACACTGAAGTGCAAGATATCAAATCCGAGAAGAGATGCGAGGAATTGAAAGAATGAGCGCTCTATCACTTTGCGGCATTCAAGTTCTGACAGCGACTTTATTTGGGTTAGTAAGGCCTGGTCTTGCTCTTGCTTATAATCTCTCCAGGTCCGTTTGTGATTTTGCAAGTGACCAAAATCCGGCTGCTCAGCCCAATAGAGCAGCGATTGCCCCCCATTTACTATAAGTCTGCCATCTACGCGATTGAACATGGCAAGACCTGTAAGCATTACGGCTCTTTTTGATTCTGGATCTGCACATTCAGCGACAGCTGCGTGCAGTATCTTGGCCAGATGGTGCTCCTGTAGCGTGACGAGTCCTCCCATAGCCAGTATATTGAGCATGTCTTTCCGGTCGAGTTCATATAGCACGCCCATGTCGGTCATCGCACCCAGTGCAATCGCAACAGCCGGCAGTCTTTGAGCTCGGCGGAATTCAGCAAGGGAGTTGAGAAATGCGTTTCCAACATTGTATCCAGCTTGACTGCGATTGCCAAGAACACTTGCAACTGATGAAAACAAAATGAAGATATCAAGTGTATCCACCTGTGTGAGCTCATGCAAGTTCCAACTTGAATCCACCTTCAATCGGAGAGGGTCATCCCAATCTGCGGCGACCATTGAAGCCAAAGGAGCGTCTGAAAGCACCATTGCCATGTTGACAACTCCCGTGATCTTGTGATCTTTTCGAACAGCATCTAAAACTTTGGAAAGCGCTTTCTTATCGCGAGCATCGCATTTCCAGACAAACAGAGAGCCTCCCAAACCGTTGATAAGTTTCATCAAGCTCATTGCCTGACGAGAATGAGGTCCCGATCTGCAGATAACAGTGATGTGTTTAGCACCATGGCTGACCAACCACAAACAGACAAAACGACCAACACCGCCGAGGCCTCCAACGGCCACGATCGTACCATCGGCTGATAATTGCACGGATTCTTGTACCGCATTGTTCTCTTTCTTAGGGTCCGGAAGGAGACCAACTCGAACAGAGAGGTGGTCGTCCGGAAGCCATCGAAGGATTTGCCTTTGGCCGTTCTCAACGTCTTGCTGAAGCTCCAGAAATGCATCATCAGAATCTCTCAAAGCTGCTTGGATAAGTTCGTCGATATCACTACGGCTGTTCGCCTCGTACACAAGATGACGTACTCTGAGTGACGGCTGTTCAGCTTGCAGTGTCCTCAGTAATGCTGTGCTTGAGCTGACTGACGGAATGCATTCTGGCATTTGAGTTATCCATGTCACACTCTGAGAGAACTTGAGCATGTGTTGGAACCAGGGCAGAAGTATCTTTCCTGGCCATGCCACAGTGACTGGTTGTCGTGTGTCGTCAAGGATGATAGCATGATACGGGCGTTTGCAAGTCTCATAAAAGTTTCGAACGCCGTCATGGCTCAGCGGAACTAATCCCGCCATTGTCGCCTTTGTGAAGCTCTCAATCCCGGGAGACTGAAATACAAAGACATCATCTAGCCGTAGAGGTTGCTGCACGCGAGGTGGGTGTTTGACAATTTCCCAATGCCGTTCATCACAGGCGTCTCTTCGCTTGAAAAAAGCTATACCAGTTTCATGGGCACTATGAATATGTTTCAAGATCGCTTGGTGGCTTCCAGCAATCATTAGGTGTAGCTGACTGCCAACGGTGAAACTGGGCATTCTTCGTATAGACGAGTCGGTTTCTTCGTTAGTTGAATCCAGAATCTGCAATGATCTGAAACGAGGACGGTCGAAAGATTTGAGAATTGCAACTCCGTCTGTTTCGTCTTGGCGATCCATGTGCAAGAAACCAATGTCACACATGGGCCATTTATGGGTTGTTAGGAGAATTACATCCGACAATGTAAGGCGGCTTCCTGCTGGCAAGTCTGTGATATCGAGTCGTCTCTCTGCTCTGTAGAATAAGGACCGTAATGGCAGCTTGTAGTTTTCATTTCTCTCAACCCCAAACAATATAGTTTGGGCAACAAAGCAACCTTCAAGCGCAATTGCTGCAGTGGCTGTTTTCCCTATCTTCCGACCCATGGCAGCTACGGGAATAGAGCCCCGATCTTTCTGATAGACGGTATACTCGATACTTCCGATGCTATGGAGCTTTGCACAGACACTCGGATCATGAGCGACGGCTGCAGCCAGTGACAAGTTCAACAAGTCACTCAAAGCCAATGGGTCAACCTCGTCGTCTGCCGGTTCAAGTCGAGCAGTCGCTACTCCCTTCCCGATGCAGGTGTCTTTTAGGCGTGATTGTGAAATCAAGCCAAGTTCTGCTGCATTTTCGAGTAAAAACGGGTCATAGTCCAACTGATGATAGTCTTTAAACCTATCATTCGGAGGAAAAGGTGTTTCGCTCCAGCTAAACGTCCCAGAGCAGTGCCTTTTGCAAGGCTGCGAACCTACTGAGGAAATGGACGAAATGAGGAAGTGATACTGGTTGGATTCATGAAGTTTGCTGCTCGTGAGATGTAACTCAGAGTCGGACATGCCCTGAAATAATCTAACAAGCAATGCTTCCCCAAAAGTGATGTTGGTTAGACGGATATTGAGAGCTTGTGGTGCTTCCTGCTCTTGCATTTGTCTCGCCGCTTCAAGGGCCATTAGCACGAAGGCAGCTTCTGGAACTGGGTGTCCCGCTTTATGTTCCCATGGAAGTTGATCAATGTGCAATCGGCACCGCCAAGAGGGATTCATGTCAGTGTCCTCGGTGTATCTTGAGCCGAGCAATGGATGGCGAGGAAATCGTTTGAATCGTGCATTGTGACTTAGCCTGGATTCCAACCAAATCCGAGAAGAGTGGTTCCACACGTGTAGAGGCAAGTTCGTCAGAACCTTGGCCTCTTTAGCATCATTGATCGCTTTAGTGTCGAGAGGGATCCCCAGGGCCAACAAAGCGCCGGCCGTGTCCAGCTGACTGGTGAAATCGCACTTTCCCCTTACACAAGATGCAAAATAAGAACATTTCATCTGGTCTGCTTGTAGAATCTGAGATATGGGCCCTTGTAAAGCTGGATGTGGGCCAATTTCAAAGCACACTTCCAACTTGCTGCAATGCTGCACGCACCCGCGAAATGCGTCCAAGAAACGCACAGTACGGGTCATATTATCGGTCCAGTATTTCGCGTCACAAAATGCAGGATCGATTCGCCTTCCGGTCACGGATGAGAACATCATACAGTCGCTTGATCCCTGGAGTGGGCAAATCTGGGCGCTCTCTAGAGCTTTGTAGTATGATTCAGCGACTACCAAGACATGGCGTGAATGGTACGCAATGTCTACGCGTAGTTTTCGAAAGAAAATACCAGCCTTTGTGCAATGATACCCGATTTCTTCGATTGCAGCCTCATCGCCAGACAGTGTGCAGCTGGCTGGAGAATTAACTGCTGCCACTTCCACTCTGTTCCTATAATCCCGAAGAAGCAGAGATGTCTGTTCCTCCGAGAGACCAACTGCACCCATGGCACCCTTGAGAACGTTTTTATTCCGTGTTTTGTGTAGCTGCAACATCGCCATTCCACGTAGGTAAGAAATCACAATAGCATCTCGGAGCGACAAGTGTCCAGCCGCGTACGCTGCCGCTATCTCGCCGGAACTGTGACCAATAACCATCTTTGGGCGGACACCCCAAGATGCCCAAAGGTTGATCAAACCAAGTTGCAGAGCTGTTGTGAGTGGTTGAGCGTAATTTACGAGCGAGATGTTGCTTCTTACTGGATCTCTGCCAAGCTCTTCAGAGAGTTTCCATGGTGGAGCATTAGAAAGCGCATGAAGGTACTGCTCACATTCGAGAATTGTATTTCGAAAGATTTCAGAGTGCTCAAACAGCTTCGCACCCATTTCAGGCCATTGTGCGCCTTGGCCCGTAAATATGCAGCAGATGTTTTTCAACCCGATAGGCACAGCACTCGGCGGTAAATTTGCGAGCTTGAGAATGCGGTCTACAAATTCGGTCGAGCTGTTGGCGCTGAAGTAAATCATGTGAGATAGCTTTGACCGTCGACTAAGCATTGTATATGCCAAGTCTCCAAAGTGCGGCTTCTCAGCTGTTACATAGTCCGCGTATTTGGCACATGTTATCGTCAAGGCTGCTTGGCTAGACGCCGATATCATGAATAAGTAGGGTCTGGCCTGCTTCCTGGTCACATGACTTGGAAGTGTTAAAGCCTCCAGTACACAATGGCCGTTCGTACCACCAGCGCCGAAACAATTGACGGCAGCTCTCCGTATTCCGTCGCGGGAGGCTGGCCAGTCCGCAGCCGACGTTGGAATGACAATATGATCAAAATTTGCTGCAGGATTGGGCACTTGAAAATGCATCTGGGCTGGTATGAGCCCATGTTCCAAGCAAAGTGCAGTTTTGAGGACTCCTGCTAGACCAGATGCAGCTTCTAAGTGTCCGATATTACTCTTTACGGACCCTACTCTCAGCTTCGCTGGTCGGGAATGAGGGGATATGTTGAAGATGGCATTAATTGCGGATATCTCCTGGACATCGCCGACAGCGGTGCCTGTTCCCTGCACCATAGAGTCAGTCTGTGTTGCACTTTTAATCGATCATACAGACGTACGTGAGCTTCCACATATTGAATGGTATCTGGATCAATTCCTTTAGACTCGTAGAGAGCACGCATATTGTTCTCCTGTGATTTCGCAGAAGGCATCATGATACCCTCTGTTCTGCCATCATGATTGATACGAATGCCCGCAAGTACGGCTCTGATAGGGTCCAAATCCGCTATTGCAGCTTTCAAAGGCTTCAGTAAAAGAACCAATACTCCCTCGCCACGACCATAACCGTCGGCCTTCATGTCGAAGGATTGGCAACGCCCAGATGGCGATATAAATCCCATCTCAGAGGCGACAACAAACATGTCTGGATTAAACAAGATGTTGGACCCGCAAACAAGTGCCATGCTACAATCACCGTGCTCTAAGGCTCTTGCTGCCTGATGTAAGGCTGTCATGGAACTCGAACAAGCTGTGTTTATAACCAAGCTTGGACCTGACAGGTTAAAGAAGAAGCTGATCCTGTTCGCTGCCATGCATCCTGCCATGCCAGTTGATACAAAGCGTTGAGAGTTGTCAGGATCCCTACCCAAGACTAGGGCATAGTCGCTGCTTTCGACACCTGTGAATACACCCGTATCTGTGCCTTTGAATGTATCGAGAGGAATTCCTGCACTTTCAATAGCTTCATAAGAAACTTCGAGTAAATGGCGATGTTGCGGATCCATCCAAGGCGCCTCATTTGGTGAAATGTGAAAAAACCCATGATCGAAGCTTGTTACCAGATCGTCGTCCATCAGATAGGCTTGTTTGACATTGGTGAGGCCGCGCTTGAATTTGCGATTGGGATTATGATATGCAGAAACATTGAAGCGTGAAATATTGCGCTGGACATCTCTCGAGTTTACAAGGAGATCCCAAACTTCAGGCGGAGAATTTGCGCCTGCCGTCCGGCACCCCATGCCAATGATGGCGATCTTGTCTCTCGTGTATGTTTCCATTTCTTGATCAAAGAATACTTAGCTCTTGGGACACTGTACAGAGTACATGCATGGGCCCTCGCAACTGAAGTAACATTTGCCGACTTCAGCCGCATGGCACCGCACATGCCCGTAATCAGATGGCTCGCAGGTCAACCCCCGCTTTCTTGACATTTTTCCCTCATTCTTATCTGCCAAGTATTGCTGCCCAACCCGTATTACAAATTAGGGCCACCCTTTACAACGGAGTTGACAGGGGTGACGAAAATAGGGCGCACTGTAGCAACTAAAACCCTCAATAGAATTTTTTATACTATATTAACACTTTAACCTTTGCTCTTCTTTTAACGTACGAAGTAGTACACGTTCTTTATAGTCCTTGAAATGCCTTGAAATGCCTTTTAAAGATTAATTTTAAGCCTTTTAAAAACGAGATTCTTAATTAAGTTTCTAAAAAGCTGTTATATTAGTAATTTTAAGTAAAATAGCCTAAACTCGTAATGAAAAAGCTTATATAAATTAGAAATTAATTATAAAAAAGTAAAAGGCTAATTCTATTATATTCGGATATAGTTTTAATATATAAAAATAAAAAGCTAAGCCTAATATATTTTAATATGGTTTTATTATATAAAAGATAGTATTACTAATAAAAGATTTTATAAAAGATAGTATTACTAGCAAAAGGTTTTATAAAAGTTTATAAGGTGAACTAGTAAGGCTAGAGGTCTTATATTCTAGGCCCTAACTGAGTAAAATTAGGCATTGAGGGTTTTGGTCGCTGCGGTATACCAGAGAAAAAAAACCCCGCGTTTATCCCTCATTCTTATCACAAGTGTTGCTGCCCGACTCGTGTTGCATATTGGTGGCTACCACTCGAAACGGAGTTGACAGGGGTGATGAAAAGTTGGCCCAATTAGATAGGATGCTTCTGATATGCTGCCAAGTCTTGGCCTGCGGCTGGTCAAGAAAGTCTCAGCCGCATGGAACTGATCGTACTGTAAATATTAGCCTTCGGAACCATGCTGCCCCCCCATTGACAGCATCGCTAAAATTTATGAGTCAAGGCATGTTTGGTCTCCATGTAAACATTGCACCGTTTCTTAGACTGACTTTCCTTGAGCGACAGAATACCAATTCAGAACCAATTACTCTACCCGTCCATAAATGTTCTACGACTCGGCTCTGTATAACAATCTCCGAGAGGTGGATCGCGCGTCAGACCACTTCGAAGCGCGCGATGACCCAGACTCAGTCATTCGCTCGCTTGAAACGCTTTTTAGAAAGCACTCTGTAACGGACACCCTCGGAGTTGCTCTCCTGCATCGACACTTTGAGCTTAAGCCGGATGAGGTCGTCGTGGACTTGAGAGGAATTGCCACGCCTTGGCATATAAGCTCTCTAAAGAACTCCAATTACCAGGGCATTGGCGCAGTCCTCCCTCTGTCCCTGATGCTCATCGAAGGACAGCCTCGTGCCTATGAGTTTTACTTCGACATGGATTTTTCTCGCTCACCCGTTGAAATACCCAAAGACTTTATCTCTGAGTACGAGGCTATCTTAGACACTCATGGACTCAAGGAGACTCTGGGTTTACGAGTTTTGCGAACAACTGATGACCGCCCGGGTGGCTCAACCATGGAGTATTCTGAGCGCTATGCAACTTTCACCATCCCGATGGGAGAGAAGAAGCAGTCTGATTATACAAATAACGGCAAAGTGCGAGTAATCAAGACAACTTGGAACTTCACCGGACACGGTGACGGGAACGGTGGGTCCTGCTCACATTATTGTTGGCATTGCGGACATTGTGGGCATTGTGGTAGCCATCAATACTGCATCTGCCATTAGTCCTGCTCACTAGGTAGCTTTACTCAAGGATCTAAACTATAAGAAGAGATGAAATCGTCACGGCGAAAACCTTAGAGGTGTCGCTGAAGTACTTGTATATCAATCGGGCAAGCAGTGACTTGGTTTCCAAGAAGGAGAGCCGAATTTGACGATGCATTCTCCTCTAGGGCGTTGTCATCCCCGGTCTTGACCGGTTGTGGGCTCGTTAGCTATCTTTTAAAACACGTATGAGAGCAAAGAATGAGGTTTTCGTCTTTTCATGCAGAGATTTATTAAGAAAGTGTTAATGTTGTATCCTCCTTCTCTCCTTTCGTGTCCTTTGTCAACTCAGGATACTTTACGATACTAAAGCGCGCGGCATTGAAATCCGTCCAACTCGCTAAACGAGAACGGGCGCAATATTAATGCCTGCATTACAGAAATACTCATAATTCTGATGCCTTATATCCCATTATTATAAAAATTTCGACAAAGTCGGATCTGCTTCTTTTCTATTACGGCACTTTTAAAGAGTTTCGGGCGTTCCATTGAGATTTGGTGTGATTTTCTAAACGAAGCGATTTTGGTGTTCCTCGCGTTTTGGCGGGCTGGACGGTGTTTAACACCGCGCGCTCTGGTACAGAGTAGTAAACGAGCCACACAGGCCAGACTCTACCTCAGAGGGCAATCTAGAGTGTACTTGACGCATATCGCCGCATCGTCCGATTGATGAACCAAGAAATGCTGAGGGGCATAAAAGCATGAGAGCAAGACAGATGAAGTGACGTGAGTGAAGTGTGGAGGCCCCCACTAACGCTAAGCCCGTTCGAATTAACATATTTCAGCGACCTCGACCTAATCACAACCTAACATTTCACTCTCCTCTTTCAACTAACTATATTCTCTCTAACTTCACTCTTCAAGATCTTTCACAGAAATTTCAAGGCAGTTCTCCAGATATCTCCCAGAATCTCAAGTACAATGCAAAAAGTAAGTTCATAGCAGGCCTGATAGGGGAGCTTTCGGCCGAGCTAGCTCAGTTTCATAGTGGAGACAGTGACCGAATCAGGCCCAAGAACATCCTAAAAGCATCAAACGCCGAGCGGCCCAGGGCCCCAAATCGCATTTAGTCCCTGCAAGGGCAGATGCAAATCATGCGGCGATGACTTCGATTCGAGATCTCTTCGGACGCGTGCACCCTTGGCTTGTCCATGCGAATCTCCTGTAAATCTCCAATGACGACGCGAGGCCCAGCCACAGCCAAATGACCTCGGGACGAACCCAAAACGTTTCGACAACCGCTCAGAACAGAGGAAGGTCCTCTGCGATCACATTCTGGGCGAGCATCCTTGTGCGCGGGGTAGCCTACAGAAATAGGGCCATTCCCGATGCGTGATTGGGCCCGGTGGCCTTTTGGGAAGCTCCTTTGTAAGTCGCGGCGTGGGGCTAGTTTAATATAAAGAGGTTCATCTCCTCGTTGTACTTGTGGTTCTCCAGCCATTGCTGTTGAACCCTGCAGTCATGATGTTTTTCAAAGTTGTGCTCTCGTTCCTTTTCGCCGGCTCAGTGGCTGCCATAAGCTGCAATGGCAATGCAGCTCTCTGCTCTCGAAAGTACTCGAACGTTACGCAGATTGGCACGCACGACTCTGCCTTTGTTGGTATCTTGCCCACGGACAATCAATACGAGTCTCTTACCTCTCAACTAAACGCCGGCATCAGGTTCTTGCAAGCACAAACACACGTCAAGAATGGTGCTCTGGAGATGTGCCATACAACGTGTGCCGAGTTGGATTCTGGAACTCTTGTATCTTACTTGACCACAATCACAACTTGGATGGCCGCCAACCCAAATGAAGTTGTTACACTCCTCTTGACTAATGGAGATGGCGCAGCTGTCAGCCTCTTTGGTGCAGCTATGACCTCTAGCGGTCTCAGCGCATACGCGTATACACCTCCTTCACAACTTGCCATGGCTGACTGGCCCACTCTCCAAGAGCTTATCAACAAAAATACTCGACTGGTGATGTTTCTTGGTATGTTTCTTCCTATTTTGAGGAGTAACCGCTAACGTGACGTAGATTATGGCGCAAATACCGCCACTGTTCCATATATCCTCAACGAGTTTGCCTATTTCTTTGAGACAGCTTACGACGTAACCGATTCCACGTTCTCATCCTGCGCTCTTGATCGACCTTCTGGAAATTCAGGGGCCGGTCTGATGATGATTGTGAACCACTTCTTGGATTTGGATGTTCTTGGGATATTAATCCCCGACACCTTTGCTGATTCGACAACAAATGCTGCAACTGGGACTGGAAGCATTGGTGCCCAAGCAGACCTTTGTATTAGTACTTGGGGTCGTACACCAAACCTCATTCTCGTCGATGACTTCAACATTGGTAAGTCGGCTTCCTTGAGACTGATTTCGTACTGATTCTGAAACAGGGGACGTCTTCACTGCTCAAAATACTTTGAACCATCTTTAGCTCAAAGCTTAGTAACATACTTAATATAATTCGATAATTCTTAGGCTCTCAAGGATCCAGTTCTTGGTTACGTGATCAGTCTGTACCACCCTTCTAGGCATCTCAACCGGCCACTGTTCTGTTACAAAGTCACAGTTGACTTTACAACAAAACCGAGCCTGCATGATCTTTTCAGTAAGTCGAGTGTGTAAGTCAAGTCTTTCCAAGCAATCGGTGATCATTGGTCTTCCATTTTTGCCGTTTCTGTACAGACTGAAGGGGGTTTGAAAGTTAACTTCTCGGCCGTATCGTTTAGAGATGTTGCATGGTTCTCGCTCAACAGCCAATTATTATTAGTTGGCCTCCAAATCTCTTAAGATCTGTCTCATCCTCACTTCAGCACGCTGGAGATCATGCAACACAGCTCGAATTTTATACGTATTGACCTCCATTTGCTTTCACTCAATCCCTTCAATGTTTCCAATACTCCAGCAACAACACTGCTACAACCATAGCGTAGGCACCCACCCTCCCCGTTCCGCTCCTCATCAACAGCCTGAACCACAATCCACCCCCCTCAATCTCAGCCCTTGAAATAGACTTCGCAGGTTTCCTTCCAGAAGGAACCAGCATCCCCTCCTCCTGAGGCACCATTCGCTTCTACGACTCCTCTCTTCCCACCTCGTTTGGCTTCTCCACCACCTATCTTACTTTGGGAGGGTAACTTCGGTCTGAAATGAGCACGTCGCAGATGTGCTGCTGCGTTGTAATAGGGGCCGTATTGCTTCTGCTGAAGGCATGCTTTGCACTTCGAAAACGGTAGCACGGGTATAGGATGACCTGGCTTGGTTGACTCGATACAAACCCACTTCGTGACAGGGTTTGGATGCTCTCTATCAACGCGCTTCCGGAGTTCGTGCTCGCCTCGAAACCCTTCGGTATGGATGTCACATTGAGCGCAGAAAACTCGAGAGTGCTCTGGTCTCGTGTACCTCGGCTTGACGGGAGACAAGTTCTCTGAAGTCATTTCCGAATTGAGATTCTGCTTTGGGGCTGAATCACTGGACGGAACTCCATCAAAGCTAATTGGCAAGCTGTGCATGCTTCCCATCCTGTCCATACGTTCGGTGGAAGCGCCTTTGGGCCAAAGCGGTCGTGCCTTCGGAAGTTCAATCGGAGCTTGCAGATGCTGCTTGGCACGAATGTACGAAAGCGAACAAATGACTGACTGCAGAGAAAACGAATGAGCAATGCAACCTGTTCAAGAACCAGAGGCTTGTGCGAATAATGAAGAAAAAGTCTTCAGGAAAAGATGCGCTCTTAACTCCAATGGGAGAAATACAGCACATCACAGGAAGCCGCTAAGCAATGAAGACAGAGGCGGTTGTGGATACAAATGGGAGCGGAGATAGAGAAGCCTGAATTCTCTTGCTGTAAACTCGAGAAATATCGGTCCGCACCCATTCCCTTCTTCCATTGACTCATGAAGAAAAAAACTACCCTGCCTTATGCTCCATGACAATTGCTCAAATCTGTAGCTCCGCATGCCCATTATGTCAGCTCCATGGTCCAGGTGGCGAGCATGAGATTTCGTCCTTAATTGAGTAATCAGATTCATAACTGCTTAGGAAATTGATCGCATCTGCAAGTCACAAGACTTATTTCTTAAACCAACATCTCAGTCTTGTGGAGGCTTTGCTGGGTTGTTCCGGTATTCCACGACCTGTGATTGGTGGGTCAGGCAGGACCTTTGGAGTTGAGAGCCACGCCAAGAGCGGAAGGTCGAATCTTACATGCGCGAACGCCTCCATGCTCTTGCGTTACCGCTTTTTCGTGAGGGTAAAGTAGGACAACGATTTAACTGAAAAGGTTAGAAGACAGTTTTAATCTTCTAGGGACGACTGTACTTGCTACGTACGGCGATGGATTTGACGTGTGCTCGTCATACCAAGATCAAGCAGATGCCATTCCCACGAGCATGGATGCCCACGTAGGAAGGACGTGTTCCCATCGCAAGGCTGTGTACACCATCCACAGCCGGGAGGCGTTTTATCCGTTTCTCGGTAGGCCGCGTGTGTGGTGTGTGGTGTCTTGTGTGGAGAGCTGGTGTCGGCCGCTGGGAGCGAAGCGACGGTAATTTCCACCTTACAATGGACTTTAGCTATGTTGCTTGCTAGGAAAAGATATATAATGGTGACGATGGCTTCTTGCGTCTTTGTCCCTAATTCTCAATCAAAGAATTATGGAGCTCCAAAATCCAACGCTCAAAGATCTCGCCACGGCGATAAACAAGAACGTCTCGATAATCGATTCTTGTCTGGAGCACTCGTCACTCCCAAAACCATCTTTTGCGATCGACGGTCTCCGAAGCTGGGATCATCCAGAACTTGATGAAGCCCAGGAAGCAAGGATCGCTTTAATTGATGCTGCAACAGACCTTATGCACCTGGCTATGGGCCCGTTCGAGTACTTGAGAACGGAATACATTGCTGTAAGTCTGGACCCAACTCGAGATATCAATCAAGAATCCTGACAAATGTCAGCAAAAATTTGATTTCTTCATCATTGGAACTCTCAATTACTACCAGGTCTTTGAAGCTGTACCTCTCACTGGCTCCATAACCTATGCAGAGCTAGCCAAGAAGTGTAGCCTCCCGGAACCTCGTCTGCAGCGCTGGATGAGACACGCTATCTCGAAGCGGATCTTTTGGGCTCCAACCAAAGATTCTGTGGCCCACACAATCACCTCTGCGGAGTTCGCCAGGGATGAGACTGCTTGGGCGTGGGTTGGCCATAATGTTGAAGAAATTGGGCCAGCTGCGGCTAAAATAATGGAACAGACTGACAGATTTGGTGATGGCACGAATCCGGCAGAGGCAGCTGTCGCTTTAGCACATTTCGAGGGCAAATATGCTAGCCCGTTCGACTGGCTCGAAAATGATGGTGTGGGAGAACCAAAGTTGCTGGGAGGAAAGCTCGACAAGTCCGACAGGACCAAGGGTTGGAGAGCAAGAAGATTCGGGAACACGATGAAGTACCTGACATCTGGCGGAGGGCATTCTTCATCTCATGTCCATGGATTTGATTGGGACGCGTTGGGTGAGGCTTCGGTGGTAGATGTCAGTCAACAGCCGCAATCACCTGATGTGTACTGACTTCATGCAGGTAGGAGGGTCTAGCGGCCATCTTGCTATCGAGCTTGCCACGAAACATCCGAAGCTGAGTGTCACTGTGCAGGATCTTCCAACTCTGGAGCAGCAATTCGAAGATAATCTCCCGCCTGGCCTCAAGTCAAGAGTATCTTTTCAAGTTCATGATTTCATGAAGCCCCAGAAGATCCCAGCGGATGTTTATTTTTACAGATTCATCTTCCACGATTGGCCGGACAATATGTCGGTGCAGATCATACAAAACAATGTTCCTGCTATGAAAAGAGGAAGCAGAATCATTGTCATGGATGGAGTCATGCCGGAACCTGGAGAGACTTCCAATTTTGTTCTAAGAATGAACACAAGTATGGACCTGCAAATGATGGCAGCATTCAATGCAAAGGAAAGAAGGAAAGAAGATTGGATAAACCTTTTCCGGGAGGCGGACAAGAGACTGGTGGTGAAGCAATTCCTTCAGCCCCGTGGAAGCGCTTTGACACTGATTGAGGTGGTGTTGGACGGATGATAGGTAGCCCATTGTTAGGAGAGCTGTGGGGGTGGCGATTCAATCCTTTTTGAAGGAATTTGGTACATGATTTTATTGAGGGTACTTGGGAAATTCTTTACTTTCAATGATAAACTTATGATTGAAACATCGCGGAAACTTTCAATAACATCTGATGCAACACCAAACATAATTGGAAAAAGACACTGGCCGATGGTCACCCAAATACATGCTGCAGCTTTGCTCTGTCAGGTATTCTGAGTCTTCCAGACCCGGGGGTTGTGCTGTTTCACCAGCTTCAATCCTTAGGCGACGTGACGCTGCCAGTGTCTTTCCTCACTCCAGCCGAGCTCTCTTTCCCCATCCCTGACAGCTTGGTCTGCTCCCGAAAGCTCGATCCATTGACGATTCCATGATGCCAACGATTCCAAGGCCATCCGCCACTGGCCAACTAGGGCCTCGAACGCGATGAGTCAGTGGGGATAGAGAGGAATGATGGAGACGGTACAGAATTGACGTCTATTTATCCGCCTTGGTAATGACCTCCACTTTCGAGCTCAACAAAAGAGACAGCTACGCCCCACGACGTCCTTCGAAACCCTTAATCTGCAAAAGAACATCAATATGTCCATCGGAATCGCGATAATCGGCAGCGGTCTCTTCGTCCAAAATGCACACCTTGTGAGAGAAGCCCAATGCTCCCAGTATCTTCAACCACTAACCCCACCTTCAGCCCGCAGTGCAAGCAACCCCGCAACTCACCCTCAAAGCCGTGTATTCTCGATCCCTCAAGTCCGCAAAAGCTTTGAACGTCGATGTCGCGCTCTATTCTGACGATGCTGGCTCCGGTAAAACCTACCACGATTTGTTGCTCAGAGAAGACATTCATGGTGTTATAATCGCCCTTCCTATCTTGAGTCAACCCGAATACATCGAAGCGGCATTGGCGGCAGGAAAGCATGTGCTATCCGAGAAGCCAATTGCTGGGGATTTGAAGCGGGCAGAGAGTTTGATAAAGTATTACAAGAGCGATAAGGTCAAGAATAATGCTACGTGGGCGTGAGTTACACCCAGAGACTGCAGCCTGAACATTTGCTAAACGGCCGGCAGCGTGGCTGAGAATGATCGCTTCCTTGAATCGTATCAGTATGCCAGCCAGGAGATTTTGAAATTGGGCAGGATATTGGGATTTCGTGTGGTGGTTTCAACCTTTGTAAAGGTCGATAACGAATACTACAGTATATTTCACGCCCGTGGCACCTTCACCTGACTAATTGTACCAGATACCCCATGGCGAACAAAACCCGAATATCAAGGAGGATTCCTGCTTGATGGCGGCGTCCACAGCGTTGCTGGTATACGTCTCTTGTTGGGCGAAGCCGCGAAACCGACTGCTGTAACGGCATACACGACTCTGCTTCAACCTCATCTTCCTCCAGCTGATACCATAACTTCGATCTGGCAAACGGCAGCTGGAGTCCCTGGTACATTTGCTATGTCATTCGGTACAACCTGGAGTGGGTCCGAATTCTCTGTAGCATGTGAAAATGGAAGCGTTGCCGTCACCGGCAAGAAAGTTGAGGTTAGACAGGGCCTACAGAAAGATGGCAATAGTACGGTGAAAGAGTTCGAAGGCGACAATGTCAAGGCAGAGGTTAAGGCATGGGCCGAGAGCATTACCAATGGCAAACCAAATCCATACCAGTCTCCTGAACAAGCTCTGGGCGATTTAGAGATCTTGGAGAAGATGCTGAAGAGCGGAGAAGGAAATGGAAAGACAGAGAGCTTACAGTTTCAGGTCTAGTATATCAAAATTAACGAGAGGCTGCTGGAACTGCTGGAACTGTCACAAGCGCATTGCAAGTCAAAAAGATTCCAGCTTTGCAGTATTCAAGTTTTGACTACTGCGTACGTGCTTCCTCCAAAGCCATCCCTATCTCATCTCACGGTCACAGCCCCCACACTCACGGCTGGTATGCAATCACAATGGCTCGGTCACAGCCGATACACTCGCAGGTGCTTTGCGAACACAGTCGCTTTCGGTCACAGCCGATGTGTATTTCCCAGACTGACCAGGAGTCTGTATTTGATGTCCCAGCGCACTGTTGACATCCACCCCATCCCAAAAGCCAAACTCGCCATAGATCCAATCGGAACAGACGAGGATTCGTTCCTGTTTGGTGTGGTATGTGCATTGGGTGTGTCGATGGTCATCTAGACCACATCTATGGCATGGAATTTCGAGGGCTCTGTTGGGAGTTGATGTTCCAGGGCAGTGTGGGTATCCGCCTTCGTCCCCCAAGGAGAAAAGATTCATGGCCCCATTTTGAGCGGACGAGCTATCGTCCTTGTTTGATTTTGTATGGTCATCGGAATTGTCGATGGCCGTGTAGACAGTAGACCAGAGTTCCAACATTGAGTGTTGGAAGCTCGGTCAGAATCATCGGTACCATTGCCGGTGGTTCTCTGTCTTTTGTTGGTGAGAGGAGTGGAGTGGTTTGCTGCGCGATTGTTGGAAACGCTGTCACTCTTTTTCTTTTGATGAATCGGCGGATGTGTCAGGTTATGCCGTATCTTGACCTTGATTGTGCCTGGATACTTGCACGGCCGTGGATGGCTCTTCTGCATTACCAGATCTGGGCAGAGAGCCTGCTGGTTTCTTCCTCGGCAGTACGCCTGGGAAGCTGCCCTTTTCGCCTGGAAAGAGGAAGTTCTATAGCCATTTTTGGACATGATATTTGTTCATTTCATAGGCCATGTTCTGGTGTCGATCAGGCTTGGCCTTATTGGCGAAAGTATCGTAGACCTCGTCGACCCAGTCGAATCGGCAAGGTTGTACAGTATGGTGGATTCAGGGCCTTCGCCCAGATCGCGTCGTCGCCCCTCAACGAGGGGGGTTCAGCAGCCTCGTTACATGAAGAGGAGGCTTGAACGGTATCGGTCAATGTCTCGTGACCTCATACGAACGTTCGACTGGCAACAAGACGCTATGCTACACTGACAATTCTAACCCTATAAGCGCCACTGGATGAGAAAGTAATGGCCAAGCGTTGGTGACCTGCAACACTGTGGGCGAATCCACATTAAGGGAAGAGTAAGCTGAGAATTCGACACCCAACCATGAACGGACGAAACGATCACCACCGCCAGCCATTCTACTTACACAAACACCTTTCTATGGAGTCCAAGCTTCCATAATGGATCAAACTAATCCGGTAATGAAGTTCCTCACCTCGGACAACAAATCTTTACGGAATCTAAGATAGAGACTTGGTTTAACAATGTCTGAATTGGATTCCGAATACACTAACGCATGAAGAATACTACCCCACCATCGCCTCATCGAGGTTGTCCTTCAAGGCAACTACGATCACAATACTAACATTTTTTCATTGAACCAATCTCTATTGCGACGTAGGTCCATCTCCTACATCGTGGCACTTACAGTGCGAAAAAGCATTCCACGACCACGCGCTCGACGATGCTTCCGGGGAGCCTTCTCAAATTGCACGCACTTCTGCTTGACTCGTGTTGCAGGTGCCCAGTGGCAGACTTCTTCTTTCGATTCCTCCTTCCCTTCTACCTTCACACTCTGATCCTTTGCTGTGAGTTTCAGCTGCCCGAACTTGCAATGCGATTTACCAAAGCTTTCATTTCTCAACTTTTCCTGCTTTGATTTGTTCTCCATCCATTCTGACGCAGCGATCTGGGCCCAAGTTTGGAAGCTGCTTGGCTCCTTTTTATCTTCTTCAATCGGGATCAAGGCTTCCTTAGGCACTTCTTGAAGGGCAGCGCTGTCCTCTGGTGGTTCTTCTTTGATATGATCTGAAGCCACCTGGGCCCAACTGCGTGTCGTTGTCTTCGGGCTGACTTCGTCATACTTTATTTCCACCTCCGTCCGAGTAGAATGAGCCATGGCAGCACGAGCAGCTACAGCTGCCTTTCTTGGAGAAGAGTCTCGTCGTTTTTTGAGAATTCCCCGTGGAGATGCATTGTCTGCTAGCATATTCCTACCGTCTTGCGGCTCCCCTTGAGAGATTCGGCGAGATGAGACGCTTCCTCTCCTGGTCGACGACCCAGAACGATTAGGTACGCCGTGTTGTGCCAATTCCCTAGAACGTCTTTGAGAAGGCGGAAAATCTCGGCGTGGCATTGGAGTTGAGGTCCATCGTTGTGGTGGCGCATTCATTCCAGGGCCGGAGGCTCCTCTTGCTGCTTTTTGCTGGCTTTCGTTGCGCTTCAAATATGGGTCCAATTCCTTAGCAAATGGATCGGCGAATGTGTTAGATAGCTGTAATGGCCGAGAAGGGGTTGAAACGGCACTCGTAGCTGGAACCGATTGATGGTCTTCATTAAATGAGGATGGTCGACCAGTGCCAATCGGAGGCAAGTTGGTTTGGATGGGAAACGGTTCTTGGTGTTGAGTGGAAGGATGGAAACCAGGTGTGTTGTGTACTCGTGGATACTCTACGCGGGATCGTGGAAAGGTGGAAACTTGGGTTGGTATTGGAAGTCCATGATGCCGTTCGGCATGGAAATGGTGCTGTCGTACTTGTGGATGAGAAGTTGGAAACAATTTTGACGCTGCATTTGAGGAATGGTTCCGGGACCGTTCACTACCACCGTGACGGAACTCCCCCATTCTGGGTGGTGTTGTGGATGGCAGAGGTTGAGGAGTTTGTGCAGTGCAATCTATCGGATGATTGTTATGCATCCGGCTTCTTGTAAGCACGGGAGCACGTTCGGATGATTCGTATGGATGATTCCTCCCTGAAATGAATCAGTTCGTGTTTGGCTCTACTTCTGGCCGGGTTACTTACAGATGTGCTTCCACACAGCGAACTCGACAAGAGCTTCGATACGCGCGTGACGTTGGCTGTAAGACATCGCTCCGCACATCGACTCCTCGAATGCTGTTTCTTGCTCTGCCTGATGGACCATTTTTGCGTATTCTGGTGTTGGTACTGCAAGTCTCAATGCTCCATCCCTCATGCTGATCATTGTGTGCGAGCGGTCCATCTTTATTTATGTTTATTGATATTGTCAATGGTGGATACTCGTAATGCTGATGAAGATGGAAATGGTGTTGATGTTTTGTTTTGAAATGCAAACGGGAAAGGCTTTTAGCAACGGACGAGACTTCCCATTCTGTTTACATTTGACGATGCTCGCTTAGGAAAAGAAAAGGGGTTGGAGGGAAGTTGCGATTCGGCCGACCCCCGCCTTCCCCATTATCCTAGGAAGCTTACAGCATTTCACCAAAGTAAAACTTAGTGAAATTCATTCGGGTTATTTTGAAGAAACTGCTGATATATGTTTTGCTTAGAATCTTCCATTCAGATATCTAAGTGCTTTGTGCTCTTGCGCTCTCCAATATCTCAGCTCCCGCTCTGAAAGTGAGAAAGCACGAAAGTCCATTGCAACTTATCTTAGAGCAGTTCTCACCTAATTATTTCCCTTCAAATTCCTTGTATGCCCGGACAAAAGTCACCTCAGCATTCTGAATTCTCTACGAAGACCTAGCCATCTTGCTTATCCCTCTCAATCTCCTCAATCTCTTTCAGATCGTTCTCTTTACGCTGGGACTCCTCCGTTCAAACTCCTCGCGCTCGATTTCTTTGCGCTTAAGTTTCTCAAGCTCATACTTCTCCTTCGAGCATTTGGCGCTGCCATTCGTTGCAGCAAATGGGACAGCCAGGGCTGTCGAAATTCTCTCTGCCAATCGAATCTTGAAGTCGGCATGGCTTTGGTGAACCAACCATGGTACTTCCTGGCCACGGGACCAATGTTCCAGTGAAGCATAGGACACTACCACTACGGGCGCAAGGCTACCTGATACGACCCTTTCCACTCGTAGACATCCCACTTGGTAGATTTGGGTCACTCATAAACGGCATTATTGACGGATCCCGGCAACCACTCCCTTTTGCGAACTTCGGCGACACACCAATCTCCATCCCAGCGGGTACATGCCTCGGTATATTCAAGGAATGCCCAGTAGCACCAGAACCATGCCAAGTATTCCTCAATCTAGCCGAAGTTTTCCATGGCGATCAACCCTGCGAGGAAGAGCGACGAGCGGAAGCAAAACAACCAGCCGGCTCACCGTTCCTTCTACGACCACTAGCTGACGATCCCAACGTACAAGCTGACATCTCCAAATTCTGGGGACCAGAAGTCAAGAACCAAGTTCAAGACATCCTGTCCAAATATAGCAACCTACCCCGTAACGAGCTCAGTTGTTTCAATAATGGAGTTACCATACCCATTCCGTTCAAAGATGGCGTTAACCTCAACGATCTCCGCCAGGTACCATACCCGATGTCCAGAAAGGATATGCAAGCCTTCGGCGAGATTACAGATCCAATGAGAGCAAATGGGTCGCCGAGAACCAGTCCCCCTCGGACAACCCTCACCAGTAGCCTCCCCAGTATTCGTCGTGTGGCGTAACGGCAAACCACGAGTAGTCATCGACCTTCGCCGAGTCAATACTAAGCTCAAGCTAGACGCCTACCCTTTACCACGATGACCTGAACGATCTCGAGTCAGTCTTCTTCACTCGATAACGGAAAACCGTGCCCTAGGGCACATATACTCGAACAAAAGGGCACTTATCATGAAATGACTTCTTGTAATCGGCTCTACAGCTGGCGCGGGGAGGAATTTAGTAGGGGTTCACCTTTGCTTGGTCCTTGGCATCGTGGCCGCTTTCCGAAGAATTTGTCTTTCTCATCAGGAACTACAAGCCATCAACGATAGGTCATGTAAGAACTCGAAGGGATGTTCTTACAATTTTCTTCCCAAAACAGAAGCTCGCCAAACCATTTCTTCTGCACTGGTGTCAAATCATTGTGGTACAATCTTTGGTGTGCCACCACATACCGTGGACCTCGTCGTCGATTTTATTACCGCTAGAGTAGATTCTGCTACAGTAAGCTTTGTCGATCATCTTCTCTCGGACCGAGATGCACTGAGAGCCTCGAGGTGCCATGGTTGGAGGATCCTGTTGATGTTCAGTGCTGTTGTTGAGATCGTTTGAAGAGTGTCTCGAAGGTTGGAAGCCGAACTTTATAGTTCTAAATCATACTATAAAAAGCTCACGCATATAGCAACCAAGTTGGCCCGGATGGCCTAATGCTAAATCGATTATCCGAAGTCCTACCCATTTAGACATTGCATTCCTTTCCCCGCCATGGATGGCTCCCAAAAGGTTGATGGAGCAATCCAGATCCACACGAGAAGTAACCGAAAGCAAACCGATGGGAATCTTGCTGCAGCTTATGAAATCCTAGAGAAGAAAACCGAACGACTCAAAGCCCATCCCATAGCCCCACCCACATTCCCCCCTAACGCCAATGCTCCAAAAACACAAATATCGAAGCAATCCATGACCTACACAAACACCCACCCATCCTTCAACTCCCCCATTCGCTCACTATGACAAGCCGGACATGTCGGATCAACACCATTCTCCATATCCAGCCTCGTCTTATAATCAGGATGGTCCTCTCGCGAACAAGAGACCATGCGGATATAAGGACACTGCTCATCCGTGGCCGATCGTCCCTCTTGCATGCACTGCTCGCACTGGGGCACATAGCCAATGCTGACGGGAAGCTGCTTAGCTGGGTTGCGCGGTCGCTTGCCTGGGAATTTGGTTTTGGAGTCAGGAACTGGAATTAAATTAGCAAATAGTGGTAGTCAAGGGAGTAGGGGGTTGGAGGCAATACACATGGACTCCCAGCAAAGAAGCTCGGCCAGCCATCGTCGCTCTTCGTTGGTGAAGCAGGTATTGTAGGTCTTTGGTTTGTGCAACTCGATGAGTTCTCTCATTTTCTTCATCTTCTCGACGATTTCGAGGGTCGATAGTTCATAGGGATGTGCTCTCGCCTTCGTGATAATCTGATCGCGAACTGAGGAGAAGCGAGAGGCTTCCATTGTGGGAGGCAACTACCTGTTGTTATGTTCAGATTGTGGTTCGTCAACAATGGATGTTCGGCTCTGGTTGTTCGAGTCTGGTGGTTCGACTCTGGGCGGTCTATTGAGGTTGTTCAGTGGAAGTTGAACGGTCAAAGCAAAGTGGGAGTTTCCTAAATATTGTAACCATCTTCCCATGTTAATTGCTCCGGTGAATAGACTAATAAATTAGTTCCTACACGAAGTCCATAGATTAAATTTTCCAATTTGTTTTAAAGATGCGCTCCTACTTATGGTTGTCACGTTGGGATAACTTCATATCTCAAGGTTGCACAGTTCAAATTAGAGCAGAGACGTTAAGCAAGTAATCTAACATATCTCTTCCGACCCATGACGCTGGATATCGTTCAAGTCGAGACAATTTCCAAGATCATTTTGAAATCCCATTAGGCTCTGGCCACTTCGCTTTTCAATAAGATAAAGCTTCTCCTTACTCCGGCAAGGAGGTCAGCAATACTTGCGTTGTTCAGCATTGATATTGTTCCACTTGTCGCGACTCAATCGCTGGATGGCAGAGTCTCAAAAGCTGGCAGATCCGAAGATTCTTGCATAAGAAGCTGAAAACCTTGGACGAAAGATATTTTGAGAGATACTATCCCCCTTGAATAATTGTTGGTCTCGGTATTTATAACACCACGCCTGCACGGGCTAATCAAGGGTCTACAGCGAATAGGAGTTCTTGAAAGCACCTGATATTTCCTAATTCGGGGATATTGAGGAAGTTTCAGTGTGGCGTTACCAAAGGACCCACCCATAATTATTCAAGGGGGGAGAGTGATGAACTGGTGACACTCTCATCGCCACACACTCGTGTCGAGCCCCTGAGCACAGCCACAGCATTCAGCGCCCCACTGATTCTTCGCACACTTCACCCAATCATACGAGAGGTTTTACAAATCCGTCTCGAGAGCCACCGAGCTGAACCAGCCAGATTACTCAAGGTTCCTATATTTGACACCTGAGCCTGCACTATTCGGGACCCAAGGCAGTTCCTCACTGTATGAACTGAAGCTGTGAAACGGGATGCGAGGCTCATTTTGTGCTCAACTCGCCAGCAAAAGCGTCTAACATCGCTTTTAAACAGAGATAATTGAAATAAGTTCCAAGTAACTTCCTTGAACTGCCGGACGTTGAATTCCTCTCTTGAATAAGCGCTTGCTGGCAGCGGGTATAAGTTGAAGTGGGAGGTTACAGTACCACTTTTTGACGGCTGAAATCGCAATTTGACAGGCTAAATCAGGTTTAAATTTGGCGCCCATCCATACTGAAGCGCTCGGTGACATTTTTTTGCCCCAGCCCCTACTCGGAACGGACAAGGAGGAACATATATGATGATCTGCGCTGCGTAAAAAGGAAATCGATAGCTTAAACGCTCTTCCATCTCATCTTACGGCACAAAGCCTCGCATCCTCAATTAACTTCACGACCCTTCACGAGTAACGAAATAATAGAAACGAAATATGGTGCGAATAGGCTCGGCACTGGCCATTGCGGGTATGTAAAACCGGGTCACTGTGGGACGGAGCTGCAGCTTAAGTTAGCCAGGAACGCGCTTGCTGACAGTTGGGACAGGCTTCTTCATCACAACGACTACAGCCGTAGTAACATCGGTTGCTTCTGGATTTGTTGCCAGCGACCAAACCATTTCCTTTGCGCTCAACATCCCCCAAAATGACTCCAACAATGACCTATACTTTTCCATGCAGGCTTCTGCCAGCTTCTCGTGGATGGTACGATCCGCGCACGCCAGCATTGGAGTTAACAGCTGACGTCTTCTAGGCCATCGGAATGGGAAACGACAAGATGGACAACACCTTGATATTTATGGTATACACAGACTCCACCGGAAAGAACGTAACGATTTCGCCCAGACTGTCATCTGGCCATACCGAGCCCTCCTACACAAAAGACGTCACCATCCAAGTCCAGCCTGGCACGGGCATTGCGAATGGCAATATGACAGTCAACGCTATATGCTCGAATTGCAGGTCTTGGAAGGGAAGCAAAATCGATCCTGCGAATACGGCAGAGAAGTTCATATTCGCAACCGGACCGGATGGGAACATAAACTCAAATTCTCTCTCTGCGGGCATCAAGCGTCACGCTTCATATGGAGCGTTCACGATGGATTTGACGAAGGCGGTTGGAGCTGCACAGATTCCCATTGTTGCGACATCTGATTCTTCCGGCACGGTTCAGACACAGGATACGACAGATCATGATTTCTCTGCTCCTCTCCACGCCTGTGTCATGATTTTGGCTTTTGTGGGACTTATGCCGGCTGGTGTTTTGATCCTGCGAGTGTTGAAGAGCCCAAGATGGCACGGCTTGAACTAAACGGCGTCGGCTGCTTTGGCCCTTATTGGAGCTTTCTTGGGAATCTATGCCGGAACGATGTACAATAGGGTAAGTCGGTCTCAATTCGGGCTACTCATTTACTAACACAATCCACAGTCCAAGAGCTGGAATTCCGCTCATCAGATCTTCGGTATCTTCATCATATTCGCCATGGTCGGACAGTTCGCCCTTGGATTCCTGCACCACCGAATGTACAACAAAACACAAGCTCCCACAAAGCTGGCCCCATACCACGTCTGGCTCGGCCGAGTTGTAATCCTGGCGGGAATCACCAACGGCTTCCTCGGATTCCCTCTCGCTCTCAACTCAAAATACAACTGGGCACTTCTCGCTCTGACTCTGCTCATGGTGATCATCTTCAGCCCAATTTGGTTCTGGAAATGGCGAAGCGACTCCAAGAAGAGCCCGATTGGAAATATGTCAGATTCGGATGGGTATCAAAGTCAACCGTGGAACTCTGGACCGTCGGGCAGCAACATCGATTTAGGGAGTTATAACAATGGCCAGCAGCACCCGCCACAGCCGATGAACTATCCCCCGCCGAATTACAGCTATCAGACTCCGCAAGAGGGGAGAACATTTGTTTAGATGAGACATGATAGGCGTTAACTAGATATGAGGGACATTGGGTATGATGGCATTGCGAGGCGTTTGTTCGAGTAAGTTTGGCGTTAGGAGATGGTTGAAGATGCATTTGTGTGAAGAAAATACAATTGGACAATACAATTCTGATTGAGCGCCTTGCTCCTTCTATCTGTTTGTTCTCCTGTGCTCGTGGAACATGGTTCGTTTGCAGGAAGCCCTGAGCATCGGCGGCCCATTGAGGTGGCTTTAAAGTTGAATGTCCCACGAGTTCTGGAACTTTAACTCCGTTTCTTCCGAACACGCTTTCCCTCCGAGATATTCCACGTGTCCCTGCGAATTCTTAAACACTCCTTCTCTTCCGAATGTTCCACTAGAGGTAGTACATTTAAGTTACTGCCAGAGGAATACTGACTCGCGAGAGCACATCAGGGGCAAGCCAAAGCTCCTCTGTCCAAACGTAGTCTCCGTCCCCAACATGAATGTACGAAATGAGTCCGAAGATCCAGATACCAGCACATCTGCAGAACGAAGCACAACGCCAAGCTAAGAGCTTCACTTCACGTGATGTGAAAACCAACCAACCCATGAAGCGGCTGAGATCCAAATTCCAATACGCCACAAACGGCCAAGGAGAATATATTGACCTATATCAGAACCAGCAATTTCATAGTCCAAGACACCAAGATTATCTGGCCGAATCAAAAGCATATGGTTGATTGATTTGTGAATTAAGGTACACAGGACTCCGGCCTTATAACCTTAACGTCGACAATGCCGGCGGATAAAGCAGGACCCCACACACCGACATACCCGATCCGAACACATTACCAACAAACTGCTTGCTGGGCCGGGTCTCGCTACCGAGATACCATATCCGTGCTGTGCCTCACGCCTCACAAAATAAGTATTTTCTTGGTGTCACGGAGAACAAGATCTCGCCCTTCCATTTGTGCATCCCTGATTCCCTTCCTCCCCGACGATGACGTGATAGGCTACACAGCCCCGCGAGGCGGCATTCACAGACACCACTCACTCTTTTACCGCACTGTACTTTTCTGCCGATGCCCGTGGCGTCAGTCACGCCCGCTGCAGTGTCAGCCTGACTTATCCGCACACTCAGCCGGGCCCAGAGGCCAAGAGTTCCAATTCCATCTCAGCCTCTTAGGAATGGATTTTTCCATGAGAGCCAAGGCGATTGCAGATCTCGCCTGAAGTGACAGGACCGGGGTGAAGAGGAATCTCACTCTTCATCGCCGCCCCCTCCCCCTAAATACACACAGAACGTAGCCCGTGTGGCGTCAACGCCGCCTGCTCGTAGAACACGCCTCGCCTGCTTCAGGGAATTTCAGGGGTGCATGGCGCACCTGCCGTCGCTCATGCTAGGGTGTCACCAGTTGAGGATAGCGTGTTGTGGAGGCGTAAATACTTTATTGCCTTCCTCTCAACATTTATCTTACTTTAAATTTACTTCTCCTTGACCACCACCATGAACTATCACCGCCTTTGACATGAGCTTCTTCGCCGCAGAGGGCACGGGTATTCATTCGAGGGATTGCAGGCGGATGAGGACCGCGGGAATCGCCTGAGGACGAAGCGGCCAAGCAATTCTTGCCCTTGCAAGAACCAGAACCCGGCATCGCAGATCTGCGCAGGATGTCGACCTCGTCCAAATCGTCCGCGAGGTCGGTCAGGTCGATCAGGTCGGTGGTCAGCGACTATGGGACCATTGCGCAGTCCGACACCGACAGCGACAAGTCCTCTGATGTCTCGCCCCATGGAAACGACTACGATGGAGGCTCTGGCAGCGAGGTGCCGTACGACCGGGCGAGAAGACGCTCATTTATCGAGGAAGACGAGGATCCGCTGCAAATCGAATTGCCTGTCAAGAAACCCAAACCGGTCACCTGGAGCAGTTTGCCGCACAAAGGTCAATTGGCCATCTTGACTGCTGCTCGACTTGCGGAACCCCTGGTCCAAACTTCTCTCCGTGTGAGTATATGCAGGAACCATATGCATGATATCATGCTGACCACGTGATAGTCATATTTGTTCTACCAACTAAAATCTTTTGACAGGAGCCTTCCGGATTCCGTTATTGCTTCACAAGCGGGAATAATGCAGAGTTCTTTTGCTGCGGCCCAACTTTGTACTGCGATGTAGGTGTTGGCGAAGAAGTTCTATGTGTAATTGTGTCACTGACCATATTACGCAGGTTATGGGGTCGCGCTTCCGATCATGGAGGACGAAAAAGAGTGCTTCTGATTGGCCTTTCTGGTACAATGATTTCGTGTCTTGGATTCGGATTCGCGACCACTTTTTGGCAAGCTTTGATTTTCAGGATGCTGGGAGGTGCTTTGAATGGAAATGTTGGCGTTATGAGGACTATGGTTAGTGAAATTGTTAGGGAGAAGAAGTGAGTTCCAGAGATGATGTTCCAGACGAGGTCTAATAAGCGCAGGTACCAGTCAAGAGCTTTTCTGATTCTCCCAATGTGTGCGAACATTGGCGTTATTATTGGCCCAATGATGGGAGGTTTGACCTCTGATCCCGCTGGGAATTATCCCAGCATTTTTGCAGGCATCAAATGGCTGGAAAAGTTCCCATACTCGCCCCCGAATATTATCAGCGCAATTTTCTTGTTTTGCGCTGCATGCTTTATATTTTTTGGTCTCGAGGAGGTAAGTGACCAAATTCGATCGAGGGGGAAGCCGACTGACAATGTAGACCCATGAGCGATATGCTCAAGAGCACGATCGTGGCGTCCACTTTCGCCGAAAAGTGGCAGGATCTCTCAGAAGAATTTTCAAAGGAGAGAAATCAGGATACCGAAGTTACGAATCCCTACTCGACTCCCACGATGGATCGGTCACTGAGTACGAGCCTCCGAAACCCAAGAAACACATCGCACCACGCTACAAGAACAAACTTCCTTTCCGTCGAATCTTCACTTATAATGTCATTTGTACATTAATATGTCACGCGCTCATGGCTGGCTCAATGGGCACGTTTAATAATGTTTGGTACTCGTTCCTCTCGACACCGGTTTACGACCCGGCCAAGGCACCACCAGATTACACACCTCACCCCCCATTTACGTTTACCGGAGGAATTGGGCTCCCTCCGCGCAGTGTTGGCTTTGCCATGGCGATTTTGGGCTCCATCGGCATTTCAATGCAATTGTTCATATATCCCTTGGTCAACGACCGACTCGGCACCGTTCGCTCCTGGCGAATTTTCCTTTACTGCTTCCCATTCGTCTATATACTGGCTCCCTTACTCTCTCTGATCCCCTCCACGACTCCACCGCCTTCTCAGAAGACTGGCTGGCCGATTTGGATTTCAATCACTAGTGTACTTTTCCTACAGGTTGTCGGGAAAACGTTCGCTTCGCCTGCTACGACAATCCTAATCAACAATTGCAGTCCACATCCTAGTGTTCTCGGGACGATACATGGAATTGGTCAGACTGCGAGCAGTGCAGCAAGAACTGTTGGCCCCGCCTTGGGAGGATTCCTTTACGGCCTTGGGCTGCGGAATGGGGTTGTTGCTGCTGTGTTCTGGGGCTTGGCGATTGTTGCTTCGTTTAGTTGTGTGGCGAGTAATTGGGTCAGAGAAGGCAATGGCCATGAAATAAGACTAGAAGGTGACGACGAAGCAGAAGCTGAGGCGGAAGCCGAAAATAGACCTTTATTGAGGTCGTTATTAGAGTTGTAGTAGCTTAGAGTAGAATACGTTAATAAGGCCGCGAGGTGGATTTACCTGTGAGTTATACATAGAAGTCCTCGGACAAGCTACGGTGTCAACAATAGTCTCACAAATATGACCAGGAAATCTCGGCATCTCGTTTTAAAGTATCCCCAACCTCCTCCTCAAAGTGGGATGAAAATGTGCTGCAGCTGCCAAGGGGCGAAACACGTGACTCGCCTCGCCACCTACTTTCAAACCAGATTGTACACCGCTCCTCTCATGCCTACTGCTACTGTACGCGCCATGTACAACTCCGGCGCTCCCCAAACCGAACGCATAAGAGTCTCGCAAGTGTCCATAAGCGGGTCGTGCCGTCAGGCTAATATTCGTTGTCACACGGGCGGTCCACAGATCAGTCTCCGATCTCCACACCGCCATCTATCCAAATCTGGCCTTGCAGGAACGACCCCACTGCTAGGTACGAACCGAGGAGGAAGGCACCTATGACTTGGTGCATTGATATGCAGGCTAGCCGAAGGATAATCCAGGAAGGTGGAGGGGAGACCGTTGGCTGGCAGTGAGTGGCTGGGCCTGGTCTGGTCTTTGTTGATATATGCATTGCATGCCGTAGTGGGAAAAGGAAGATGTGTCTCACCGTCTTGCTGAAAGACGATACCATATATCTTGCCCTCTTCCCCCTCCCTCTTGTCTCAGCTCAGAAATTCTCTCTTCAGCTTCTCTTCCTTCTCATCTTCAGTTCCTTCCAAGATACCCATTCTTCCCGAAAAACTTCGTACAATCACTCTTTCAAAATGGCAGCAGCAGTTCTCCAGCCCCTCCAATCCCTCTCCCCCAACCATGAAATCATGGCCCCTTCCCCCATCTCCCCCAACGCTTCTCGTCACGGCCGAGGGCGCCACGGCGGCAGCGTAGCAAAAGGGAACAAGGCTCGCGGCCGCGGCTACTCCATCGTCGACGAGCGAGACACCATGGTTTCCAAGGCCCTGACCTGGGTCCTGAAACGCACAATCGAAGAAGGCTCCGAGCAAGACGAAGGAGAAGAGAAGCTCGTGGCGGACTCTGAAGGCTTCGTCAATTGCGAAGACCTGGTCCGTTCTCCCCCTTTCCAATTGCACACATCACTTCACTAACACGTGCTCCCCTTCAGCTCGCACAACCGCACCTCTCCGCCCTACAAGTCACCTTCCCAGAACTCCAATCCCTGGTCGCCTCTCCGGCCTCCAAATCCCGCTTCTCCATGAAACTCAAGCCATCTTCCACGGAAGAAGAAGACCTCGACGCCTCCGACTACCTGATCCGCCTGGCGCCGTCCGCCGCCCCCACATCCCCGACCTCTGCATCAGCACCAAAACTCACGCTCCTCTCCCTCACAACCGAAGACCTGCCGGACTTGATCGTCTACGAAACCTCCTACGCAAACTACCCGCTCATCTTGGCATCCGGCTGCATCAAGCGCGCCGGCGGCCAAGCCGTCCTCTCGTTCTCGCCACTCACCATCGCCTCCGACGGGTCCGAAATCAAGGCCGCCTCAGACGCCGACGTAAGCATCTATCTCCCGCTCCGCTCGTTGATGGAAGCGCAGCCCAAGATCACCTGGTCTCGCCTCGAGAACGGGCAGATCGTAACCGAGGGCGATGTCAAGGGCGAGGTGAGCAAGAAGTACTGGAAGAAGGTTGTGGCCAGGAGGGCGGATATTGGTGTTTTGTATGAGGATGGAGAGGTGCGGAAGGAGGTCCCGGTTGGATTGAGGGGGAAGGGCGTTAAGGCTAAGAAGGGTGGGAAGGGGAAGGGGAAGGGCGGGCTGAAGGAGATGAAGACGAGGAGCGAGGATGAGGGGACTGCATCTGACTAGATTAGCTTATTTTTAGATTCTTTGTATTCGGTTTTTGGGGGTGGGGGTCTGGTTGAATACCCGTTTTGTCGGTGGAAGGTCTCGTGCGATAAAAGCATGTGTGTAGAGAGCAACCGGTAGATTTATACAGCGTATTGTTGCTGAGCCTGTTCCCAAACGCCTGAAGTCCCGGGGTATCATCCATCCATCATAATTCATCATCGTCCGTTTCGCCATCATCAACGCCAAGATCCATGCTCGTATCAACACCCAGATCCGCCGTGGTATCATACACGCTCTCAACCCTACCATTCTCTGCATCCATCTCGGCAAGTCTCTCCTTCCTCTTCAGATAGAATCTCTCCAAACAGTCCGTCCTCTGCTTCTGAGTCCATCCTTCCACCACAAACGCGAACTCCGTAGCGCTGGCAAACCCAAACGTCTTGGCCATTGTACAAAATTGCCTCATCATAACGCCCTCCGGAGGATGAAACCTATACTGGATCTTCCCCAGCGTCCCCAATCCCGCCCGAGACTCAGAAAACAGTCGTTCTTCGCCATAGTCGACATCATTCCCAGCCTCTTCTGCCCGCCTGCTAAGCTCAGCCTCGACTCTTGATGAACCCACGACTTCGGAATTCTCGTGCGTATACTCCACCCCAGCAGCGGCGAGAATCGCTTGGATAGCATCGGTTTTGGGCTTCTCCTTCTTTATCTTCTTCTTCGGGTCTTCTCCTTCGGTGATAAGAGCAACGAGCTGTGACATTGCTGCATCCCCTTTGCTATCATCTTCGACCTTTAGAGGGTTGTCCTCGTCGTTCAGAGCATCATCCATGTCGAAGTCCATGATCTCGACGCCTCGCCTGGCTTCTGCGACGTTGGTTTTGTTGACGATATCTCTGAGAACAATATCATCTCCATGGAATGTCAACAGATTGTCGAGGCCAAAGATCTCGCCTTTTTGATCCTTTGCGTTTTGAACGCCTTTGAAATATCGACGTTCTGTGGAGGCATTGTAACCGATGTTGGCCTGCTGCTGTTTGTAGATTTGGCGAGCGTAGACTATCTCTTCTACTGTTCCGGCAGACACCAATCTGTAGACTTCGACATCGCGGAGTTGTCCAATACGATATGCTCGATCTTGAGCTTGCAGGTCATAACTCGGATTCCAATTAGGGTCGAAAATCACGACTTTATTAGCGGAGGTAATGTTGAGACCAACGCCTGCAGAAATTAGCGGATGCAGCAGGATTCAATCATTTCACTAACCTCCAGCTTTTGTCGAGATTAGAAACACAAACTGCCCAGGATCGGAATTGAAGTCATCAACTGTCTTTTGCCTATCTTCATTCGGCATTGATCCACTGAGAAAGCTGACATTGTAACTCGTATGCTTGAACAAATGCTCCAACATCTTCAGAAGCCTAACGCTGTGTGAGAAAATGAGAACTTTGTCCCCATTCTCATGCCAGAACTTGAGGAGTTTCTTGAGAATTTTCCACTGATCTTGTTAGCAATTGACCCACAGTTCAATTAACTAATTTACCTTTCCGCAGAAGTCAGGATTGGAAAGATTAAACAGGGATTCTCGGTTCGCATAGAGCTCTTCCCATCGATCCGGCACCATCTTCTGCAGAAACTCCAAATCACGTTGTTGCTTCTCACCCGCATCCAGAGAGTTCGGAATCAGAAGTGCGAGGTGATTTGACAACTTCTGCAGTGTCATGATAACAGGGAATACAAGTGCCTATTCCAGATCAGAGACGTTTTTCATCTGAACAGAGAACCTGCCTGCCACTTCGTATTGGAGTCTGGTGTATGGGTATAGCAGCACCATCCCTTTTTCTTCCCCGACTCACATTCGCACATTTCCGAGGACTCTTTGACAATCTCAACAAGATCACTCTCGAGGAAAAGTTCATACGCAGATTTTTGGAGATCAGTGAGCGGGCAGAACACTACCTTGTCCGTCTTTCTTGGCAATTGATGAGCAATAAGGCTTTTCATGCGGCGGAGGAAGAACTGCGGCAACAAGTTTTCGACCAGCTTTTTCGCCGTTTGCCGTGCTTGCTTCAATTGATGGTATGTGGCGTCATGGCTACGAGAGTTAGTGAAAGAAGAGAAAGGGCGTTTGCACTCACGATTGCCCTATCCTCAATGGATCACTGATACTCGATACCCAGGTAGACAAAGGCCCAAAACGGCCTGGATTCGTCCAATTCAGGAGCGTCCAGAGTTCTTCGTACTTGTTCTGGATCGCCGTTCCCGTGAGACCGATCCTACACAATGCGTTTAACTCATTCATGGCTTGCGTCGTTTGCGATTTCCGGTCTTTCAGAATGTGGCATTCATCTGCAACCACACAGTCCCATACGACCATGTTCACTTCGCTCTTGTGGTAAAGATAGGTTGTGTAGGTAGTGATGACAACCTCGAGCCGTCCTGACATAGCAGCTTGAAGAACTGCCTCTCTCTCAGGAGCAGTTCCGTGGTATTTATCGACTTGCCACCAGCCCCACCGTGCCAGCTCGTTCTTCCAGTTGTCGATTAGAGACCCAGGGCAGACAATCAGTACTCTAGGGTACCATGGTTTGGATCGAGATCTTCGCATCTTTCGCATACGCTTTGCATCCCTCTCATCGCCAGTTTTGCCGAATGCCGCGGTCAAAAATGCAGCAACTTGTACAGTCTTGCCTAAACCCATATCGTCGCCAAGAATACCACCCTTTTGGTACACGAATAACTCGTGCAGAAAGGCAACGCCGTCGACTTGATAATCTCGCAAATACTGGGCAATGGAAGCCGGTATAACACCCAGAGAGTGCGGCAGTTCGATATCCTTATACGGCCTCGAGGTCTCGACAGTGGGAGGGAAGTCTGGTCGTTCCTCCAATTCCGCAAGCATCTCATCATCCGAGAATTCAATCTCATCGTACCTTGGCGGAAGACGGAGGCCTCCCTCAGCCAACTTATGATAGTTCGATTCGAACTCCTTTCTGCGTTGATGCAGATAATCGGGAATATCCTCGTCCATCTCATAGTCCGACTCTTCGCCCCATATCCTTTGCTTCTTGGCCGCTGGTTCCTCTCCATTATCCTTGGCCTTTTTCCTACTTGCGATTGCATCTTTCGTCTTCGTAGCTAATTTCTTCTTCGTAGCAGCTGTTTGCTTTCTCTTCTCCGATTTCCTGTTCTTGAATTTCTCGTAGATATCCTCGTCATCCGAGAAGAGAGACTTCTCCATCTTCCCTTTCCCCTTATCTAATGGTTTGCCATCTAACTTGCGCTTCGGAGAGGGTCTCACATCTGGTATCTCGACATCGGAGTCGGTATCGCTTTCGGATCGGGCTGGGCCTACGATTTCTGAAGATGTCAGTAGATGCGCCGGTCTGCTGCGAAGGGAACTTGCTTTCGATGTACTCATCCGTCCTCATCCCTCGACCGTTTCTAGCTACGATACCATCTTCGTCGCTGGTCTGCTCCTCCCGGTAACCTTCTCCACGCGCCATTTGCGCCATGATGATGGGTTAATGGTTGATGCGAGCCACGTGGTTGACGCGGGGTTTGATGTCGCGATGTCACGGGAGGCGCGTTTCGGCTTCGGGAGATCTTCGGAATGCCGAGGGGAGTGAATAACATAATAGGGTAAACCCTATGCATAGCCTTTAACTTCTTTTATCTTGTTACTTTTTAATGAACTATTTAGCCCTTAACTCCCCGATTTTATAAAGACTTGAGCCTAATAAGAGTATATTATAATAATATAATTAATTAATCTAATATTATAATAAATATAATAAGAGCCCTTATAAACTTTATAATATTATATAAATTGAGTTTATTTGTTTGTATTATTATATTACGTGACTATAAAGATAGAACGGTTTTTTATAGCTATTAAATAAGACTTAGCTTTGAGTTAGCTAGTGACTTTTTATACTAGGAAGCGTACTTCTGAGTACTTACTTTAAACGTCGTCCACCAGGTCCCAATAATTTTAGACCATTCCATGCAATGGCAGCCACGTGACGAGGATGTATCTGACCTGATATTTGCCTATTAAAATGCAAGGCGAAGGAGTAGTCGTACAAGCCGGGCGATTTCACGCCCGACGACGCCCATTTTCCGTTGGTCACGCGAGCGAGGACTGTTAGATATCACCGCTCTTCCCCCTCCATTTTGTTTCAATTTCAGTTATTCGTCCTGTAATACTTCCTCTCTACTGGGGGAAGCTGCGATACCCTACGATTTGCATCGGGCAGCGCTGGAAACCACGCGGTTTTCCTGTATTATACCATTTTCAACATACACAATCAAGAATATGGAAAGACGAAAAGCGCATCTCTACGAGTCTGTGGACATAACAGTTGATGGTGACCTGGATGAAAGCCCATACCAGTATGTGAGGTCCAACAGCATAAAACATTCAATTTCTTACTTGATTCCCAAGACCCTCCCAGGTCGAAGGTAATCTTACGACGATGGAAGGACACAGCACCAGCGACGAAAGCAGCGAGCCAGCGAGCTCAAGCTCCAACTCGCGAAGCCCGCATAGTTCTACATCCAGCGTACCACCCCGTGCAGAAGACTGGGACCGTACTCTTCGTCATATTGGACTCGAGGACTTCGGGAAAGCCCTCGAAAATGCTGCGAGGGCAGTATACCCGAATGGCAAAATCTCAAGGTATTCTCGGGTGTATGTACTTCTGATTTGCTGGGAGACACAAGACCCGAAATTACCTGTAGAGTGTGAGATACGTAGACTTCGCAATGTGCTAGAAAATGTCTATAACTACGATGTGGAGGAATTTCGAATCCCTGACTCCGAAAGTCATGCAGAAGTCAGCGAAAAAATCAATTCGTTTGTCAAAGTCGGCGGCAATAGCAATAACGATCTTAAAATTGTGTACTATGCCGGTCACAGCAGACTTTCACGCACAAAGGAGCTCGTCTGGTCTACGTAAGTGTTTGCTTTATAATACTTTTTGGGGTCTTTCATATCAACTAACGCCAAACTAGTCTACCGGAAACGAAGAACGCAAAGTGCTCGATAGTGATATGGAGCGGGATACAAAGATCTTTGGAGATGGCCCGGAGCGACGTCTTAATTCTGTTGGACTGCTGTTCATCTGGTGCGGCCCACGCTTCTGAGGGAAGGGGCATCACCGAAGTGATTTGCGCATGTCCATTTGATTCCAAAGCAAATGGAGTGGGACAATATTCTTTCACACAAGCGCTCACTACCGAACTGAGACTTCTCAGCAAGAAGCCAGGCTTTTCCGTTGGCGAGCTCTATACCTCCGTTTATACCCGAATGCAATCCTTCCTAGCACAGGGAATTGAGAATGAGCGCTATCCACCTCCCGTTCACTTTCCCTTTACACAAGAGGAATTCTTCAGGAGAAGCATTGTGTTATCCATCCAGGATCCCCAAGTTCGCCGGGGGAGAGAATCGGAAGCCAACAGTTCCAAACGACTTAGCTTTGAGAATTCGGATGAGCTATGTGGACCAAAGAAGCGCCATTGCCTTGAAGACCTTTCAAGATCAAATACTGAAGAGTCGACTCCACGACTGGATGAATCCAACGCACAGAATGTCCAGGGTGGTGGTACGAGAGCATCGACAACACCTCAAAAGCAGGGAGGTAGTAAGCAAGAAAATGGCTGCAATGATGTGCGGAGAAGCATCCCTAAAGACTCGTTGCATCCACTGGATGCACCCAGAGCATTATTTGCAGTGCGATTCAAGGACGATCTACGAGCCGAAGACCTATCCGTGGAGCTTTTTAGGGACTGGTTGAGAGCAATTCCAGCAGCGGCGGAAGAAGTTTGCATTGAAGCCAGTTTCAAATGTTTCTCGACACTTGTTTTCATTACCGTACCGCTTTCAATGCGAGCTTATATTCCAGACAATCCAGCAATTTTCTACCTTGGCACTGTTCTGTCACCAATAACACTGCCATTGAAGAAAAGAGAACTTGATTCTCTACAAACTAATGATGAGGTGGTCTCTCACACTGAGCTCAAAGAAGACAAAGACATTACGAAACCAGCTTCACGACACCCGAGGCACGACTCGACTGCAAACAAAACTTTTCCATCTCGTCCAAGAGATAAGTTTTACTCTCTGGCCGGTAACGCGGGAGGTTCAGAGGACAAACTGAACGACAATGGCAACGACGGTATAGTCATCGCCTCTCCGGTAATGTGGGACAATTATGATTTCCTGGACTCTCAAAGGTCGTCTCCAGGTCTTCCCGATCCCTGGTCTCCTGGGAGGTCAGAGATCTCTGACGAGGCTTTCAAACGTGTTGGGCTCTCTAGCCTCGAGAGTGTTGATAGCACTGCCCGAGAGCATCCACTCTATCACAATGTTTCCCCTCACTCCGATGGACTCTACCACTGCCCATTTGAAGACGACCCGAAAGCGAACTGTATGCACAAGCCCGAGAAGCTAAAGTGCAACTATGAGTATGCTTACTTCCCCCTAACCCGACGATACCAATACTAACAACCAGGTGCTAGTAAATTCGTAGACTCCCACTTGAAGCCATATAAATGTAAGGTTTCAACGTGTAAAGATCTATGTTTCTCGTCTACAGCTTGTCTGCTCCGCCACGAACGCGAGGCCCACGCAATGCATGGACACGGTGACAAGCCATATCTCTGCACTTATGAAGGGTGTGAGCGAGCCGTTCCTGGAAACGGGTTCCCCCGCCTCTGGAATCAACGGGATCACATTAAACGCGCTCACAATGACAAAGACCGGCAGCCCTGTATATCTTTCCCCACCCCCCCAACCTCAGGGTCCTCTACCCGGGGCAAGAAGCGCAGAGCAAGTGGCATCTACTAGTTTTTCGAGAGTTGTGCCAAGAATTTGGGGGAAAGATTGCTACTTCATCGGGTATAAACCACCCGTCACAGGAGCCTAGCCTGGTTGAACGCTACCAAGAAACACAACGGATATTATTGGCTAAGCTCAAAAATTCGAAGGACGCTGATAATATGGCCTTGCTACGCAATGCGAATGATTGCGTCAAGGAAATGGTTCAGACGACTTAACGGATCAACTCTGCTCCAGAGATAGAGTAGAGCTTACTACAAGCTAGTAGCCGTAATATGACAGTTCTATCACAATATCAAGTTAATCCCACCCACAATCCGCTGCAACAGCATGCAAGTAACAAGTTCACATTTTAAGCAAGGGAAAAACCATGGGCAGTGCTTCGGGTCCCAAGAGTGGGGCTAATGGAGGGATACTGCACACAGGGCAATCCTCTTTCTCTTGTTCGTCCATGGTTGGGGTTGTTTGTGATCGGCCGGGGCGCCTGTAAGGTTAACGGATGTCCAGTTGAACGAGGATGAAAGGAAGCTAGGTAAAACTCTCTAAGCTTGTAGATGTGGTAAATTGTTTTGAATGAGTGTGTCCGTAAACGTCGGAGATGGATGAGGCGCCACGCAGTAAGCGAAGCACGCTAATGCCTCGTCCGCATCAGGCAACTTCTTCCCGACTCTTCGCTTCTACTTTCACTCTCAGACTCTCACAAGCAGTGCCAATATCAACTTGCGCCTAAATACACAGACAACCGAGGAAACCCAGAATTTGTGTCGGTGATCTGCCCCTGACTTCGGACCCCAAGGGCTGATGAGATTTTCAAGCTTTCATTCACGACTTGGATTACGGAAGCACTGTCGTGGCGACGATCATAGCACCAATCCAAAGCATACAGTAACTCTCCATCAGAGCTATCTCTTGCTGAATACTCCTCCCCGCAAGGGTCCTTAGGCTGCTGTTTGCTGAAACAGAGTATTAGGGCACCTGGTTGAAGGGATTGGGTTCTCCTACTTTTATTGCCGCAAGCTGGATATCCTGCGAAATTCAAGAGTGTAAGTGGAAATTTGCATCTGCATCACTTAATATTCTCACATGATTCCCTTTTCAGTTTCCTTTGCGTGCTTATAATCTATAATCTCTCGGCGTGTCCTTCTCGGTCCGCTCGAGGTCTGAAGTAAAAGATCATTGTGGACGAGACTTCACCCCTTGCTTGCGCAATCTCTAATTCTGATACTGACAAATATCTTTTTGTCTCTGGTCTTCTTTGCCCCTGGGGACCACAGGGATTGATAATTTTTTGTGCGACTTTTGTGGAGCCTTGCCTTCATGAGCCCTGTTCACTCGACGAAAGTATTTGAGAATTGCCTGTCTTCTGGCGTGTCGAGTACGGTATTAACTCGGCATCACTTGCTGACTTTCCCAGCTTTCATCATGACAGTCCAGGACTTGAAGCTCTACACCTCGCTCCGCTACGATCCACTCCTCACCTCGCTTTCAATCAACACTGAATCATGGGACGAACAACTCAAAGAACCAAGCCCCTTTTACATCCTCACACATCATCGAGATCGCATACTACAAGCTGCCGATCACTTCGGTTGGACAAAAGCAGCTGATTCAATCCGGGGCTCTGACGGCTTCGCTCACCTGCTGAAGAAACTCACTGAATCCATCGACACAAAATCCCCAACGCCATTGAGGATTAGGGTATTGTTGAGCCACGATGGCTCAATTGGCGTCGAGTCGTCTCCAGCTGCACCAGTGACAGAAACGAACTTGTTTCCAAAAAGGATCCCTCCACCAAAGGCATCCCCTCAGATGAAGGTTAGCCCTCTCACTGGTGGTGCTTTGACTCTGGGAAACGATGATGCCGTTCATGGAGATCCACCGATGACAGGAGCATGGGATGTTATCCCGGATAGTGTGAGGACGAAGCCGTCGCCGTACACCAGTTATAAGACTACGAATAGGGATATGTACGGTGCCGCCAGGGAAAGAGTTGGGATCAAGGACATGATGGAGAAGAGGGAGGTTCTGATCGTCAGTGAGAAAGATGGGGACATTATGGAAGGCAGCTTGACGAGTGTGTTCTTCTGGAGGAATGGGAAATGGACGACTCCGCCGGTATCAAGTGGTGGTCAGGTGGGAACTACGAGGAGGTGGGCTCTTGCAAAGGGGTACGTCTGAATTGCTTTTGCAGAATTTACTCTAATTCAAACCCAGACTTTGTGTTGAAGGGGTTGTGACAGTCGACTCTCTGAAAGATGGAGAAGAATGCTGGATCAGCAATGGTGTGAGAGGCTTCCAATGGGGAAAAGTGAAGCTGTCATGAGGCTGGTGTAGGACGGAGCAAATGGTTGATCCTGGCTTCCCTGATCCCTCGCTCCACAGAAAGGGTCTCTCTACAGAACTACTACAGCACATAAAAGTTTTCACATGACTTCCGCTTTGCACTCGGATCATGATATATCGATGTTGTGTCACAATGACAAAGTTTTCAGCTCGTCAGCACGGCTTGATCAGGACTAGCTCAGCTCTCAAGGAAATTCACTCTCCGTACTCATAGAGGCCGTTCCCACAGCCCACAGATCCTTCTGCTTTGCATCCCCGAACGCCCGCATGTTATCGTTCGGTCCAGATCGCCATTGCAAGCCGAGTACGCACCGGGGGTTGGGGAGGGAGTTTCTTTGGCCACGATGTCTCATATCAGCTGCATCAGGTGCAACTTCCAACGCAAATACTTTCCTTCAGCCTTGTCACATCTCATTTTCTCGCACACTGCAGCCGGAGGGAGGGAGTAGGGCTGAGAAGTCAGATCCGGGAATCACACCTTAGGGTCGAGAATCTCAACTGACACCAATGAGAGCTTCAGTGAAGGATCTTATCTTCCTGGTGATTATTCTCACCGCTGGTTGCCATTTAGTTCGAAGGGCCCTTCTCTGTCCACTCTGACTAGATGAGCTGTTTTTCATTGAAGACTTGCTGTCCAGCGCCAGCCACACGACAGCCTTGCCTTGCCATTTCTTCCTCTTCAGCCACACCATGCGACATCACTCAATCACATCCACCTTGCTGGCCATAGGAGCTCACCTGCTGGTCATCTGGATATGTGAGGACACCATCTTCTTCGATCGATGCCTCCTCCAGCCAGCCTCATCCACAAGCCTCCTCCAGAGGCCTTGCCCAAGCCGTTGCCAAGCGGTGGCCAGGGCTGTCAGCGGGATGACAAGCATTCCGGAACATTTCGTGGGGGTCCAGGATCAGACCAAAGATCGTGCAGCGCTCATGTCTTTGGACAGAACGTCATCCGCAACAAAATTAGAAGTACATCAGGTACCGGAAGGACGAGTCTTGAATCTTGATCTCGAGACGAGATCAGCCGCAGCAGAACGCTCTGTGTGGTGCGCAGCGACCAAAAAGCAGGATGGTTGTTCTTCCAGGCCCTCGACCCCGCTGTTACGGCCCAAGAACGAGGAGGGTTTCAGTGGCAGCGCATCCGATAGGGACGTTAAGCCCAGAGACCAATCCACAGCGATCTGATTGATACACATTCACATCTTCATGCGTGCAGCTCCTGTTCCTGCTCTTTTATGCTTTTGATAGGGTGTTAGTCTCTTTGGAACCTGCCCCTTCCATGTGGAGGGTGCTGCAATTGGCGAGAAGATGTGCTCCATTGGGCGTATCAGAGAGAGACAGAGAGAGGGCTGAAGACGTGGCTTGTGACGTCAAAGAGGGTGCGTTGCAGCTAAGGTGCTGTACTGTGCAAGTGCGAGTTGATCACCGGCCACAAGAACTAGAAGGTAGAGATAACGGGTGATGTAGTATCGCGACCAACATACGGTCAGGTTACTCTTTGAACTGGCACAGAAATGGAGTTTATTTAAGTACAAATTGGGTTTTGTATTGCCTTTCTTGACAATCTTGTTCACAGCAAGGGCCGTGCTCGGCTGCCTCTCCAACGGGGCGCGGCCGTCCCGTGTACTTCTCCTTCCATTTCCCTCTCTGCCCTATCCGCTCACCTGCCTTGGACAATTGAAACACATGGCGAAATTCCGCATAGCCACGGCCCCGCTGAGCACTGCCGAAGGGGGCGATTGCAGTCCTCTCTTGGCAACGCAGCGAATGGCGGCGCCGAGAGATCGTACCTCGCTAGCAACACGTTGTGGAGAAAGCTTGCTTGCCCATGCCAATACTTACTGGAGCCCTGTATCGAGGCGCCACCGGTACAGTCCCGTACAGTACCGTATCTCGCCCGTCGTCCCCGTCACAGGGCCCACCAGGGGCCGGCCCCAGTCTGCCTGTTTGCCAGTGCCCCAATCGAAGAAGACAAGCTTCAGCCGGGCGGGAAGCAACAATGACGCCGCCTGCTGAAGCTCGAAACACAAGCCACCAGGTTCAGCTCACTGCGAAGCCTGGTCTGGCGTTTGTGCCTCTTGCAGCTTGCTGAGTCTTGTCGGCACTGGCAGTCACCATGCAGCAAACAGCTCCTCCCTCAGCTGCCAGATACAGTAGGTGGATAAGTAGATAAGATGGCTTCCCCCTCTCCCCTCTCCTCTCCCCCCTCTCCCTCCAAGGCCTTTCGTCTCATTCAACCATACCCCTCCAAAGCTCATTCAAAATTCTTAACAAAACATTCTATCTTTAACACCAATCATTAACACTACCCATCATGGCTGGTCTCAAGGGATTGCACAAGGTTAAACTCATCCCTAACCACAACTACAAGAAATCAGGCCCCAAGTCCTATGTCTACCTTCTCAACAGATGGGGCTTCAAGCCCACCCAGCCTGGTCCATACTTCCAGATGAACAAGGTATCTCAGTCTGGTCACCACGGTCTCATGCACAAGATCGGCGGCAAGGCTACAACCTACCAAGTACTGGCGAAAAAGAAGCATGGAACCACCACTGGAGACGCAGAGGCTGGCGAAGTTGGCGCGGAAGACCAGCAAAATGACTCCATGTACCTTTGCCCAGTTTCGATTGGTACCCCCGCGCAGACTGTCAATCTCGACTTCGATACCGGATCTGCTGATCTCTGGGTAAGTGAGACCAATTCTGCTACTTTTGTAGAGCAACACAACCTAATTCTTCTGGTAGGTCTGGTCCACTCTTCTCCCTGCATCCGTCAAATCCCAAGGCCAAGGTCACACAATCTTCGACCCCACAAAATCATCCACATTCAAGAGTGTAAAGGGAGACAAATGGAAGATCTCATACGGCGATTCCTCATCTGCGTCGGGAACGGTTGGCACTGACAATGTTACAATTGGTGGTTTAACAATCAAGAACCAAGCTGTTGAGCTTGCTACTCAGATGTCTGACCAGTTCATTCAAGGAGCTGGTGACGGACTTTTGGGTCTTGCTTTTGGTAACATCAACACTGTTACTCCAAGGGCGGTTGCAACCCCTGTCGAGAACATGATCTCAGAGCAAGATATTCCCCAGACTGCTGAACTCTTCACCTGCAACCTCGGTAGCTGGCGCGATGCCAACGATCCCGACGGAGGTAAGAGCTTCTACACCTTCGGTTACATCGACGAGCCAACAGTCACGGCTTCTGGACAAGAAATTGCCTACACGCCAATAGACAGCTCCCAGGGCTTCTGGATGTTCGCCTCCACTTCGGCAACTGTGAACGGCACGACCGTTGATCAGTCAGGAAACACCGCCATTGCTGACACCGGAACCACTCTTGCTCTTGTTGCTGATGCTACCTGCGAAGCCATCTACCAGGCTATTCCAGGCGCCAAATATGACTCAAATCAACAAGGTTGGGTTTTCCCATCCAAAACGACTGCCGACCAACTCCCAGTTGTCACCTTCGCTGTTGGTGACACTCAATTTGCTGTTCAGAAGGAGGATCTGGGCTTTGCGGATGCTGGAAACGGCATGGTTTACGGTGGTATCCAGTCCAGAGGTAGCATGACCTTTGACATTCTTGGTGACACCTTCTTGAAGGGAATCTATGCTGTAAGTTATACATTCAACTACTTCTTAGACATTAGCTGACCCTTGCAGATCTTCGACCAAGGCAACTCTCGCTTTGGTGCTGTTCAACGCCAAGAGGCGAATCAAAACACTTCTGCTCCCCCTTCTTAGGTGGGCGGTTTGTACCCTACACATGAAGAAATGACTGAATTGCCATGGGACGGTATGGAGGCAAAATGGTTGGCGGATGGATGCTCGTAGCACTTTGACTTTTTGGATAGCAATCGATATTTTTAACCCCGACTGGCAAACCTGAGCTGCGTGACAATGTGAAGAGCTTCGAACGTAGTAAAATGTGAGACTAACCCAAGGAATGCCATGATTCTGCTTACTTCAAGATTTTGCTGGTGACTTCGTTCCCCTCACCCACGACTACAAGATGCTGAACAATCTTTAAGATTGGAGGCGGACTAAGAAACCTCCTAGATAGAGATAAGTTGCACCAAGATGCAAGAGTTGAATGAAGCGAACTAAAAGAATGTCATAAACTAGAAGACGTCGAACAGAATCGAAAGCCTCAAGTCAACTGAAAGGAAGAACCCGTAAGACTGTCAAACGCTGAACAGATATCTAAGTTTCAAATGGCACTAACTACTTCATGTAAGACGTTGTACAGAATTTGACTCGAGACTTGAAGTCAAATTTGAGTGACATTAACGGAAGCACTCTCGGACCGGATGTCTCCTAATTTTGCAACACTCATTTTGTATGGAGAATCACGAAATATTGGCTGATTTGCTCACCGCAACCCACATCCTGTTAAGTGGAAGAACTGTCTAGAAAATTGATAATAGTACAGTGTATATATTCAGATAGCTCTGATCCTCTACCTTCTAATGACGCCTTGTAATACAATATAAAAAAGAACAAAGCCTCCAGGAAGAAAAAGGAGTCATCTATGATCTCCTATCCAGCACAAACTCCCCGCCAATAAATGCAACATAGGCCCCAAACAACGCCCAGCCCATCCACCGTCTTCCGCCAGCCATCACAATCCCAAACAGCACCACGCTGCTAAGCCACATAGCGCTCACTTCAAACGTCGTCACGCCTTCTAATTTCAGACTTGCCAAATCGCCGGAACAGAACAGCACCCCGGCGCACAGTGTGACGAGGAAGATATTCGAGCCCGCCGTGTTCGCGATCACGATTCCGGATTCGCCGCGCTGGGAGGAGAAGATGGAGACGAGTTTTTCGGGGAGGGTGGTGGCGAAGGAGAGGAGTGTGACGCCCAGGAGGGAGGAGGAGAGGTTAAAGGAGGCGGAGATCGTGCTGATTGAGTGGCTGAGGATGTAGCCTGATAAAGAGAGGGCCAGGAAGCCGAAGGTTAGGTTTGCGAGGTGGTAGAGTGTGCTGTGCTTCCTTGGATGTTGCACCTTGGGGGCAGCGTGTAGGTCGACTTCGTCGAACATTTCTTCGGCAAGGGGGCAGGCTTCGGGGTCTTGTTGGGGGAGAGGCACGGGGGAATTCGATCTGGATCTCGATTTCCGTTTTGGAGCAGCTTCGAGGTCGTGCTCATTGTCGTTGCCGAAGAGGGTTGTGGTGCTGGATTGGGGGGAAATGGAGCGATTTCCCTTTTTCTGAAGAGGTACGGAAGATTCGTCTTCATCGTCGGAGTCAGAGGAGCTGTCCGAATCGCTGTCCGAATCACTATCTGAATCGACTGGAGGTGCCACAATGCCTTTGTAGATGGCCCATGCTATTGAAATGATGTATATAATGAATGTGAGGATCAACACGGCGCCACCGAATCGTCCCAGATTTTGGAAGAACAGGATAAAGAGGGTGAGCAGGGTGGTGAGGCCCAGGAGGACACCGGTATAGATCTTGGCGGACCTGTCGAATGTTGTATTCGTTGGGGAGAAAATAAGGCCTAGGGAGAAGGCACCGAGGATATTCGAGATGGAGGATCCGACGATGTTTCCCATCGCCAGGGGGGATTCATGTTGAGCGATGGCTGCAATTACAACAACCAGCTGCGCATCATGTCAGCATTTCCCTTGCAGATGCGATTGAAATGTCCATACCTCTTCCCATTCAGCACCAGCTGTCAAAAGAGCGATCAGAGTCGGCGGAATCCGCAGGCGCTCAGCGACCTTGGCAGTATGGTCGACGAACTTGTCGGCACCGAACTCGAGAACAAACAGGCCCCCAATGAAGGAGGCGATATTGAAGCATACATTGTCGTAGTCGATCATGTTGAAAAGAGTGTCATTGCGTGTGGAGCGCAGAGAGAGGAGAGGTCTGGTAGGGAGAAGACATTATTATTTAAGAGCGCGCGTCCAAATTAGGAGTGCCACAGACCATTTGGGGCTGGGACTATTGGCTTTGCGGAGCAAGACGAACCACAAGGGGCCAGAATGACGCAGATGCGCACACGAGGAATCGTGCCCCGTATCCTCACAAGTGTTGAGGTGCTGCTCTTTGCGGCGTGTTTCGTGATTGTTTTCATATAAACTCTCATCCTGTCTCCTGAATGTGGCAGGGGAACGAGGCGGGTAATTCAAACCTGCCCCGCGAACGTTTGTCAAAAGTTGCAATCCATGGCTTCATCGAATCACCATGCTGGACATCAGACGGCAATTGTCTCTGATCGCTGACAGTCGGAATTGGAATTGCTTGTTTGGTGAACGAAGCCGATAAAGGGGTCAGCCCGCGAGGCACATCCTGCAGAGAACCCCCACCTTCAAAAGCTTATTACAGTCGACCAGTGACAGTTTTCGAAACATTTGTAGTTCAGAACGACTGAAAACCGATTCTAAGACCTTGTCAAGTCCTGGATGCTGCCTGTTTACATTTCCAAACCCGGAGGGTATTTCGGGACACTATCGCGGGCAAAGTTCCGAGTGTTTCTGCTCCCTCAGGAAAATCGATAGTGTTGTGGTGTTCTAGATCATCGTCTGATTTGCTGCATCTTGTGCCTGCAGCTGTATTAGCTGTGGCGTTGGTCCGAAAGCCCCTGGACTGGCCTGCCGAACTTGGCGGTCGATATTTATTGTCCGACCTGCATCATGCCCAAATGCCGTCCAGTCTGCACAGAAGCCATATATGAGAGCATTTGGCCGGCCAAAGCCTCGAAGAGTCTAACCCTGTGTATGGTGGCCCGCAAGTTGCGCCTTCCCATATGGCACCATGCTGCGGCTAACGACCTCGGAATATACTTCACTGGCAGAGTGACATTCTTTCCTCTTGTCCTTCGTCACACCTTCACAATTCGAAACCTGTCATTGGTTTTCTATGCGGTTCCAGAATGCCTATGAGTACTTTATAGACCTTCAGCGCCTGACTACCCCGCCAATTTTCGCATGCACAGGTTGTACAACTTTTATGCCCCTTACCATCTAATTCTTTACTGGAAAGAGGTCCCTTTTGGAGATTATCTTGACAATGTCGACTCTATCGAATCCAGACACTGTTAAGCAAGTTGTTTCCGAGTATTCGGAAGCAGACTTTTCCTAAGACAAACCCACAATCCGATTCCATGAGAAGGCTGTCGATCCAGAAATTGTTGTTGAGCTTCAAGATAGCGGCAAACGGAACCGTCCTCTGGAATACGTGCGCGCTCTTCGGGATGTCTTCACGAGGCGGAATGCTCGAGAAGCTGCTGCAGTTATGGTAAAGTTTGGGAAGTTCGTTGGGCCTGGCACAATCATCACCGTTGCGTACATAGACCCGGACAACTTCCAGACAGCAGTCAGTTCTGGGGCACAGCTCAAGTACAAATTGTTGTTCATGGTCCTCATATCAAACCTAATTGCTATTTACCTTCACGTAAGTCAGCCAATGGTGAGTTCAGAGAAGGAAGGTTTCTGATATACCGAGGCCTTAGCTGTCAAGCTTGGATCTGTCACTGGAATGGATCTGGCACAAATGAATCGTGCCCATCTCCCTTCTTGGCTGAATTACGGACTTTGGTTTATTGCTGAAGCTGCCATCGTCTGCACAGATATTGGTCAAGTGAGTTCAAGTTTCTGAAGTGATACACTTCTTGCTCACCGCTTCTCAGGTCATTGGAACAGCCATCGCCATAAACATCCTCATTCCCAAGATACCACTAACGGCTGGTTGTGCTTTAGCTATAGCCGATACCCTTTTTATACTCTTGTTTTACCGACCAGATGGATCATTGAGGGGTCTCCGAGCGTTCGAACTCTTCATCTCAGTATTTGTACTTGGCCTGTTCATCTGCTTCTGTATCGAGCTTTCCCTCATCACGGGCACTACAGCCAGGCACGTAATGGATGGCTTTCTTCCATCAAGAGAGATCTTCGTATCCAATGGGTAAGTCTCCTGCACTATGCTCTCCCAATTAGCTGACACAAGACCCCAAGCTTTACCAATCGTGCGCACTATTGGGAGGAACTCTTATGCCACACACCCTTTACCTTGGTTCTGGACTCGTACAGTCGCGCCTCCGCGATTTTGATGTCAAGAATTCATCTTACCATGAAGCAGTGACAACAAAAACATCCGTCGGCATCAAGCTCTACCGACCATCCCTCTCAGCCGTCAAATCCTGCATGAAGTACTCCATTGCAGAGCTCTGCATCACTCTTTTTGTCGTCGCTATTTTCGTCAACTCCTCCATCCTCATCATTGCTGCTTCTTCTCTATCTGAAGCCGCTCAGGATGCTGATCTCTTCGGCATGTATAATCTCTTCGTGTCGAGCATTAGTCAGGTTGCCGGGACGATGTTTGGCTTTGCTTTGCTGTTTTCTGGAATCAGTGCGGGAATCGTGGCCCCCTGGCAGGGCAACTTGTCGTTGAGGGTGCCATCAATTGGAAGATACGCCCCTTTTACCGTCGTCTTGCAACGAGATCAATCGCCATTGTTCCAGGCATCATCATCGCAGCTGCAGAAGGAAGAGATGGCTTGGCAGCTGCTTTGAACGGATGTAATGTGGTTCTTTCGGTGGCTTTGATCTTCTTAACCTTCCCACTGATTTGGTATACAACTTTTGATAAGTATATGAGAGTCGAGACAGAGGGAGGAGCAAGCACATTGACTGTCGAGACGTTGGAGGCAGGGCAGGACGCGGAGACGAGGAACCCGACAGTCAGTTTAAAGAATAATCTACCAACGGCGATTGGTGGGTGGATCATTTGGGTGATTATTGCAGCGATGAATATTGCTACTTTAGCATTCCTTGGATTGGGAATAGGAGGTGATTAGAGCTTGGTAGACGAAAGGCCCTTTCGATGAATACAAATAAAGCTTTCAACCATTAGATTACAGTTTTTCCACGTCGGTCTTCCTGCGCTTTCGAAGATTCAGTACCTGAAGTGCAGTTTTTCACAAGTGGTTGCTCTCGACATTCTGGATCTAGCCTATATACACTACCCCCCGTCTACCCAGGTATCAATAATAATCAAAGCCTCCAACTCCCTCACACCTCCAAACAAAGAATGAAGTTTCCATTATACATCATACAACTCCCGTCTTATCCCCCGAACGATTCTTGATCGCCCACGAAGAAATAGCATTCCAGTCTCTACACTGATGTGTTGAGCCCTCGCCCGAAAAGCCCAGTCTCCGTTGATTGCCATCGTCTCCGATGACTATCCCTGCGTAATCGAGCGTTGTATCGCCTGCGCAGAGGACTGCTTGTCTTACTGCTTTTGATCAGCATCCCTCTATTTTTTCAGAAAAGGATGGGAAAGGGAAGGGGGAATACTGTAATCTAAGCAATGATATTCATGTCCATTACCCGCGAACCGTGATCGGTTACCACCATTTACTTCGTACTTTCTAATCACGTCTCGTAGGACGCCGAGACAGCGCAGTTGATGTGTTACGGAGAGGGAGTAGACTTCTGCTTCTTCGGGGTCTTCGGGGACGGCTTTGCTTTGTGGGATGTCGAATCTTCGGGGCCAGGGGACTCGTACGAATCCGGAACCCACTTCCAAATAAGATTAACCTGTGTTCTGGAAATGGTTTGCAGGAGGCTTACAAGGCATAAGATCATTCCACAACTTGTCTCCTTCAAGTCCCGTATCCTGATATTGTGTGGGGAACTCAAAAACCACTTCCTTCATCGGAACTACTTTCATCAGCTCCCACCCATTTCAAGCTCAAAGGAAACACACTGTCCGGAACAAGAGCCTGCGGCGGTAAGAGCCCATCCTCACCCGCCTCCCACTTCGACCCCGCCTTCCAGTTCTGCCCCACAACAAATCCCAAGTTAAAGCTCCCTATCGCCATGAAAAATACCAAAAGCACTGCCTTCAGTATATCGCCGACTGAAAAGTCATATTGTCTTCTCACAAAATGCGGGGTACCGAAGTACTCCTTCTCATCGAGCGGGACGGCGGCGTACTCCTCGTTCAGCATCTTGGCTGTTGCTATGTCGTCGCTATCCCAATACATCACGACAGAGAAATCAACGAAATAGGAAAGGCTGAGAGGAAGAAGGAAGTGAGATAAGGGAAGGAAGTCGGGAAAGATGACTCTATACACTATATCTATGTGGTACGATGCGATGGGAAGGGATGTTCGGCACTGCCTCAAGCCGACATGCTTTTCACAAATCATTAATTTAAAGTGTTGTTGGTAAAGGACCGGATACATTTGACAGTTGAACCAGGGCACGGCAAGGGGCCTTTTAATTAATTGGGCACACGGCTAAGCGCAAACTGTGGAGCTTGTGGTCGGGTGCTGTATCTGGTGTTGGGAGGTAGGGATTTAGCCGCGGAATCTGTGGTACTTGTGGTTGGGTGCTATATCTGGTGTTTGGAGGAGGTAGGGATTTAGCCGCGGAAAGGTGGAGTTTGACGTGTTTTAGAGTGCCTGGAGACTTCAGGCGGGTCAAGCCGAGTTGGTGTCGCCTCAAAGATCGTGGTTTTTAGAGGGGTGACACTATGTTTGATGAATGGGCGAATCAGGTAGTCGAATATTGACAGGCTTTCCACGTTGACCTGCAGGTCGGAGGAGACGAAGTGTTGTTTGAATTTTACGGCGCATTTGGTCTCGTCTTACTCAATCCTCACCCGAGTGGCATGTACCCCTGTTCAAAGAACAGAATGTCCTGTACACCATGTCCGCTTTGTGTGATGCACCTCGCTACATCATCCACCAATGCGGAAGTTGACGGACTGAATATTAGAGAGACCATTGTCTTTCACTTCTTGCCGTTTCCTGCTGCTGCTGCCTCGTCTTCGGCGAGCAATCCTTCAATTTCTCGCTCTCCCAGCCAGGTCTTGACGCTGTCGATGATCTTGTCCAGTTCATCTCCTCCTTCCATCACATCATCGAGATTGTGAACGCTAAGTCCACTTCGATGATCTGTGACTCTCTGCTGTCCGTAATTATAAGTTCGGACTTTATCTCCCCGACCCATCTTCGCAACGCCAATCACGCCTCTCCTCAACCTGGTAACTTCCTCCTCTCTTGCCTCTCTTCTAGCTTGAGCAATCTTAGACCGCAACAACTGCCAGGCTCTCTCCCTATTCTGATGCTGGGATCTGCTATCCTGCATGCTAACTACCGTATTGGTAGGAATATGAGTTAACCGAACCGCGGAATCCGTAGTATTAACGTGCTGACCACCCGCTCCACGTGCCCTCATAACATCTGTTCGAACATCCGTAGGGTTAACATAGTAATCACTATTCGGATCCTTCAAATCTGCTTCCCAGACCTCTTGGCCCTCGGTGCCGGAAGTTGGTAAGCTTGGGAGGACCAACACAGCGACAGCGCTTGTGTGTGTCCGGCCCTTGTTCTCAGTTGCAGGTACTCTCTGCACCCGGTGTACACCAGCTTCGCCTCGCAGTTTCCCATACGCGCCTGGACTTTCAATCTCGAGGATTGCTTCTTGTAGAGGCGAATCGCCGCTGAGATCACTGCCTCCATCTTCAGTCTCAAACTTCAGCAGCGACGAACGCATGTTCTTCTTCTGGCAATACCCCCTGTACATCCTCAACAGATCCCCAGCAAACAAGCCAGCCTCTCCACCCCCAACTCCTGGTCGAATTTCTAGGAGGCAGGGTAGGTCTTCGAAAGGATGTTTGGGCGTAAGAGAAGTAGCCAAATTGCGTGATAGCGTATCCAATTGAGAAGCTGTTGTGGCGAGGTCCTCAACAGCTAACTCGCGAAGTTCTGAATCCGTCGTAGGGTCTTCGAGGAGCGTGTTGAGCTCAGAGAGCGAGTTCTGCGTGTCCTCCCACTCCTTCAATGCCATTGCAACACTCTTTAACTCTCCAATTCGTCTTGATATCTTTGCATCAAAGTTTTCGGATGTTTCCTGGCTCAATTTATCGTGTTCTGAGGCCATGCTGCGCGCCCGCGCGAGCAGTGCTGGAGAAAAGGAGGCATGGCTGGCTACAGACTATTAGGTTCAAGCATTCATGCAGAGAAGATTGAGAAACTGACTCGTGCTGGCAAAGCGCAATAGCCTCCGTCCACCGGGCTTCAGGTATGTATTTGTACATCGACGCCAGATCCAAGGAGCTCCAAACATAATCGATTGTTGTTCTTGAAGCTCGCCTGAAGCTCGGCAACATTTTTTTGGCCGGATGAATGGCGGTGACCCGATTCGGCAATCTGCCAGTGACATACCTCAACCCCTCAAAAAGCCGAAATCGGGTTGATCAAAATAAATTTTTGTGATTCATCCATCATTGCTTACATTTATTAAATTTTCTCGTCTTACAGTTGTTCTCATAGCAGCAGTAAGTCATTTCTTTAAAATTTCTGGAAAGTTTATCCCGCAATGATTTTCAAATCACCTTCTTGCTCGCGCCGTCTTTGTAGGAGTTTCCATACCTCATTGCACAAGGCCATGCCTCTGAATTTCAAATCCGTGTACCCGGCAGAGGAGCCGGAATTTTTGTCTTTTCCTAGCAGGAGGAGTGTTGTTCATAGCACTCAGGGTATGATAGCATGTACTCAACCTCTTGCGGCAAGATGTGGACTCAAAATTCTGGATGCTGGTGGAAATGCTGCTGTGAGTTTGTACTTACCCCACTTTCAATATTGTCTCTAATAACTTGTAGGATGCAGCAGTAGCTGTTGGTATGTTCAAAGGATCTATTGGTTGAGTTTACTAATTATGCGAAGCCGCTGCTTTAAATGTCACAGAGCCATCCTCTACTGGAATCGGTGGTGATATGTTTTGCCTCTGGTACAATGCCAAAAGCAAGAAGATTGAAGCAATGAATGGCTCAGGAAGAGCTAGTGCTAAGTCCACTTTGGAAGCAGTCCGAAAAGATTTGGGATTGAAGGATGGGGAAGCAGGAAACGTCCCTCAGAACAGTATCCATGCAGTCACAGTTCCAGGAGCTGCAGCTGGTTGGGTTGATACTGTTGAGAGATTTGGGAGTGGAAAGTTAACTTTGGAGCAAATATTAGCCCCAGCCATTGAATTAGCCGAGAATGGATTTCCAGTTTCAGATATTGCTTCGAGTATGGTCAGTACTCCGAACTCTCTCTAATATTATTGATTTACAGCATCTTAGTGGAGAGCACTTGAAAAACACCTCATTGAAGCGTCACCAAACTACGCCGAGTTATTGAAAAAGGGCCCGGACGGTTTTCGCGGCCCTGAGCCAGGAGAGCTATTCAAAAACAAATCCCTAGCAGCAACATTTCGAGCTCTTGCCAAGGAAGGCAAGAAGGGATTTTATACCGGCCGAATCGCTGAAGCAATTGTTAAAGTTACCAAAGACCGAGGAGCCTTCCTTGGACTTGAGGATCTGAGAGATCATCTCGAAAGGGGAAGCGAGCCAGTTGATCCCATATCTTATGTTTTCAAAGGACAAGGTTACATTAAGACGCATGGTGATTTCGTCGATGGCTCCTCAGGCCAAGGGACAAACGAAGATAACCACGGCCTAGAAATCTGGGAACACCCTCCCAACGGACAAGGGATCGTCGCCCTAATGGCTATTGGTATCTTCGAGTCCCTCGAAGAGACCGGTAAGATCCCACGTTTCACTTCCGCTGACCACAACTCCGCTCAATACCTACACGCCGTCATCGAATCCCTCCGAATAGCCTTCGCCGACGCAAGCTGGTGGATCGCCGACCCCTCACACTCCAAAGTCCCCTCTTCGACATTAATCTCAAAACCCTACCTTGCCGAACGAGCCAAGCTTTTCGACCCCTTGAAAGCCTCCTCCAAGATCTACGACCGAGGCAGCCCAGCACATAACCACAGCGACACAGTCTACTTCGCCGTCACCGACAAAGAAGGGAACGGTATCTCCTTCATAAACTCGATCTTCGACTCTTTCGGCTCGGGAATTATCCCCGAAGGCACCGGCTTCGTGCTCCAGAACCGCGGTGCGAGTTTCCAGCTCACGGAAGGCCATCCGAATGTCATTGCGCCGGGCAAGAGACCGTATCATACCATCATCCCTGCTATGGTTACCAATGTGCACGATGGCTCTTTACATTCTGTTTACGGGGTTATGGGCGGCTTCATGCAGCCTCAAGGACACGTGCAAGTTCTGCTTAACACAATTTCGTTCAAGCATAACCCGCAAACTGCGCTTGATGCTCCGAGATTCTGTATCGGGGCGGAGGGCATACCAGGCGATCCATATGAAAGGACTGTCTTTTTGGAGGAGGGAATTGGTGAGAGTGTTTGTCAGGAGCTGAGGGAGATGGGCCATGGTGCGAAGATTGTTAAGGGATATGGTAGGAGAGTGTTTGGTAGGGGACAGTTGATTAGGGCGCATGTTGAGGACGAGGTGACGGTTTATAGTGCGGGGAGTGATCCGAGGGGTGATGGGGCTGCTTTCCCTGGATAGAGGGTTGGTACAGATGTGAGATTATTGTGATGAAGTCATAGAGAATTTGAAAACGAAACGCTTCCGTGGTGGGCTTCCTACAAATCTGCTTATTTGTCTTGTTATTACTCAAACAAATCTTGAAGTGCTGTTTGGAAAGAGGCTTTCGATGGGGAACTAGTGTAAGAAAATGTGGGAGGTTCATTCATCACATTAGGACAGGGCCACAAGACTCTAAATCTCGCTCTCATTCTTGCGTCTAAAGTACATCACTGAAAGGTTCTTCTGCTTCTCCACCCCTGCAGACCTTCCAGAAGAAAAAGCAAACGCCTTATCAAAGCCTCTCTCAAATTAGAGGAAAGGTATGATTAAACTGCACCGCTAATGTGATCCGTTTTGATAGTACAACAAGCAAAGCAAATTCCACGCTTCCTGAGACAAGAAGCTAAATGCAATCAGCCAGCCCATTTTTCGGAATCATGCCGTGCTATGCTACGCCTAAATATGCTATTGTCGAAAAGGGTTGGTAGAATACAGAAGAGAAGGACAATGTATCCGAGAGATCGAAACTGTCCATGTGGCTGGGCTTCCCCTCAAAACGCCATGCAATGCAATGGTAGAAAAAAAATTGTAGGGTATTCCGTCATGCTGGTGTCGACTCATCGCCAGCTAAACGGATTTTGAGGGTAGCGGGGAAGCATCATCCGTCAAGGAAAAGTTCAGCTAGAATGGAGATATGTGCACTTGTCGCCTTTAGCACACTGACCGACGCTGAAAAAACGGCAAGGCTTCTTCTTGCCCTTGTATTCGCCATTTTCATCGAAGATGGAGTCATTCGGTGGCTTCGAATCGAACTTGTGTGACTTCCCCCTCGACTTGTGTTTTCCTCGAGTTCGGTCTGACTGCGCATTGGGGCTCGAATCCTCGTTGTTGTAGTCGCCGTCCCATCTTGACTGCTGGTTATGATTTTGATATCCTTGACTCTGCTCCGCACCTTGCTGACCGGCCCAGTTGTTGTAATCGTATTGCTGCAGGGTCGCCGGTTGGTGCTCGTTGACTCCATAACTAGCAGCCAGGTAGCTTTGAACTTGTTGAGTAATCTCCGCAATCTGAGGCTGAGGAAGAGCAGGATTGTTCGGCACCGGTATTTGGGGGTAGGCTATCTGCGACACTGGGATTTGCTGGAATTGAGGCGGAAACATTGTCGGTTGTTGATGCTGAGCAGCCTGAATTTGAGCCATCCGCTCATCAGCTTCTCTTTTCTCCTTTACCGCCTTGTCTCTCTCATAGCCGGCGATCCACTCAGCGCGTTGCTCTGGGTTCACCATCCAATCCGGTGGTTCGATGGGAGGGTATGGCTTATTTTTCAGAGACTCAACAATGCGGATGAGGTTTGTTAGTTGGCTAGGATCCATCTTTGGGACTTGCGGAAGTTGATGTTTTGGGGCTTGTTGACCAGTTGGACCACCAAGTTGTTGAAGGATAGAGGAAACGTCAGATGGTGGAGCGGAGCTAGCTTGAAAAGGTTGACGAGATTGGTTTTCGCGGATCTCGTTGAACATTCGCTCTTCTTGACGCGCACGAAAGAGTTGGAACGCTTGTTCCGGGCCGTACTGGTGAATATCCTGCAATCTCCGAACGAGCCACGGTTCCGTAGGATTCTTGAGCTGATGCTCTCGTTGGGTGCTTCCAGGCATATCAGGATGAGAAAGTTCCTTGGGCGAGGGTGGAATGTCGTCCGGATTGGTGTAGATAACCATGAGCTCCAAGCCCTCTCGTCGCTGCTGGATCTTCTGCTCGGGCGTTGTGAAGCTCAAATCTCCGCCTCGCGTAGAATAATTTGGGCCAAATCGCGATGGCTTCTCAAGGGAACTGAAGTCAATGCTGATTGGCTCGTTGTACGGACCTTCAGGTTCAGTTGGTTGATAATCCTCGTCATCGTCCATGGTTTCAGAGACACGCTTCTTGTGCATCATGCCTTCAAGTCGGTCATCATGTGCATCTCGTAACATCTCATCCTGGCGTCCCTCATCTTCGGCTTGCTCATGCTTGAAGAGCCTGATCTGTTCCAATTCAGGTCCCTCCTTGAATTTGACCCTCAAATGGCGTCGACTTTCCTTTCTCTCACGACGTGCCTTCTCTTCTGGTGTCTCAGGTGGTCGAGGTGGTGCTTCAGGGGCTTTGGGAGGTTCCGGAGGTTTGGCAATGCTGGCCAGAAGTGCGCCAAGTTTCGACTCAGTCGGAGGAGAAGGCTCACGCTTCTTAGGAATGGGCTTTGCAACAGGCTTCGATGCAATACCCAACAGATTGTTTCCTACTCGACTCGCAGGACCAGCATTGTTGCCTATTTTGTTCATCGGCTTTGGTGGAATGGTCCTCGACACGGCTGGAGTGCCAGCATTGTCCGACGCAAACTTCTTACTGGGCTTGCCATTGGACCCATCGCCATCATGTAGTCTCTTTGCTGGGTTGGAAGACGTGGGATTTGAAGAATCGGCATTTCGAGCCTTGGCTTGCTCAACCTTTTCCTTCATCTTCTTTTCCTCCTCTGCTCGGTCGACGTCCTTTTTAGTTTTTGCAGCTTTCTCTTTGGCCTCCACGGTATTCGCAAGAATGGTGGCAATATACTTTTTGGTATCGTCATCCCCTCTTTTGCTCCAGCGCTTTGCAATGCCTTCGAACTTCAGCTTCTTAAGAAGGTCATCAGTCATCGTCTGAAACTTTGAAAGTAAACTCAAGACTGCTTTGGGCAGTTTCCCAACATAATCTTCAGCCTTATTGCAATCAATCAGAGTTGTCGTTAAGCCATTCACAAGTTTATGATGACCGCCCAAATGCTCTACTATAGCACCATAGCCAAGCTGATTTGCTGCATCAATTGTTTGAAAGAGCGATTCAAGAAGAACTTTCCGGTCGTCCTTTAGCCTCTCCAACTCAGCCGCCCGACCCGTTGCTTCCTCTGCCTTGGTAGAATTTGTCTTGAGTTGAACTCGCAGTGACGTCAAGAAACTTCCGTACTTTTCGATGGCATCTTTGACCACATCTGCACTTGGACTTGAACCTGGATCCTTCCAGATGATACCTATTGCGTCCCATCGTGCTGCGGCCGAAGCTGCTATTGGGCGAATTGGTCCGCGGACCTTGCAGCGCGTCAGCATTTCACGTATATAACAAAGCGCAACAAAGTCAATCTATGCTCTATCGGACATGGATACCGAATTCACGCATATGAGGGCACAAGGGCATGAGAGCAATGTCAATTGATAAAAGTTTGTGCTTACCTCGCTTATGTCCATCACCGGCATGTCTTCGTCCTCGCCGTACTCAGATTCTTCTTCCGAGCTGCTTTCCTCCTCTGACGAGCTTGTTTCGGTTGGCGTCGAAGGCGACTTGATCGATGTCAGGTTGCTTTCATCACGCAAAGTGGTGATTTTATCGGTCAATGGCTTAACGGCTTGGCTTGTCGCCTTCAGCTTGCTCAATGATGGTTTCGTCTCTTTGGGAGGACGGATTTTCTTGGTTGAAGGTCGTGCGGGTGTCAATGAGCCTAAGCGAGAAGTCAACAATGATGGCTAGACAAGGCTCGGATTATTCACTTACGAGATAGGTCGAATCCCGGAACAAGGTCTTTCCCGCTCCGTGATTTTCTCGGATGATACTTTGGAAGAGTGTCTATTAATCCAGGGTTAGTACAACGGGGAAAATCAACGGCAGTGGCCATAACAACGTACTCTTCAACCCAAGAGTAATCTGCAATGGCTGATCCTCCCAGGAAAGAAATGGTGCGTAATCAAAGCGTGGTCGAGATGATGGGTTCTCCGATGTGTGTAATTCCGGATATAGCATCCTCAATGGGTTCTGCGACGATGTTGACTTGGCCTGCTGAGTTCGTGGAGCACTCGAGGCGACATCTGCATCAACATATTTCTTCACGGCTTGCTTCGACTCGCTCTCTGGGGCACCATTGGGCAAGATAGGATAGCTGACGGTATTGCCTTGATTGACTTGCATAGTTTCATTTTGTGCGCCAGGGTAGTACACTGCAGGTTGGTCTTGAGTTCTTTGGTTGTAATTATTCCCAATCCCGTTCGCAGATTGTTGGAATGGTGCATTCGAGACACCGCGGTGAATAGGTTGGTTAGAGGGCATTCGATATTGAAGAGACTGTGGAGAAATTGTGGCACTCTCGGTTGCAGGGGCGGCAAAGGGGAAGGAACTCTCTGGGGCATGGTACCCAGTCGAGCCTTGCAAGGAAGGATCGACATTGTATGAAGTTGGGCCGAAGACATCGGAGGGTCTCGCATGTTGATATTGGGCAGTATAGGGAGAGTTGGCATAAGACACTGGAGGATAGGATGGCTGCTGGGAAGGATCGAAGTGTTCGTAGGCCATTCCGCTGGGTTGATATCGAGAGTAAGGATCTGGTTGCAGCTGCTGGTATTGATAATGTTGGTCGGCCGCCGCTGGCCAGCCAGCATTATTGATTAAGTCGTCGAACCGTATGTCCTCGGGCATGTCATAACCATGGTCATTTTGGTCCTCCATCTTGTCCTCGAGGAGTGTTGATGAAGGCGGTGGTCACGTGATGACGAAGGTTGGATTATTTTGGAGGGAAACTACCGAGGTGGGAATGGTCGACGATGATTGGATTGCTAGACGAGGGTCAGCTTCGAGGAACCCAGTTCAATTCACTGACTCTTCTCCGACTCGGGCGCAAACAGCACAGTGACCAAGGAAAATATCAGGTATGCCACCGCCGCGCCTTGGCTTGGCTTGCGAACGTGCAGTCCTGCTCTGCCCTCTGCCTTTTGCACCAGCAATGGTCCGTATCACACGTCGCCAGTGCCGCGAGTAAGAGCAGTGAGCCTATTGTCCAGCACCTAGCACCAGCACCAGCACCAGCGCCAGCAACCAGCAACTACCAGGGTCGACAAGAAGCGGTACGTTGGGCCACAGAACCATTGACGCAGCTCCGCAACAGCGCAGCGCACTCCTCCAGCGCCCTTCCCAGTGTCTGCCTCTGGAATACGGGCACTTTATCGCGTGGCCTGCAGCAAACGCGGTCCCCGATTCCTGAACAGCACAGGCAAAAGCGCGAGCTTGTGTCTTGGCAAATTGGGGGGCGTTGGGGGTGCAGCAAGGACTGTTTGAGGCGGCGGTGCTTTCTGGCCTTTTGCCTTCGCCTTCGCCCTCGCCCTCAGGGCCAACAATGAAGAATTCAGGTGTCACCCTACCCTTCTTAAGGCAATCTCGCCCAGGGAGCGACCGCAGCCCTCTCAATCGGTCAATATGTTTTAGTTCATAATTGTACGGTCATGCTTCTGTTAAGTCGCGGCCATGATGGCCGAAAGGAGAAGTTGATGGGGTGGCAATGAAGTGATGAAGGGGATGTTGTTGGAGAGTGAAGAAAGAAAGAAGGGAAGACGAAGACGGAGTCCGCGGTGGTGAACAGACCTGTTTCGCGGACTGCGCTAGGCCGAGAGCGGGAAGGCGCAGCTGCGTGCGGCGTGAGAGCTTCGAAATCCCAGAGAGTGATTGATGTACCTAGCTATTTACAAGCTGGCTGATCTGTCCTGAACTTCTCCACGTATCCTTCCTGCGCCGACATACTTGTAGTTTCGGTGAATGTGCATGATACGGTCCCTACAACTGGGCTGATTTGCAGCCTCCAAAACACCTGCAGCCATGGCAGCCACGCAGAACTCTCTTCGAGATCGTCAAATCAGTAAGATGCTTAACAGGTTGCAGTGAGGCCTGGGATTAACAGTCTGTTCAGGATCGATAGAGCGCATGTTGAATTTGAACCGCGAGTCTGAAGAACCTGCACCCGAGCACCACGACCATACCGCAAGCAATGGCCTTGCGATACCCTCTGCACCGATCCTGAATTCAGACGGCGATCCTATATGGAAGGTGCTGGTATTTGATGACCTGGGACGGGATGTTATCAGCAGCGTTCTAAGAGTGAACGATCTGCGGACATGGGGAGTTACAATGCATATGTATGTTGTTCAACAGATGGAGACATGCAAACGATTTGCTGATCTAGTCAGGCATATAGCATCCTCGCGCCACCCAATCCCAGATGTACCAGTTCTGTATCTCGTTGAACCGACTGCTTCGAATCTGAAAGCAATCACATCAGACCTCTCAAAAGGACTGTACTCTCCGGCATACCTCAACTTCCTCTCCTCAATACCTCGGCCGCTGCTGGAAGACTTCGCAAGACAAACAGCTGAAGCCGGCACCTCAGAGAGTATTGCACAATTCTTCGACCAATACCTGAACTTCATTGTGGGAGAACCGGATTTATTCAGCTTGGGAATGCGAAAGGAGAACACATATTGGGCTCTGAACAGCGCGCGGACGAAGGATGAGGAATTAGACTATGTCATTGACAGGATCGTCAGTGGACTTTTTAGTGTGATGGTTACAATGGGTAAGGCTTTCTCTAGAGAGATCCATAAAGGGTGATATGTTGCGTACAACTAACTCTACTAGGTGTCATGCCCATCATCCGATGCCCGAAAGGTGCAGCTGCAGAGATGATATCAGCGAAGCTTGACCGGAAGCTGAGAGACCATATATTAAACTCGAAAGATAATTTGTTCTCTGCTCCAAGCAATCGGCCGTCGACGGCCACTGGCAACCCCTCTTCAAGACCGGTTCTCATCATTTTGGACCGAAATGTGGATCTCATACCCATGCTCTCACATTCTTGGACATACCAATCTCTTGTGCACGATATCCTGAACATGAAGTTGAATCGCATCACGGTTGAAACCCCGGTAGACGAGAATAATCCTGCGAAAGGGACCACGAAGAAAGCGTACGATCTAACTTCGAACGACTTTTTCTGGAGCAAAAACGCCAGCGTGCCTTTTCCACAAGTTGCAGAAGATATAGACGCCGAGTTGAGTCGGTATAAGGACGATGCGAATGAAATTACCAAGAAGACTGGAGCTTCTTCAATAGAAGACTTGCAAAACGATACGAGCGCTTCGGCCCAACATCTCAAAGCCGCTATCACACTTCTACCCGAGTTACGGGAGAGGAAAGCAGTTCTGGATATGCATATGAACATTCTTGCGGGTCTATTAACAGGCATAAAAAACCGACAATTGGACAATTTCTTTCAAATGGAAGAAAATATCATGAAGCAGACCAAGGCACAGATCTTGGAGGTATTGACCGACGAAGCAAAGGGTAAAGAGCCAATGGATAAATTAAGATTATTCATAATCTGGTTCCTAAGCACGGAACAGGATGTCACAAGAGCAGATATGGAGAAGTTCGAAGAAGCCCTCAAAGCAGCTGGAGCAGACACCACCTCCCTCGCCTATGTCAAACAGTAAGGCCTCCTAGTGCACCCAAAATTCATCTAACACATTCCACAGGGTTCGCGCCACAACCCGCATGACAATGATGACCTCCGCCCCCTCTCAAACTCCCCAACAAGCATCCGCATCCACCGAGCTCTTCCGCGGTTTCTCCTCCATCTCCTCCCGCCTGACCTCCTCCCTCAAAGAATCTGGCGTCGGCGCAAACTTCGAGAACCTCATTTCAGGAGTCAAGAACTTCCTCCCTGCAAACCGTGACTTGACAGTCACAAAAATCACAGAATCAATCATGGATCCCGCTGGTGCTTCTAGTTCTGCTATTGCAAAGACGGAGAATTACTTGTATTTCGATCCACGGAGTGCGAATGCGAGGGGTACAATGCCACCGGTTAGTGTGGCGAGGAAAGGGGGTGAGATGCCGGGTGGTCTTGGAGGGCATGGACCGGGGACTGGAGCGACGTTTGGGCAGAGGAGACAGGGCTTTAGCGAGGCGATTGTGTTCACTGTTGGAGGTGGCAGTATGGACGAATATGGCAACTTACAGGAATGGGCTAAGCGGACAGGAGCAGGTGGGAGTGGCGCTGAGAAGGGTGCCGTAAGGAGGAGAGTGGTATACGGGAGCACTGAGCTCATTAATGCGGAGGAGTTCCTGAAGCTCGAGTTAGAGAAGCTGGGGTCCGAGGCAGCTTCATAGTCTCGATACGGATATCACAAGACACTTTCAGAAGCTTAAAGATACAGCAAAGGCATAATGTACCATGAAAGGGGTATAGTTTGATTTTAAAATTCTGCGGCCTGGCTGGCTTTGCTACATATAGCCCAGAGAAGTGCGGGAATCGGAAAAGATCCGACCACGATCGCACCTCCTGATCTTCCGATATCAAGGAATCGAGTGATGAAAAAATGTGAAAATGAAACCATCGCTGTAGCCTGTATACACACATCCATACATAAACAAAACAGTGCCACAAAAAGTCAGGGCATCGTGAAAAATGCATCGCTCGGTCGAAGTGATCGATCAACTTTCACGAACGGACCGAATCAGACTCCTCTAAACATCCTGACGATCAGGAACCACATAGCGCCGATAAACTTGAATGCCGAGAGGCCTGCAACGGACCAGAGGACGACGGCCAGGTAGATAGCGCTCCTGCTCGTTCCGTTTGTGCTCGTAGCTACACGCTCAAGACCAGCGGTGCTGAGGACGACGGCCACGAGAGCAAAGTTGCACACCAGCCAGAAGATAACGACGAACGATCTGAAAGACTTGTAGTAATCTTCTTGGATTTCTGAGGCAGAGTGGACGCGCTTCTCCGGGGGAGCTTTTGAGACGATCTTGCGCATCTCGGCTTCATATTGGGCATTCAGGTCGCCGTCGTCCGTGGGGATGTTGACGTCGACTTTTCCGCCAGGCTTGAGGGTTGCGGACGGGAGCTTCTCGGCTTTGTCATCACCCTTTGTGCCCCACGTAATGTCGTGGGTGTTGCAGAAGGCGTAGACGTTGAGGATGTTGATGTACGTTGGGGTCAGGAGGAGGTATTGGAGGAAGGAGGTAAACATGTGCCACGGGTCGAAGAACAGGAAGGAGACCACGAACCAAAGGAGGTAGGTGGATGCCAGGGAGATAATTAGCGTGTAGAAAATTTGGTTTTTGAGAATGTCGGAAACCGTGAATTGGTGGTCTCTGACTTCCTGTTGGATGGATTTTACGGTAATGAAGACCGACGCAAACATTAGGTAGCTGGAAGGAGTCAGTATAATTCTCAAAATTCATAGGGGGACTGAAACTCACATCATTATGAAAGCCCAGAAATAGACCATGGACATGTAAGCCTTGTTAGTTCCTTGCGGCCGATTACCCAACGCCAAAATGAAACAGGTGAGGAGAGTGAAGAGATACATCCACTCGAAGACAACACCAAGAATATTTCCAACCTGGCCAAGAAGAATACTTGATCCAAGGGAGGTCGTCAGGATGTGGAAAACTAGGAAGAAATTGCCGATGGCGAACCACGCAAAGATCATGCTAATAGTTGTGTACGTGAATTCTATCAAGAACATGATTTTCCGCAAGAAGCTGTGGTCGCTTCGGAAGAGCTGGTAGAAATGTGCCAAGGCGTACACGGCTGCGAAGAAACTACCGTTCAACCATCTTCGTCGTTGGAGAATCAGCTCAGCCATGGTGTCTGGTACGTCTGTTTCGCCAGTAGCAGATTTGACGTATTGAAGAATCCAGTGGCAGTTGCGTTTTGAAACCAGCTCAAAACAGAGAATACGATCCTCAGCGAGGTACATGTTGGCCGTGAAGATGCCGGCGTTGGCACCGTGCATCTTCTCACCAGCAAAGTACTTCTCGAGTGGTCCATTTCCGGCCTTGTCGTTTTGCAGGGCTACGAATCGATAGGCAGAAAAAGCACCTGGCAAGACTGAAATGAAACCAAAAGCAGATTCCAGCGGCTTGTCCAAGATATTGCTCATCTTGTATTCAAAATTCTGCGTGGCCACAAGCGGATTGAGCAGATTCTTCCCTCCAGGTCCCAACATTGCTTTGATCTCTCCACAGGCACCAGCGCACATAGGCTCCAAGTCGAAAGCTTTCCAAAGGTGGTAGATGGAGTCTTTTCCTGGCTTGGTACCCGCATCGATGAGAACACAAATATTTGGATCTAAAACACGTCCGAATGCTTGGAAGAACCATCTGTGCGAGTTGATCTTCTTCTGATTCTTTTCCTTCAGACAGAAGAGCATCTGCACCGGCTGCTGCTTTGGGCGAAGCTCAACTAGATCCTTCTTGACCGAAATACCGACCTGCGTGGTGTATTCGTAAATATGTGCTGTCACGTCCTTTCCATTGACTTGTTGCTTGGCAATTCCGTCCTGGTACACTCCCATACCTGCCAACACAGCCTTCGTTCTCTCGTTGATCTTGGCACGACCATCACTGACAACGCAGACCACTATCTTCTTCCACGCATCCTTTCCCCAGGTCTTGCTGTCCTTGCGGGAGCACATGTATTCAACATTCTTGAACACACCGCTCATTGTTCGGGCAAAGAGAATATCGTCTTCATTATACATAGTAACCACAATAAACAGTTCTGTGTGTCTTGGCTTTGCGAAAAGCTTCTGTCTGAGAGTGAAGCGCTCTTCGAAGAACTCGCTGGGGTCACAAGTTGCTGCTGAGTATCGCATATGTGTGAATTCATCCCTCTCAGGCGGTTGAGCATGTGGTACCATATTCAGAAGCTTTGGTGGGATCGGACAGTCAAGGACGAGATTGCCATTGAATAATTGCACCTCCTTCACGGTCTTATAACGTTTGAGCGCAGGGACTGGTGTCGCTGATGGCTCGGGGCCATGAGCTCCATCGTAGTCTGAATATCCTGGAGCACTATGGGGGTCTGGTCCGTAGCCGGTGTCCTGCGCCTGGAGAATTGGACGGTGTTCTTCTTCATGGTTGAAATACGGGTCCGCCGCGTTCGAAGGGTAGGTGGTCAAGGGGTGCTCTTCGTGTGGTGAAGGTTGGTATGGTGGATTATAGTATTGGTCGTGATGAGCTTGTGGGTTTATGGCGTAGTCTTGTTGATAATTGTGGTTCGGGTCGAGGGGGTAGCTTTGCTCATACTCTTCATTGTGCCCATATGAGTTGTTGATGTTTTCGACCGAGTACTGTTGTGCCCAGTCAGCGCAAATTCTTCTGTTGTTGATCTGAATAGAGACTCACTGTAGGCTGCGCCTGTAATCGGTCACTTGGAGTATGGCGTCCAGGACCCATAGGAATCTCTAGATTGTGTCTGCCAGGTCCAGGAGATCCGCCGGGTCTGCCATAGGGTCCAGTATCTTCAAGTTGATAGCCTTGATTTACTGGATGCCCAGGCGAAGGCGTTCGTCCCGGTCGATTATTCATACTGTAATATTCGTCTTGACGGCCTTGGCCCGGGTGGTCTGTTGAATTCGAGATGTGTTAGAGGGTGGTGGTTACTCAAGTCGCAGACTGTGCCGCAGAAAGAAGAGAAAACTCGCTCCTCTACTAAGCAGGAGGGCTGTGTTTGAAAATCGTGAGCTTCCCTCAAGGAAGTTTCTGTGCGCCGCGCAGGAAGAGGTTGGATGTTGCGCTCAAGAGAGTTCACGCCGCGTATGTTGGGTGAATGGCAGTGGCACATTCACAACGTGGGCACTCTAACGAAAAGCTTATGAAGCTCAAAAGTTGCGCCGAAATTGAGAGACGTACCTAGTCTATCATATGACATCCCCGTTCTCGGCGGGGGTGTGCGTGGTTGGAGGATGGTTGTTGTCGGGGCTGGCGAAGAATGCACTGGGCTCAATGGGACTCTGGTGCGAATGTGCCCCTATTCTTTTTGCCAGTTGCGCAGCTTGAACTCTGATTCAGCGTTGCAATCGAGTTCTCCGATGATACCTCAGTACAGTGTGTGGAGGGAGGTCGTTTCAGGAGGCCGCGAAAGTTGGATGCAGGGGATCTGCTGCTGTGATTTGCTTGCCAAGCCGCGGCTGGAGTTTCAGTTTGATGGAACTGGCATAACTTGCTGGATGACGTTCGGAGAAGGGATGGGGGTTTTCTTTAAAATAGACCAGAAGCGCAAGCGACGAGAAGGAGAGAAGGAGAGTCTATCTGGAAATCGTCTCGTGTTTCGGTTCCTTTACATACAATATTACTCTGCAGAGTCGCGGACGAGGCCGTTTTGCATGCAGCAGCACGCAGCTCGCAGCTAGCAACCGTGGCGGGGCTAGCCAGCAACCATGTCTCCATTATTATTACAGATTATTTTCTATTTCTAGTCCCGACGCGACGCTGCGATCGCAGCGCCGGATCATCAGCTGAGTGGCACAGCCACAGCCAATTAAGGGGGGTCGACGCATCATCATCGCTGAGGCTGTGTTCCTTTGCCTTGGCTGAGACCCGAGGGCGACCAGGTCAAGTCACGAACAAGATTTGTCTCTAGACCTGCCGTTTTTTCATTTTTCCTCATCATCGATCGGAATTACAACGCTCAAACGCCTCGGCAGTCAGTATTACCCCGCCACTGCAGATGCCTTGCGTCTGAGACAAGTCACGAGGCTGTGAATAGCTAGTATTGCCCTTGCGAGTTCCCAAGCAGAGCCTCTTCCTTATTTCCGTCTGTGTCATCAAGATATCTTCAAGCGTCGATATCTGGAAATGTCTCTTTCAAGAAGTTCCTTGTGAACCGCGTGAGTTGCTGGTAAGCCTCCTCAAAGCCATCCCTTCCTCCGTAGTAAGGATCGTCAACTTCTTCCGCACGTTTCTTCCCACTGAATTCTCCAAACAACTTGACAGTTGCCTTGCCACCAGCTCGCTGATGGATTCTTTGCAGGTCTCGAAGGTTGTCTCTATCCATAGCAAAGATGAAGTCAAACTTCTGGAAGTCTGAAGTATGAATCTTTAAGAGGTCAGCGCCGATCCTTGTCTAAAAATACTTCCACTTGCCTTTCGAGCTGCATGATCATAATCTGTAATTCCCTTGTCCTCGAGTGTCGACATGGTTCTGGAATCCGGGCTGCTTCCAGTATGATATGCCCCAGTACCACAGCTATCAATCACGGATATCAATCCTAAATACGGAGGCTTTGATACCATGGATCTGAAAATTGCCTCGGCCATTGTAGAACGACAAATGTTTCCCAAGCACACGAACAACACCGAGATGGGGTCAGGAGTCGAAGCCATCGTGGTGGTTGTTTCCCACCTGCTTGGTGACTCGGTGGAAGTTTCGAACGATTTGAATCTCAATCGACCGGGGTACCTTGGACGCGGCCGCTAGTATCATTTCACTCCTTTTTTTTCAAGCTTAAACTGCTTTCGGATGTCTTTGTCACCGAAAGCACGAGCATTCGGACAAGTCTTCCCAATTTCAAACCCCTTCTTCTTTCTTTTTCATAATTCGGTATTGCACGAAGCACCGCCGTACCTTCGTATCATGGCTACCTTTTAAAATAGTACTCAGGTTTCTGTCACATCCAGGATATCAGGCTGCCGGTTGAATCCGCCATGTACCCCTTAGACTTGGCCCCGGGATCTGTATCGCTGCATCAGAGGTTCTGAAGACCCCAAGATACGGCCAATAGCTGCACGAGCGTTTTCTGCACGCGCAGCCAGCAAAGTAGTAAGATTATGTTTCACACTCTCTTCTCATTTCACGTCAATAGGCTCCGGCTCTCGTTGTACCGGCAGCCTGTGGTACTGATCCTAACCGCTCGTTAGGCAGACTAGAAGACTAGAAGAGCAGTGTGACAAGTTATCTAGAGCAAATCTTGTTGCGTCCCATGTTCTACTTCTCCTCACTTTAAGAGGGGTATGCAATTGTGGAGAAATAATTTCTTCATTTCCTACAGTCTCTACCAGCATAACTCCGATCTAAACGCGTCGTGAGACTGGCTCGAGCCCATTCAAGGTTTAACGGATACTCGTTGTTCTCGGATTTTGAGTTGAATCTGGTTGAGTGCATAAAAGAAACTGTCGGTGTGAAAATGTAATTGAGTAAATATCGTTGAATAGCGGTATTATCTTCTCTGGATACCCTCCAGGCAGGTGTAAGCCTAGCGCAGCGCTTACTGATGTTTTCTTGTCTCAATTTTGGGAGCATGAAGAGAAGTATTCACCCTAGTATGAAGGGTCCTTGAAAACAATCTCAGCACTTCGCCGTCGAGCATCTTCACAAATTCGCCAGATATGTCCGAGCAATATCACCCATTTAACAGTTCATTCGCCTTCCCTTCCTCCGTCATCCTCCCAAGGCTGCCTCCCGTCCGTCAAAAACTCCTCTTCAAACCCCGCTTCACCAATCCTCAGCATACTCTTCACCCCAGACCTCTCCCTCTCCTCCCTCCTCTCAAACCACCCCTGACTCACCCCCCAAGGATTTCTCCCCCTCCTCTTCCCACTCAAAACGCCCCCAAAGCCCAACGGATCCCTTTCCCACTCTCCATAGCCCATCTCTCTCGACCCTCTCCTAACCTCCTCCGCTCTCACCTCATCATAACCCTCACTTCCCTCCGTCATATACTCAGGGTCAATCCCCAAAACCACCACCTTCTCGCTCGGAAACCTAATTGCCGGAACGTGCAACTCCATAAATCTTTCCTCCTTAAATCCATGACTCACAATCGTGATTTTCTCAGGAAAATGTCCGGTCTGTTTCCAGAACATCAATATCGAAAACATCACGTTCGCAAAACTGTCCAAAGCCTGCTCTTCTAGTAAGATCCTTCCTTCCACATCTTCCTTTCTAACAATGTTCCAGAAATCATTGCACACGCAAATATCGAGGTATGATTGAGCTTCTGACTTTTCTATCTCCGGTCGCGTTTTAGAGCCAGAGAAGATTAAGGCGGTGGAGTGTGGAGGGGAGGAAGACAGGATAGAGAGCCCTGCTTGGGCGTGCTTGATAAACGTCGGCGTCTCACCTTTTTGGAAGGGGGCAAGAAGCCACTCTTTTTCATCGAGACCGTGGGTGGGACCACCGATATAAATTCCGTGACAGCATACGAGAACCAAGTGGGTTGGCTTTGGGGTTGGAGACGAAGATGACATTGTGTTGTGAACGGTGGGCCTGAAGTATTGGAAGGTCTAGCTGAATCGCGTTAGGACACGGCCACCAAGGCGGTGCGGAGCGGAGGTCATGCAAGGGACGCGGATCGGACCTATAGGCTATTCTTGATATAGAAGTGGCCCGCTACCTATGTTTAAGAAGATACATTCATTATTGAGAAGGGAAATTCAAGTCACAGATGCAGAATAATAGAAGCTTGATCTGAATCTCTTGCGACCAAATGCTTTTAGTTTTGAGGGGCATCGGGAGACTGTTTACTACATCTTGGATGTTGGCTTGATGGGTGTTCCCGCCAAAATATCACTTACAAACCTCGTAGTATCGTTGACCATGCCCTCACTGTAAGCATGCCCAATCCCCGGGTACACATTATCTTCAACATAAACATTACCACCCTTATACCACCCAGTGGTGGCATTATTCAAAAACTTCATGAATGGCTCAGCACAATGGTATGGAACGAGTTTGTCGTCACCACCAGAGCAGACAAGAATCTGTTTTCCTTTGATTTTCGAATCCAGGATCTTGCCGAGACGAGCTTGCTCCTTTTCAGATGGATTTGGGTTGATCTCGGAAGCCCCGAAGAGAAGACCTCGTGGATCCCACTTTTGGATGCTGGAGATAAGGGCTGTAGGGAAGTCTTTGCTGCCGAGAAATTCGGCTCCATTTGACGATTTGTATGTTTCGAGCTTGGAAAGCCTTGCTCGGTCAGTCATAACACCTGGTTGGCGTCAGTCAAGTTCGTGGTGTCAAAGTCCATGGTCATTCAGGGAGGAACTTGCTTGGAAAAACATGAAAGGTAACATAATAGAAAGTGGACTTGAGAAACTGTATCACTGAGCTTTGATGTACATACGGCCGGTCGCTGACACTTCCAGCGCGATAGCTTCTGATATTGCTCCGAGACACTTTAGCAACTCCTTAACCTTCCACCAGATTTAGAATAATAATGCGCCTTGATTGTAAGATTACAATGCAAAAGAAAAAAACTCACGGATATAATCCGGACATCCTATTATCACCACAGCAGCAGTGACTCGTGGTTCGTTGAAAAAAACCTGCCATGCGGCATGTCCACCCAGGGAGACACCGAGCACTAAGTGCTGGTCAATCGATGGTGCGTCAGCAGCATGAAAGACATACGACCCAAGGTGATCTATTAGCAAACTCGTGTCAAGAGCTGTGCCATGGAATATGCTGACAGAGTGTTAGCCGTTGTACTTATTACGAGCAAGGAGGGAAATCTGGACCTGAACATATCCTGAGCATGCCTCACGTTTCCGTCTCTCCACGTTTGATTCGCTGCCCTCTGCACCTCCCTCCTCCCATGGTTTCTCTGATCAAATGCCACAGCAATGAGACCAACCTTTCTGTCAGATGATGGTCGTTGATTCCAATCATTTATGCATTTGTTCGCGGTACTGGCCATGTCATCTTTACTCCCAAGTCTGCCATGCAAGAGCCAAAGAACTGATACGGACTTGCATGATGGCGCGAGCTCCGCGAGACCATGAACCACAGCCAGAATACCAGCAATGTGGAACGTTTTTTCGGAAATAGGTGCAGGTGACTCGGAGTGAGTCTTCTCGAGTGGATTGGGGGTCGCCATTGCCCTCTCTGTGGCTTGGTGATGGACAAGTGGGAGGATGAAGTGGAGAGAGCTTTTACAATACTTCGGGAACTTGAGTAAGAGACGGTGTAATCTACAACCAGACTCTGAGCCTCACATATTCAAACGGAAAAGGATTCAGAAATCTCTATGAGTAGCTTGGAGCTTGATGGGGAGAAGTAAAGCGAGTAAACGGTCGTTGGGCCAAGACATTCGGTCAAGCACCCCCCGTCGAGCCTCGGAACGATGCACGTCATGGGACGATCTGATGTGGGAAATTAGGACTGCTGGACAACACGATTTCCACGCCAGCACTGCGCAATTAAACATCGAAACATCTCCGAACGCTCGCAGACATTTCTCCCTCTCGCCAAAGCATCACATCTATTTTTCTTTCAGCACAGCCGCCAATTAGGTTCTACAACAGCACATCCTGCGGCATTCTCGGCGAGCTAACACAGCACACTCGAAACAGCCAACAAACAGCTTCACACCGACAGGTACCCAGAAGTTATTCGGACCGCCATGAACGCGATATCTGTTCTTTAGCATTGCAAGAAGAGTCCCACGAGGGGCCAGACCAATTGCTATATTCCGCCAGTCGTGGGGCAATACTGCCGGAGGATCGAGTTGTTCAGGGGGCGGTGGAAATGGCCCAACGCAACGATGAATCGCTTTCTCCAATGACAAGAAGCCCCCGTTCTGGGTCGCCTGTGCATTCGAATGCCAATGGGACTGCAAATGCACGGCAATCGGGTCTGCGAACAGAGTTGAGCGTCGACGGACTCCCTGGGGCTGCACACGACTTCGCACCTCCTGTCCTGGCAGCAAACGGCGGCACAAGCAAGGCCGGCGTTGATGCCGTGGATTATTTTCACGGTGGATTTCCTCATGAGAGCCAAAGACCTCCCTTTATGACAGGGGCGGGTGTTTCAAGCAGCAATTCACCTACGAGGCAATCAGCTCTCAAACATACGCCTGGCTCTTTTTCCCAGGATGGAGTTGCGGCAACAGCTGGCACATCGACACCACCTGGGAGGAGGAGTGTACAGTTTGCGAGAGCCGACCCAGGAACGTCATCACATGTTAGATCAGAGTCGTGGGAAGATGGCGAGATCCCAAGCAAAGATCGGCGTGGTCAGTCACTCATGTCAAAGTTGAAGGCATTGGCAACTACAGGTGCTCTACAAACTCACAGCCGGAGTCAAAGCAACACCGCAAACTCCTTCGAAGACGATACAGGCTCTGCGCCTCTCTCACCAACAACGGAGCGTGCGACACGCTTACCATATACTTTACAAGAGGAGGGGAGTGATGTTGACGCTGATGCGGAAGAAACAGCTGACGAGGGGAATATTGCTGATGCAGCGCGAGCCAAGAAGAAGCGGCGGTTCCGACGGCCCCTAGAAACTGCGAACGGAAGCCAAACAGCTCCTAACACACCACGTGTCCGGGGTATGGGAGCAACTGATTCTCCTGGCGGGAGCAGCCGCCAGATTCCCTTCCTTACACGGCGAGCAACAGACGGATCATTGGATCAGAGAGGTCATCTGTCTGAAGGCGAAGGTCGTGATCGACTCAATGGCCAAAGTGCTTGGAGACGCGGGAGCTCATGGATCGCCGGAGCTCGAGGGGCAAGTTATGGTGGCCAACAACAGGCTGATCTTGATGGCACGCCCACCTCAAGAAGACCCGGCCAGTTCAGGCGTATGACAGGCCTTGGAGGTGGCCAAAGTGATGGTGATGGACAAACTCCAAGGCGCCCGTTCCTTGGCGCTGAACGTGCCACAACCTTTGGAGCCCAACGATGGCGGATGTTGAAGCACGGACTCAAGTTGTTGGGCCAGAAGAAGGAAGAGCACAAAGTCGATTATCTCAAGTCGGCAGAATTGATGGCAGAATTGCGCGCTGGAGCCCCAGCAGCCCTTATGTTGGCTAGCATGATCCAAAGGGACGAGCACGGCAACAAGCGTATTCCAGTCCTTCTTGAGCAGCTGAAATTGCACATTACTGATAGTAGACCAAGTGTGGAGGAACCTACAGAAAGCGAACGTCATCTTGTATTCCGAATCGAGCTTGAATATGGCAGCGGATTGAACAGAATGAAATGGGTTATTCATCGGTCATTGCGAGATTTTGCTAATTTGCATCTACGGTACAAGCTTCAAGGCAGCAGCGACAAATATATCCAGCTAAGAAGTGATGTCGACTCGAGGCCGAAACAACCCCGTTTCCCCAAATCAGCCTTTCCTTACTTCAGAGGTGTGCGTGGACTGGGGGAGAGTGAGGAAGATGAGGCTGACAACATTCGTGTGGATGAGACTGTTGGAGAAGCAACTCATAGCGAGAATGAGAGAAAGCGAAAGAAGAGACGACCCTCCCTCGCAGGAACTCGCAGGAAATCAAGTGCGGCTCCACAAGACCCAAATACCGGCGCTGTTATTGGCATGGGACAACAGTCGCAGCAAACGAGGATCTACAATGAGAAACAAAGGAGACGGCTCGAACAATACCTTCAAGAGATGATCCGATGGCTCATCTTCAGAGCCGACAGTAATAGACTATGTCGATTTCTGGAGTTGTCTGCATTAGGAGTTCGACTAGCTGCGGAGGGCAGTTACCACGGAAAGGAAGGATATCTTATCATCCAGTCCGCAAATGGGTTGGATGTAAGAAGACTGCTGAAGCCTAGTAACATCTTTGCCCGGCACTCTCCCAAATGGTTTTTGGTGAGACACAGTTATATCGTTTGTGTAGATTCTCCAGAAAACATGCACATATATGATGTCTATCTTGTGGACCCGAAATTCGAAATCCGACAGAAACGCCGGAGACTCAAGGAGATGGACAAAAAGGAAATGATGGAGACGGCCGGGACCTCTGCAAAACACCCTCAGCATCACAGCCTCAAATTACAGAATTCGGAGCGTAAGATCAAGCTTCTGGCAAAGAACGAACGCCAATTGCGGCAATTCGAGGATTCCTTAAACTACATGTTGAGTACCACACCATGGTCGAAAGAAAACCGCTTTGGAAGTTTTGCGCCTGTCCGAACCGGCGTTTATGCCCAGTGGCTGGTCGATGGCCGAGACTACATGTGGAATGTTTCTCGAGCTATCAATATGGCCAAAGACGTCATCTATATCCATGATTGGTGGCTAAGCCCTCAGTTGTACATGCGAAGGCCCGCAGCAATCAGCCAGAAATGGCGTCTCGACAGGCTGCTTCAGAAGAAAGCCAGGGACGGAGTCAAGATTTTCATTATCATTTACAGAAACGTCGAGGCGGCCATCCCTATCGACTCTGAGTTCACCAAGTTCTCCATGCTGGATCTCCATCCAAATATTTTCGTCCAAAGATCACCGAATCAATTCAAGAAGAATCAGTTCTTCTTTGCTCACCACGAGAAGATCTGCGTTGTTGACCACACGGTGGCTTTTGTGGGAGGCATTGATTTATGTTTTGGCCGTTGGGACACGCCACAACACTCTGTTGTAGACGACAAGCCTACGGGCTTTGAGCAATCAGACCTCCCGAAAGATGCAGATCACTGCCAGTTATGGCCTGGAAAAGACTACTCAAACCCACGTGTTCAAGATTTCTTCCAGCTGAACGAACCTTATGCGGAGATGTACGACCGTTCCAAAACGCCCAGAATGCCATGGCATGATATTGCAATGCAAGTCGTTGGTCAACCCGCACGCGATTTGACGCGGCATTTTGTTCAGCGATGGAATTATGTACTTCGGGGACGAAAACCGACAAGGCCCACACCATTCCTTCTTCCGCCCCCAGATTATAACTCTGCTGATCTTGAGGCGCTTGGTCTTACTGGTACCTGCGAGGTTCAAATCCTTCGATCTGCCAGCGACTGGTCTCTGGGACTGACAGAGGTTGAGCACAGTATCATGACTGCTTACTGCAAAATGATCGAGGAATCTGAACATTTCGTCTATATCGAAAACCAGTTCTTCATTACCAGTTGCGAAACCATGAACACCAAGATCGTCAATAGAATCGGCGATGCCATTGTGGAGCGTGCTACTCGAGCTTACCAGAGCGGCGAAAGCTGGCGTTGCGTTATTATCATTCCCCTTATGCCTGGTTTTCAGAACACCGTAGAGGAGGCCGAAGGCACATCTGTTCGGTTGATCATGCAATGTCAGTTCCGTAGCATTTGCCGTGGCGAAGGTTCAATATTTGGCCGTCTGAGAACCCAAGGCATCGAGCCAGAAGATTTTGTTCAGTTCTACAGTCTCAGAACTTGGGGCAAAATTGGGCCAAACAAAATGTTGGTGACTGAGCAGCTGTATATCCATGCAAAAGTAATCATCGTCGATGATCGTATCGCATTGATTGGGTCGGCCAATATAAATGAACGATCCATGCTGGGTGTCAGAGACTCTGAGTGTGCCGCTGTTGTTCGAGATACAGATATGCTCTGGTCGATAATGGATGGCGAGCCTTATCTGGTGGGAAGATTTGCCCATACCTTACGCATGCGTCTCATGAGAGAGCATCTTGGCTTGGACGTTGACGAAGTCATGGAAGAAGAACGCCGAGTAGAGCTTGACCGGGAAGAGGAGGAATACGAAACGCGGATGAACGGTATCTATGACGGCAATGATTCAGAAACAGACAGGGCCAAAGCTCGAGAAGCCCAATCGGTCCTCCTTCCTGATCAGGCTCTTCGAATTGCAAATCACGAGCGCATGCGAAGCTTCAACCATGACGTTGATTGGGAAGAAGAGGGGAATCCAAATGTGGCACCGGAGAGCTACAAGTCTGTCACAACAGATAAGAGAGTCATCGGCAATAAGGCCCATGCCGCAGAAGTCGATGGCGAAGGCCCCGATCAATTGAAAGCGGCCGAGAAAACTGGGATTGTTCGTGGCCGAGACTCTGTGCTAGCGGATGGGGGTCGTGAAGTGCTCGTCGCTGACATTGCCTCTGAAGGTAAAGGCACTGTCAGTCATCCAAACAGACCGCACGATCGCCCTCCACCAGTTCACCACCGCGGTAGTGATGGGAGTGGTAGCGCAGGAAATGATAAAGTTCCACCAATGCCTTCATTCCCACGGCGGACAACAGACCAACTGGGCCTATCGCAGCTTTCTCAACTCCCTGCTCTCCCCATCACAGATGATACAGATATCGGTGGACCTCCCGTTCACCTCGACGCGACTGGGAGACCGGCACCCAAAGAATTCAACCCTCTAACAGCTGATATCAAAATTGCTCACGTTGACAAGGATTGCATGCGTGATCCTCTCAATGATTCCTTCTTCGAAGACACCTGGCGTCAAATTGCAGATAACAACACGAAGATCTTCCGGCGAGTCTTCCGGTGTAATCCTGACAGCGAAGTCACCAACTGGCATGAGTACGGCGAGTTTATGGCTTATGCTGAGAGGCTTGCGCAATCACAGGGTGGTAAGAGTACAGAATGGGAAGAGCAAGAAGCTGCTGGCAAGAGTGGACCTCCAGGAGCCTCGTCAACAGCTGCAGGCATGGCAGCAGTACCAGTATTAAGTAACTTGACCGAGAAGATCAATCGCCATGGGCAAGATGACCGTCCACTAGGAACAGTGGCGGAAATAGCTGAAAATGCTCGTGAGGATAACGCGAAACGCACTGATACTGGTCGAGAAGGTGGAATGAACGGCCATTTGGACGGCATCGATGAAAAGGCGGAGCTGAGAGCAGAGGAGCCTGCCTCCCCGATTCTGCCCGCGGGAGACGAGACATTCCCATCGCTCGACTCTACCCTGCTCGACACCTCGACAGCAGCTGCTGAGACAGCTCCTCAGCCAGTGACCTCAACGCCAGCCCCCAGAAAAACTACGTTTTCGTCCACAACTCCAACTACCAACCCCGCAACTAATGGTTCCGCGAACAAAGGCTCAGGCAAGAGACGTCGTCGTGGCACCACAAAAAATAAGTTTTCGGGAAGTGACGACTTGCTGTCTAGACAAGATGCTGAGGAACTGCTCGGTCTTGTGCAAGGACACCTTGTGTTCTTCCCATACGACTGGCTCATCAAGGAAGAGCTCAATTCTAATTGGCTTTACCAGGTGGACCAGGTGGCACCGTTACAGATCTAGTGAGTTCAACCTGATTCCTAATCAATAGAAGAGAAATTGCTCACATGTCATGCAGTAATTAATTAATCATTTGATGGCCGACTGCAAGCGGGAAACAGCATTTTGTATATGTGTATCAATGATGACCACATGGATTGGTAAAACGGCTGCATTCGGGGACCAGGCGTTCTACTTCTTCTGCAGCATTCCAGCGAAGAGTTTCTTTCTCCAAAATGTATCATGCTCATGGCATCAGTCATTCAAACACTCCAATTAAATCCACGCATCAGCATCATCATCTTCGGTGATTTATACTCGTTCACTGACCCAAATCGCTCCTCGGCACCCTGCTCTTATCACACCGGTCAGCAGCTCGTAAGGCACTGCTTGCTTTGCATCATTCTCCACCGCATGATCCAAGTGCTCTAGCTCTTCATCCCGTATCCGTCTGATCGTATCAATCAACTCTCTCAATTCCCCTCCTATCTCCTCCCCGTCCTTCTCCATTTGCTCCGCCATCTCCAACAGTACACGCACTTGTCCATTATAATGTCCCCCGATCTCCGTCTCTACTGCCTCCGTGCATGCCATAGCTGCTTCTCGCCCCATGATCGCCGTTCCCCATCCAAGGGCCGAGGCGGCCAGCGTCCAGACGGGGTACATGGCTGTGGGCCGGATGCGGTGTTTTGCCATCAGGGAGTTGAAGGTGCTGAAGTGTGCGGCTTCTTGGTCGTACATGTGTTTCATGAGGGGCCGCAGGTGGGGGTGCGAGGAGACGATGGGAGGTGTTTGGGCCGTATAAATGAGGGTTGCTGCTAGTTCGCCAGCTTGATTGACTCGTAGCTGGATCAAGTATCAGTATGATTGAGACAAGATGAGTTGGGGGGTTTTGACTGCTGTGGAGAAGTTTATAATAGACGTACGGCACTGGTGAGGAAATCTCGCTGGGCTTGGGTTAAAGGTTTATTGAGTGGTGCTGGGTTGGAGGCAGCATCTGGGCCGGATTTCGGGGTTCGTGAGGGTTGACTTGGAGAGGTGCTCTGGTTTCCACTCGAACCTGCAGCTGTAAAGCATCGTTTCGTGACATTTAACCTTCGAATCTGGTGAGAAGCTCGGGGAGCTTGAAGCAGGCTCGGAGCGAGGAAATCGTAAACCGGTAGGTGTGCAACAAGATAACTTGCTCGTTTTGAACATGCGTACAATGCCATTTTGAGAGCCCTGGGGGGAGGTCCTGGTGCGAAGAAATTGGCACGAATTTGCCTACGTCCTCCAAAGTTGTAGTTGTGAAGCGTGAGACGGTTTTGATCATGACAAGTTGATACTAGCGGGGTCGGCTAAAACTTTAAATAAACGCCGTCGCGCTAAGCAGGGGTGGCTTGAAAGTGAACTGTGCCCTTTTGCACCTTTGAACCAATTTCTACAGCACTTCCACTCTTCCTTTCGTTTTCCGGGACATCTGCGAAACCATTCAATCCGGCAAATTCCTTCTGGTCCTCACTATCTGCATATAAATCACGCCATTACACCACCCGTCATCGCCACATAAATTCACTTCTATTCACTTTCGCGGAGAGCCTGAGTCGGGCTTGCACAAAAGAGAACCGCACTTCGTTATCTTTGTCGAACAAACTTTCTTCCTACAACCGGAAAGCGCCACCTTAACAGCACCGACATCATGGCGGATATTGACGACGAGCTCCTCGCTCTTGCAGGAGAAGCCTCATCTGATGAGGAAGAAGATGCGCCAATGAACATCAGCAGGGAAAGTTCGGGTACCCCCGCTGGCAAGACTGCTGGTAAACCTAGTGCAAAGAAGTCTGGTGGAAAGAGGACAAGCAGGCGCCCAAACGACTCCGAAGAGGAGGGCGAAGCGTAAGTTTCTTTCCGTCTTCATACCTGAAAACTCCTGGCGGGAGAAGGATGCTGACCCAGTTGCAGCTCTTCTGGTCACTCATCCCCCGACTCCCTACGATCTGCCCCTATGGATCAGTCAGACTCAGAATCCGATGGCGATCCTGCCTTCGACGATGATGATGGAGACCGATATCCGGTGGAGGGCAAGTACCGGAATGCTTCTGACAAAGCAGAGATCATGGCTATGCCTGAGATCAAGCGTGAGGAACTTCTCGCCGAGCGTGCCCAGGAAGTAGAGCGAGACAGACAAAACAGAGCTCTTCGACAACTTTTGAATGCTCGAGAGGCAGATGCCAAGAAGCAGGACAAGAAGCGCAAGGCAGGAGCTGCAGACTTGGAGGAGAACCAACGCAAGACCTCTCGCCAAAGAACAAAGCTAGGTGGTGGAAAGGTTGGAGAGGCCAGCACGGGAATCGACAGTCTAAAGCGTGCAAGAGCCGAGAAGACTGATCGTCAACGTCGCCGAGATGAAGACAAGGAACGAAACAAGGACAGGAGAGCTGCTCGAGACGAAGAATACTCGGATGCCGATGCTGATGGAGATAGCGAGGTTGAATGGGATGACCCAAAGGCTAGGAACAAGAAGAAGTCTAAGTCTCCGGATTTCCGAGACGCAGAACCATCTGGTCTTCATGATATCGAGCGAGTTAGAGTCGGCAGATCCCGATTTGCTATGGTTTGCTTCTACCCTGGCTTTGATGAGGCCATCACTGGCTGCTATGTCCGGATCAGCGTTGGTGAGGACAAGGAGAGCAAGCAAAATATATATCGAATGGCACTCATCAAAGGTATGTATGCAACTTTGGGTGTTGATATGTATGCTAACGAATTGCAAAGGGTTCGTCGAAGACAAGCCATACGCTATTGAAGCTGCAAATGGCAAGCAAGTCAGGACAACCCAGTATATACGCGCTGCTCACGGGAAGTCGGAGAGAAACTGGCCCTTCTTCAGTGCCTCTGACTCCCCCTTCACCGAGGTTTGTAGAAAGGTATCAGCAACGTTGATAGCTTGATGCTGATTTTTGATAGGCTGAATGGAACCGCTACAAGCAAACATGCATAGTGGAAGGTGTCCCGCTCCCAACAAAACCAAAACTTGCTGCAAAGATCGCCGACATCAACAATCTTGTCAATCGCTCATGGACCGAGGCTGAATTGCAAGAGAAATTGACCAAGTCCGGTGCTCTTGTCAATAAATACATCCCGATTGAGCGGAACCGTCTGAACAATTTGATCAAAGAAGCCAAGGCTCGTGGCGACACAGAAAAGGAAGAAACTTACCGCAAGGAGCTTGAAGCACTCGATGGACCAAAGCTGGCGTACAGCACCTCGATGCATCCATCTCCAAAGAAAACATTAACACCATCAGGCTTGAGCCAACAAGAGCGACTTGCTATTCTGAACAAGCAGAACCGCCGAAAGAATGCAGAAGAGGTGCGCCAAGCACAGATCAATGAGAGACGAGCCGCAAAGATGACTGAAGCCGCCATCGCTCGTGGTGAGAACGTTACAGAAGACCACTCTCGACGTGTCAAAACCCGGGCCAAGTTCAAGCACGATGTTGCAGATAACTTTGGTGCAAATAAGACCGGCAGTGAAAGAAGCGGCACCAACACTCCAGCAATCGGTACGCCTAATCTCACTGCCAAGAAACCTTCCACGCCTCTCCCACACCTTCCAAAGCTTCAAGAAAAGAAAGGAATTCCTACAATTCGACGCCCGTTGATGGATGACGACATCATTGGTTCCATCGATTTGGGCATTGACATTGAGATTTAGAATGAATCCGCTTGTTTTCGCGTATTGGCAGACGGAGACTTATTCTTGAGTGGATTGATTTCCGCGGTGGTCTGGACGTAGGGCATGGCGTCTCGCATCTCTCTGTTGGGATCCAGGAAAGAAGGCGTTGGATTCTCACTCCAGGATCATGTATTTTAGAATGGAAAACATTGCGCTGAGTAGACTTGACGGACCGATGATTCCATGTGAAGTGGTGACTTTGGGGCTTAAATGCCATCCTCCCTCATATCTGAGATTTCAAGTGCAAACTTGAGTGGCATGATACAAGGGAGAAACGATCCAGGTGAGCAAATTTGTTTCCAGAAGGTGGTCTCCCGATACAGAAGAGGGTGACGTTTCTCTTAATCAGAGTTCTTTGGTCACAAAAACTCCAGTTCTCTCGACGCTGTTATCTCTAACTCTTGAGTAACTTATCCGCTCAGTCTATAGGTCTTCCGTATCTTACTCGCTAGTCAAGTAGCTTGCGACAATAACTGTGAACCAGGGAAGAAGGCATTCAATCGGAACACTGGGTACGAAAGGGGTTCTCAAGAAGTCAAGAACCACCCCCTAGTTCTGCCATCGCTGTAAGAGGGAAATTATAGGGCGATGGCCAATATCCTATAGTTTTGGTTGGCCAAAGCATCTCACCGCCTTGCAATGGTGGCTCTTGACTTCTTGAGACCCCCTTTCGTACAGCAGGACAGGTGAGTGTCAATCATGTGATTTCCATTACCCGAACATGGCTGATGCCTCAATATCCAGGCGCCACTTCTGACATCGGACGACGAAAAAAGCTCAATCCACACACTTGGCGTTTGATACCCGCTTCCGGATCTGCTTCATGGACCCTTTGAAGTGTCCCAGCGCATGTCAGAGAGACAGCCTATCGCCTTTTCAGCTCCAGCACCGCCTCACGATTGTGCAATGCCCGTGCAGCAGGTCGGCCGCTGGGCGCCAAGTGAGATCTCCGTCCTCGCATGGACTTTTGAGATTCCTGATCGCGATATGGCTGAGAGCACGAACGCTGCGCCTTCTCGAACTCGTCACAGCAAGTTGACAAAGATCGGCTGAAACCTCACGCAGCGATCCATTTCTGGAGCGAAGTGTCTGAACTGCTTGCTGGACCTGTGGGCAGTGCAGCATCCTGGTCAGAGCTGCACCATCTGCAGAAGATGAAACACGGGGTCTACGGGTGTCGGGCCATATGGAGCCAATCGCGCGGGCGGCACTTTCTCCAGCAGACTCCAAGTTTCCTCACGGCGGACCTGCTAGTCATCACAGAGAGTGATGTCTGGCTCGCGCTGCCCACCACCAACGCTACCGCCGCGGAATAGCTGCATCGCCAGAAGGCCTGGATCCCAGGCAATAGCAGCAATTCGAGCACTTTCCTCCGGCACGCATGTGGATGGCGGATGCAGAGGTGTGCTGGCCCCCAGCCGACCCACTGAGTACTGCTGAGGACCTTCTCAGCAGAGGCGGAGGTGATCGCCCAGAGTTATCATGTCCCTCAGCAGATGATGGTTGAAGTGGCAGTTCCACCACATCGCCACGATATCAAGAATAGCAGCCGCATGCGCCTGTGCATACGACGCTTCTTCGCTCGTCGCCATCAACTCGACTTCGCGTGGCTGCATCCCGTTCAAGACAGCGAAGTAGACAGAGCAGCTTGCGATATCCTTGGCCCGTTCGCGAGCTAAGCTTCCCAAGTACCGAGCTCTGCTGCATCAGTCCGGGCGTATGACCGTTCGCTGGTGTCATTGTGTTTCCAGATTCGCTGTCTTCGCCTTGGGATCAAACATTCTGGCCCCAAGACAAGACGTCAAGCTGGTTGGCGGAAACATTGGAGGAAGTGGCTCATGTTGTGTCCGTTGCTCAAGCTCTCCATCTCGGTGCAACTGACTGCAGGAGAGGCGGTGTCAGATAACGGTGGACGGTATCAATCGTGATTCACAATCAGTCGGTTCCGTGAGCAGATCCTAAGGTCAGCTCAGAGGAGAATATCTTTCTTGAACGATCTTCCAAAGGATCCACACGAAACGCGGCGGCCACACGGCCACAGCCCACAATGACCAGGGTCCCAGCAAGCACAAGCCTCAATGGTTCATCGACGGCTTGATCCAGCACCCTTGCATACGACTGTCTCGACAAGGCTCCGAAAGATGGGCCCAGTCAGCATGGGTCATTCCCTCAGATAGTGTGGGGAATCTCAACATCAAACACTGGCCGAGTCCCCGTTCCAACATAATCAATGCACTATGCACCACCCGCGCTCAACTTTGGCGGTAGAATTGACTTCCAGCTTCATGTCTGTTTTCTCTTCCCACATGTGGTGCTCATGTCGGCTGCCGACCGTTGTCTCTTCCTCTGCTGTCTCTGTTCAACTAGCCGTCAACCAAACGTGGCAAGGTCCTTCATGCATACCCGAAGCAGCCCTACATCGACCAGGTAGTGTGAATGGCCGTTAACTTCGTCCTATCTTTAATATCTTTCTACGTCTTTGGTTGAGCAATTTGCATCCCCCCTCCCATTCGTCAGCCATTATTGGAGAAGCAAGAGCTTGGCCCTCGACAGCCTCCTACGGCGTGGTTCATAATAAATTGTGTAAAACAATTAAGCTGAAGTCTGCTGAACTTTCTTCGTCCAATAGCAGTGCCTCCGCCTGATATATCCAGGCAAGCAGTCTTTCCGCAGTCAATGCCTCGGAAGCCTCACCGTTTCGAGGAGAAGAGATAAAATATCATTGTTTTCTTTCGGGCCTTGGTAGATCCGCTCGATATCTTGAGAGGTCGGATGTTAAAAGACGATTGGGACGATACACCAAGCCTCACCTCACTGTTTCGAACGTTTCCGATGAGGTCAATGCATTGTCGGATGTCGATCCCACACTCCAAGCCTCTTACTATCTCGCAAGAAACTCGGAGACTTGATTCACATCTCCAGTCAAAGCCACTCGATTAAAGTTTATCTGAGCCGAGAGCTGGTCTCCTTAATCAGATCTGTTAATCAATCAGACATCTGAAACACTTCACTTCGATCACCACAGATTGACCTTACATATCCCCAACATCTCCCTCCAGGACGGGACGAGTTGAGGGGTATTGGAAAGTTAATATCTTCTATCGGACGGCTACCTTTCTATTGAACAATTCTGGGTCTGGAAACTCCATCATTTCGACCGATACATCCCTCTGGAAAATTTTGGTCGCCGATAAACAAGACAGAAGACAGTGGTTTCAGATTATCGTTGGAGGAAGACTTCGCCTTCAACAAGTCGTCAAGATGGATCTCACGTCACTGTTGAATGCGAATTCTTCTGCTGCCGGGCAGCAGAGGAAGGAGGTCTCGAGGACGCCGCCACGGAATAGGACTCCATGGGACGCTGGAGGTTATTCACTACCAATCAACACTGTCTCGAGTATGAATACTACTACGCCAACGACACCACCTTATAACATTCATTACGATGATTCACATGTCGAAACTCCAAGATCACCACATCATAAATTCTCGGACAGCAGGAGCAGTCTCTCTTCCTTCGCATCATCTTTACAATCCGCATCGCACTCGAGATTCTCGTCTATGTCCACGGTCTCAAGTGTAATTCAACCCATGAACACCATCCTCGCTGAAAGCATAGCTCTCGATTCTGCAACAAAACTACAGCCTCTAAACTTGGAAAGTGCGCCAGTACCCATAAACCACTCTCGATCACCAAGTAGCGCCACACAACCCCGAGGCAGCATATCACCAACAGGTTCCCTCGACGCACTTGCGCTCGTCGCGGAAGGTCAACAGGCGAGGCAGCAACCGGAACCATCGGCATCGAAGGGCGGAGAGGACAATATGTCGGCCAGCAAGGAAGGGAATAGCAAGGTTGCAATAGACAAATCGATGTCTTCAGAAAGACCGAGCTCACCAAGCGATGCGATCCTCATCAAGCGCACCACAGTTCCGAGTCTAAGACTCAATACGCGAGAGCAGGATTTGGCGGAACCGAGTCCGGCACAATTGTGAGTAGAGATTTCTTGCGCATTTCTTGAGGACTTTGAGGCCAGATGTTCGAGGTTGGTTTCTTTTTGTTCTGGAACATTGTTCGACTTCCCCTCTGGTTCACCAGCGCAAGTTTGGTCGTCACAGATCAGCAACATAGGATCCAGATAAGATTCTGCGATCGAATGATAAGACGGAGCTCGCATTATACTTTAACTTAGACCGTTGGATTTCCTTCTTTTTGCGAATCTTGCTTCTTGGTTTTGCCGCATCCTTGCGCTTTTGCTGCGTGGTCAATTTTGTTTGGCTCCCGTTCTGTTCTCGTTTTGGTGGATTGAATATTGCAGAGTACTTTGTGAGAGCAAACGCCATAGTCGAAATTTTGGTGGAGAAATTTTGATTGCAGGTTCTGGTCTGGCATTGCTTCGCAAGGGATCTGTGGGAGGTCACTTGATGGTACTGGATGTGGAAGTTCTCGCCACGGTTCGGTCCATCGAGTCATCATTAAAACTTTACGAATTGTTCGCACACGTTTTGCATGGAACTCGCTAGCAGGTTGCTACGCATTAGAGGCCCTAAAGTTGCATTCTCGTCGCTGCCATTGATGGATGGCCGTTACCCTCATTTTTGAAGGACAGAAATGCGGGTAGCCTCATGAAGTCAATCACCAAGTTGCCATAAGAGAATACTTCCAAGTCTCTCTGGATAGTAATGCCAGACTCGAGGCCGTTGCTGCAAAAGTGGCCATAAGGAGTTCGCCGCTGCATTATGAGGCTGAAATCTGCAAAACTCTGTGAATGGTGTCAGGCAACAAAGTTGTTGCTGTCAAGCATCACTATTGAATGTTGAAAGCTTTTAGCCGAATTAGGAAGTTGCTCTTCCTTCTTCAACTATATGACGTCTTCATAAGAGCTTTACAAGTGTGCAGATGATTCACGAGAGCTTTGTGCCTATTGTGCGAATGTCATGGCTATGAGGCATTAACTCGGAGTTTTGGCTGAATTAGGAAGTCGCCCTTCCCCTTTCAGCTAAGCGAGTTGACAACTTCAGCTGTTAGAATATTCGCGAAAAGGTCACACAATTGTTCCGACTCAAACACTGCAACTTGAATTATTTAAGAATGTTATTGCTATGACATATTACCTCCCTCCTTGCGAATATTTTGGCTGAATTTGGAAGTCATTACTGCTTTTTTACTAAGTGCAAGATTCATAACAGCTTCAGTCCTCCTGTTTTCGTTAAGCAAGGATTAGTAATAGTTAGCTGTGAGTGTTTGTTACATTGCTGCACAAGAATCTACGCGAAAAGGCTGGAACCCTCGAGTGTTCGATGAAGTCTTTGTATTGGTTCGAAATTTTCTCAGAGCTCTTTGCCTTGATTAGGAAGTCGTTCTTACTATTTTTGTTTAAGTGAAAGCTGGCAATAACTTCACGGTTAAATTCATCACAAGGCTGCATGAACTTTCAGGCGCTAAGACTGCAACTCTCTAAATGTTCTATGATGTCCTTGGATAAAGCTGAAGTTTTCTGGCGGTTATTGTCCGGATCAGGAAGTCGTTCCTTCCGTTGCTATTTAAGCGAGCATTGGTGATAGCTTCATTGCTGAATTCACCGCAAGGCTGCGGCAAAATATCAGGCGCTCGGGCCGCAGCCTCGAGTATTTATGAGAGCCTCGCATGTTGCCCACAACAATCTTTCTTCCACAAACACAATCATCGCACAACATCAACCCAAGTGCGAGACATCCATCCACACCCTCTATTGCTTTACTCTTTACAACCTCTATCTCCCTTCAACAATTCCAAGTCATCAGACAACAAGTGCACGCATTTCTTCTCCACCATCTTTTTGCTCGTCGTCGTCGTCGTCTCCGCCGGCTCTCTTTCAGACCGAAGGCCCTTTGGCCATCCCAAGTCTTCAGACAACAGGGCTTCTGTCTTCTCTCTCCTTGTGCGTCGTCACCGCCTCGCCGTCGTCACTGCAAAGGTTCGGATCGCAGAGATCGGACAGCAGCCAAGGTTCAGACCGCAAGGGCGTTGCAGCGAAAAGCATTTCGCCAAGGACCACAGTCTCTATCTACACCAAAACTTTTTAGTCAAAGTTGTGTTGTGTTTCGGGTATGTCTTCGACATTGTATTGCTTTCCAAGAACATTTAAATATGCCGCATCAAAAACGAGTCGGCGTCGCCTTCTCGTGGCTGCAGATGTCCTTGCTATTTTCACTGTTGCAGTGATTGAGTCTGAGTCGGCGTCGCCGCCCTGTGTGCATTCGTGTTTCTGTTCTTCCCTCTTGGTCTTGAACATTGAGCTTCATTGTCCCAAGTTAGTCTTGGACATTCTGGAGTTCCACTGTCCTGAGTTGGTCTTGAATATTTGGTGTTGTTGTCCGAGCCGGTAGTGGAACCTTTACAGACCCGAACTTGCACTAACATAAAATTTAGTAATAGGAACTATCTCAGTGCTCCTTTAGAAAACCACCACCAATCCCTTATCCAAGGCCGAACACACAAGCGAGCCCTCTCCGCACCTGACTTTACCTCTTCTATTCACAGATTTCCTATCTTGGCCGACTCATCTTCCTCTGTGGGGCCCCGCGCCGAGCCAACCCCGCCGTCATCGCATCACCCTGACAGCTCCTCTCCGACCAGCCCTCCTGGCTATACTGCTCCGGACACCCCACCCAACATGGATGCCGGCAATCAAGCTCAAGCTATTGCCTGCATGTACATTCCCAATTGTGACACCGGCTCGCAGTTGAGAAAGGCCATCTCGCACATCTTCGGTCGAAACAAGATGTGCACTCGCCTCATTCCGCAACACATCTGGGTCCATTACTGCCGCAAGCACTACCAGCGTAGCCGATACCGTAATCCGAAGGAGTATGCCAAGCTGCAATGCGACTTGGTCCAAAAGCAAATCCGTGCTATTCGCGAATGGTCAGAGTCTAATAAAAAAAAGGGTGATGCCGGCACTGTTGTAGACTGGGGTCTGGCTGTTCGCAAGAGAGAACAGAAGCGCCTGGATGAGATTAATGCTGGAGGCCGCAAGAGAACCGCATCTGCTGCTTTTGAACTAGGTAGTGATGAGGAGGGCGGAAGCCGAGGAAATTCTGTTCCGGCAACTGCTGTTCCTTCTTGGCTCTTGGATCATTGTGGAAAGGGTTACTCGACTGACGAGATTCTTGGCATCTTCAGCCGCCTCCACACCGAGATTCTCAATGATGAGATGCCCTGCTTCCCTGACATCGAGATTCTTCCCAACATTGTTGTTGATCAGGACGAGGCCAAGTCGCCAAAGGGATATACGAAGAGAACTCCGGCTACCGGCCACAAGAGATCTCAATCCTTAGGTGTCAGCAGCATGGCATCAAGCTACTATCCTGCTGAGTCCCGTCGCATGAGCCAACCCGGAGTTTGGGGTCAGGATGCCAGTCCATATGGCGGATCCTCGCAGAAGAGACAACGCCCCAACGAGATAGGTATGGAGTCCCAAGAGCGTCTTATCCCATCATTCCAGAGACCTCGCATGTCCGAGAGACCCGTTGAGACCGGTCGACGTACCCAACATCTTGCCCACCGCCCTGTCCATCCGAGCATCCAGGAGCATGATGATGTCTATGGTCCACAAAACGCCTACCAACATCAACTGCCGGCACCCGTTGCACAACGCCACGGTAGTCAGTCAATGGCTGCACAGCTTGAGACTAACAATGACCACGCTTACGCTTCACGACGTGGTATGCATCAACGATCGCAATCCGACATGAGCTTTGCTCGCCATGAAACATATTCTCCAACTCCATCTCTGGATCCAGCAGTCCAAGACCGTAACGGACGTGTTAGCCGCAACTTCTCCCCGGCCTACCACCCCGAACAAAGCTATCCGTCTATGCAATATGCCGATCACCATCCGAGCCATGTCGCTCGCCCTGCCTATGGCCACTCTCGCCACCAATCTACCCCTATGGCGCAGCAATTATACCACGGGCAGCACTCCCAGCATTCCCCCTCTGGCTTCGGCTACGTTCAAGGTGGCAACCCCCTCCCACCACCTGTTCCGCAAATCACCGAGTCACCGCAGGTACAAGCCCTTTACCGCTCACGCCGTTAATTCTTTCGGACGACCTAACACTGGCAACTGGCAACTATTTACCCGTCACTGCCGCCGTCGCCGTTCTCCTTCTCCTTCAGTGTACATTGATTAGACGTCATGATTTCACACGATACCCCTCCTCTTTATTATTTCCTAGGTCAATCAAACAGATAGCTATTAGCATATTCTGTGGATTGAACCTATGTAATTACTGTTGGACTACTCCTGCTTTTCTGCGATGGGTTTTTAGATGCGGGAGAGACGAGGAAAAGAATTGCGCAGATTTTTTTTTTCGGGGAGGTCAGCAACGGATGAACATGGATGGGATGGATGACTCTAGGCGGGCCGGGCCGTTCTAGAGGGAGCGATATGCTTGGGCGGGTGGATACATGCATGGGTTTATGATCATTGCGCAGGGTTTGGGCTGCCTCACACAAAAGTCTTCTATTTGCGATGCTTTTCAGTCACCTCACGGTGCCAATTAATAGACATACAGTGCTTCACTATAACAATCTTTCATTTTACTTGGTGAATCGTCCCAGATGTGCCTTGATGGGATGGAACAATGAAACCTAGGTCAAGATGGATATCCTAGGATACGATAGCACAAGGAGTTTTGTGCCAACTTGAATGTTCGAAAAGATTTTGGAATAATAAGTCTCGAGCCAAGTTGAATATTCTTGAACTTTTGGAACAATGGGGACTTGGAGAAACTGGAAATTTGCATCGGAAAGTACCAGATTGCCCATATACTGTATAATGAACTTCCACTGATTTCAAGGTCCCAACTTAGGAACAATCAATTTCCCCTCCATCCCAATGTCTCCAACCCCTCTCGAACAATCAATCCCCTTAACTCTTAATGTCCCTCCTCACACCAGTACAATGAGCTTCCCTTCCACGTGACGCAAAGAGGGGTCCCCAGCTTCCTCACCAAGCCACCTGCAGGGGTACGGAGATCTCTTTGTTTGAAACAAGATCCATATATGTGCTATATTTGCTGGGAGGTTCGCGCCGAATAGGTTGCGTGTAACCTAAGATTTTTATTTGGGGCTCAATGGGAGCACGGGAATAGCGTTTGCTCGGTGAAAGACGAAGTTGTATTGCTTAGATGGATGCACTGTTTTCCGAGTCCTTGTATTCCGTTTGAAGTTTAGTTGGGATTAGGTTTCTATTTTCAGGGGCTAGATGCAGGAATGGAGAGGCTTGGAATAGGAGGCTCAGGCCGAGCGTCATGGAGCACCCCACGAGGGCGAAACAAATGTTCCGAGTTGAAGAGTTGTCACGGGTAAACCCACGTCATTTACGAGGGCCTCACTTAGGTTATAGGAGGCTTTACTTCGTTCCGGGCTGCCTTTGGTTGATCGCGGGAGTTCAGGAGCTCATGCTCAGATGACATGATTAGACCCCAATGGCAATTGAACAAGCCAGAAGGGCCTTCTTTAAATCTCTCAAGTTCTGTCTACTTGCCTTCGTATATCCAGTACTTTTCGTGGTTTCTTTGTAGAAGTTTTGTGTAGATAGTCCTTCAATTATATACTTCTCCATGTCCATCGCTGCCCTGATCGGGTCTGCCTCTGCGATGGCCGTTTTTATTATTTCAAGGCGAGTTCTGACATCAGTTCTGGCATTGGTCGAATCAAGTGGCCCATACCAGTACTACATCGTAAGTCTTTCCTCGTTCTTAAAATGAACGATACTAATTCGAGCAGGATGGCTCCGACGCCATAACTTCCTACATTGGCCTTATCACGTCCCTGGGCTGAAGACCTGGTCTGGTAAACAGCTCTTTTTGGGTGTGTATGTAACGTCTAAAGAGAGAAGAGAGCGGGGAGCTCGAGCTAAGTACAGGGTGCCACGCTAGGGCCAGGTCATGTGACGCTAACGTCACAACAGGCCTCGACCCATCATACAAGAACCCCGCCGACACAAGCAGCACCAAGACGCCAAGCTTACCTTGGGCAGCACTTCCTTCTGGAACGGCCAGGCCATGCACCAAACGGAACTGATTCTCCAAAGAACGGCGGCAATCAACAAGGGAACAGTGTTCTATCACTTCAATTTAATGCAAAGCAACACGAATTCCCCGTCCATCTACCGAAAGCATCAAATCTGCTTCTTCGAGTCTCACTACACGGAGCCCAAATCTGTATTGATTTCGGGAGAGAGCGGAACCAGCGATCCATTGTCGATATGGGATATTGGTGGGACCACGAAGTGGAGCACGAATTGGACAGATGTTGTTTGGCATAATGTTGCTTATGAGATCGGACGTCTTCTTGATGTTTGGGAGGACTTGCTCATGCTAATCGGACATAGAACTTTGGGTTCTTAGTTGCTCTCTGGCACTCGGCAGGTTCGGACCCATTGACTTTGACGGTTCCAGCCGTGAGCACGTCCGTCTCATCGAATGGCGTAGACTGGCATTTGGGTGTTCTTGAACTCCCTGTTTCGGACCAGAAGGACTCTACGGAAGACTTCTTCTTTAGTGGAGTGCACATTGAGAGTAGCTCGTTGACGAAAACGGTTACTGGGCCCGCAGGTGTATCACGACCCTAGAGCTGGTGTTCTCAGTGGAAAACAGCTGTATTGGGTGTGTGGTGTACGTCTAAAGAGAGAAGAAGGAGCGGGGAGCTCGAGAACTTAGATACAGGGTGCCGCGCCAAGAGATCATGTGACGACACAACAAGGCGCAAGCCCTAGAATCCGTCGAGAAACCACATAAGTGATTCTGTGAGAACATTTGGGGAATGTTCCGGTGAGTTGCCGCAAAATGGGTATCAAAGGATCCATCGAGAGCCAGAGCGAACATTAGACTTGGAAGATCTGAGGGAAAGGGGGTTCTCATTCTGCTGTATATATTCTTCAGGAGTACATATCTGCTGAGATGTCATGGAATTTTCTATTGTTCATCCTCTTTACCTTATGCCTTGCATATTATAAATTCGGGGACTTAGGGATCACTTGAAGGTATTTTGATAAGAGAAGGGTTTGGAAACGCACCCTGGCCACGAAAGAGGCAAGGGAAGAGCAGCCAGACCCAATGCAGCCTAGTCGCACTCCAACCAAGTCCTTACATTTCAACTTGGCCTGGTTTCGATATCTGCAACCCTGCACTTCACACCTCGCATTCATCGCTCTTGATGTCCACATGCGGTCATCCAATCGGAGATCCGATCACGTTCACGATGCTCTCGACAGGAGCGACATCGGGTTCCCACTCCTCACTGGTGTCAGCGCGGTGGAATAGCATGCACTGAGTCATAGACGATGATGACACGCCCTCTGGTTGACATGACCTCCAGCGGGTATAAATGCCATGCATTCCCATCAAGTCCAGTGCGACCCGGGTTGCACGGTGTTGGGACGGATTTATTCGAATTCTTGCGACGCCAGGTTTGTGGAAACATCAAACCTGATCCTCTTTCCCAGCAGCCTTATTCTTGTTTCTTCTTGGCTTCTTTTCCTTGCCGTACTCGAAATCTGCAATCTAAGTTTTCTTTCCGGGTTTTCGTCTTTCGAGCCAAGGCGCAACGTTGCGATTCCTCTACTGTGGCCAGATAGATAAGAGATGTTCTTTGGTTCTTCGAGAACGCCAGTGGTCCCTGGAAAGACACAAGACGAGAATGCTGCAGCCGAAGCTGCTCCTGCATCAAACGTTGACATGGAGGTGGGAAACCCAAGCTCATGGGACGAGCCACCCAGTGCCTACTCCGTAAGCCACGGACAGCAGGGGGGGTCTGCACACCGGGGCTAGCTGGCGCCAAGTCTTCCCCTTATCCAGACGAACGTCGTAAAGCTGTACAAAGGAGGAAGGAGTTAAGAACGTCTTTGATTGTTGATATTGAGTGATATCTGAATTCTGGGATATCCACAGATAAGGCGGTCATTCACAAGCATCAATTGGCGTGCGCAGTTTACGCGTCTAGGGGAGATGCTGCATCTGTTCTCCCCTTTGAGCCAACTTTTCCTTGTGGTAACGGAGAACAGCCGAATTGGTGAGACGGTGTACGGCCAGAATACACTCTGGCAATGAACATACTCATCGGTGTTCCCGAACACAAAGCCAAGCCCAAAGTCGCACTGCAGTAGTCTACAAATTCTGAATGATCACTGCAAGCTACATTTCTCTGGCTGTTATTGGCTCATCCGTGCCCAATACTATGGCCCCTTATCAGTCTGTAGCGAGGTGATCAGCACGGAGGGCGGCAAAAGGGTGCATTTGTGTTACCCTAGCCGGCTTCAGATCTGGTAGATAAGGTACAGGATATCTCAATTACCTCACTTGTATTCTCTCAACTTTAGTGATACCATTTTGACCTAGACCGGCACTGGCATCGAATTGCTACCCACCATGGCGGAATCACCACAGAAATCACTGCAGTACTCGGATCCAGAGAGTGATGTTTACGGACAGGGGAAGAAAAGTGAATATGTTACAGAAACCCCTACCTACGCTACGGATGAGAGGCTCGGGGAGAACGAGGAATATGGAGAAGTGAAGGAATTGAGGTAGATTTGATACTGATCGAACTTGTGCATTAATCTAACCTGTCAAAAAGGCGCGGTCTTGCGCAGAGGCATATTCAAATGATCGCTTTGGCAGGTACGATTGGAACAGTGAGTATCCCATTCTGAATTCAGGAGATGTTCTGACGCGGCGTCAAGGGTCTTTTCCTCGGCTCGGGCAAAGCCATCGCTCGCGGAGGGCCGCTTGGAGCATTGTCAGTTTCCCACTACGAGCTATGAGGACCGTACTGAGATTTCATAGCATGGGATACTCGTTTGTGGGTGTTCTTGTCACTGGGGTAGTGCTCTCAATCGCAGAGCTAAGGTGAGAGATGCCCAGGCACATCAGGGACAATCCTACTTATACACAGCAGCGCTCTTCTTCCTCTTAGCGGCGCGATCATTCGACACGCCGAGCACTTTGTTGACCCCGCGCTTTCGTTCGCACAAGGATGGAACGTCGTATATTCTTCGATGGTGTCCTTACCTGCTGAACTCACTGCCGCTGCCGTCATCGTACAATTCTGGAGTACTATCAACTCTGCAGTTTGGATTACCGTGTTCGGCATTCTCTTGATTGGAAGCAATCTTTTGTTTGTCCGAGTGTATGGCGAAATGGAATTCACATTTGCCACTCTCAAGATTATGCTCATCGTTGGATTGAACATCATGGTACGTCTTGTGCTGGGTTTGAGTTAGCATTCTGACTTGTTCGAAGGCTCTCGTTATTGTTTGTGGTGGAGGCCCAGACCATCATGCATATGGGTTCCAGTACTGGCGTAATCCTGGGCCATTTGTTGAGTATCTTGGCATCAAAGGCGACTTAGGTCATTTCTTGGGTTTCTGGACTACCTTCTCAAACGCAATTTACGCCTACAGTGGCATCGAGAATATCTCCATTGCCGCAGCGGAGACACAGTCGCCAAGACGCAATATTCCAATCGCGGCCAAAAGAATCTTCTGGAGAGTCTGCATTTTCTATAGTGCGTAACCCGAACAAATTCAGAGATTCATGCTGACTTGGATTGAAGTTCTGTCAATCTTCATGGTTGGACTCATCGTCCCATCCAATGACCCTAACCTCCTTCATTCAACTGGAAACGCAGCTCAATCGCCTTTTGTTATTGCGGCCAAAAGAGCAGGCATCAAAGTAGTACCATCCATCATTAACTTCGTCGTCTTGACAAGTGCTTGGAGCGCTGGGAATTCGGGTCTCCTTGGCAGCTCACGCACCCTCTACGGTATGGCTCGTGAAGGCCATGCACCAAAGATATTCCTCCGGACAAGCCGCATGGGGGTCCCTTACGTGGCAGTTGGCTTTATTAGCTTGTTCATTGCCCTCGGGTACATGAGCTTGTCCTCCGGTGCTAGCGTTGCATTCGGATGGCTTCAAGATCTCGTCTCTGTTGCTGCAATTATCGGGTGGATGGTCATCTGCACAGTCTATTTGCGCTTCTACTACGGCTGCAAGGTCCAGGGAATCGATCGCTCGGAGCTCCCATGGAAGGCGCCGTTCCAACCATATGCTGCCTGGCTATCCTTGATCTCGTTCATTGTCCTTCTTCTGACTGGTGGATACGCCGTTTTCATCAAGGGACAGTAAGTTTCCCTTCCCAAAACTCCTTTTGGCACGGAAACGCTGATTCTCGTGTGTAGCTGGGACAACGAGACGTTTGTTTCTTCGTACATCAACATCCCGATCTTCATCATCCTATACTTCGGATACAAGTTTATCAAGAAGACGAAGATTATTCCACTCGCTGAGATCCCCATTCGGCATTTGTAAGTCCCAACTTCTCGGAGTATTAAACCTCTTATAGCAATGTCAAAACAGCTGCTAGAATATCTGAAAGAAGTATGCTGACTCCGACTTCTTGGGATCAGTATCGATATCGCAAATGCAAATCCCGAGGCACCTGCGAAGCCAGTTGTTGGCTGGAGGAGATTGAATATCCTTTGGAGTTAGACGTAGTGGACTGTCAGATGATATGGAGAACCCGGATGAGAATTATGGGTGCTGTTGTGTTTGATGCGCAAAGGTGCAATAAGGCTTTGGTGAGAAATGTTTAGAAATTGATAAGGCAGTTGAAGTCGTGTCGATAAATGCGATCAGTAGATTTGAGCGAATGAATGTGCAATGGACAAGAATATTCTTAGGTATATTGTTATGAGGTTTCCACTCACATGTCAACCGGCCTCTCCTTTCTGGTAGAATTGCCTTTGTTCTTCCTCAAAGAGATGTATCATGATGTATTATCTGCATCACACGTGATTCGGGAATAAAGGGGACGTTGGCAAGGGTTAAGGCCTAAGCGAGATTGAGGGGCACTCCTTGAAATTGAAGTTATGATCTTCAGATGCTGTTTGTGGAGGATATGGCTCTATTTTAAATTTCTTTGCCGTTCAGGAGATTACCTCCAGCAGATTGTTGTCAAAACTCAAATTGATCCCACTTGGAGGTTCAATCGAATGCTTAGCATGTGGTTAGATTGGGAGATGCTGAATGGATGCTAGCTGTCACCAGGCAGAGGAGCAGCAGGCTGGCGGATAATCGAACAGTTGGAGCAAAGAAGCTTAGCAATGAAATCTCAAATAAGATTTTACTGAAGTTCCACCAAGATACTGTACCGTGTCGGTACGGATAATATATTACTCGCATTTTCCCGAACTCCACCTGATACCCACGACGTCGGCCGCCACAGTCCCAAGTCGCCCATTCTCCCATCACCTCCGCCACTTGACAAGCACTGACACACCTCTCCACACCGCCCCGCCCCCCATGGACCCCATCCCCTTCAAAGAAGAGAGAATTTACTTTGTTGCAAGTCGGCAATCTTCGCATTCGCTCTCGCTTTCCGGTTTGGGATCGGATCGTGTCAGGGGACGCCTATACACAAGCGAAGGGGAGGCATGCGGGGCCGAAAGCGAATACGATGCTGTGCCGAGCAGACGGCTTGATACGAATCAGTTAGCGAGATTTGAGATGTGGAGGTCGTGGATTTTGTGATAAGCTATACTGGTACTGTACATAAAAGAACGAGATATTGGCGTTGAAGAGGTTCGGCTGGACGGTCAGCTCTTCAATGGCCCAACGTTCGCGGCCCGGCCCCCTCGGAGAACAGCACAAGGGAGTGAATTCAACCTAAATCCCATACGCTGGTAACAAGGTACAGTCACAGAAGACTGAGTGATGAATTAAGAGTAAGCCTTGTGTCAAAGTTTAAAGATGTTAACCCTTAGCTTCTCGATGAAAAGCGGTACTGCTCTCGCTTACAGCACGAGTCCCCTGAACGCGGGCGCTGCCGGCTTTCAGGGATTTCAAAGCCTAATACCGCAAAACCTCACCGCCAGGAAAGCTCAAGTGACTCATCCGACGACGATATTTGGCTTCATTCTATCTTGGTTTCGCCCCATTGTTTTTCAAGTTCATCTTCAAATCTCACGTTGAGAGAAAGAGAGGATTGAGTCTATCCCATTAGTCATGGCATTCTCAGTGTCCTCTTCCTACGCTAAACTACGGTCTATCGTCGACGCAACCCCAAACGATCCCCTCCCATCTTTAGCATCAATACAGAAAGCAACTAAATCCTTGGTAGCTTCCCTCCCATCCACCGGCCTCGGAGAAGCAGCCACAGAAACTCACCTGCTGAGTGACCTACCCGGCGGATTCAACGGAACCAAGACGTCGTCAAACTATTATGGCTTCGTGACTGGAGGAATGTTCCCCATCGCCGAAGTCGCCGACAACATTGTGACAGCATTTGATCAGAGTCCAATGGTCCATTTGCCTGACCAAAGCATCTCCACTGTCGTGGAAGATCGAGCGTTGGGTATGCTTGTTCAACTTCTGAATTTGGGGCCGGCGTGGGGAGGGAGGACGTTTACAACAGGTGCTACTGGTGCCAACATCTTGGGCTTGGCATGTGGCCGTGAATTTGTGGTTAATTCACGCCTTAATAATGCTGTTGGGGGCAGTGGCGTGGGTGAACTTGGGATCTTGGCCGCTTGTATGAAGGCTGGAATCAAGGAGATTCAAGTGCTAACCACCATGGGTCACAGCTCACTTTATAAAGCTGCGAGCGTGAATGGGTTGGGTCGACAATCGGTGAAAGATATTCCTGTCAGCAAAAATGAGCCGTGGAAGATCGATGTCGACAGCCTTGAACGTGAACTAAGACGTTCGGAAGAAGGTGTTGTGAGCATTGTTGCAATCAGCGCGGGAGAGGTCAACAGTGGCAAGTTTGCCGTGAGCGGACTTGATGAAATGAAGAAAATTCGAGGTTTGTGTGACAAGTACGGTGCTTGGTTGCATGTCGATGGTGCCTTTGGCATTTTCGCCCGGTCACTGCCAAACACTGCTGAGTTTGCCTCCCTCATCAGTCTTACCTCTGGTCTCGAACTAGCAGACTCGGTCACAGGAGATTGTCACAAATTGTTGAATGTGCCATATGATTGCGGTTTCTTCCTTACACGCTCAGCAGACGCGCTCTCCTCGATCTTTCAGAATCCCAATGCCGCCTATCTCTCATCAGGCCCCGAGGCGTCGATCCCTTCACCACTGAACATCGGTCTTGAGAACTCGCGAAGATTCAGAGCTTTACCTGTTTACGCCGTTCTTCTAGCCCATGGCCGAGAAGGACTGGGCAAAGTGTTTGCAAAACAGGTTCGTCTAGCCAGGGGTGTTTCGGAGTTCCTGAAGGCAAGCAACGACTATGAACTACTGCCTTCGAATAGTCCAAAGGACGATCATTTTGAGGACACCCACATCATTGTGATATTCAGGGCCAAAGACGAGAGGAAAAATTCAGATCTGGTTAACGACATTAATGCAACAAGGAGAATGTACGTCTCGGGCACTAAATGGGAAGGCAAGCCTGCTTGTAGGATTGCTGTGAGCACATGGAAGGTCGAGGTTGAGAGAGATTTGAAGTTGGTAACAGACGTTTTGAAAGAGGTCGTTGGTGGTTCTCCATCATAAACGAATCGCATCCAGCGATCATTGATACCGTTTCGTTCCTTGAGAATACTTGTGATCTAGAAGTTGTCGACGTGAATCACATGATATGGTGGATATGGGTAGGTTGGTGTCGCTTGTCGGAGGTTCCCATCGAGGAAAGGACGAGGCTTCTCAACCTCAACTTCACAATCTTCCTCCCCTCGAGAATAGATAGCAGATCTGAAGCCCCCGGACTCTGTACTTCCACGCCCAAGCAGGCAGCTGCTTCACCTATACACATCTCTCAAGTATCATTTGGTCTCTGGTAGTGTGCTACCGGTAGTGGGACATTCACTCATGATGAGTTTCGGATACATGCAGGGGATTGCGTAGCCGTCTGAGCGCTTGCGTGGTCGGTCTACAACTCTTGCAGAGATGCTCCAGGTAGTTTCAAGAATATGCCACTCGAAATAAGTATTATCATGACACGCAGTGCTGAGGGAAGTCGAGGAAACTCAGTCCGAGCAACCTCTCCCAGCCTCGAACCAGGACGGCCTCGCAACAGCTATGGCTGGACCTCAAGGTGTGCTTCAAGATTTGCAAGGTCCCTTTGAGAAGTACGAAAGCCTGGGATCCCAAAGCAAGAGGGCTTGGGGTAGACTCAAATGGGGCTCAAACGACATCGCCGAGTTGAGAGCCAGGCTGACTTCAACCACAGTTTTGCTTACTGCTTTTTTGGGGAGCTTATTTTCAACTCGAACCTTCACCATGGAGTTAATCCTAGCGTTCAGCACCTCTCAAGTTGTGGTTGAACGAAAGCTCAAGAATGGGAGCCGAGAGTGTGTGAGATCTCAGAACTTCACTCTCACACATCAAATAACAACAAAACACCAGAAAATCCACTACATTCAGAACTTCAGAACCTGGAATTCTTGATATCCTGTTACCTATTACCAACCTCCGCTCCAAAAGTTCCAAATCAAACCACCTCATCCCAGATATCACGAGGCACCAATAAGTACGAATTCTCCCACTGTTGCACCCTCCCCATCATCCTCCCAGCATCCCTCCACAATCAGCTTCACATAATCCCCGCTCCACGCACCACCCTCAACATCAACGGTGGTGGTATTCCCCGTTACAGGCACCACCTGCTGACTACTGGCAGCATAAGCCGCAGCATCATAGGGCACATCAGGTGTAATGCCGTCAATCTCAATCACAATCCCAGTCCCAAAAAGGCTCTCCCCATCCGTGCTGTTGCCAAATTCAACAATGACATTCTTTGGTGGGCGACCACCCCAATCAAAGAAGATTCCTGAAACTGGATGAGAAGGGACGGTGGTCATGTTGACGAGCAGCGAGGCAGACTCGTTGCTTGCTGGCTGCCAGCGCGTGGAGGTCGCGCCGTCGATGGCTGCTTGGGCGAATTGGCCGGGTGCGTATGCGTCTTCGCTTGTTACGGGAAGGCATTGGAGGAGGTTGGAGGCGTGGGTTAGGTTTTGCCAATATAGGCGATTGGATACGGTGACTGTTTGGTTGATGGCAAGATTGTAGTCCGTGGTTTGTGAGCCTGGCGTTCCCACGAAGAAGGGGAGAGCGGTGTTTCCGTAGAGATCGATCACGCCTGCTGAGGCAGGTGTAGATAGGCGCGTGAGAGTCGTGTGGGTTGTGTTCATAGAGGCAGAAAGAGTGGCGCCTGCATAGTAGAAAGTACGGACTTTCACGTGGGATATTTGGGGAGGCAGGGAGGGGTCGAGATACAGAACTGGTTGATCGGTTCGAATACCCAAAAATCCGAACGGTACAACTTGGTTTGCACCTCCATGGCCTGTAAGGAATGGGAAGGCGGGATTGGTGTTTCCGTTCAGAGCAACATCATCAACGGCTTGCTCAGAGAACTGGAACCAAGGTGCACGAAGATACGGCAAGAAGCCATTCAGCGTGTAGGTGTAAGCGGAGCAGCCGCTTGGGGATAATGCATTGGCATCCACTGCAAAAACTGAGTAAGTCATAGCAGGTCCGTTAGGAGACTGCTTGTTGGCATACTGCTTCTCATTAGTTCAGATCTTACAAGTTTCTTTGTAGACTTACATAATCCAAGTCGAGCAGCTTGTCACCAGCGCTGTAGTCCTCGCCGTAATCAAGCGGATACGTCAACAACACTACATCAGCTTGTTTGACGGCAACACTGTTATTCATCGTCTGATATTCCAGGGTGATGTTCGACGGAGCACTTGGGTAAGCAATATTCTGCCATTGTGTCTGCCAAGTATCGTTGATTGGAAGGCCTTGATCTAATCTCAGATTGTTGGCAAGCCTCAGCAGCTCGGCCGCGCTAGCGATTGTGAAAGCGCCGTTGTCAACGTTATTGGCATATTCATCTGGATCAGTCATGTTGCGAAGCCAAAATGTCTTCGTCGTCTCATTATACTTGAGAAGGTTTCCTGTCATGTTTGCTGCAGATTCAATAACCTGTCTCGGTCCATTGTCGAACCAAGTCTTGTTATTGGTGATGTTGTATTGCTGGAAGAGGTTGAAGGAAATGTCGTAGTTGAGATGGTATTCATAGTCAACACAAGGCCCTGTTCCGGTGCAATTTCCATATCTCCCCGTCGTCCAAGAGTAGAGTGCGCTCCCCTCCGGATACCCATTGAACTTGGCATTCTCCAAAGCCTGCGGATGTTGTTTAATGCGGAAATTACTAATCTGCTTGCTCCAGCCCGGGAAGGCAAGATTCAGGCCGGGAGCCATCCAGTAATCGGCATCCCAGAATACAAGTCCAGCATAAGAGTCGGAGACCAAACCACCGACAGAAATACTGTTGTCGTTCAACCCGCTTCCATCGGGCTGAAGACTCTGGAGGAGGTAGTAGGTGTTGGCCACTGATGCAATTTGCAGGATCTTGGTGTTCACATCATCAGGAAGCTCGCCGGTGGCAGGATCAGTGAAGTCGTCCACTGAATCTGCTGTCAAGATTTTGGACCATTCAGTCACATGTTCGTTGAATAATGTGTCCCAGCCATTTAATTGAGCGGTCTCTTGGGCCCCGCGAGCAGTTGACTCTGCATCGGGGAATTTATCGTTGGATGCAATCCCCACATATTTGTAAAAGGTAGCTGTCTTGTCCTTCTTGAGGTTGATTTTGAATGACTGGGAAATTGTAGTGTCGTTCTGGGGAACATACGGTCCACTCCCAGCAGCTCTAGACGATGCATTCGTGTAGGCATTTGAGAAGTTGGCTCCAGAAATGACATATCCCGTGATATTCGCAAGTCCATTGGGATGTACGGAGGTGTAGATAGTGCTGCCATTTGTATCCATTCCCTTGGTATTCAGATAGGATCTGGCAGCGCTCCGGCCATCCAGTAAATCGGTGATGGTACCGCTGATGTCATTGGAGGGCGTGATGCTAGCTTTAACAGCAAGCACGTTCGGCCTCGCTCTGCTGAAGAATGCGGTGTAAGAAACATTGAAAGTGGCGGCAGAGTTTGGTGGGCTCCAAGTATAAGACCACTCGCCAACCCCAGTCTTGAAAGAGATCTTTGACTGGAAGTCGGAGAGTGTGGTGTTCTTGACTGTTGCATCCAGATAGTTGTCCCCAAAAGCAAAAACAATTGCAGTCGGGTGCGGAATACCACTGATGAACGACTCCCAACCATACTGATTCAGCCAAGGGTAGTTTGTTCCACTGCCATTTTGTTGAACGTCATAGAAGCCTGAGATGGTCGAGAAAGCAATTCTGGTGTCGAACAAGGGCCAGCCATTTGTAGGTTGAGTACCGCTTGCATCGGTCTGGTTGACGTCCGTTTCGTAGAAAGGTCCTGCGGCAGAAAGAGAAGTTCCAGTGTATCTACAGCAGATTGAGTCAGTTCTTGTTCCACTCCAGACAAGAAACAATAGCCACGCACCCATTGGCAAGAGACATGCGAGATTGGTACTGTCCCGGAACGAACTTTGTAGTAGTCAAAGACCACTCAGTCTGATTCCAAGCATAATTTGAGGTTGTAGTAACTGAGAAGTCGGTCTGGGATTGAGCTCCAAAGCTCAGCACCAGAAGCACCAATAGTAACGTCGTGAAGTTACCCATTGTGCGAGATACTGTGAAATGGAAAAGTCAAAAATTATTGAAGGAGGAAGAACGCAATTCCCATCTCGTCCCGAGCTTCGTGTCTGTGCTAAAGCATCTGTCATGTCCACTGGTAGCTTCCCGCGATATTTAAGGTCCCAAGGTAATGGAAAAGGTGCATCCCCAATGACGCCGTGCCTCCACCCACTTCCAAGGATGACCCGCACATGGCATCTGGCAGGTTGGTTCAGAGCATGGAGAGGCAGTCTCGGTGGAATTTTGGCAGGTAGATCTCACTCTCGTCTAATCCTTTATTGGCTTCCCGCAGCCAGGAACAGTTCGCTATGCAATTCCAGGGTTTCGTGCGCCTGTCTTTGCCCCGCATTGCAGCATAGCGGGGAAATTTTCCTCCATCTTTTGACGCTGCCGCTCAGAACCCTGTTTCTCGGCCTTTCTCAACATGCCAATGTGGCGATCGACGAATAGTGCACTGTGTGACTTTCGCTGCGGCCGACGAGGCCGAACAGGCCGAACAGGCCGAATGGGTGGTGTCATTATATTTCGTAAGAGCTGTGTTGATTAGTACGGGAACTGAGGAGAAGAGGTTCAAGTTGACGGTTCCAACACGGCCACAGCCGTCATAGCTTTCGGTCCGAACGCCTCGGCATGCGTGGACGTTGAAAAAGGACCTGATTTTGGACATGCGTCTCACACGGCAGAAAGAGGATCGGATCCGGATCCGGCCTACCAATAGCGAACCCTAAGTTGATAGGCCCAGAGAGGACCCTCAGAAGACCCTCAGAAGACGTATTCATTGATACTATCTCAAAGATCTAGCACTTATCGAGCCCCATGCGTCAGGGCTATGCCGCCCATTCCCAGTATGCCACCCTCCATCCACATTCACAGACTCTTGACTTGCGTGTCGCGGCCCATTCTGGTTCGGCGCGAATTGCGGCATATTTCCTACCGAATCTCCAGCAGGATTCTGTGCGACGCCTCCTCCACCTAGTGCGAAAGGGTTCTTGCTGCCTGCTTGTGTCCCCAGAGGACTCGACACACTTCTCTGCTGCTGGAAATCCCCCATCCCCTGATTCGAAGATTGGCTTTGTGTCTGCCCTTGATCCTGCTGTGGTTGCTGCTGCTGATACAGAGGGGTTGGCGCTAACTGCGGATAGTTATAGAGGTCGAGGATACTCCGTTTGTCAGCTCTTCCGGTCTGCTGTGCCATCATTGGGGGATAACTTTGTTGCCGCGCATTCTCCTGGGTAAAGAAAGGGTTCATCTGTTGCTGGGTAGCAGTTTGATTAAGGAACGGGTTCATCTGCTGAGCATTGTTCCCGTAGTACGTCGTTGGATACTGTTGACTTGGTGCTTGCTCCAACGGACTATGATATAGGTTCTGTGGTGTCGAGACCTGTTGGTTATACGGATTACTCTGGGAGTTTGTATTTAGAGGTGGTGGTTGTTGCATTTGTCGCTGTATTTGAGGCTGCATCTGTTGTTGGATAAACGGATTATAGTTTTCATGCACAGGTTGCTGCCCAGGATTCTCGTAGATGACGGAGGGGTAGTATTGTTGAGGCAGAGAAGGGACTGGGGGAGTCATCGACTGTTGGTAGAGTTGGTGATTTTGCGGGGGTTGAGGACCTGGGAAACCGCCAGTATGGTTCGGGAAAAGAGGCTGTGAGTTCGAAACTGACATGTTCTGGAAGGCTTGGTTGAGGTTGTATTGGGATTGAGATGGCATAAGTCCAAAAGGGTTCGAGTTTGCTCCCTGGTATGGATTGTTTCCCATCATCTGATTTTGTGAGTGAGCCATGGATCCAGTTGATTGAGAAGATTGAGGTTGTGCAACGGGTGGTGGTGCATCCAGCATATCAAATGGATTGCTCGACTGTTGCGAAGGCTGCTCTCGTGTCCGATTTATTGTCAGTCCAGCAGTTGCGCTCATCGGCGATCTTGATCGAGAAGTAGGAGTTGCTTCTGGGGGCTTCAGACCCTTAGTGCCGCTATCTCCAAAACGGACCAAGGTCTCAATCGTTTTCTCTAAATTGCCCCCGAGCCCCTTTAAGATTGCCATGTTCGTCTTCTCGTCCCTGAAGCCCATATCCTGTAGCTTGGCCATTTTCAAATCCAGATCGTCCGAGTCTCCGGCTCCTACAGAAAAACCAAATACCTTAGATTGCTTATTTCTTGGAGGCGATGGCGTTCTCTGTCCAGAGTTTTCGAAATCGGGCTGCGCTGCCTCCCGGCGGTGTTTCGAAGAGAGCGGGAAAATCGACGATGCCGACCTGAAGCCAAACCTGCTACCAGTTTTCGGTGGCAGAGGGGGTGGTTGGTCGTCGGAGTTTGTGCTTCCTGTATTATTTCGTACAGGAGCCTTAACTGCCCGTTCCATGTATTTCTGCCTGATGAATCTTTCCATCGCCGAGTCTGCTTCGTCAACATCGAACGGGATGGGCGGCTTCGCACTTTGAGGATTATATATTCGATTTGAGGCGATGTTTCCAACGCGCTTCATATTCTGTGGAAAGTTAGAGACTTTTCAGGGAATTGAATAGGTTGGACATACTTCGACTTGGTCATTTGACCATGAATCCATGCTTAGCGATTTGACTTTGCTGATGTGTGTACCCATCTTCCGATGCAGGGCGGCACACCGCATGCACAGGAATATGCCCAACTGGACGGAGTAAGTATCAACCACGGTATATATACTAAGAAATGACAAAGGCCTTGCTTACACTCCAGCTTGCCCATCCTGTTACGATAGGGTTAGTACATGAGTTCAGTCCCCCCTCGAACAACTTTGTTGCTCACCTGGATTCCGCGCCTGGCAGTCCGCACAAACATTGTTCCCTGGTACTGACTTTATGAGATCCTGAAGGGCGCGCTCGTTGCGCGCCTGCTGCCGCTTGCTCAATGCTCCGGACATCGCGAAGAAATTGTCATGAATCAAATGCTGATGCGGATGGGTCCAAAACAAACAAAGGTTGACTGAAACTGGGCCGAATGGTATTACAAGATTATACAATGCATCCAGAGAATGTACAGGAACTCGTTCAGGTCGTTATTCGTGAGAGCGCAAGCAGCGGCAATGCGCAAAGGTGGTGAAGAAAGGAGACATCGATCGAGCAGTGTTCTGGATTCAAGGTGCATGGGCGGCCACAAGTCCTGGCCCTCGCTACAGATACCGCTTTCCCTTCTTTGGAAATAAAGGGTCCCTGCGTTGTCCTTGCTGCCCCCCTTGTCACTCCATCATTTTCATCGTAATTACGTGTATCTTGATCCGGAGAGCTTCATGGATATTTTCGATAGTCGTCGATCAAGATCAAAGAAGTCTTCTGCTGGGAGTCCAGGAGTCCAGGGGTTCAGACATCAAAGGGGGTTTTCGGCTTCGTTATGAGCTGCCCCGCGATTGTACCCGGTCACCACTCTCCACATCCCAGAAGCAAGTGCATATCGCGATGTATTATATTGAACCATTTGTATAGGCTCGGAACATCGGATTAGAGAAACGTCAGCTCCACTTTACGCTGACATGAGAAGTATTCAACAGCTTGTCGCTTTGTAGTGCTTATCAATCGGCCGCAGAGCTCTCACACCGCCAGCGACCTGACAGGCATATATGGTTCTGCTTCCCATTATTCTGAATATCTCATTACTGTGCTCTCATATATATATCAAAGAGCTTTATCACTTGCTTGTTTACTTTGCGCTTTTGCTTCAAGATGGCGACCGTTCTGAGGCCTAGTTTCTCACCCTCTTCAAATACCCAAGAATCTCCACATATCCAAGAACTCATCGCAAAATTAGAGCTAGTACCCCACATTGAAGGAGGCTTCTTCAAGGAAACAGACCGAGCTCCAGACACGGTTCCTTCTCCTTTCCCATTTGAGGAGTCTTCCACCTCGGAACTTGCTCCAAAACTGCCCGGCTTTAATCCTCAGGTCCGGAATTCATCAACAACGATATTTTATCTGCTCACACCAAACGGACTGCAAGGCGGTTTCCACCGAAATAAAGCGCGGATTATTCATACCCTGCATCAAGGGCGGGGCCGCTATGTTTTGATTCACGCCGATGAAGGTGGCGAGCAGAAACGCGTAGAGACGTTTGTTGTTGGCCATGACGTTGCAAAGGGCGAGAAGCTTCAGTGGATAGTTGAAGGAGGAAAATACAAAGCATCTTTCTTGTTGCCTGATGAAGAAGGTGGAAAGGAGAGTCAGGGACTCTTAATCAGCGAAACCGTTGTTCCTGGATTTGAGTTTTGTGATCATGACTTCCTATCCCCTGCAGGACTCAAGGGGCTCTTGGGTGAGGAGCAGGCAAAAGATTTGAGTTGGCTGCTGAGCCCATTGGGCAAGGAATAATGGCTAGAGGGATGCAGTCTTGGGTACGGAGAAGCAGTAGACCTTGGAGAAGATTTGGAGCCTCTTTCTACCATGTAAAGGAAGCTTCTCCGCCTTTATTATTTCTCCTTTGGTGCTCTTTTTCGAGCCCAGAGATTGGGTGACACTCTGTTCATGTCACACCGAAGCGTGACTAGATGGAGGTCGAGGCACATCTCTCGAACTATTGGACCCTTACTTCTATCTTTCGAGTCAAGCAATCATGCGGTTGAAGTATCACAGCTGTCGCTATCTGTTTGCGGCTTTACTTATTTCTAAGCCTTGTCACCGGGACCGTCCGGCACATAGATTGTTTGCATTGTACAAACTGATACGAACATCGAGGAGGACATCAGCTCTAAGGCAGCAATCGATCTTCCCTACTGTACCACAATGGTATCATAAGTCTTGAAATCATATCATCTCCACATCTCCCTCTCGCCGATTTTGGACTTCCCCGCGAAATTCCCGCTTCTCAGGCTCATTCTTCTACAGAATAGCTCAATTCTCAGCTTGCTGTATGTGTCCAACCATCCCGGCAATTCCTTCTCTTCTTTCCAGCCCAAGGTAACCCCCAGCCTCGCCTTCACAAGTTTCCCTCACCGCAACTTCCATGCCACCAACTGCCATAGCTCTCGTTGTCCGCCGTGACACCCCTTTAGGCGTCGGTGTCATCGTTGGAGTAGTCATAGCCTCCCTCATCTTCCTCCTCTTCCTAGTAGTTTTTCTCTGGTGGGCCCACGCCTCCCACTACCTACCGACCCGCTACTTCTACATCCGTCACCCCTACTACTTCCCCCACCGACGCCGACACCACCACACCTCATGCGCCGTATCCCTCCCCTCCCGCTCCAACAATAGCGCCAGCTCCTCCAGTTCTGATTCCTGGCGCCGCTGGTACAGGGAACGAGAACGGCATCGTCGTCGAAACGCAAGACGGAGGATGAGAGAGGATTTTTATGATCGTGGGAATGGCCTGGGGTATGAGAATCGTTATAGGGGAGTCTTGAGCGGTGGAGTTGGGGAAGGGTGGCCAAGTCCTAGAGGAGGGTTTGGGATGGAGAGAGATTTAAGGGAGAGGGGGTTGGGTCTTGGTGTTGGTGTTGGATCGCCTAGGGTAGGGGAAGGGTTGGGAAGGGGAAGAAATGCGTTTGGACTTGGTGGTGGCTTGGGAGGTGGACTTGGAGCAGGACTCGGTGCGGGAGCTTAAGACTAAAAATGACCGGAAAAGTTAACTCGAAGTATATGCATAGGAGCCAAACGTAATTTAGGTGCCTGTCTCTCGGAATACCAATTAGTATTTTCAAAATCGCGGTAAAAATCAATCTTTATTTGCTAGAACTAAAAACCCCCAAGAGATATGGACGGAATTCAAATCCGGTAACAATTCGTACTCTCCCCTTTCCGAAATCACCCTGTTTCCCCAGAACTTCAACTGTTAGAGATACCAAAACGTACGGCAGAAGCCAGTGCTTCCGTTAGACTAGCAATCTCGTTGGCTAGATTTGTTCTCTCAACAGCCTTGTCCTCATTCTCGCCCGCAATTGTCTTGAGAAGTTCAGCATCGTCCTCAGCCATCTTGACAACGTAAGATGGCGTGAACATTCTCAGCGCACTGGATGGACCAAGCAAATGTCGTTCAACCACTTGAAGAGCGACGTTGTCGACAAATCTCTCCATGGCCACTTCATGATATGCCTTGAGACGGACGTAAGTGTTCAAGACGGTGTCAACATTCCTGTGTCCAGCTAGCCATAATTTTATCTGGCGGTCCCAATACTCCAACGAACCATTATCATCATCCAGCTCGACAAGAGATCTAGCCATAGCCGTGATGTAGGCATTGTAAAGTGCTCCTACGCGAGTGGAGTATCTTGGTCTAAGAGTCCATGTGCGAGCTTCATCGGAGAGTACCCTTGATAGCTCATCAGCTGCAGCCTTGGAAGCTGCAGGAAGCTGTGACGTTAACCAGTTGGTGGTGTTGATCTGGAGTTCTCGCTCCGTAGTGGATTTTCTGACGAGCACCTTCATGGTATTTGCTGTTCTAAGCACCAGATTCTCGAGGAGGACTGTAGCCATCGTCCTCCAATTTGTCGTCTGGTTGCGCCAGAGAACACCCATGACATTTTGGTTGACTTCATCCGGGAATTCTCTCCCACGGTTGGCTTGTATAACTCTGTATATGTTTGCAAGATTCTCTTCTGCGAGAATAGACGAACACCAAGTCCTCTTGTTAACGGAGGTCAGAATTGTGTTATCAAGGTCCGGCAAGGAGTTTTGATAATAGTGTAGCATCAAATCTCTGAATTTCTCGAGGCCGTCTTGAACAATCTTCCGGAGCTTCGCAGAATCTTGGTCAGGTAAACTGTGATAATAGCCATTGAGGGCATCTTCAGATAACTTGGAGAACGACGAGGCTAATGCAACCATGCACTCTAATTGTTCTGACTTTAAGCTTCGTGATTTGCCGAGTTGAGCCAGATCGTGGTCACAGGACGAGAGCCGTTCCCTTATTTCTGGAATCAGCTCCGGAATGCTGCTTGTGATGTGAGCGTTGTGCATCTTGGTAAGAGCGGTTCTCAAGTGTTTGATGCCGAGTCTGCTGGGGTTCAGATCATTCCAAACTCCTCGAGTGAAAAAGTCGGCCTCTTTTGCGTCTCGTTCCTGGTTGCTGGTGTCTCGTTCGATTGGAAGCCGATTCCGCAAGCCAAACCATCCTTGCTTCAAGTAATGGCCATGATGTCTTTCGTTCTTGATCGTGTCCAGAATCTAAAGGAGTCAGCAACTTCAATAGTTCACTGGATGTAGTTTACCCAATTGTCTGCTCCTTCCTGCTTCCGGTCACATTTGGTGATGACGCCAATGACACGATTCTCTTTGTTCGGTATGTTTCTGATCATTTGGAATACTTCCTGTGTTCCTGGATCCGCTGGATGTGCCACCGCACTGTGTCCCAAAATTAGCTTGGCTGCTTTGAGCACTCGTTTTCTAGAATTAGACCTACAGAATGATGCTTTTAGGGTTATCGATATATCGTTCTGCAAGAGTACGGGCAGTTTCGAAGGCATTGTGACCAGCTATATTGACTCATTATGAATTCAATTAAGCCTCCAGGGCAGAGAGAGCTTACCACTGACAAGTCCTGGAATGTCCACAACCGTGAGATTAATTTCATCGGGACCCTTTACTGTGATAGTGAGGGTAGCTTTGCTTAAGTCTTGACCCTCTTCTTCGGACCCTAAGAGCTGACAGCTCGCCTAAGCAGATAGCCATGTCAGAACGAACGTGGACTCTTCGGGATTCGCAACATACTGCTGCAAGAACCCTCTTGAACTCGTTGGCAAACTCCTGAGACCCGAATGGAAACGTGGTACATTCTATATCACGTATAGTCTCAGTGCCTCCTTCAGTGCTTAAATCATCGTTATCTTCAACACCACTATCTTCTTCAGCTGGTGCCGCCTTTATCTGTACTGAGATATATTCAGGCCCAGCAGATCTTTGTAGAGCAACCTCAGTGGCGAAGCGAGTGCACATTTTATCATCAACTGGAAAAGGGAGTCTCGTGATGGCCTGGAGTACAGAGCTCTTCCCCGAGCTCTGATCGCCTACTACAACAAGCTACATTTTATCGTCAGCGTGAGAGCGTGGCTACAAAGGCAAAAGAAGGAAGTTCCTCTCACTCTCATCACTGACCTGTGGTAAATCAACATATTTATCGACTCCAATTCTTTTTAAATGCTGAATGAACTCGAGTTTCTGTTCTGTGTCGACGTTCCTGAGTACAGTACCGATACCCCGTGCCGGCATTGGAGTATATTCGCCCATGGTCGGGGTCACATCCGAGTGTGATGGGGCTCTGAATTCGGTGTGGTGATCCTCAGAGACTGGCGAGTCAATTGTTTCGTTGAGGGAGGGGGAAGGAGAATGTGAATACTGGGGAAAATATGAACGTAGCATTGTTGTCCTGATGTACCAAACAAGATGGTTATTTCAGAAAGTCAAGACAGACAGTAGACTTCAGATAGCTTTATAACACGGTGGCAAGTGGCTAAGCACACCTACAAACCAGGCAGCATTGTGTACAGGCGGCATCATGCTTGTTTCTATTTCGAGGAAGAGCCTCAGCTGAAGGAGGCTTGGATGCATTTCAAGTGTCAGGAGGTCGCATCGGCCGACTTATGGGCCTGTTTTGGAGTAGGCAGCCATGGATTGATTCATCTAACAACATGAATAGCAGGCATCGACGACAGAACAAGAATAGGAAGTCTGCCAGGTCAAACAACTTACCGAAAAGTACGGCTTCCACTTGATACAATGCGAAATGGAGAGACAGAATTCGGGCGAGAATACTGCATAGGCATATAATGAAGTTTAGCAATCACAATATGAGAGTTCTCTCTACGAGACGAGCAGCTTGACTGAAGGCTGCTAGCACCCTCCAACAAGCATAAACTTTCGGCATGGAAGGTGGCGGAATACACAGCCTTGCTGCTGGGATGCATAACCAACATGTGTGAGGGGGAGTCTGGGGTGCACAGCCAAGGCGAAATGATCAGAAGACGGGAAGAGTGTCGGTCGCTGCTGGGCCGCAAATACGGCGGTACCGATCATGTCCCCATTCAGTTAAGAGAAATAAAACTGTTGAACTTCAATTGGTGCTGCAGGGATTGAAATCGGTTTGAGTTGAAGTCAGCGGGAGAGGACGAGGTCGAGCTGTGACATGGGGAAGCGCTAATTTGTTTCATTGATCCAAAAACAGCAGGAGCATTCTGCAACACTTGCTGCAACGCAACGCAGATTCACAAAGTCACAAAAGCGAGTAAAGGACTTGGCTGGTATTTGTAATCAAGTCCATTCTGTTAATACATCGAGGCTGCACCTCAACCCTTTCTAACCCGGTGAATCCAGTCCACATTCAGAACGCCAGATCCTATTCCCGGCATTTTCTGCAAGAATAAACCACAAATGCCTCCATTCATATACCGCCCTATTAGAGAACCTTGAAAAACCAGCCCCGTCTATAAAGAAGAACATACAGAAGTTGTACACAAGCCGTCAACGCAAAGCATTATCGTAAAAGGCCGCTCGAATCAGTAGCCCCTTCGTCTTGCTCGTCCACTCCCCAAATCGATGTTTTTCATCTCCTCCAACAACGCCCAAGCATCGGCCCCTCCAGGCTGAGGAGGCGGTGGACCATTCATATTCATTGGGACCTTTGCGGGGATAGGTGGTGGGCCGGACGTGCCTCGATATCCAGGACTACTTCCATAATTCGTTAGAGCATAATTTTCATTCGTGCCAAAATCACCAGTATTAGCTCGGGAGAGACTTCCCGGAGCATAGTTGTCTTGGTACGGTGTAATCGGTGCTAATGGGCTAGAGTTTGGAGCTGGCTGAGCTGACATTCGGTTGGCCTTCTTTTGCAGGCGATTGCGACCGGTTGGTGGAGATGGATCTGGCGGGCCAGCATTCATGTAGATGGGCGTCGACATGGGCTGCATGGAATGCGGCCTCCCGGCTTGTTTCAATGGTCTGCGGCCAGCAGCTGACATCGGCTGCGAAGGGGGTGGCCGATAGTTACGGTCCGGAAGTTGTGAAGCGTACTTGGGGCCTTTCTTCTCGAGCAATGGAGCATAGTTCGATTCCGGAATGTGATCACTGGGATCAATTTCTCGTCCGTCGTGGGTAATGATTTTAGCATCAGGGTCAACATCCTTCGCATCGTAAGCCGCACTCAATGGTGGTGTAGGCATAGAGCTAGAAAGACTTGGATTCAACGCGTTGTATGAATCTGGTCCGAAAGGAATTCCGGACAGTCTCCGCTTGTCAACTGGAGGGCCTGGCGACGGGCTGACTGATTTGCGAACAGGTGAACGAGGATCTGGAGAGATAGCCCTTGGCTTCACAATCGGTACAGTGGCGGCTGAAACCCGACTTTGTCGTTCATCGTAAGTAGCAGCGGCTGGAACAAATGGAGTCACAACCTCATGGTACGACTGAGGATGCGTGCGATTTGATTGATATTGAGAAGAATTCTGGTATCTTCCCCTGGCACTGCCGCCATTTTGATTGTAACTGGCTCGTTTTTCGTCGTAGATCCTGTCAGAGATTTCCTGTGCAATGATAGGGTCCATGCCAGCAACCAGAGTTGCTGGTACCGGAGGCAATCCATATTCTGGTGAACCTGGTAGGTCTTCCGACATTCCGCGAGGTCTTTGATCTTGTTGCGGTATTGAATTATAGGATGTCCTGGAAGAGATAGATTCGGTTTGCGAACGATACGATAACTGTGAACCGTTGGAAGTATATCCCACCGAGCCGTTCGAGAGTTGATGACTTGGAGCTGTTGAAGTACTGTTTCGTCCCGAAGCAGCGCTACCTCTGCCACTTAGATTCAACGGGGCAGGAGACGGGACTTCGTCATATCTTCTGTCATCGTACTGAGCAACTCGTGATCCACTGCCTCTGTGCCCAGAATAATGGCCACCTCCAGGCGACGGTGGCGCATCCTCAACAGTGGGCTGCATTGTTCCGTAGCTATTGTTGTAGTTCGAATCATAAGAATCATGACGAGGTGGCGACTGCTGATAACTCGCATTGGCTGATCTTCGGAACTGATCTCTATCTCCTTCCGGTGTGTAAGGTTGGTATGAATTACTGTTTGAATATGCTGGCATAGAATGCCGATGAGCATCGTGGGGTGGAGTTTCGTAGGGATTCGATGGTCGTCTGTCTTGGGCAAATCCATAGCTTCCATGGGATGTCATAGCAGGTGCTGGGCTAACATGAGCACTGTTGTTCCTGCTCCGGTGGGCTGGTGGTGGGGGAGGCGGGCCTCCAGGACTTGGAGGCGGTCCGAAGTCTTCGGGCTGGGGTAATTCATAAGGAACGTGTGAACTATATCGATCATGGGGATCGATGCTTTCATGTTCATCATAATGATTCATGCTGTTCTCCTGCGTGAAATCATTTCTGGTTGTAGGATCATACATCTCATATCTCTCAGACACTGGTTTGCTATTTGCCATAGCTCCATATCCATTCATAGTTGGAGGACTATCGTAGCCTTGCGATTGTGAGAACTGAGGCGGTGTGCTGTACTCAACACTTTGGAGAGGCGATTGATTTGGTATAAAATTGGGACTTTGATGTCCACGTGAGGGCGTCTGCAGGTGCTCCGGGATGGCAGAGGGTGAGGGTTGGTACCCTCGAGGAGGCGTATGGGAGTATTCTTGGACAGCTGCTGGTGAAGGTGGGTAACCTCGAGGTGGGGTCTGACTGTAATCTGGTAGTGGCGCGGGAGCCCCAGTAACTGGATCGGATGGCAAGGGCCTTCTCTTAACCGGAGCTTTGGGTTGTCGTGGCCCTTTGAGAGAATCTCTACTACCATCTTCTACGCCATTTGTCCCTGCCTGCTTTATCTTCTCAGGCTTCTCTTGTTTTGGTCGTGTGTCGTAGTACGTGATCTCGATCCTGATCTCCCCGGCGTATTTACCTTTGCAGCTCAAAGTATGCCACAGATCATTCTGGCCGCCGCCTGGAACCACGACTTCTTTTAGGTCAACCCAAGTCTCTCCAATTAAATCCGTCTTCTTGTCATCGTTGAAAACCGAAACCTTCAGTTGATAGTAATCCGGGGAGTCGTGCACGGTATATCGAAGTTCTTGGTCCCTGGACAAGATGTTAGCATTGGGTTTCTCAGGTCTCAAATGGACCTTACCATCTCGGCGTTTGCCCTCCTCGACGGTCAGTCTCTGTCTTCTTTGCTTCCTTGCCAAGCCTCGCCGCGCAATACGGATCTTGCTTCCCAATTGTCTTCCGATTTGGCAGATTCTTCGCGCGATCAACAATAACAACCAGGGTTCCAATTTCCGGACCATCGACGGTCATGTCAGAATAGATGCCCGCCGTATGGTTGAGGCCATTGATCTTCGATTTGGTCGCCATGGTGTTCCGCGATCAGGACTCGAAGCTCTTTGTTGTGATTGATAGTGGCTTGGCAGCTGGGTGACGTCCTGTTGTTTATGAGTAGCTCGAAGCTCTAGATGAGCATTGTTGAAGAAGTTCAAATGAGAGAAAGCACTACCGCATCTCCGGCTGCAGGAGAGAGCACGTTGAGCGTGGAGAAGGTATGGTCTGCAGTAGGGAGCACGACAGAGCTTGCGGATGGTTTGAGGGGAGCTTCGACAGGTGGCTGGGGCTCGTTGACCAGCCAGCAAGCGAGGAGGCTGGGGTTTTGCAGGCGGAGCAACAACTTCTCACGCATCTCACTTCTGCACAGCATTGCTCTGCATATTTTGAAACGTTGTCATAGCCGTTCTCGCTGCTAGTTAAAAAGTCGCCCTTGATAATCCTTTTCCTTCTCTCCTGGCGCAGCCATTGCGATGTTTACTTTGGCATCACGGAGCTTGAATGCGCCGGTAATGGATAATTGACAGGGGCTGGCCCTCTAAAAATATCCCGGAGGTGGCGTTCGGAGGAATCCTTGCTGCTCATCCTTCCCTCGCCAACGCCAGCCAGTGCAGAAAGTATCGACGACATGAATGCCATCTCCTGATGGGAGAATCCCATCTACAGCCACGCCGAAGGTGGCAAAAATGTTGATCTTGCAACTGCTCAGTCCCAATGAAAGACGCATGGAAGTCTCCTCACACGAGCTTCCTTGCCCTGGGCTCTCCAAACTTGCATGGTGGTGTCTTTTCTGGAAGTGTGCTTAACTTCTATTTGCCAAATCGCCAGGGATGGACAGTTTGCTCAGTTGTTTGGCAAACACTTACGGAGTAGTTGGTATCCAAGTCCACTAAGTCCATTGTCAATTAGCGCCTGTCGTTGCCTTTGGCCCTTGTAAAATGATTGTCTCATGTTTAGGTGATTTAAGTCTCGAAGGCAACATCAAAGTATGAAGCCAGGGAATTAACGAGTTTAATGTGGGATCAATCGATTGGTTGTGGGGTCGCCATAGAGGATTTGGAGTAGAGCCCATGAGGTTGCTATTGTATCAAAACTCGTCATACAACCCCTTGTCCTCAAAAGACCTGCTCATAACTTCGTAAACCCCTCCTTCGGCGGCTGCAGCCAATTCATCTCATCATACTTCGCCCCTTCCCCTTCAATAACATGGAAAGTGTAAATAATCCGTCCCTTCTTACTGACATTCTTCTCACTCTTATGAAGCAAATTCCCATGAATCAACACCAGTGTCCCAGCCTTGACCTCCCCCAACTTATACTCTCCCTCTACGTCTCCACCCCCAAACCCCTTGCCGGGCGGAAATCTCGCTCCTTCATTATCCACAAATTCAGTACCACCACCTTCCCGCTTTCTAACAAACCGCTTCTCAATTTCAGCTTTCTTATGGCTTCCAGGCAGGAAACTCAAGCATCCATTCTCCACTGTGGCATCCTCCAAGGCGTACCAGAAGCCCACTGCGCTAGGGGGATCTGTGTACAAGAACGTTGAATCTTGGTGCGGGGGTACGGCACCTCCGATTTCAGGCTGCTTGCAGATAACCATGCTTTGAAGACAGCGGGGATCTCGAAAGCCAAGATCGCGAGCAATTGCGGATGGGGAGTGCGTTGAGCTTGGAACGAGGAGAGACGCAAAAGGCGGGCTGAGAGCGTGTAAATAATGACCTATCTTGTTTATTGCAAGAGACTTCGGTTTTGTGAGAGCGCCGGTGGAATTGAATGCATCTGGGGCGAGTTAATGATCCTCCTCTTGATCGATAAATGGATAAGTACCTTCTTCAAAGAAGAACCTGACCTTGTCGCCACTATCGAGAAAGTAGTCGTCTCCTACGTGTTCACTGCCCTCACCGGTAGAGAATTTGGTCATTGGGTGGTCGTCCAGAGGGAAACTGTCTAGCAAGGAATGTGTCTCCTTGAGCAAGGAAGAAACCGTTTGAGAGTCAAGAGCGTCAGGGACGATGAGGTAGCCATCACGGTCGAAAGTTGCTAATTGCTCTTTCGTGAGGCTATGGGATACTGTGGGCGCACCCAGAGATGTGCGTGAGGGAGCCATTTGTAGAATGTTGAGTGGAAACACGTGCGCGGTTTAAAAGGAGAAGTTAAGAACGAGGAGACCCAGCTTATCGGTTGCCCCTCACCCGATAAGGGTGGGTCGATCTCAACTCAGTACTTGGAACATTTGAATTTGAATATAGTACCATTGGTTCAATAAATGTAGTACTGGTAGGGACATCGGAAATTCAAAAGTGAAAAGAAGATTCTAGTAGATAAAGCCGTTGATTCATAGTCCCTCAAATTACCTGTTGAAGCAACTCTGCAGCCAACCCCACCGTACTGGCAACCCCTGGCAGAAAAAGACCAAAAATTCAAAAAGGTAAACCGTTTAAACCGTTTTTGCTATGACGGATCAGCAAGATATTTCTTTGGGAGGTATTGAGCCAGGAGCATGAGGCTGGCTCGCGAACAAGGAGCTCGGGGTACCGATCAATGAAATAAGCTGCTTACCTGACTGTGAGGTTCGAACTCACGCATCTTTCGATAATGGTGATTTAAGCAAGCTTAAAACCTTCTTCATGTTAGAAGGACATCACTCGCAGATCCCGGAAATCAACATACCATCGCCTTAGACCCTGGGAATTGTTAGAGGTGCCTTCATCAAAGCGTTCAGGGGCGCGTACACTCGGCCAAATCAGCTTTGCGGAAAACCGCGGCTTTGGACGGGAGAAATCCCTATTTAATCTTATTACACTGCTACCAAAAAAAGGCGCATTCCACGTGACCAAGCACTTTGCAAGGCAAAATTGGAACCCATTTCGATGGATCTGGAGCAAGAGAACTTGTGCAGAAACCACACTTCCTTAAATTTGGGTATTACCAGATACAACCAAAATGTGAGGTTGAAACTACTCCCTGCAATCCCCCAAACGCAAACGCCATGCAAAATCCCAATGCTCCAAGCTGCTCTCACGCAACCTCATGTACAAAGATTATCCCCACCCGCATGCATAATTCGTTCCATCTGTACCATCCCCCGATTATCTCCCATGCCGCTCGCTAGGAATAAGTTCGTATCCATCTTCTGGCGGGAACACAAATGCCGACAGAGAGATACATGCTGCCGAAAGAACCGCAATACTCCAAGAAACCGTGCATAGAACCCACGACTTATCCAACTTCCATCCAACGAAGAACCTCTCGTCGTTGTCAAATAGGTATGCCTGCCCCACGTCAGCAACGAAACGTCTCTTTCGAGGGTATAACATACCACAATAGCCATACTAGCACATTGTACCACCCCAATTAATAATAACATGCTGGCGAGCATCTTCCACCCGGCTTCCCTCTTCTGCTTCCCACCAAGTATAACCACTATATACGCCAATAGTGTAGCCAACTCCAGCACCGCCGTAAGCGACATCATAAACCCCACAGACCTCCACATCGAACAAAAGTACCTGTCGGTGCCCGAACAATCCTCCTCTTGTGGGTAGTGTATACAATGTCCCATTGTGGAAGAACAGCTCCTGTGAAGTCCAATCGTCTTGGTGAATCGTCCGCCGTCGGTTGTGTCTACCGTCCAAGTGATCCAGTCCGGAATGAATATTGCAGCCAAGGTCATCGCGGTCGCTGGGCGATATTAGTGAGGAATTGCGAGAAGAGTCGGTGACATTGAGCTTACCTCCAAGGAACGCCACAAAGGCGGTACTGTATACTATTAATCGCGTCATTTTGACTGCTGTTCCTCCTCCGATTGTTTCAGTAGGCTATGCAAAATGGCAATAAATCTGCGAGAGACGCGAGTTGGTGAGGAAGAGCCTGAGGTCGTTAGGAGGAGATCGAGTGATATGGTGTCTGCCTAGAGCGAAACGCACACCTCACTCTCAGCCCAGAAAACCACGCACTCGCACGCAACTTGCGGTGAACGAAACAATATTCGGGATATACTTGCTCGAGCACGGGGATAAAAGAGTACGTATGATTAAGTAGCGATATGGCTGGGGAATATTTGCGCGATATTGTGAAAAGATGGGATTTAAAGACTCGGTTTGTCTTCATTGGCTAAGGTGGGGAACTGTTTGGATCACTGACGTCGATCGTACGAAAAGGAGGGGTTCAGATGCGAGAAAGTGTTCACGGGGTCCCTTTTGCAGCCAGCTGCAGGATAAGAATCTAATCTTGCATTTGCCTTTTCGATTGGTCTTGGGAAGGACAAATTTTAATGAAATTGAAAGGTCTTTCTGTATTCTTGTCTATTGGGCCCTAGATTAAATGTAACTAATGTGCGTTCCGTGAACATGGTCCACTTGCACCGACCAGTTAAGAACGAAACTAGTAATTCAGGGTATCTGTAATTCACGTGAAATCATTTGTAGGGACGATTCTAAAGGCCAGTGCCGTCCTCCTGACACCTACTCATCAGAGTCCTCGCTTTCCTCGCTGCTGTCTTCTGAATCTTCCTGGCTATCTTCCTCCTCAGACTCGGAGCTGGAAGAAGAGCTTGAAGAGCTCGAAGACGTGTCATCACCACCATCGCGTTCGGTAACAGAGTCATCCGAGCTATCGTCTTCTGAATCATCAGAATCAGATGAACTGGTATCCTCCACCGTTGCGGTCCGTTGTTTTCTTCTCCTTGCAACCCTCTGGGTCGATCCGTCATTCATCCTCAGTCTCTTCTGGCTGTCATTATCACCGCTGACAAGGCCTTTATCAACGACTTCGCTGCGATCCTGAGCTGTCTCAAGTTCTGCCAAGATTTGCTCCGCCCTCGTCCTCTTAGCAACCCTCTTCGCCATGTTTGCATCTGACAGACCCATCAAAACTCCTTCCTCGTAACCCATCGTTGACGATGCATTGGCCGCCGTCATGTGCTCCACGTACTTCTTCATAGCTGCATCATATTCCTGCTGCTTCTTGTCGGAATCGGCCATGTTTTCGGGGAAGCCAGCAGCACCTTCCGCTTGATCTTTGACTTTGATAGCAAGAGCTGCGTCTCGCAGCCTCGTTCTTACTCCACCTTGGAGTCCTCGGACGTAGGGGCAAATGAGGTATGCGTGATCGGAGGGTATGATATCGATATCGAAGACGTGCTTGAGGAGATGAGTTTGGTGGTTCTTGTTGAACTTCCAGTTGTCTCTCGATTCGTGATATTGTCGGAGGTATTGAAGGTAAGGCCGGGAGGAGAGGTTGGCAGGTTTGACGATCTTTGAGGGCTTCGATGATTTGGACTTGCCCTGTTCTTGCTTCGGTTTCTTGATCCTCTTAGCTCTTCTGTCTTTTTCGTCAAGGCTTGTCTTGACTTGTTCCTCGACAATAGAAGGTTCCGGGGTCTTGAATGCCAGTTGCGAATTTTGCAGTTGAAATGATGGGTCCTGCGACTTTTGCTCTGCTACCCAAGAATTGAATAGTTGCTTTATGCTGTCTCCATCGTCGACTTTCGTCTCCGGAGTGAACGTAACTGACTTCTTCCGGACGAGAACAGGAGTGACCGGTACGGCAGGTGATGGATAATGAGAATTCTTCTTCGTTTTCTTGGATGGCTCTTCGTCAATTGCGCCCCCTCTCTTCCTCTTGATCGACCCAATCTGATCAGAAGTTTCGGGTACAGACACTGGAGGTGCTTGAGATCTCAGTTTGAGGCCCAATCTTTTCCAGGCGGGAATGTGAGTGGACTCATTGTGGACCGTGGCAGAGGGCATGACGACAGCTGGATTGAGTCGTTGGCAAGGCCTATAACATATGGGAATATTGTTGTCGTAAGCCACACTACAGGGTGCTCCTTTTGATCGCAAAAAGATGGGAACTTTTTCCCGTGCTTTATCGCCTATCAGTCCGAGATCGTCTCACAGCGGACAGCAAAAGCGGCAATAAAATTTTCAAAATCCTCAGCCACATGAAAATTTGATGGAACAAGCAAAGAGAGGAATTTAGAATTCATTTACTTCTGAGATAATTCAACTGAGTGTGAATGAGTGATAGCTCCATGGTATTTTTGGAGGAAGGGTAATCTTAGGTGTACTACTTGATTTGGGACATTCAAAATGAGCGCCGCTTTTTGTTCATCCAAACCCGCCTTTCCAGCTAGTGATCATGTGACTCGAGTACCTGGGTGCCAGGCAAGCTCAGTTGCGCGTTTCTCGCGGAAGCTGTTGACAAGAGCTACCATTTCTGCCTCAACACATCCACGAACACCTCTCACGACCAGCCCTACCACCTCGAGCTTGTTACTCTTTCTACCTAGACAACCACCCTACCAGTTACTGCGTCCCAGCACCTCAAGATGTCTGGTAAGGCCACTTCGTTTCGAGCTTCAACAGCTCTATGAACAGCAGTTACACTGACTTCAAAAACAGGCAGTGCAGGATACGACAGACATATTACGATCTTCTCAGATCAGGGAAGATTGTACCAAGTCGGTACGCATAAACGCATTTCCGTTTTCATTCAACACGATCCAGCGCCTTCTCGACATGGCCTCTCCAGCGAGTTTCAGCGTCGCACTCCACGAATCCGCGATGTACCCTGCTAACGAGTCGTGGGAGGATAGAATATGCCTTCAAGGCCATCACTGCTGCGAATATCATGTCGATTGGTGTCAGAGGAAAGGACTGTGCGGTTGTATTGTCGCAGAAGAAGGTCCCTGTAAGGAAGGCCTCCTTCCATTTCTATTTTAAGTCTCAATACTAATATAGAGGTGCCATAGGACAAGCTCATCGACCCCTCCTCTGTATCCCACATCTTCAAACTGTCACCCTCAGTGGGCTGTGTAATGACGGGTTCCATCGCCGATGCGAGAGCCTCTGTCCAAAGAGCCATTGGTGAAGCCGCGGAATTCAGGTACAAGTTTGGATACGAGATGCCCTGCGATGCCCTAGCAAAGAGGATTGCCAATATCAGCCAAGTTTATACTCAACGGGTAAGCTGACCTAGTCGAACCGCTTAGCACTCTATCGTACATCACAAATGCTGACCTTGGATAGGCTTACATGCGTCCATATGGCGTTGCTACTACGTTGATTTCATTGGATTCCGAGTACGGTCCACAATTGTACAAATGTGACCCAGCAGGCTACTATACCGGCTACAAGGCCACAGCCTCAGGTCCCAAGCAGCAAGAGGCGTTCAATCATCTTGAGAAGAAGCTCAAGAACAAGGATTGCGCAGAAGGCAGCTGGGAGGAGGTTGTGGAGCTTGCCATCACTACGTTAAGCACGGTCCTAAGCGTGGATTTCAAGAAGGGCGAATTAGAGATCGGAATCGTGGGTGGGCCAAGAACGGACGGGAAGGAGGGTACCGACCCAGGATTTAGAGCTCTGACTGAGGAGGAGATCGATGAGAGATTGCAAGCGATTGCGGAGAAGGACTGAGGGTTGAAGTGGTAATGATATCCAGAAGAGCGTTTAGCTTTCGGGGTCCCCGATCAACTTTCGACTACAAAAGGGCTCTTTGCTACTTTGGCTTTTCAACGGTGTATTAGAACATAGAAGGACTGGCGTGAGCCACGTCTTCCTAATCTTGTGTCATTAGTCTCAATCACATCTGGGGGGGAAGCCGGACTCCAAAGCCTCGTGTATTATTGGTGGTCTTGTTGGCGAGGGACCCACGACTCAGCCTTACTTGTGGCTTGACCTGAACGAACGATCTGACCAAATGCAGGAGATCCAGCCTTACGCTGGAGATGGGGCCAAATATCGGCCAGGGGAGGGAAGTATTGGCGAAATTAATAAGGCCGTTCGGGAGACCGCATTGGATAGGTCTGACGGTGCTTGCAGCCACGAATCTCAGGGCTGTCCCGAAGAGGCTTCAATGTATGGCGCAGTCGGGTGGCACCAAGCTGTTCCCAGCATCTGCATCTCAGCTGGGAAAGAAGCGAGAAGTTCTCGTGCATCCAACCTCGGCATGCGGCCCTAATTGGCTGTATCTCTCTGGCGGGCGCTCAAGCTCGCCCTGAGCAGCAAGACCGCAGTGGAGTTTTGGGCCGTTGGGGCGCATTTCCAGCGCCGTCACTGGCCCTGCGCGCGGTGGCGCTCCCCGATGATGCTGAAGCGAGTCGACCACCATTGCCCAGCAAGAGACTCACTCTGGCGACTCTTGGCTCCCCTGCTGCACTCAAAGAGGCTCTCGAGCTCCCGTTACCTCTCCCACGGTTCCCACTATGGCCACTATGATGATAACTGTGCATCCGGCTCACAGCTGGCCCAGGTTCATGTGTGGGTAAGTAAAGCTTTGAGCTCGTAAGGTTCAGTATCAAAATAGCTTCTCCTTGTGGGTGGGGCTCACAGGGCTCTCCTGAGCTCTTCTCATGAAAGCAGCTCCAATGGACCGGATGGAATCTCTCTCATGGCTGAGATCGTGTGATAGCCAGCCACAACAATTCCCAATATGTCCAGATGTCATCCAAGGTGCACGGCATCTAGTTCTTGAATTCTTCATAAACCTCCATGAGGGCTTCTCCCTCCCGAGACATTCTCAACGGCCCACCATCTTTCGAGCTCTTCTTTCATTCGTTTTTCTGTAGCTCCCGCTCCCGCTCTTCTACCTCTTTTCTCCACAGCCACTCTCACAATTTCAGTCTTTCACGATGGCAGACGGATGTGAGTCGGATTACTTCTTTCTCACTTGTATTTCCCACTCCAAGTTCCCCAGCAAGTAATCTAGCTGGTCCCTTTGCTGACGCTTGGACAGTAAATGAACAAAGGACTGTTCGAGTAGCCGATCTGCTCTCAGACTTCCGAACCTTACAATACTGGATCGCTGCCGCTCCTGTCGATCCTGAGGATCAGGATGATTACTACACAGAAGGCTGGGCTGCTCTACGTCAATGCTCCATAGACGGACAGCACATCTTGAACTGTGCTGCGGAGACACGGGTTCCAAGAGTGAGAGGCGGACCGGAAGAGCAAGAGAAGGCAGAGCTACAGCAGTAAGTTCAGCAAGTGAAGCTCTTGAAATGAGAGATACTGATGATTTCAGGGTCATGCTCGACGCCTTCGCACGGCGACACGAAGGTCAAAAGATCTACCTCCGACAGCAAGCTGCACAGCGCTGGATCAGTTGGCGAGACCAAGTTCTCCAAGGACAACGCCCTCACTCTGGTCACACTTCCCAACTGTCCGCCTGTGATGCGCAATTGCGGGTTGTAAGTGTACTCTCTTTACTTTTTATGTTTTTGATATGTTGGATACTAATTCCATACAACAGGAACTTGCAGCCATCACAGATGATTCTATCTACTCTGATATGCGATCTTCTGACTATCAAATGGGGCGCTGGACACACGAGGACCCAAGCCTACGGCACATTCAGAGATGGGTTCGCGCCAGGCGTTGAATCTAAATAGCAGAATAATCAAAGGGGGGGAAATGTTTGACGAAGGGAAATAAAGGTTGGATTTTGCAAGGAGCAACGGGACAGCATAGCGGTCATTTTCAGCAACGAGCATTGGGAAGGCGTTTCTATTCATCCAAGCCGAGGCGCTGGCGGCTAGGCACTCAAACTTATTTACCAGCATAGAGCATTGCCTGGCGCTTTGTTTTCTACAGTATTCAAATCTCATTCTGGCTTTTCCTAAAGCACACGTAGCCGATACCCAATAGTCTAAATTCACAAAAAAGTATTGGTTTGCCAAACTCATTTGTTCTTGCTCTGGACACAAAGCGCTATCCCAGATAGTGAAAGAGCCATCCCAATCCAAGTGTCTACGGAGTAATTAGCACTCACATTCCGGATTCTAACTGGAGCTGATAGCTTACCCCTGCTAATTACCTTCCTCTCAACCCACCAATCCCCAAATACCGTGAACAGGAAGGCCAGCGAATTGGTTATTGGTACCGTCAAACTAAGTTCTAATGTCGCCACATCAGCTCCCATTTCCACCTCACCCCACGCTCCCCACTTCCCATCCCCCACCTCCCATCTCCCGTTATCCCCAAAGGCAGAAAAGGGGAACTCACCAGCCTTGCCAATCAATAGGAAGAACCACACGCTCCCCGTAAGATTGATCACCAGCGGAATCGCATATCTCGGGTTCCGCAACAAATCCAGGACGCCGAAGAAGGCTCCTAGGAATTTCGACTTGATCCAGCTGGATTTGACAGATGATGAGTCTAGAATCGGGTGTGGTGGTGGCGAGTGAGTGCGTGCTGCGGCGCGAATGAACGGAGTGGTAAATCCCCAAGCAATGCCGATGAGCAGAAAGCCGACGATGTAGCGGAATATCGATGGCGCTGGTTCTGGGGAGGGTGTGGTGTCCATGGTGAACGGACTGGGAAGGCAAAGTGGCGTGTAAGGCTGAAAGGATGTTCTTGATGTAGGGGCTGAGATGAAAAGCTGAGCGTCAAGACAAGGATGTTTTGGCAGGAGTCACGTGTAAGAAACCCATAAATAGTCCGCTTGTGGGAAGCAGTACTTACTAAAAGTTTCTCGTGATATCACGCCAATTATGGGTTTCAATTCTATTATTCATTGATTGATTCTGGGTGTGGACAAATCGAGCAGAGAAAGTAGCAGAATCTCCCTCCGAAACCCCACCCGTTTCCCAGCGACCTCAGCTATGCAATATTTTGTATTGTGACAAAATGAAGGAAAATTCCGCAGGAATATGCGCCATCCACAACGTATTTTTCAAACCCCAAACCAATTGTCCGAAAGTAATGCAGAATATTGAAGTGAAAAACGCATCGTTCCGGCTCTCAACCACGAGCATAAGGGTGGAAGCCTCTATTGCCGCCCCTACCACCACCACGATAGTTCGCTCCTGGCTTACCAGCATTCTTCGGTCCAGTTGGGGCATTAGCGGGCGGTGCACTTTGAGGTCCACCTTGAGGCGGGGCAGATCCCCTTGAACTTCCACCTCCCCGTCCGCTCTGATATCCTCCTCGGCTTCCTCCTCCACCACCACCTCCTCCTCCGGTTGAAACGGCTGGTTGCGGAACATCATCATACATTCCCTCCCAAGATGTTGGACCACCACCACCCATACCATATCCTCCTTGACCACTGTACTGAGATTGCTCACGTGCAGCCCGACGCATCTGTTGTTGTTCATATTTCTGTTGCTCAAACATCTGCTGCTCGTAGGCATTGTAGCCAGGCGTGCCAATTCGTCCTCCAGGATTGCTTCCACCGCCCGCAGCATAACCACCACCCATACCAGCACCGCCGCCCATGCCTTGCATCTGCATTTGTTGCATTTGCTGCATCTGTTGCATCATAGCAGGGTTCATGCCTTGCATTCCAGCACCCGGGCTCTGGGGACTCTGGCTTCGATTTCCTTGCTGCATCTGCTGTTGCATAGCTTGCATTTGTTGCATCTGAGCCATTTGGGCCATCATAGCCGGGTTCATACCGCCTTGCATTGGCATACCTCTTCCACCACCCATCGCCATCTGTTGCTGCATCATGGCGAAGTATTGTTGCATACGTTGCCAATACTGCGCCATTAGTTGGGGAGTCATACCACCAGGAGCCATCTGATTAGCACCGCCTTGTTGAATTTGATTTGCATTTTGGTTGTCATCTTGACCTCCCTTGCGGAACCGGCCACCCTTGCCACCACGGCTCTCCTCTTCCTCGCGCATGTTGCCTCTTGGCTGGGCCTTCTTGACTTCGATTGGCTTGCCGAGAATCTCGAGCGGCTGCTGCAAGCAAGCATCGACTGCCGCCTCGCTGTCGAATGTGACGAATCCGAAGCCTCGTGGTCTGCCAGTGTCTTTATCCATCATGAGAGTGGCATCAACGACTCGACCAAACTGCATGAAGTACTCCTTAAAATCTTGCTCTGTGGCCTCTTGACTGACGCCGCCGACAAAGATCTTGCTAGTGCGCTCTTGCTCGTCTCGTGGAATGGCCCGCTTGGGGTCGATCTTAACATTGTGTGAGCTGGAGTGCTTCTTTGGGGTAGGGGGATTGGAAGGGTATTGACGCAAAGAATTAACATGAGTCTGAAAGTTGGGCCTTACAATTTTGCCATCTAGCCAGTGTTCCTTCACCATGACGATGTTGACTGTTCTGGCATCCTTGAAAGTCAGGAAGCCGAAGCCTCTTGATCTACCAGAAGCGCCATCTCTCATAACGGTGCACTCCAGAACTTCACCAAACTGGGAGAAGTATTCCTTGAGTGATTCTGGAAATAATTGCGAGTTAGCCTTGCCTTGAATATTTGACTTCAATTGCTTCACGTACGATCGGTAGTCTCCCAGTTCAGTCCACCAATAAACATCTTCCTGTGAAAACATAACCAATTAGCAAAATGAACCATATTCTCAAAAAGAAATGAAACGCATCATATGGCGGGAGTAATATCAAGGAAACAATCTGCGTTCTCCAAACATGGCTTCAGATTTGGTTGTCTCGGATCTCGAACAGCAACCCGGTTTCGTAGCTCCTGGGAATCTTTCGCTTGAGGGCAGTAGATTGACAACCCAATGACTCGATGGCCGACAACTCGACAACTCGAACCAAATCAACAGGCCGAACTGCTGGCCAAGGTGTAGCGCAAACATGTCTTTGATGCAGCAGCAGATGAGATCTGGAGAATTTCGGCCCGCAATGTTGGGAAAGAGTTCCAAGTATCCACACAAAACCCCTCAAACCAGGATGGCAATTTGAACCGGACAGGAGTCATGCAATGAAGGATGACACCACAAGATATCCAAGAACAATGGTTGTCTTTGCTATCGTCATGCTAGGTACTGGCGTCGTGCGCTATGCGCTGCCCTTTTGCTAAGCCTATCTGTGGCCTCCTTGATGCTCTATGAAGATTATCTCGACAATAGGCTATGTAGTAGGATTGACTATGGCCGCTGTTGTTGGCGAATGCATGAGGCGAAATACCAGCTTCCTGTCCGTTTTCAAGCTGCTAGTCCCTTTGCCAACTCGTCTGCTCAAGCTTCCCCCTTCAGGCAATTGACGCATTTTGCTTCCGGCAGCCATCGCAATCATCGCGCTTATCTTCGAATCCGTAAAACAATTGAACGGTCGCCAGTGATGTTCCGCATCTATGGGTCCTAGTTGCTGTTTGAATCTCATCCGTCCCTTATAGAGGCATTTGTTCAAATCCATCTCAGCGATAAGTTCTCCTCCTTCCAAGCCCACGTCCTGCCATAAGGTTCCCCAATCTGCATGCCCGCCAAATGATCTCCCTACACCGATCCCATATCTTGACATGCTCTTTTCGTTGCCTCGGAAAAGTTGAGCGAGATGAAGCGAGGCCAGAGAACAGATGCTTACGATCATCTGCTGAGTTCTGGTGATATATGCACTATAAAATTCGACGGAAAAAATAGCAATCTTACCCATCCTCTTTGATGCCAGGTCCATGTGATTCATTTGTAGCTGAAGCATCGTAGTTGTTGCCATTCCCACCAATGTTAAAATCAATGTCATCATCCATATCCTCCTCACCATTATACATTTGTTCATCTCCTCCACCATTTTGTTCTGGATGGTCATTTGACTCTTCACCATTCGTCTCAGCTACGGCAGCCGGTTCAATTTTGGCCTCAGCCTCTGGAGCTGCCGGTTTTGAAGGCTCTTCATCGGCGTACCTGAAAGCGAGTCAGCTCAATGTTCGGTCGAATGAGATAGGCGGTGAGAATATGGATAGCAAGTACAGAGGCACTCTCGGCGTCTGGCCTGTGGTTGGATGGGAAGACTGGATCAAGAGCCAGGTATCCAGGGATGAGTAACTCACAGATCGGCGAAGAGATCCTCTTCGAAGTTATCCGGTTCCGTCATTTTGGAAGTATTCTGTATTTTGGAGAGTAGATTAGTTGTCACTTGTCGCGGTGTGTGACGACAGTGCACAGTGAAAAAGTTGCTAGTTGTTGGCCTGCCAGCTTGAAAGGCAGGGCGGGTGTTGATGTTGCTGTGCCTGAAAAGGACCTTCGATGTCAAATCAAGCTGTCTCCCAGAGTCGGTAAGCCTGATCGATGGTTAAGTGTCGCAGTGAATAGATGACGACGAAGCAGAAGAAGAAGGTGCTGTGTGGTGTGTGATCAAGGCAAGCGTGCGCGGGGGCAGTGTCTCAAAATGCGCTAGCCGAATTAGGAAGCGGATCGTTGAATTACAACCTCAGGAACCCGAGCTGCCAGGAATGAAAGCACAAGACCAAGAATTGAAGGTCCGCAAGATGTTTTCTTCGTTAAATGGCACCAAGAAGCCAGTGCAACAGGTTGGTTCAAATCTTCGCTTACAAGAGAAAGGCAAAGCTGATTAAAGCTTCTCGAATACAGGAGATGGTTCAGGTTGGTCAGTACTTCCCCACCAAAAAGCTGCTGGAAGGAGTACCTTGCTCCAGATGCAAGAGGTTTAGTTCTGGATATAGCTAACTGGTGCTTTCGTCTACCAGAAAGATCCGAGTATGCTCCAACTTCTTCTGCACAACCGCCTTGAGTCGAGCGGGGGCAGTTATAGTGGGCAATGCGCTGACCAAGGGCATTCCAGATCAGCATCTCCTTTCTGGAGGGGCCGAGCTTCAGATGGACGCCGTGACTCTTCTCCAAAAACCCAGACTCGAGAACCTGGATTGGTCGTCGGGGCCTCATATTCTCATGCGGACATGTTGAAGTTTGACAACCTGTACGTCTCAAGGTCCGAAGGCCACTCAAATGTGCTAATATTATTATTCAAGCTCTTTATCTTCGAGTTCAGCACGTCCCAGGACTCCTCCTTCTTCTTCCTCTCATAAAAACGATACCCCGCCATTTCACAGAGGATCTTCTGGACTAGCTTCTCCTCCAAGAAGAACATACACAGACTTCTTGTCAACTACAAATAATGATTGGAATGCCGACGATGAAGGCGATGAAGACGACGAGTATGGCTATGACAACGACGATGGGGACGACTTTGGATTGCCGAGCATGTCAAGCATGAAGAGGAAAACGAAGAAGGCTGCGGACCAAAACAAAACGGATCCTGGAGTAGGGAACCTCCCCCCTTTTGGACACGGGCTACAGGGTGGTTTCGGGGGATTTGGCACCCGGAGGCTTTCAAATAGTGCTGACATTGCCATTGAACGCCCTGCGCCAAGTTACCCCGTTGCAAAGAAGAGCGAAGGAAAGATTTTGAGGCCTCAGTATAAAGAGATTCTGAGAGATCCTGCAAATTCCTTACACCTCATCCACCATCCTCCTATCCCTGTCGATGCTTCTCCCAAACAAGCAGATATCCACTCGGCACGGATCACGAGAATAAATAAGTTTAAAAAGATATTGCAAGCCACCTCGATAAATCTTACGGATCTGAGAGCAGCTGCATGGTCTGGGGTCCCCGAAGAAGTTCGGGCAATGACATGGCAACTATTACTTGGATATCTCCCAACAAGTAGCGAACGCCGGGTTGGAACATTGGAACGGAAAAGAAAAGAGTACCTCGATGGAGTCCGGCAAGCGTTTGAGAGAGGTGGAAGTAGTTCCGCTTCGACAGGTAAGGCGCGGGGACTGGATGAAGGGATCTGGCATCAAATCAGCATTGACGTCCCACGAACGAATCCACACTTGGAGCTTTACGGGTACGAGGCTACCCAACGATCTTTAGAAAGGATTTTGTACGTCTGGGCTGTACGGCATCCAGCGAGTGGATACGTCCAAGGTATCAATGACCTAGTGACGCCGTTCTGGCAGGTTTTCCTCGCCAGTTATATTACAGACTCAGATGTTGAAAGTGGCATGGATCCTGGGCAACTTCCTAAACCCGTGTTGGATGCTGTTGAAGCAGATTCATTCTGGTGTTTAACGAAATTATTAGATGGCATTCAGGACAACTATATCACTGCCCAACCTGGAATTCAGCGGCAAGTGGCAGCGCTCCACGATCTGACAGCTAGGATAGACGAGCCTTTAGCGAAACACTTAGAACGGGAACAGGTTGAATTTATCCAATTCAGCTTCCGGTGGATGAATTGCCTCTTGATGCGGGAAATCAGTGTTAAGAACACAATCAGGATGTGGGATACATATCTGGTAAGTCAAATTATCCAAGTTTGCTCTGAATTGAGATTAAGATCATTCCAAGGCCGAAGAACAAGGCTTCTCAGAGTTCCACCTCTATGTCTGTGTGGCCTTCCTCGTCAAATGGTCCGACAAATTAAGGAAGATGGACTTTCAGGAGGTCATGATGTTCCTCCAGGCTTTGCCAACAAGGGACTGGACGGAAAAGGACATCGAGCTGCTTCTTAGCGAAGCCTTTATATGGCAGTCGTTATTCAAAGGTTCTTCGTCGCACCTAAAAGGCGGATCGAGTAACACACCATCCTCAATTGCTGCAGCCTAGATGGAACAAAGCTTGAAATCGCCGACAAATACACCGACCTGATCATACCTCTGTCAACTTCTGGATCTAGTTGAATATTGGGGAATGGAGGGCTGATCTAACGGCACCTCATTGGTTCTTCTGAATATGATGTCGGAAAGCGTCTGCTACAAGTTGTCAAAACCTCAATGCCACCGCCTTAAATAGATAGATCAAAGCATGATACCGCTGGGCACTACAACGCTGGTACATATCGTTGATTCTCTGGCACTCTTCTGCTCTCTGCACCGTGCAACTATCAAGTTCTCATGCTTGACAGACGGCCATGGATCTTAATGCATCGAGGTAGTTAGAAATTGCACGCGATGAGCTCAAAGCCTAAGAATTCAAAATGCGAATGAAAATGCATTAGTGCAACCCATATCATATCCCATGTGACATGTGCAAACCCGGCATATTTAAAGCAATATGCTCCCCTTGGTATGTATCCAGTATCAAACGCCGCCATATTTTCCGGTCCGCAATCCCATCTACTGTAGTAACAGAGAAGACCACCTGCAGATATTAAAAACCCCTTAGTCATCAGCAGCATCCTCAACCATTGCCTTTTTCGCATCATCACCATCATGCGCACCGTTCAAAGGGGGTTCATAAACCTTGAATTTCTTGCTGTCACTCTCCTCGGCATCATCCTCAGCCTTGCGCTTTCCATTGGTGCCATTAGTGCTTGACGCTGGCTCAGGAGTGGGGGCATCTGGCTTCGCCTTCTTACGGCGAATCAGACCGGTGAGATCAGTTGCTGTCTTCTTGGCCTCCTCAATTCTGGCTGCAGCTTCTGCTGGCGACTCGCCCAACGTAGCTCCAAGGATACCACCACTAGGATTGACGTCCAGGGCACCTGTTGGGCCGTACAAAGCGTCCTTGACGTCGACCGGAGGAGCTTTCAATTCAGCAAGCTGAAAAAGTAATGTTAGTGACTATTCTTGAAGTTCTCTTGAAGTTCAGAGAGCTTACGCGACCTTCCATCTCAGTAACAATCTCCTTTACCTCAGCAATCTGTGCTCGGGTGACCTCATTGTCGTCAGGAGATGAGGTTGAAGCAAGTTCCACCTCCTTGCTTTGCAACTTGAGCTTCGTGCTGTTGATCGCCGCCTCCAACTCCTTGACAGCTTCATCCCTCATGCCTTGATCGACATGGGTCTCTGCCTCCGTGACATCTGCTGCCTCTTCGCCCTCATCCTTGGTTCTCGTGATTGAGGCAAACTCCAAAGCAAGAGACAATTTGAAATGAGCCTCTGCAATGATCTCCGACTCCTCAGGATACAGCTCTTGCTTGTGTGCTAGAGCAGCTCTGAAATCAACAACAGCACCTGGGAATCTATACTACGTTAGAAAATACCGTCAAGTGTCAAACTTGGCCCATTTACCTCTCGTTTTCGAGTGAGATCTCCGCCAAAAGGTCATGAGTATCTGCCAGCCGCTCCTTGATGTGCTTTGTCATTAGAGAATCGCCAATATCCTTGCCCTTGCCTGTATCCTCCTCTGGCCCTTCCAACTTCTTTGTGAATAGGACTCGTGCAAGGTCAAGTACCTCGAAGGCGGCTGCAAGATCATCGTCCTCCTCGGCTTCACCTTCGCCCTCCTCCTCCTAATGAGCATTAGAGACCGAACTGTGCTGAAAATGTCTGAAAACTGACCTCTGCATCATCATCAGAGTCCTCAAAGTTCTCGTCGCCAGTAAATTGGAATAATGGCTTCTTCGCATCGACTCCCTCCTCAGGCTTTGCTCCACTGTCATTTTGCTCCGCAATAATCGCAACGCCCTCCTCAGCAATCTTCTCACTCTCGCTCTTGAGCTCTTGTTTGGGTGCCGCCTTCTTCGCCTTCGCAGCACCATTCGGCTTCTTCTCAGCTCCGGCCTTGCCACCTAGGACATCGCTTTTACTCTGTCCAACCTTGAAGAGTGATCGGCCGTACAGGAACAAGATCTCCGCGTTATCAGGGGACATCTCGCCATTGAGTTCAGCTTGAAGCTCTGAAGCTCGCGCATACAGGTCTGACGCCTCTTCGTAGTTCTTGTGTGCATATTGGGCGGTACCCTTGGCGCATAGATCTGCGAGGGATACTTTGACTGAATTGTAGACCTCCATTGCGGCGGATGACTCTTCTGAGAGTGTAACGGGTGGTTCAACGGGCTCAGCCATTGTCGGTTGTGTAGCTGGATCGGAGCGGTTTGGTTTGAAAGGTGGAAAGAGGTGAAGATGAGGAGTGTTTGTCAAATGGAAGTGGATCGCTTACGAGGTTCTTGTAGAAAGAATGGCTTGATGGGTGAATGGAGAGCGATTGAAAAGTGAGAAGTTGACTGTGACAGGTGATGCTGAATTGAAGTGGAGTGGTCAGTTCTTTCAGGGCAAGCTTGTACATTGCAAGGATGTTGACACGCGAAACCGCTCAAGCAAGCCACACAGACGCGTCCCAGCGCGTCTCCCTTCCAACATGGCAAAGTATTGAGACGAAATTCTACACCTTTACAACACAATCACGATTGACAAAATGTCGCGACCAAATCAAGCAGAGAAACCGCGAGCTGCTTCTATATTCAAACCGCCTCCTACACCTGCGCCTTTGAATCCAATCCCTTCGTCGTCCCCCGCCTTTGGTACGCCAGCATATCCCATAAACCCTTTCAATCCCGCTGGAGCTCCTGTAAGAGCCAGTATACTACCAATTCTTCTTCCTCCGGCAACTTTACGACCTCTGGCCTTCAGAACGTTCACCAAGAAGCACAGTTTGACCCTGACCTCCTCTGCACTGCAAATTTTAGCTACATTCATTGGGAGACATTGTGGTACGGAATGGCGGGAAGAGGGGCTAGCCGAGCGCGTGTTGGAGGAAGTTGCTAAGAGCTGGAAGAATCGGAATGGGGGGGTTATTGTCGATGGAGAGGGCAACGACTTGAAGAACATTCTGAAAAATCTTGAAGGGAGCATGAGCGGAGGAAGGATTGTTGCCAACAGAGAACTCAGTCGACAAAACAGCTTAGTCCTCGGGTCATCACAAAATGGAGAGGTCTCTCATACACGGCTTGGGATACGGCCGAGTGTTTTGGGGAGAGAAGACAGCCAGCCCGGCTTGGGAATGTCGGTACTGGACGCTGAAGCCGAGGATGAAGACGGCCTCCGTAACCCCAGAAAGTGGTTGAAGGTTATTGACGCCTTTGAGCAACCTCGGCTGATATATAATGTTGCAAAAAAACACTTCGACAGGTTTGTCTTTGAATCCACTCCAGATTTGTTACTAATTTCTATTGAAGAGAGACCGCGAACCCTTCATTGCTACCCCCAGCTTCACACAAAACACATGTTTTCCGAAACCGATATAATCTCATCCACCAACGTCTCCTAAGAAATGAGTCCTTTCAAACGCCAACTTTTGAAGCCCAGAAACTTTCCTTAAAGCGATCATCAACTAGTCTAGCGACAGCTCAACAATCATACAAGCTGACACCCATTGCAAATCTACTGGGACGTAACGGAAGTAGTCACATGCTTCTTGGGCTTTTGACTATCTCCCCCACCGGCACATTAGCAATCAACGACTTGACCGGAAGTATTACGCTAGATCTCACGCACGCCAAACCAATCCCTGAAGACGGAGCCTGGTTTGCTCCTGGAATGATCGTCCTGGTTGACGGGACCTACGAGGAGGAAGACAACAACGCTAGTGGGGGACTAGGAGGAAGTGGAGGTGTAGGTGGAACTATTGGCGGAAAATTCATAGGCTTCTTCATCGGCGGGCCGCCCTGTGAACGAAGAAAGGTCACTCTGGGTCTCACCGGCTCTGACGATGGTGGTGTGACTGCTGGAGGTGGCTTTGGGTGGGTCGATTTCCTCGGTGTGGGTAGTGAGCGTGCTGTAGGCTCCAAGATGCGGAAGCTAGAACAGCGATTACTTCGACCAGGATCAGTAAACGAGGACTGGGGCGGCAGAGGGCGAATGGTAGTCATAGGTGAAGTGAATCTTGACCAGCCTAGGACATTGCAAGCACTGAAGAAAGTCATTGGGTTATATGCTGCGGAGCCGGAAGAAGATACCCCGATGACCTTCGTGTTGATGGGGAACTTCGTCCAGCATGCCATCATGGCTCGTGGAGGCAGCGGAGGAAGCATCGAGTACAAAGAATATTTTGATAGTCTGGCATCAGCACTCTCCGAGCACCCAACCCTTCTCCAGTCTGCAACTTTCATCTTTGTTCCAGGAGACAACGACGGCTGGACATCTTCCTTTTCAGCGGGTGCAGCGACACCTCTACCCAGAAAAGGGGTACCAGAGATATTTACCTCCAGGATAAAGCGAGCATTCGCAACAGCAAACGCCGAAGCGGAGAAGGAACGAGGGAAGAAGACAGATGGAGAAGCAATCTGGACCAGCAATCCATCTCGTCTCTCACTCTTTGGCCCAACTCACGAGATCGTTTTACTGAGAGACAGTATGTCTGGACGTCTCCGTCGAACGGCCATCAAGTTCTCATCCTCAAAATCCAACGACGAAGATGAGGATGTAGACATGGCTAGCACCCCTGCACCGAATCCAGATCCACAGCCAGAGCAAGAACCGGCAGAAATGGAAGTCGATCCTGAAGTCCAAGAGGCTGGATCTCACCAAGCAGAGCCAACTGCCGACGACACTTTGTCGAGTGATTTACATGCGGCGAGGAAATTAGTAAAGACGATCTTAGATCAAGGATACTTGTCACCTTTCGGAATGGCAACTCGACCAGTGCTTTGGGACTATGCTAGTTCACTGCAAGTTTACCCGTTGCCTACCGCGATGGTGCTTGCAGACACCGAAGCGCCAGCATTTTGTGTCACATATGAGGGCTGTCATGTAATGAATCCGGGGAGTATAGTTGCGCCTGGGAGGAGAGGGGTGGCGAAATGGGTTGAATATGATATCCGGAACAAGGTTGGGAGGGTCAGAGAAGCGCTTTTCTAAATTATGAGACCAAGAGTTGGCGTTTGGGTATGGCTTTATGTCCACTGAGGGCTTGGAAAGTGGAATTGCATGTGCTGTACAGGCGTTTGTTGCTTATGGTATTTACGACGGGACCGTCAGTAATACACCTATATTACTGCTCATAACATACAAGTAGCCGTTCATTGTAGCATCAACATATCCTCATCCAGAACTCCGAAGAGCTCCTCGACCTCCCTTTCCACTTTCCTGATCTCCTCTGCCAGTTGCCCGGTGACAAGGGTATAAGCGTACAACATCTCATAATCTTCGTCCTTAGCAACCGAAGTGCTGTCTTCTTCATTGCCGCCAGCGCTATTCTTTCTGTATTGGAAGATCTTCGCAAGTAGCCGATCGCGAGAATTTGAGATACCGGGGAGCGTGTCATTGAGGGGGAATTCTAGTTTGAGAGAACTAGCGAGGACTGGTAGCTGTTAGCTGATTGTTGCAGGGAGAGAAAGGAGGATTTCTACCTTGGAATAGATGACTAATTCTAGAGCAGAGGTCTGCTCGCTCTTCGGCAGTATACTTCAACAGCAACGTTTCTCCCTCGCTGGCGTGGGGATCTTTTTGTATAACCACATTCATTGCGTGAAAGGCATCAAGCATTTTGTTTGTAGACTCCATAATTCGCCCATACTGCCTTGAAGGAAAGGGTCCTCGTAATTCGAACTCGCTCGATGCTGCGCTTCGGAGAGTATCAAGCTGAAGGACTGAATTTGGAGGTTAGCTGCATCCATTAACTTTCGAGGTCCCCAGTCAAGCTGGAACCTTCGAACTGCTGCCTCTCCGGATGTTGCTTAGAACTATCGCTGCATTGCAAGATAACCAGGAATGTATACATACCATAACGTTGCAGCGCAAATTCCTCTCGCAAATTCATATAAGCATTCTGAGACTCGCCTTCCAACAGTGTCGACAACGGGTCTCGCTTCCAAATCAAGCCCATCCTCAGCCATAGGAGGGACAATCCGTCCTTGAATTTTTGTCTTGCTGAAATCGGCCAAATAACTCGGGTAATGATCATGCCCCATACAACGCCAGCAAGGACCGCCACCACTCTATGCAGGACTATCTCGGTGATGATCGGGGTAACTCCGCCTTCATCATCGTCGCCATCTCCGTCTTTTATCGACAAACTGTACGCATATAGACAAGAAAGGTTGTACGTCAGCATAATGAACCGCCCAAACGGTCCTTTACCTTTCTCAATAATGATATAGAAGCAAAGCAGGCTGACAACCCATCCCAAAAATGCTAAAGCAAATGGGTTTCCTTGACACACAACCCAGACTATTACGGCGATGACAGCACCAATGAAAGTACCAATAAATCTAGCCCAACCCGTGGTATTTGAGGCGCCGATTGTCATGGCACAAACCAGCATGTAAGACAGAAGTCCCCATTCCCCACGCCAATGCTGGTAGAACGGCCTTGTGTACGGTATAAACGCAAATACAGCATAAATAGCTGCGCCAATTCCAACTTTCACAGCAAAGCGTACTGGTTTGATGTCAGTGATCGATCGATGGCCAGGATGGACGGTCATAACTTACCATCATCTCGTTCCAGGACGCGTATAATGCGCAGCAATCTATGATAGAAATCGCCAGTCGAATCATGTCCTTGTTCTGCAGCCCTCCATTTTCTTGCATTTCGTCGTTCAAGGACAAGTTCGGGTATGTCCTTGGGCACTTGTGGGCCTTCTTGCTGCTCTATTAGACGCTCTTGCTCCGGATCTTCGGTTGGAGGTTGAGTCAACTGATCTTTAGACCTTTTCCAGAATTGCAACCAGTTCCATGACCGATTATGCTTTTCCGTTACTTCCTTCAAGCCCTCCAATATCGATAAATATGTCTGCATTCCGTTTGCAAAGTCTTGAAGCGAAAAACTAAAGTGCCCACAACTAGCGGCGACCTCTTCAAAATCCGCCTCCACTTTTTCCGGCCTATCCTTGTCTAGTTCCTTGCTTTTGTACAATTCCTTAAGAGCTTCCGCTCGGGCATTGCTGTAGAGTTTCCTATACAACTGTAAGTAATATATCAAGACAATTCTCAGTAAACCATACACTGCATCAGTGAGACTTGATTGAAAGTGGTCATTGATGATTATATGGTACTCCGGGCCATCGCCAAAGGGTAACTCCTGTAGGATTTTGGAGAGCGTATATGCAAGCGACTTCATCGACGGGCCAAGGTGCAGAATGAAGCGCGAAAAGATTTCTGATGGTGTCCTAGCTGTAGGTAAGCCTGTACTTGTCACACTGGTTTCGGTTCCCTGCCGCTCAAGTCGGCTCCGAGTTTGGATACTTTCAGTTTCATGGTCTTCAGTTCCGCTACCTTCCTCGGAGGCTTCTTCGATCGCCGTCAATACTGCGAACCTATCGTGTCTGCCTGTGAACGTAGAGGCAACTGAACCACCAAGCACCTGTGGAGAAGTTCTCGTGGTCCCCGCCACTGAAGGAGTACCAAAATCCGGGCTCTCCTTGAGCAACGTGAATTGAGTTGTTGCAGCACTTCTCAATCCACCAATTGACTGAGCTAATCTTTGCATACAATAGACAAGATTAGCTTCGAGCCTGTATTCTTCTTCCGTGCCAAGTACGTAATGTTCGAATTTAGCCTCCCTGAGATTCTTCGTCAACTGCGTAAAAACTGATTTATATCGGCCTTGAGCTTTGTTGAAGCTTGCCGATCTCAGATCTGTTTCGGATCCGCTGAGAAATCCATGAGTGATCATCGTAAGCATGTCTCCGAAGGAATCCGTAACCTTGATCATAGTCTCTCGAAGCTCCGTCCGTGCTGAAACGGGCCATACCAACAAGCTTACAGCAGAGGTTGCTAATATGCCCATAACAACCATCTTCATAACCTGTACAATCTTATCGTTGGAGAACACTCCAGTCTGGATAGCAGTCTCCTTTGTCAAAATGGTGATTATGGCAAGACTGGCCAGACTGCAAGACACATTGACCAATGGGGCATTATACTTCTGCTTGAACCAACCAATAAATCCAAGCCCGCCGCCACAGAAGGTGATGAGCACTAAGGCAAAACCCAGCTCGATGAGATCCAATTGTGTTTCGAAAAAGACCGATGTCGCCATACTAGAAATTCCAACCAAAGTCGCATATAGGAAGGCACCGAACCCAAGTAGGGCCGCCTCTTCCATAGACCCAGCAGATCTCGCAGGATGGAAGTACACCGTTATCGTAGCAACAATGTGCTTCCCGTCCTGTCTGCCCAAGAAATTGGCCAGAGGGGGCAAGAAGGTAGCGGCACTCCCAAGCAAGTAGGCAAGAGAGCATTTCAGAATTCCTTTCGCAGTAGGCGTCTTGAGCCATTCCCACAGTTCCTTCGAAGCATCCACAGTATTGTCTACGGCCGTCCGAAACGTGCCAGCCTGGGAAAAAGTGCGTCTCAATGGGAGAATCGGGCCACCGGAGCCTCTGGAGTAGGTTGGAGCTGGACCATCGAAGTTTGCAGGATTTCGAAGTGTTATCTGACGTCGAACGCGTTCACCCGTTCCTGGGATGATGAAGGTTCCATTTCTGAGCTTCTATGACATATATTTAGCTGGGCAGGCGCCGAGCTCAGCAGTGGTCAACAACTTACTCCACGTTTCGATCGAGAGGGTCGTCGGCCCACGGGCGATGCCGGGCCATCTGAGCCCGATGGAGAGCTCATATTGGCCTTTTCATGATTCAGATGCGTTGTTGGGCTGGCTCTGGTGAAGGTTGTTGCGAAGTTAAGATTATCAGAGTTCCGAGCTTGCCAGGCGAGTCGCGAACTCGCGAACCCAGCCTTCCCCAGGTTTTGGGGCAGCTGATCCTTGTCTGTCGGCAGTAGCCGAGTCAGGGGTGCAGGAGCCGGTGGACATACTTCACTCCTTTCGAAGGATGTCTCGCGATGAATAGAAAAAGCGACACCTATTTTCAATGTCCCAGGCCAAAGGTGTACATTTAGCTGCATTTAAAGGTAGTGGGAACTTAGTATTCTCGAAATACCCAGACAGAGACCAGGAGAACTTTCTATCTAGTCCTGTAACTCGAGAGGCGTTTGTTGAAAAGAATCTGAAACTGTCTAACTTGATTTCGGCTGTTGGGAAGTTCATTCCCGCTTCTCCTGCCCTGCTCGAGGGTGTTTCAAACGGCATTACTAATCAGGTAATCTTGTATATTGAAACCATTTCATAGCTTCCGCTGGCACACCCACTTTTCGATCTATTCAAGGCCCGAAACACCCCAGATTTTCAAAGAAGCATCGCCGCCAGTGCTAGCAACTTTCTTCACGCCATCGATCCAAGAAACACCATTCACACCGTCTTTGTGAGCATTGGGAGCCTTCACTCTCTTGCCCGGCGCCTCCATACTCCAAACGAAGATATTTGTATCAAGTCCGCCACTTACAGCGTGTGTTCCTTCCGCATTCCACGCAATACATGTGACTCTTGCAGTATGAGCAGACCAGCGATCTGTCTTGACGTCCCAAGAATTGGTATCGTACACGACGATCTTCCCAGAAGAGTTGCCCACAGCGAGAAGTGATCCATTTGGCGAGAAAGCTAATGCTGTGATCTGGGTTGTGGACTTGTCGAGTTTCTCCTGTGGGGATAGCTTGTGGCTTGAATCCACTGTATAAACATGTACGGTATGCGCATCATCTCCAACGACAACCAGCGAACCAGACGCAGCAATAGAGGTTGGTGTGAAATCCTTGATTGGGAGAGTACCAACATGCTTATCCTTGGTGAAGATGTCAATTCCCGACACAGTAGCTGCGAAAATTCGGCCCTCGGCGGAAGCCAATCCTTTCGGCTGGGCAGATAACTTCGAGGTTTCTCCCAAGAATGTCTTACCAGAGGCATCCGCCACTCGGAGTGTATCATCCCAACCCACACTGTATGCTCGGTCGGGCGTGGTCTGGAAAGCCGTGACTCGATTGGAGTGCGGCTCTCCTTCAATGGTAAAACCAACGCCGGAACTGACATCCCAGGAGCAAACTCTACCATCGAAGCTACCAGTCCAAAAGGTCTGCGAGTTGCCCAGTCCACTTGATCCAAGAGCAGTAATGCTTTTGTTGTGGCCTTGGACAATTTTTGCGGGCTTCTGACTTCCTTCCTATTCCCCAAGAAACCGAAATCAGCACTTCTTTCAAGTATTTTTGGGAGGAGAATCTTCCAGGAGCTATTGGGCATTGCTACGGACCTTGGAACGGACACAAAAGAAGAATAGTAATCTGGAACAGTGAAACTTACGGTAAGGTAATTAAGGTCGCCAGCAAGATTCAAGCTCACTACCATTCCGTCACTTCTCCCAGCAGGCCAAACAACACCAACTTGGTGATCTGGAATACTGACGGTTCCTTCTCCAAATCGCCAAGTCTGAACAGCCCTCCCTGCCTCCACGTCCCAAAGCTTGACAGTCTGATCAGCACTTGCTGTGACAAAACGTTTCGAGTCTTTTGCCCAAGACACTCCAAAGATACTCCCTTTGTGCTCGCCTTCTCCAATTTGATGGGTCGGCTCCCCTGTCTTGCTATCATATAGCTGGATCCTGCGATCTGCACCAACACTGACCAGCTGGTTTCCATCAGGCGAGAAGCCAACACCATACACATAGCCCTTGTGTAATCCACCAAGTTTTGTAGAAAATTTGAATGGTGCACCGTGCAAGAAGACCAAGCTGCTGTCATCCGCGCCGGTAGCTGCCCGTAGAGGTCGCTGCTGGCGAATCGACACTGAATTGATGATCGAAGAGTGACCACTGATTTCTCCTACGCTGTTCCCACTATCTGCTGTTATGCAATGTCCAAAGCGCTCTCGTCCGTCGCCAACAGCGATAATACGTTGAGAGTCCCCGTCCCAGGCAATGTCATTTATTCTCCCAGAGATTATGTGGTATTCGCCTCGGCCCTTCATCAGCGTCTGAAATCAAGCACACACGGTCATAGACTACCTTTTGTGTTTACTCCCTCAACCGCATCCCAAACCTTTACTGCGCCAGAAACGTCCCCGGATGCGACGTAGAAGCCCGAGGGAGAGAAGCGCGCAACAGTCGTCTGAGTTGTATGAGTGGTGTATTGCTTGCTGAGTGAAGGATTGTCGAGGGACCTAAGAAAGATAGATTTGCCAGACTAGGTTTGATACTCAGTCAAATGATAACAACTTCGACTTGGAACACTCACAGCGTAAGCTATGCGCTCTCCTTTGGGATCTGTGGATAGTTGAGTTGGCCTGCCGCGCTCCGTATTGGGCGCAGCCGCGAGGATTTTGTCAATGACAATCGACATATTCGGCAAAGATCCTGCGCATCTAAATGTCTAGAACGTGATCGAAGTGAAAAGGCGAAAGGTCACGAAGAATGGAAATGTTGGTCGACACCTAAAACATGGGAGGGGCCAGGCTGACGTTGACACAACCACGATTCGGCGAGGCTGAGCTCCTGTAGCTTGGCAAAATAATATGACCTTGTCACAAGCTGACACACTCCGATGTGTGCCACAATTATTATTATTTAGGCTCGATATTTCGAGAATCGAGACTGTCCAGATGTTGTCGGGGTTCCACAAGTTTTAAGAAGCAATCTTTTATTCTCATTGTCTTGCTATCAACAATTGGCGTTCAAAGTCAATCAGGGTATCGTCCAAGTGCAGGAAATCCTATCGCAATCCAGACTCCCGCCCCGTGCGCCCTTTTTATACATACATCACACTGTACAGTTGCCGAGATCCAGGTATCCTTGCATGCCATGCTATGCAACCGTGTAAAGCAATGCGAACGCCTAAGTATGCCAAAACAAATAAAAAGAGATCCCTTTGAACTGATCCTTCACGACCCAATGGCTAGGCAAGAATCCAATAAACTGTCGAGGGCAAGTTTGTCCTCTGGGTCAGCGCCTTCCCACCCTAGGGAGTTGTCATCCGGAGTGTGACCATTAACACCATTGATTCCATAGACGCCGTTGACGCCTCCCATTTCCACGTCCGCATCAACATCCTCGCCGACCACCCTCACATATGGCTCAGGCCAAGAGTAGTCGTCCCATGCTTCGACCTCGCCCTCCCGATAGCCTAGCATGATCTGCTGGACTACCACCGGCATTTGTCCAAGTCCACAGTCTCCGAGTTCCAGTGCAGTGCGAACATCAGCCATAGCCAGAGGGCCACGCTCACTGGCTGCCTTGGCTTCAATAGGCAGCAGTCCACTTTTGTCTCTTTGGATCTCGCCTCGGAGACAAGCTTCCTCTTCTCTTTCCAGTTGGGTGCGGTACTTGTGGGTTTGTACCCATGTAGCACCTCCACCGGTACCAGCGCTTCCACTAGCGCCAGGGCCATTACTCCGAGTCTTGCTGAAAACTGAAGAAAGCACTTCCTTAATAAATGTTTCAGTAGCTACGGACATGAAATGTGCGGCATCTGAGACGTGACCAGAAACAAGTCCTGTTTCATAACAAATAGGCAGCATTCGTGATTCAATCGTCGAGGTGTCAGGAAATTCTCCTGACTCCGAAGCAAGTGGCTGAGCATACCTCTTCCGGATCTCGAGGTCCCAGTCTGGTCCTTTAATTAGTTCGATTCCCCAGCAAACCTGTCAAGAGCTTACTGGTTTTATTAAGGCCACCAGCACTCGCGGGGACTTGATCCGCGAGTCTAGGAGCTTTGGGTCGGCGATGTTCACCAAAGATATTTGCAAAAGCATCCTGGGGATCGAACTTCTTGGAGGTTATTACAGAGTTTAGGGGAAATAAATTCCAGAAGGAGACATACCTCATTTTGGCTCAGATCCTTCAATCTCCTTCGATCTCGACTTGGTAATTGCATTACCTCCGTTTTGAGTCTTTGTTCTGCTGCGTCTCCGCTCACGGGCTTGCTTCCGGCTCCTGTGGTCGGCTTGTCATTTGCACTGACCCAACTTGCGACGCCATGATCTGGCATCTCCCGCGTCACATTTCCATAAATCGCCGCAACCAATTGATTATGTAGATGCTCTATATCACCGGTAGGGGTTACAAGGAAGCTGTCAATTCGTGCTGACAGTTCTGCTTGGTTTAGCTGGCCTATCGAGGAGAAGAATTAGCGACTAAACTTCCTATATAAATGGCCCAGCCGCAACACAGATCGCAATAAGAGCATGTACGAACCCATCACAAAGAGACTGATAGATTCTTTGTATGTTCCCCAGTGTTCACCAATTGCGGTTTTGAGCGCCGTATACAGCGGCTCGAGGTCAATTCGAGGAGGCACATGGCTGGATTTGGAGACTTTCGGAGCACTGGGAGCTTGTGCGCTCAGAGGTTTAGGAGGTAGTATAGGAGTTGTGGAGATCATGGGCCGGCTCAAAGCCGCTGGGTCGATGTCGGGCATCGTGTGGAGTCGCGCCTAGGCGGCCTTCTGAGCGCGACGTGCAAATAAGTCAAGGTCCCATGTATAGAATGCTAGACGGGTCTAGCGGTATAATTTCGAGATGATCGGGGCCAATTTAGGGGTGCGACTGATGGCTCCTTCTCCTGCTCTGTTCTGTTGACGTTGACAGTCGCTCTCGCTTGCTGAAGAGATGATGAAGTCACCCGAGGATTAACCGGGCTTGGCCTCACGCGTCCACAAAAGCGAGCGCGTCTCCTGGAATGGATAACGAATCAGCATGAATTTGAGCCTTCCGCGGAACTCCAGCTCATATTTCTGAGTCGCAACAATGCGAATATGTCTTCACGAAGCCAACGTGTTAGCAACGGGATTGACTCCTTAGTGCGACGACTTCTTGTCGAAATCCCTGGGGAGGATCCCGCTGAGGCAGAGGAGAGAGAGCACAATGCAAGGGACTTCGTCAGGGTGTTTTTGGGGAAGTAAGTACCATCCATGAAAAGGTACAGCTACAACCTAATCTCTTCTATAGTTCAAAGGGTCCTGCCATTGTTGCGGACGTGAATCAAGCCTCTGATTTAATCAAGAAACGGTTGATACAAACAAATCCGAGCCCCGAGAAAGCACTTTGTTTCACGAATCTGTACAGCCGATTGTTATCTATTCCGGTCATAACACAAAAATGGGCTGTTCTATACTTTCTGTACCAGCTGAGTGATCAGCAGCACACGACGCCGCCAATCTTGACGAGTCCGTTCAAAGGTCGAGTAAAAACTGGAAGAGCGAGCAGGAATATGGAGAGCTTCATCCCACAGTCGCCAGACTATGGTTCAACCAGAGAGGAAAAGCCTTTGGTGGAAGCTTTTGCCCCAGATGGACTGAAGAGACTACCAGTACGCGAAGGAGGCCAACGTGACAGAAAGGAGGAAGACCAAGCATTCGTCAAATCTGCTGTCGTTCAACGAGAAGGCGTTGCGCTAAAAACTGCTCTGTTAGCAGAGAACTACGTGGAAATCGATCCTCCGGAGACTGCTCTACTCAGAGACTTACCCTTCACTTTGCAAGGTTTGTCTTCTACTCATCTACCATTTTCCTCGGAATCGACTTTGAAATTACCACCCACATTGCCGGTTCCCATCATATCTATTCTGCACACACTCGCCGAACCATCGTTACTATATCGTGGATTGTCCTCATTCAGTCAGTCACCTAGCGATGGTCTCCTCGAACAGAGTTTACGAGCCGCCATCGGTGGTGAGCTGAGATTGTATCTTGGCTTGGTGGCCACTTTGGAGGGGCAAATTCGGCGAGCCCTCTCGTCTCTTGATGAAAAAGAACCGAGGGGTGGTGTCGGAAAAGCTGGTGTCACACTGAAGAGATGCGTGGTTTGGACTCGTGAAGCTACGATGGGTCTTCGGTTGATGAGCTTGATAAGCGAAGAGTCGAAGAGCAAGAAAGGAGGCCAGCTCATCTCTCTCATACATGGATTTTCGTCATCACACGGCGATCCTATGGTGGGGGCTTTTGCGGAACGGTTGTTGATACATGTCACTCGCCCGTTTTATGATATGCTGCGACAGTGGATCTATGACGGAGAATTATCAGATCCGTACAATGAGTTTTTCGTCTCGGAGCAGGATCCGAATGCCATTAACGATAACCAGGATGGCGGAAACCGCGGAGGTGCAAGTAGTGTTTGGGAAGACAAATACAAACTCAATGAGGATATGGTGCCCAGCATCATAACGCAAGATTTTGCCCAGAAGGTCTTCCTCATCGGCAAATCCCTGAATTTTATTCGATATGGATGTGGCGACTCCCAATGGGTAGAAGAATACTCCAAAGCAGCTTCGAAAGAGCTTCGATATGGCGATACAGCTACATTGGAGACATGGATCGATGAAGCCTACAAGACGACAATGGCACGACTCATCCATCTCATGGCAGAGAAGTTTCATTTGTTTGAACATTTGAAAGCACTCAAGAACTACATCTTATTAGGACAGGGCGATTTCATTGCTCTCCTCATGGAGTCTTTGTCTTCTAATCTCGATCGTCCTGCAGGCGCCCAATATCGTCATACCTTAACGGCACAACTTGAGCATGCCATCCGAGGTTCGAATGCACAGTACGACTCTCCTGAAGTTCTTCGCAGATTGGATGCGCGGATGCTTCAATTGTCGCATGGTGACATCGGATGGGACTGCTTCACTCTCGAATACAAAATTGATGCACCTGTGGATGTCGTCGTTACAGAATGGGGCAACCGACAGTACCTTAAGGTTTTCAACTTCCTTTGGCGCATCAAACGGGTTGAATTTGCATTAGCATCGACTTGGAGGAAGTGTATGACTGGCGCACGAGGAGTTCTCCAAGGAGAAGACAAGAATGTGTCACAGGCCTGGAAGTTGACAAGAGGCGTACTGGCAGAAATGATTCATTTCATTGGTCAGCTCCAGTACTATATCTTGTTTGAGGTCATCGAGAGCTCTTGGGATGAGCTTCAAAGTGCGATACACAAAGAAGGCTGCACATTGGACGATCTGATCAAGGCTCACACCAAGTACTTGAATGCCATTACGCACAAAGGTCTCCTTGGAGCGAAGAAGAAGATTCACGGCGAGATCGATGATAATACTTTTATGGTCCAACTCGGCGAGATCCTTCGACTGATGCTCAGCTACCGAGATGCGGTCGATGGACTTTACAGCTGGGCCGTTTCGGATTTTACAAGACGCCAAGGCGCAGATGTCCGCAATGAAACTCAAGGCCGACGAGAAGATGACGACGGTTTATTGATCAACACCCCTGCGACTGCTCGTCGGGGACCTCGCCATCTCCCTGATTCGACACCCGCTACACTTTCAGATGAGTCCATCCCAGATGAGTTTCCTGTTTTGCAAGAAAGGCTGCAAGCATTGGGTGGTCATTTCAAATCCAGGGTTTGTCTTTTACTAGGTGATTTGGCATATCAACCAGATGTTGATATGAGATTTTTGGGTGTGGTGATGAACTTTAATGATGTTTATCAACCTGTAAGAAAGAAGAGTAGAGCGACTGGGAGGTAACAAGGCAGGAGTTCCGCAAAAGGCTGATAAGATACCAAAATTCAGGCGTCAAAGTGTGCTGGCGTTCTCAACTTGATGAATCAAGTTGAAATGATTGGATGATGCATTTCACCTCCGAGCTTTTGAGTCTATCCTTCGTGACAAGCACTTGAAAACACTGATCGAATTTTGTGAATCTATTTCATGGCAGGCTTATCTCCAGATTGGCGGAGAGAAAATTGGGCCTCCTGCCAAGACCACGTCTACATGACAACTTGATGCCCGGCAAATTAAACTCCAAGCTTTTTGTCATTTCCCTTCAAATAAACCCCAACGCCATGCTAAAATCATGTCGAAAATTCCATTGTATAATCCATCTCATGCAAAATGTATACCCTCATCGTTGAACCCAGACAACAACCGCAGAAAGTCGTTCTCATCACACTTTGCGGCTCTCTGATCCGCCAGTTCGGTAACATCCTCTAAAACCTTCCTGATCTTCTCCCGGACAAGTTCAGCAACCCTGGTCTTCTTCTTTTTGCTCTTCGTCTTGGTGCCATTTGCTTTCGAGACCCTCTCCGCTTCTTCTTTGAAGAACGAAGGCCGGTCATCAGCTTCTTCATCCACATCCATTATCCCACCCCACTCCTCTTCCTCCGTGTCCCCAGGGCACTCATCAACCTCCATCTCTTCCTCCTCTCCAACCACCGTATCATCGACGGCAACACTGTTCATCGCACACCATACTCTATAATTTCTCTCCACCATTGCCAACACCTCCTTGGTTCCAAGCCAACTGGCCCTCAACGTCTTATTCTTTCTAACGAAGCAGATTCTCAGCATTCCGTCCCACTCGTCCCAGCTGACGCCCGGTCGTTCGCTCCCTAATTTCGGCTCTATTCGGACAACTGAGGACTCGACCTGTGGCGGAGGCCTGAAATTGTTCTTTCCAACTTTCATGATATGCGTAATCTTGGCCCAGAACTGCGCGTTGACCGATAAACGGCAGTACAAGGCGTCTCCCGGTCGTGCTGTTAGCCGCAGTGCGAATTCGCGCTGAAACATGAGGATCGAGGTTCGGGGTGGATTAGGCAGGGCAAGGAGCTTGAAGACTAGAGGACTGGAGATCTGACTCACATTAGCTACCATGATTTCCCATTTCAGGGTTGACGTACCTGGTAAGGCGTATTGCTAATGCAAACATCAAAATGCGGCAACTCGGTTTTGATCACATCTCCCAGTAAAACCTCTAGTTTCTTCTGTTCGGTTCGACCTTGAAGCCGCTTCGTCACTTCCGCCGCCATCCTAGGGTCTAATTCCACAGCTATAACCTTCTTTGCCTTTTCTAGTATGCGGACTGTCAAGTTACCGGTACCTGGGCCCACTTCGAGGACAACGTCAGAGGGCTTGAGGTTGGCTTTCGCGACAATGGCTTCTGCGACACCTGGATTCTTGAGAATGTGTTGGCCGACATTGGTGTTGAATTTGAAGACATTGTTAGTAGTGGTTTGTGCTTTCGAGTATGGAGAAGAACCGGCGGCAGCGCTGTTGCGCTTATTGGACTTGAGTTTGCCCATCCTGTGCAGTTGAAGAGCAAAAAGCACTCGAGGTCGGGGGGAAACTTTTTTTATCGTTATCGGTTATCTGAGTGGGGCTCGTTAAGTCACGTGGATGTGGGAGCTTGGTGTCATGTGGATCTCATCCACTGTTGGGTCACTCTTTGCTTTGATGTAAGAGCTTTGCAGACTAATGAATTGTAATTCAAGCCAGCTTCAAAATGGGGAGGCCTCTACGGGCTGGTGAGCACCGAAAGATAAACTGCTCTAATCCCTCGCTTTCTATATTTTCCTTTGCTCAATTTTATTGAATATCGTATGAAATTATGATCCTGCAAGAGATTTTAAAAGATAGTTGACTTTTGTAACTTCTCTCTTCCAAATTCCGGTCTTTCCAAGTTTCAACGTGTGGTTAATGTGTGTCTTCCAAGAATTGAAATCAGTCACGTGATTTTACATTAAGGGGGTTCTTCCTCAGTATTATGACCGATCACACTTCTGCTTTAAAGAATGGTCCTTTCTGATTGGGCATATTGAAAGAGCTAGAAAGTTTATAACTCGGCGTAGATCACTTCGAATAGATTTGGAAGCATGCATGTATGCATCACAGGAGTTAAGAAATTGAACAGCCCAAAGCAGATTGGTGATTGCGCATGCAAATGGCTGACCGACTAGCCGTGAATATGGCAGGCCTTCCACTGAGAAGGGAGGAATGTATTGCAAAAGAGGAAAATGATAATCGGCTTCGGTCTGTTATCGTGCTCTATCGGATAGCTGTCCGCGTTCCCATCGATATCGATAGGGACTTGATACTGTACCGCCTCTCAAAATGTGGACGTGGGTTAGATGAGATGTCTCACAGCTCAAAGAATCATCCTCAAGGATCGATCTTCGGTCTGATAGCTCGGATGTTCTCTTCCAGGGGTAATTGTTCTGGAAATTGCATGTTTGTACTTGACAATAAAACTAGATTATGCGGCAAACCCCCTCTTTACTCAAATCCCACTAACAATCACTAAAATCTCAAAGGTGGACCGTTCTCCCCTTGTCGGCAATCTTGGATCCCCGGCAACTCTGATCTTGGAGAGGCCGAGCTGGGATGCCGGAGAGCAAACAATACGAAAGGCGGAAATAGCCACTGTTATTGTTGACGCGTTGTTTGTTGTTGTTGTTGTTCTGATGACGAGAGCAAAAGTAAACAAAGGAGTAGAAAACATCAAAAGATCATCAGTCTGCCCGCCAGACCTAGGAATGACGAGGAGGATCCTCAAACTTCGGGTTCGAGGAAAGAGCAGACGTGGCATCCGTCCCTGGCGATCAAGCCAGCCGCGGCACTGCACTGCCATGGCAGGTGTCTGGGAGCGCAGATCTTGCAGTCCGGAGACCCTTGGTCCTTGTGCCCACTGCTCTTCGACTTTGAGAAACGGGCTTTCGGCAGCAGCCGTCGCGGCGTCATGCATGGTGGCCATCTCATGCATTGATTGGCTCATTGGAGCAGCAGCCAACACACTCCGCGACCCTGAGTTCTCACGGAACGGCACATATGCAGGAGCAGAACTTCTTGAAACTCCAGAATTCAGACGAACATCGACCAAACACCTCGCCTCAACTGCATTCCACTTCAGTTCCACTTCAGCTTCATGTGGTGCTGATTTGAGTTGCTTTCCTCTCGTTTCGTGCATCCATTGTTGTTGTTCCAAGCGAGGCGGGAAGGGAAGCGCGGTCTGGCCTGTCGCGATTGCCACATCGCGACGCGTCCAAACTTTTGTTTACACAGGAAGCCGGACCAAGTCCACTTTTCTCCGCCATAATTTCCTCAACCACCTCGACATTCCCATTCTCATCCTCTCGACCCTATATCTGGACCCTGGCGATCAACGACCTGCTTTTCGACATATTCTGGGGCTGGTGAGAGAGCATTGGTGCCGGCAAGAAATCGATTGCGTGGTCATGCTCCTCCTGACGTGAAGCCAACATTCCGCTCGGTATCGAGTCATCGCAATCGCCACGAAGCATTCCTGGAACACCCACCGACCGAGTCAATATACAGCCCGATTCCTGTTCTTATCGAATACTCAACATTAGCCTCCATTGTCTGCAAAACACCAACAACGTCGTTTCGTCGAACTTATACTCTTCCTTGCAGGACGACAAGCCCAATAAGAAGGATTCCCTTCTGCCACATCTCTATGCGGTCTGACGAATAATCTCCGATATCAACTGAGAGATTCTCTCATCCCCATCTCTGGTATCAGGCGAAAGTTATCGCATTCCAACCTCTATCATGGGGTCGTATTCAAACGGTGGTGGCGGAACACTCACGTTGCCTTCTCCAACACACGTCCACCATGTTGATGTAACCAGCGCGGTGAGATCTCTGAGGCGATCACTCTCGAGATCTCCATCGAAGTTTCGCCTAGTTACAAAGTCACCGAGCTCATCTCCCAAATCGCCATTGTCGCCGTCTCCATTATCCCCACCGAAACGAACAACCTCACACTCAAGCATCTTCGCACCCAGCAATCCTCCGCACACCCCTTCGCCACTTGCAGTTCCCTTCCCACCAAGCGCGAAACTGGCCTTGCGATCCTCTACACGGGCGAAAGCAGCTCCGCCTCGATCTTCGTCGCGTACTCGGACCTCTCCTCGAAGCCCGATGAAGCGCGCTTTGAGCCAAGCATCGGACGCTGGGAATGCGCCTCCAACTTCTTCGGCTGCTTCTGTAGTTGGGCAAGAGAACAGCAGAAGCAGCAGTCCTGCAGAGCGAAAGAGTTTCGAGCGCGTATCTAGGATGCCCTTCCATATGGATGTCGCGGGACCAATCAATCACGCCTTGTCGCGACTTGGTGGTGATGGCGCGAATGATTGCAATGTGACTTCGACAACCTCGAGCCCTCTCAAGCGTAGCGACGCGATCATGAACCTTGATCAAGCAAGCTTGGGCAGCCCTGTCGCAAAGCGAAGAAGTTTACACGGTTCAGCAAGCTTTGGTCAAGATTTCAACGTCTTTGACCACGGACCGTCATCCTCATCGCATTTCGAAATTCACGATGATTCGAATCACGAGTATGAATTATCAACGGCATCGATCACATCCGAAAGTCCTTCCTCATTCACGTCGATGCCTAGACGATCATCATCCTTGCGAAAGTCTACTCTTCAGCAGAGGCATGGTGAGAAGACATCTTGGGGCCGCAGACACGCAGCGCACATGCTGGCTGCTCAGCAATTGACAGGCGCTGCCCCAGATGCGCCAACTCCAACTCCTGTGAAGAATCGACCTCGTTTGTCACTGGATCAGTTTATGCCTCCTATGGCTCGCGAAAGCCCCTTTTCCTCACAGGGCGCCCTTCCTAATCCATCGATGCACGTGGTCAATCATTCCACACACCAACCCCACCCCCTGTCACGGACTATGACCACTTCATCGTCAAGCTCGAGCTTAATGGACGAGTCTCCTACTCATGTTCCCGCTCACTTCGGCCAGCAGCCTAGGCCAAAATTGGACTTCTCCAAGTCATTGCCTGCTGGATCATTAAGACCATTTGCTCTAGAGCCCAGCTCAGGCGCAAATGCTTCATTCGAGACCCCTCAGAATTACAAGTCTGTCAAACCTCTCCCGGCTGCATTTGCTACCACTGGTCTCGTTTCCAAGGTCAATAGAAACCCGGAAGAACCACAGCTCCTTCGTGGTGGCGGGAAGAACGTGCCGGATACTCCATGCAAGAAGCAGGTCAATGCTTTCGCCACATATCCTGCTCCGATTCTTGGCAGTGCTATTGCAAAGGCTCGACATATTCGCCATTCCTTTGGAAATCCGTCGACACCTTTCAATCCCCATGGCAATTCGACAGTTCAAGGCACTTTTGGAAAGGGAACTGGGGTGTTTGGGAGCGTTTTCGGCAACAAAGGGCTGACGAGGCGTGGAAGCTTTCTCAGTGTGGATGGCGATGATAGTGGGGGATCACCTGATGCAAAGGGAGACAGTCAATCCAGCACTGACTTCGAGCTGCCACCTACGCCAACGAAGCAAGCTCTTACTCACCAGCAAAACAATGGCAGTCCAAGTATTCATCGAAGCTTTCCGGCCTCTGCAGTTGGATGTGGCATGGCAAAGAAACTCACAAGAACCAGTAGTAAGTTGAACCTCTTCACAAGTCCAGGCGATCCGGATGCAGAGGACAGCGATGCATCTATGGATATGAACAATTCTCCAACTACAGCGCATGGTCGGTTTTCTCTGAAGCCCTCAGACTCGGCGCCAACCCTGAGCAGATCTCGGGTGCTTCGAGGGCCAAGTATTCAGTCTCCGACACCGCTGATTCCCAAATCTCTTACTGCTCCGTTCCTGAGTCCTAGGAAGCCCGGTTTTGCTAAAGTCAGTCACGTTGCTCCAGCGAGTCCGTTGGAGCGCATAGATTTCATCGAGAGGCTATCACCTCACACCCCTCAGGATGGTATGCTTCCGCCTGACCCTAGTGGCCTTTCCATCTCAAACCCAAGGGATGGTCAGGCTGTAAAGTCAGGCGCTATCAATGCATCCATGCCGCCTCCTGCTACTCCGACGACCGGACGAGAGTACTTCCCAATGGTTGGAGAACGACGACTTAGCACTACTCCCATCAGTACCTTCGCCCCAGCAGAATTCGATGAATCTCTCACGTCAAGATTCGAGAAGGTCGAGATGATAGGCACAGGAGAATTCTCCCAAGTCTACCGAGTCACGCAAACCTCTCGTCTTGCTACCACGAACCAGTCTTTTTATTTCGGCACCAGCACCCCTTCGCAAGGAGGAACACCCCCATCGCCTATGCCAGAACGAGTCTTCGCTGTAAAGAAGTCACGACAGCCTTATCAAGGCACCAGGGACCGTCAACGGAAACTGCAGGAAGTCAAGGTGCTCAAAGCACTTGGACATTCTGATCACGTCGTACATCTTATCGACAGCTGGGAAGAGAAGAATTACTTATACATTCAAACCGAATTTTGCGAGGAGGGCAGTCTGGACCTATTTCTCGCCCAGGTCGGACGGAAGGGAAGATTGGATGATTTTCGGATCTGGAAGATCATGCTTGAACTCAGCCTGGTAAGTCTCAATTTAGCGCCTTTTTATATCAAAGCTAATTTTGACATCTAGGGTCTGCAGCATGTTCATGAACATGGATACATCCATTTAGATCTCAAACCCGCCAACATCCTCATTACCTTTGAAGGTGTCTTGAAGATTGCCGACTTTGGCATGGCAACATCTTGGCCTGCAGAACCAGGTATTGAAGGCGAAGGCGATCGCGAATACATCGGCCCCGAGATCCTCTTGGGTCAATACGATAAACCAGCTGATGTCTTCGCCCTTGGTCTCATCATGCTTGAGATCGCCGGAAACGTTCAGCTCCCAGACAATGGCGCGACCTGGCACCGTCTTCGGTCTGGCGATATCAGTGATGTACCGAGCCTCAGCTCGAGCATCGACAGTGCCATACCTCGAGATGCGACTGGCATTCCCTTGGAAGACGGTGACATCGGCATGGAATCATTCGGCAGCGATGATGAGATTGAGGCCGATTTTGGATCACCATCAATGCACACTCGCAAGCGAAACTACGGGGGTTCCAACAAATCACTCTCCCACGACCCTGCGAATCTCTTCGGCTCCGCGAGAAGGGGTGAACTTCATCGAGCACCCTCCTTCATCAAGCACGCGGATCACGAAGACACGCTCACAAAGCTAATCCTATGGATGATATCGCCAGCCCCTCACGACCGCCCGATCATCCAGCAAGTTCTCCAGGCTCAAGGAGTTCGTTGGGTACAATCACGCCGTCGTGCTGGTGCAACGGTCTTCGAGGGGAATTGGGGTCCAGCTGATCACGTGCTGGCTGATGATGCTGAAATGATGGATGTTTGACTGGGATCTTGCTCAGATAACTCGCTCCTTCCTGGATAGGACTGGCAAGGTTGGATTCGACTCCTTGAATTTGAAGTCGACCTTAGGGCGTTGGAAAAATATCATGGCATGGCCACAACGCAGACCGGATACGAATGACGACGGCATACATTACCAGCTTTATGAGCCTTACGCTTACTTTACATAATATTCGAGGCGACTTTGACTGTTTTTTACGCATTCACGAGACCACGAAAACGGACGATAGACTCGCATTCGGTCAGCTGGACGAGTTCAATGTTGGCGATTATGATGACTTTGCTGCTTGTTGCTTTGAAGAGTTCTGAGATGGATCAGATGTTTTAACACTATCATTGCTTAGCTTAACCATGATTTGGTTGCTTTGTATGGGATATGTTTTGAGTCTTGTTGAGGTGTGGAATGGAAGGCTGGGAGGCGGAACATGGAATGCAGGTCAATGGATTTGAAACCCCATGTAAATATTGATCAAGGTCACTGGCTTGGGTGTTGTTTGTATGTCTCTAGAGAGACTGAAGAATTCATAGATGAATTGAGATAGATGAAGACATTAGCAGCATATCTTGAGTTGTGATCCCAATCGTAGTTTGGGGTGTTGAGAGCATGCTGCTCCCTCGCCACATTCAAACATGCCGGGCCTCTGATGGAACATTCATATCTCTTTGGAGGAGGCTTTGGATACAGGTGAAGTCAAAATCACACATGCTACATAGAAATGTCATAAGTACTTGTTCAGTCTACTTCACTTCATTTCATATCTGTCTGCTCTGTTCTGCTCTGCTCTGCTACATCCGCCGAGCATATATAGATCACTTATCAACCGCCGCCACTTCTCGCTCTTCTGCTGCCTCATCATCATCAGCTCACCCACTCCCAATCCCAATCCACCATCCACCCATCCGTTCTTCCAGGGGTCCATTTGTACATCCTCCACTCCCTACCCGCCCTATCTCGCCTTACTCTACACGCCCCATGTAACCACAATCATACTATCGGCCGTTAAAAGGAGTCTCGCTGACGACTTGCTCGTCAAGTTTTGCTCCGAGTCTTATGGTATTCTGCCGTCTATGTTGATTTCGCCTTGTCCGAGAAAAACACCCCCATCCATGAAGAACAAAAGGGAAGCCCCAAATCCTAACCGCAATCCCTTTGCAAAAGCAACAAAAAAAACAAAAAAAAAACCCCTCAACGAGAGCAAGAAAACACCGCAAGCAACGCATGCAAAGGGCTTTTGGCTTTTCCTTTCGTTCCGCTTCATTCCATTCCGCCATGGATTTGTCCAATGGAGTTAGCCCATCCTGTAACACTTTGATATATTTTGAATTTTGACGCCTTCTTTGTTGCCCAGCCCACGCTTTAAAAAACCCAGAAAAAAATGCGGACTCGCTCAATGTACAGTGAAGAAGCAAGATGATGATTGACAAATGAGATGTCGTGATGTCGACGAGGTGTGTGTTGCGGCAGGATCCTCAGATGATTATATGCACAGTGTCCGGGTCCTGATCCGCTGCATTAGGTTGAACCGTAACTTGGCCTTTGACGCTGATACTTCTAAGCCTCTGACTCAAGGGAAGTGTGTATTTCAGTGTGCCTCGCACAATAAGTTCGAACTCGTGCTGTAGGACTCGTCCCCAGCGCTCGCTTCCGGCTGGAACGGTCTTGTTGCCAGGGTGGGTGACGCGGATTTGCCCCAACGAAGAGGTCAGTTCGTGTGAGAATGGTGAGCCGTCGAAGGTCAGAGGACTATCAAACTCGTAGACATATCCAATCTCCAAGTTTAGATTTGTGTTTGGATCATCGCCTTGTGGGGGATCCATAGGATCGTCGTCTCGTTTTCTCATCCCCCACTTCATGTCTCCATTATGAGGATGCTGCCACCACTCTGAATCCGTCCCTGCGTATTTCGACTTGGCAAAGACGACCAGATCTGTCGAGTCGATGGTGACGCCTACCAAATTTGGATTTCGTGCTTGTACCTTCATGTCCAGGATGACATCCTGCTCACTTGCAAGGACATTCTTGAGTGCTAGAACCTCCACATCCTCGAGAGGTTGCGTTGTAGCGAATACAAATGCGATTGCCCCAGAAATGACGAAGATTATCATGACAGATACAACCAAACACCCTGCAAACCGAGCCAGGAACGAGCGATTATGTCGCGATGCTTGGTGCTCGAGTTGTCGCATCGAAGATACGAGTGGTCGTCGACTCCGGTTTGACCTGCTCGATCGAACGGTCGACATGAGGGGAGTACGCTCGTCATCTGCTCCGTCATCGAGATCATACCCAGACGAGATTTGTGACTTCTTCCCATTACCCGCCATCCTCACATTCCCTACTCTGGGACTCTCGGGCCGCCCCGCATATCTAGGGGTATTTGCTGCCACTTTCGGCTTGGTTGCATTTGCAAAAGGAGATTCGTTATCAAAGAGTGAGGGGTGGCCATTGCCGCCGTTGCGGCCCCATCGGCCACCGATGTGATGGTGATGTGTCGTGCCTCTCCCCGTGCCCATGTTACTTCTTGCTGTACCTTTCCCGTCATCATCCCCGGTTGTCGAGTCGGCTCCAGTACTGTTGTATGAGTTTGCGAACTTCATGCTCTTCTTCATGGCGACGCTATGCTGACCATCCATGAATGCCCGTACACCATTCCGTTGATCAACTTGACTCGCCATCGATGTTGCGCTTGGGGTACGTGAGTGGAAGCGTCGAGGTCGGTCGTTAGCGTCTGGAGGATTCGATTCGTAGACAAAAGTCTCTTCCGAGTCAGAAGAATTGGCTTCATCAACGGCGCTGGCGACTTTGGCCTCAAAGATATCCGCTTTTGTGGACGCTGCAACACCCCCTGTTAGCATATAACTGACACCATGAAAAGAAAAGCTTGGTCTACGAGACCCTAGAGTCGCTGGACGCTCAGGGCTTGTTGCACTGCTGCTCTCCGTAGGCGAAAACGACCCTTGACCGTTTGCCAATTCAGCTGGCCAAGGAGCAGATAGATCTGAGATATCTACTCTGACCGAGTGGTGGTGGTGGTGATGATGACGGACTCGGGGCTTTGATGAATTCGGTAGCTCACCCGTGCCTGAAGTGACTGATGGGGCTTTGCGAGCAGTCTTCTTCTTTTCTTTCTTTGGTCGAATGGTTTCCGAACTCGGTTTGGCGCGAATACTGCCATTGCTTCCTCCAGCCGGCCCTCCAACAGCAACTTGCGGTATTGAACTGACGGTCTCTGTTTCGACTGTCATATTCCTGCTGGATCCCTCGCCAGACGGCTTCCCCCTCCCCACACCGGCACTGAAAGGCTTGGAGGCAGGACCACTAGGCCGTACAACAGGAGGCGGGGCCACTGAAGTAGATCTCATTTTGATCTCCCCCTTTCCTCCACTCTCACTGCCACTCTCATTGGCAAGGAGGCTAGGTTTTGACTTGAGTGTCATGCCGGCATGTTCCACAGAATTCTCTTCTGTTAACGTCGACGTTCCATTTACCACCCTCTCCAGTGCGCCATCGAGGGAATTCCCCGGGGTGTTTGGTTGACTAATCTCTTGCACAGTTTCCAGTGTAGAACTTCCCCCGCTTGCCCCTCTCGCCGGTGTTCTCATACCCGGTACTGATAACGTGTCTTCTGCGTCACTGTCCGTCGCAGCCTTTCCTTCCTGCTGTTCTGCTGAATGTGGTATTCGATGTACATTGATTCCATGAAACTCTTGGTCGGTCTTGCGGGGACTGATGATAGATGGTCTGTTGACGGGAGGAGGGGAGCGTAGTCTTGGAGATACCGGCCAGCGAGGAGTCTCTTTGATATCGGAGGTGACGGAGGGTTTCTGTGGTACGGGTGCCTTGATTGTGGTGTCCGAGGAGGCAGGATGAAGGGTCGGAATGGAGGCTGCAGATAATGCTCTTTGTTGGGCTGCAGCAGAGGGTGGGTTTGTGTTCGTGCTGGCCGAGCGAGATGGACTGAGGTCTTGGGTGCTGTTCTTTCTCGACCGGCCTGGACCGGTGGTTGAACGGGCAGAGGTGCTAGTTTTAAGTGATGGCCGGTTGGGGGATGACTCTCTCGACGGGTTGGGTGAACTCGCGGCAGAGGGAGTCCGCTTTGGTAGTAATTTCTTCGTTGGGGGTATTGAAGTATCGCGTGCGGGCTTCGATGTATTGGCAACCGTTTGTTCACTGGCAGGGGGTGCTGTACCGTTGACCGCCTCTACTGTTTGCTGGGTCGCGCCCGTTATGGGGGCGAAGTGTTTGTCGTCCATGGCTGTCTGGCTTGGTTTAAGAAGATGGGAGTCGAGGGGGGAGAAGTGGACTCCAGTCGCGCAGCCACCACGCGAATAGGGATCAGTCCCGACGTTGCTAGAGAGTCCAGTGCCCAGGATTCCGGAGCAGTGGACCAGAAATTAGCGTGGGTGACGGAGAGACATGAAGGAGGGATGACTTGTAGGTCGTCGTGTGTAGTTGCCGTTGTTTATGGGAGTATCGGAGGTGGCGTGGGCGTGGGAGGAGGAGGAGGAGTGGAAGGGGAAGGGGAAGGGGACGTTGAGAGACTCTGGCCGTGGAGTTGGCCTTGGGACTTGACTTGGACTTTTCAGTGGGTGTCGTGGTGTCCCATCAGGCCAGCCAGCAGTGTGGGGACGCTGATCTGATTTTGGGGCCTGGAACGGCTGCCGTTTGCATAGCCGGGTGGCCTGGCACAGGGGCCGAAGCGAGCGAGCGGGCCTTTGGACAAGGCCAGCAGTTTACGGACAGGACAGGACAGGACAGCACATCACCGCAAAGCACAGCACAGCACAGTCGGAAGAACGAGAGGGCAGAGAAGGACAGAGCAGGACAGAACAGTGACCAGCGGTGAGCCCAGACCCGAAGCGGAGCTGGCTGGCTGCAGAAACGGGCTCAGGTAGAGTCGTCTGTCTCTGTCTCTGTCTCTGTCTCTGTCTCCGTCTCACAGTGCAAACGCTATGGCATCTCCCCCTCTCCATCATCTCTGCTTCATTGCATCTACCCTCCAGGACAGACATTGTCCCAGCGCATGGAAGCATGGCAGCCTGGCAGCCTGGCAGCCCCTTGTTGTCTGCTGCAAGGCCGTTCACGGGGCCGATGCCGATGCCGACGTCCCTTTTGGGCCCAATTGTGCCAGTGTCAGTGCATCGAGCCTCGAGCTCGAGGGGGACCGGCAATGTTGCTGAGTGGTGCCGTTGCCGGGGTGCTGGGCAAGTGCCTGTACTCCTGGACTCCTGGAGCCATGCCAATTGGGGAGGCGGCTTTCGTGAGCAGTGAAGCATGCAAACGAGCAACTTTTCCACGCTTCACTCTCCCGACACGCCCCCCTCCCCCCTGCCGCCGTCCGTCAAGAGCAGCAGGGGCTGCGTCAGCATGGTGCTCGGAAAGGCAATAGGAAGTGACGGAACGCGAAGGAAGAGAAGATCGATCAGTCATGGAGGTGCGGGAGGCCCGAGGCTGACGCTGACAGGTCGAGGGGCAACTGTGGCTGGGGCCACCGAATACCGTTGGCTGGTGAGGCACAGCAGCAGTCACTTGACCCCAAGGTACTCCTTTACTGTACCAAAGTATACATCATCGAATTGCAAAAAGTGCCAGAAACCTGTACTCTATCTTGCTCAGGCAATCGTGGATGTGCGCCGCGCACGAAGATGGCATTCCAGACCGCGCGCAGGATTCCCATGTCCACCGCATCGGGCAATTTCGAGGCCCATCCCATCCCATCCCCCCGATTTACACGATGTACACGATGCGCCTAGCAGTGCTTGACATCATGCCGTCGAGGTGCTGTGTGGTACGGGGCGGGCTCAGGAGCAAAGCTCCGACGTGGACTTGACCTTCTCACAGTGAAAGTGCGAGGACCGGGTTGGACCGCTTTGCTCCGCGTCGCATGTAGCTCCCCCCTTTCGAGAACCAAACAAGCAAGCAAGCAAGCAAGCAAGCAAGCAAGCAAGCAAACACTCAAATCAATTCCTTCTCCGATCTCCGATTGTAACGCTGGTCGCCTTCCTCGCTCGCGGGTCATCGCGGCCTCTGCAGCTCACTCGTCCACGTTTCAACGTTCCAGAAGGCGACAGGCGCCGCTCCAGACGGTCCCACGCTTCTGGGCCCAATTACTGTACGGAACGGTACCGGGTTCCTGCGGGATCGCCATCTGATGCGAGACACCTACCGGACTCACCCACTCACTCTCTCACTCACTGTCACTCAACGCCTCTTTGGCAGCCCCCACGCCGTGCGCTCACGTGTAGCATGACCTTATTGAACAACACATCGAAATTGTCAGCGCAGAAGGATGAGCCAAGTCACTGGCTCAGCTCTCCGGAAGATATGTGCAACTTGTGGCCGTCAAATAAGCTAGAGGAAGAAGTGGGAGGTGAGCCGTTATTCCTTTTTCTGTGTCTGTTGCATCATCTCATGATTTCAACGCTTGGCCAAGAAATGTCTCCAAGGCACGCGGGATTTGGGGGCTCAAGCGGCCCCCAAATCTCTCACTGCCGCCAAGGGAACGCTCTTTACACAAGTTCTCAGAGAAATGGCCAAGCTTGTCTCACAATACAGTTAGTCGACCCGGCGGCTTCACTGTCTTCCAAATACATGTTTCTTTTGCACCCTCGCCGCATGATCCGTTTTCCTCCGTCATGATTTTGCCCCTTACCTGCTGCCTGCTCTGCTCGACTAATAAGATCTCCTTGCGCAGAAAAACTGGCATGCAATAACGTACTGCTCGGATTCTTGCAGAAAGAACAAGATCAGGCCGAATTCGTTGGATACTACGTTTGAGTGCAAGATCTTATCACTCCTTTCTCGGCGGCGGATCATTCAGGGGCTCACTGCTACTGTGACTTGCGAGGAAGCAGAGCGAGAGGTTCTACAAGATAAGAAGAATTTTCAACCGGATGAGGGAAGTTCAGGAGCTGCCTTTCAATCGTCTCCTGGGGGGACTAAAGCATCAGAGCCTTCACGGACGAGAGAGAGGTGTAGGCAAGCGGCCCGACGCTTGGCAGCGAGAGGCGAAATCTTGATCACTCAGGATGGCAAAGTTGTAGATCCTAGCTTCGCGAAAGGGGTTATAGAATTGAAATTGGCTTCCTGATAAAGTGATGTCTGCTTTGATGTTTGATTGTTAACATTTGTGGTGGATTATGTAGATGCATCGGAGTCAGAGGAGGAATGGTCATCTACGTCAATCAGCAAAAGCGATGATTCTAGGCCCCGCTAGGTCAGGAACCTCACTTCGCTCGCTTAAAAATAGGGGTCTTGCTAGGCCCCGATGTTCTTCTCCCTGGCCGTCACATTTCGGCCCCGTAATCTGTTCTATAGTAACTTGAACTAACTCCCAATCCCTCGGGTCAGTCCAAATCCCAAGTTTCATTTCTATAGGATTTTCAATCCATCACATTTTTCAAATGTTGCCTCACGAATCATCACAATTTCAGAAGCACAATATCAAATCACCTTCATCAAACTAACCACCAAATATGGATACCAACAACTATCGAGCATTTATAGACCAAGCTGCCATCGCCCAAGCAGTCATAGACCCTGCAGTCACAGACCAAGCACTCAATGTCCAAAACATCATTAAGTAACTACAATACCGCCAAGCACTCCTCGACGAACTCTTGAAGCACCAGCTGGATGCAACACCCTTCACTAAGAATGTTCCCATTGACGAAATTCCAGACACAAATGAGGCTCCAAACGAGACTCCTACCGCAAACTCAACTCCCGCCACTCCAAACACCACCACACGCCTCAAATGGCTCCTCCGCCTCCTCTTCCTCCTTTATCCCAACACTTACTCATACTTCTACTTGTACTTCCCGATCCACAGACAATACATCCTCAACAGTCTAGATGTATTTCTAGCCATTACCACCTGGCTTCTCGTTGAGAGCTTGCCGGTAGCTGCGATTGCGGAGGCGGTATACCAGTTAGAGGCGGGTTACGGAGAATGTGGGTGGGAAGGGACCTAGGTCAAGACGGTTTTGAGAGAGTTGTGGAGAGTGTGGGAGGCGTTCGATGGCGGCTTGTAGAAGGGTCGTGAACTGTCTTAGCTCCTATCCAATATCCGAAGAAAGGAAGAACCCAATTTCTTTCGAGAGACAAGGTAAGTCGCTCCGACAGCTGGAAAGTCCAATATTCACGAAGACGCAGAGAAAAGCCTGCCGCGGCAGAGTGGTACAGCGATGGAGCACCATAATTAACTTCCTCAAGGACCAAAATATTCAGGAAATATATTCAAGACGTCGGGAAAATCATCCTTAGCGATGGCACTCTCAGCTATGGGGAGAAGAGCCTAGCTCATACTTGGCCGCTTACGATGATTCAATTGAATCTTCACATATGCCAACTTCCTCGTCAGTAGGACACCTGTGGGAAATTGAGAAACGACAAAGCTTAAGCAATAGTCTTTTCCAGTTGATGTTTTCATTTCTGTGTTCCACGATCGCAGATCTGGCGTTCCTGGCCACGTTGACTTTCGAGTAGGTGTTTCTCAAATTATGCCCAATTCTGGGAAGGGAGTCTTTTGGACGGATTGGCATGACCGGCTTGGGATTGGATTACTTACATTCTGCGATTCGTAGTGAGAGAAAGCATTAAAGGTGCGCAACAAGCCCAGGCCATCCTTACAAGCTTGAATATATCTGGATTACCTCAATGGGTCTTGTCACGGCTGTAGGAATGGAATTCGTCGAATAGTCTCTGATTCCGTCCATGTCCCGAATATGTATTCTTGCCTTAATTGCTGCAACAGCAGATCCCTTCCCATTCCATATCCCCAGTCAAATCCAGTAACCTTTCTACTCCTAGAACGCCATCGATATCCAGTCAATGCTCAATGCTCAATCCTCATCTCCATCCTCGTCAGAAGTTGCTTCAATGTTGGCCTTCTCTGTCTTTTTGCCCTTGATACGCTTCTGTGGCTTTGTCTCCTCCTCAGGCTCGTCCTCATCCATTGCATCTGCAGATTCGCCAAGAACGATGCCCATGTCCTTCAATTGAGCGTTGATGGCTGGGATGGCCTTGAGGAGAGCCTTGTACTGATCGATAGAAAGAGATATTCCCTACTCGCAATGGGGTCAGGACTGTCTTGACGGACCTGAATGGCTGAAATACCTTTTTACCAGGGAGCCACTCTTCATCCTTTTCGTAGTACTCGCGGATGTTGACGAGTTTCGAGCCCTTAAAATCACTAACCTCAACTCGTCTAGGGGTTCGACCAGACGAGAGCTGAATATGTCAGTTTTGCAACGTCGCCAATCTATCAATTAGGGGGAACTTACGTCGAAGAACTTGTTCTTAGACTTGCTGCTGCTAGATGGGGCGGCCTTTCTGCTCTTCTTGCTCTTTGGAGCGCTTCCGTCGTCATCCTCTACGAAGTCATCCGCTTCATATGTGTCGGCCTCATCGCGACCGCGTTTGCTTGACTTTACCATTTCGGTGGTTGTGCGAAGGTGACTGGTAGTTCCGATTGGGGTCTGAGTAGAGGAAGGAGACTTCGTTTTGATTGTCGATTGAATTTATGTCCGCAAGCTGATGAGGTGTGGTGGTGGGGTTGGATCCTGTGTCTTAAAGAAATTCGGGAGACGTGACGTCGCGCGTCTGGCTGCGCGAGCAGAATGTTGACACCCTGGTCAAAACGGACACAAAAACGGCGAGAACCGAGCGATATCAAAAACTCTGCAGTTGACCTGTTCCAGCTGAATATAATTAATGCAGCTTCAGATCAAGTAAAATAGTAGAGGAGATGCCTCCTTCTCTGCGTATCTATTTTCCCCATCGAAATATCTGTTGCCATGATTCTATTTACAAGATCAGGGATTCGCACATCCATCTCGCTTGAACTTAGCTGAAAGGGGCAAGATCTGGGGCTGATGCGAGCCTTGCTATTTTAAAAAGGAGACACCTCTTACGTGTGGGGGGACCGACCGTTTCACGGAACTCTGGAGAAAACAAGCTCGCCGTCGCATTCCCCATTTCCATTTCCTTGGATCTATCTGTCGGCGGTGCCCTCCTCCTCAATTGCGGCCTCCAAAGAACGCCTCTACGATTGCCGCAGAGAAGCTCCCCTCTTCATTCAGCATGTGCCAGCAGATATAAGCGCGATGAACGGCACGATCGGAGACACGAAGCACGGCGATGAGCTCGCCGCCGCACAGGACGCCGCGCCTCTGCCGTCACCGAAGCCCACATCTTCGAATCCAGGCGTGGAAGATCTCACTACTAGCGCATTAAAGTTCCTATCCACGGCCTCGACGGAAACGATCGGTGGGATTGCTGTTGGCCTGGCAGCATGCACGTATTTGATTCTGGGAAGAGTTGGCCTTGTATTGATTGGCGCCTTGGGCGGCGTGGTTCTCCATGCGACATGGGAAGGCCAGAGCTCCACAGCGGGTTCAATTCAAGATGCGCGGAGGGAAACTGGGCTGGAAATCGTGAAGCGCATTCTGGACCTGAGAGAGGCCCGCAGAGCCTGCGAGGTAGATGAGGATGACAAGGACGTGACCGAGAACAGCTTCGATGGCTTCCAACCCGAGACGGCGGCTGCTCTGAACAACCTGGTGGATGCGGTAATTCGAGATTATGTGAAGTGGTGGTACTCGCCCATCCTCCCTGTAACCAGCCTATTTCTTTGTCCCATGCCCCGAGCTCCCTATTTCACTGGTCGGGAGCATGAGGACATACTCCCGGCTCGCTCTCGGCTCTCTACCTCCAAAGAAATATCTTGCTAATTAGTTGTAGAAGGACTCGACCTTCCCAGCAGCGTCCCGCCAGACGCTGACTAGATTCCTTCTCTCCATCTCCCAGAACTTGTCGAGGAAAAGACCGGCTGACACCTTCCTCGACTTCCTCACCAATTCCTCCTCCATCATAATAGTCTTCCTCAACGAGCTGTCAAGCGCGATGGCTCTGTCGCAAGGAACGAACGTGCCTGCAGCGGAAGCCATATATACATACCTTTCCGCCAATCCCGAATCGAACCTCGCAAACATCCTGAGTGAGAAACAGCAAGCAAGGAAGTTCAAGATGATCGCAGAAGATATATTACAAAATTTTCTGGAGAAACCAGCATATGATTGTGACCCTGCTAGGGTATTCTTGAGAGAGATACTGGCTGGAGTGTGTCTAGAAATGACGTTGAAGAGTTGTTCGAAACCCGAGTGGATAAACGGATGGATCGTTTATCTCCTTGAAGAAGGGGAACCGGATTTCAGTCAAGCAATAGATGCCGGGATGGGAAACGGAGACGACTTGCTCAGTAGCGGCTTTACTGACATAGATGGGTACCTGGGTAACGTCAATTTGGCTAAAGCCCCAAAATCACAAAATGAAAGGCAAAAACAGGAGACTAGGAGACACAAGAAGCGTTTGAGCAGAGCCGAGGAAGCCATGGAAGAGGCAATGGAGGAAGCAAAGAGACTGTCACAGTTGATTGCGGAGGAAGATGCAAAGAGGCTCCAAACTCAGGAAAGGCTTCTGGACGTTGCACCAACCTCCGTTGCTGCTGCAGTATTGGATAATGCCGCATTGAATCTGGATGCGGCTCCCGTCGTCAGTCCAGAGCGAACGCAGTTGTCAACCATAACGCCGGCTTCTTTAAGGAATGGAGCTGCAGAACCATCGTCGCCCCTTCGGCGAGCTGCTAGCGACCCATTTTCGGAATTGCCTTTATCAAACGAGCCCTTGAAAGAGCCGAGATCACGAGAGCCTGAACGCAAGCTTGTTGACCCTGTCAAACCCGAGCACTTGTCACCGTCACCCAAATCAAACCAAAACGGTGCCTCTTTCACGAGCTTTGATCAACTTGTTCCCGAATCTGTTCCAGTTGCTCTTCAAAATGGAACGCCTGCTCCTCGAAGGAAGACAGTTTCCTCGACTCTTCATAATGCGAACATCATAATTTATGACGATTCGACAAGTTCTGATAAGGGCAGGTTGCGCAGCAAACCAAATGCGGATTATTTAGTACAAATTGAGCCTGCGTCATCAGATCATCCCGGGTGGGTGATCGTTCGCAGATATCCTGATTTTGAGACTCTGCATGAGGTCTTGCGACGGCTTGCGCAAATCTCCGGGGTTACGGCATTCACAGAGCAGCACAACTATCTCCCAAGTTGGAAAGAGCACAATAAGGCGTCTCTACGAGGAGAGCTCGAGCGATATCTGCGTGATGCATGTTGGTTTCAACCACTCGCAGAGAGTGAAGGCATGAAGAGATTCCTCGAGAAGGACCAAGGGCAGTCGGCATCGGGTTCGGGGTCAAAGAACGGCTTTCCTGGTATTGGTTGGCCGACCCCTTCAGCTTTTGAGACAATGGGGAAAGGCATGCTGGATGTGCTTACTAGTGCCCCTAAAGGGGTCACAGAAGGTGGCAAAGTCATAGGAGGGGTCCTGACAAACATTGGAAACCTGGGTCAGAAGAAGCCGACAAACGGCAGTTCGAGTAACCTTGGAATGCAACACGGAGGCCGCTCTTCCACCTCGACCCTACCACGAATGGACAGCATGAACTCGGTTGTCGCATCTCGGAATAGTCGCGCAAGTGAGGATAGTCTTAGAGCTCCACCACTCGTGAGCACACAACCATCAAAGATCCCCGCGATGGAACGAAGGCCCAGTTACAACTCCATTGCCGAAGACGACAGTGAGCGCGAGCCTCGAAAGACAGATTCCGCCAGGTCGTCCATGAGTGGCCGAAGGAGTACGACGCAGAGCCGGGATCCAAGCAGAGCCCCTTCGAGAAGAGGGACGCCATTATCATCCCCTATCCAAATGGGCGATATGAATCTACCTCCTCCACCGAGTGACATGCCCGATGATTACGGGCGTCAAGACGAAAGCTCTGCCGCTCATTCTCGTACGGAGAGCAATTTTGCCACGACAACTTGGACATCCACAAGCACGGCTCCGTCTCAGCCATCTCCTGGGCGCGCCTCCCTCTCAGCACCGAGGCGAGAATCGGTTCCTGTCATCACTCCATCTCGAAGGCCTCGAAAGGAGGCCACACCACTTACAGAAGCAGAAACGCGACAAGCAATTGAACTCATGTTCGCAGTGATCAACGAGATGTATACCCTTTCTTCGGCCTGGAAATTTCGTCGCACCCTCCTGATAGCCGCCAAAACATTCCTCCTGCGCCCTGGAAACCCGTCACTTTCATCAATCCAGTCTCTAATCCAAGATTCTATCATCGTTTCAAACACTTCTGATTCCGGCGTTGCTACCCACCTTCGTAAGCTTCGTGAAAACACGCTGCCTACAGAAGATGAGTTGAAAGCTTGGCCACCAGAACCAACCGTGGAAGAGAAACAGCGACTTCGGATCAAAGCCCGAAAACTCCTGGTTGAGCGGGGTGTCCCTGCGGCTCTGACAGGTGTTATGGGCCAAGCAGCCACAGGAGAAGCCATGGGACGGATCTTCGATTGTTTACAGGTCGAAGAAGTTGCTCGGGGCTTGATGTTTGGACTTCTCTTGCAGGGCGTACGGGCTGTGACACAATAGATGATGTTTGACGATGGCGTCTGGTGGTGGTGAAGCATTCTTCTCTGTGGTATCCTAGTGGAAAATGTTGGTTTTGAGCTCATGTGGAGATGGAGGGTACACATGGGGACACTGTACATGTAGTGTAATATATTACCGGTATACGGGGCACGGAACACGATTGCATGATGGGTGGGAATATAGAACCCGGTTCTTTATAGGGCTTGTTTATATCTTTGTAATCATTCGAGATACCGGATCTTGCGGTTCAATCACTATCAACCTTCGCACTTTGACCAGTTCTTCCTTCGAAATAAAGAAGAGATCCAGACGGCAACCCGTCCCCCAACTTCCCCCAACTTCCCTCCCTTTTGCCCGCTTAAAGAATTAGCGAGGCATCGACAAAAACAAAAATATCACAACTAAGCAGAAGACCCTAAAAGTGCTCAAAAATTTAGCATTGCTTATTCACGGTGGTATCTAATCTATAGTCTAAGCCTGAAGAGCGGTCTCCTCTCTACTCATATGAGAACCCCCATGCCAGCCACGCTTCGGATCCTTCTCCTTTTCTTTGGCTTCCATTTTGTCCCCAACCTTGCCCCATCCACCACCACCGGGCGTACAAATGATAATCCTCTCACCAGCCTTCATAGCGGCCGTGTTCTTGCCTCCCAAATTGATTCGACGTTCTTCAAACACGGCATCTTCAAGCTTCTCATCCGATCCGTTCAACATCTTGTCCGACCTCTCAGGGTTACTCGCCTCCACCTTTCTCACCCAAATGTTGAGTCCACATTGCGCATCCTCCCCTCCTGCAAGTCCATAAGGGTGATAAACTCTTCTCTCGCTCAAAATCGACACTTGCACAGGGATTCTGAACTCGATGTCTCTGATCACCCCGTCACCGCCACGGTGCTTGCCCGCACCACCGGATCCAGCTCGCAATGAAAACTCTCTCAGAAGAACAGGATATCGCCGCTCAAAAACCTCTGCATCGGTGATTCGAGTATTCGTCATGTGCGTGTGCACCCCGTTCGTCCCAATCCAATCACGTCCTGCGCCGCTCCCCCCGGCAATGGTCTCGTAGTACCCAAAGCCTTTGGTACTTTCCTCTCCTTCAATATTACCTCCAAATCCGAAGGTTAAATTGTTGCAGTCTCCTTGGGAGGCAGCACATGCTTGAAAGGCTTTAAGAATGACATCTGTCACTCGTTGGGACGTGAGGACATTCCCACCCACAACCGCTGCTTTGTGGGAGGGTGAGATAAATGAGCCCGCCGGGATGAGGACTTTGATCGGTTTGAGGCAGCCTTGATTGAGAGGAATATCTTCGGATATCAGACAACGGAGGCAGTATATTATCGCGCTGTATGTTACAGCTTGAGGGGCGTTTGTGTTTCCTGGTTCTCGTAAGCAACAATCTATCAACCAAATTATGGGGTCATACCATATACTTCTGGTCCTGTGCCAGCAAAATCGAAGAAAGCTTCTCCCTTCTCGGCATCAATGGTGATCTTGAGCTTAATTGGACTGCCATCATCCATATAGTCGACGGCAGAGAGATCTTGGCCTTCAAATCTCTTGCTGACATCTTTCAACAGATTGCGGACACTCAGCTCGGCATTATTCTGTATCTCTACCATATAGAAATTCACAACATCCTCTCCATATTCCTTAATCAAGGTGGAAATGAGTGTAATCCCCTTCATGTTGCTCGAAACCTGAGCCTTCAGATCGGAGATGTTATCTGCTAAACATCTTGTGCCACTACAGCCTGGATACTTCGCAGGCTCCGTGAGTAAAAGCTGTGTGATTCTCTCTTCGTTGAATCTTCCGGCGCTGACAAGCTTCTCAGACTTGATTGCAGCTCCTTCTTGATACAGCTCTCTCGAATGAGGGGGCATGCTTCCAGGTAGAATGCCACCAATGTCGGCATGGTGAGCCCTCGAGGCCACATAAAACAGAATTTTATTCCCGGACTCATCGAAAGCCGGCGTGATGACAGTGATGTCGGGGAGATGCGTTCCTCCATATTCTGGATGATTAGAGACTATCACATCTCCTTTGACCAATCTGCCGCGCCAGATTTCTGCTTGCCGTTTCACGCAAGTACTCATAGATCCCAAATGCACTGGAAGATGGGGAGCATTGGCCACCAGTCCGCCAGTAGAATCAAAGAGAGCACACGAGTAATCGAGTCGCTCCTTGACATTCGTGCTGACACTTGTTTTCTGGAGTGCTCGCCCCATTTGCTCGGCGATGGCCATAAATCGATGAGCGAAGATGCTGAGCATGATGGGATCAACCTCTTTTGTGGTGTCAGGCTTCGAGGATCTGAAATATCATCAGTAATTGGAATTCGGGCGTTCATTTTGAGCTTACGAGTCGTTGAGTTCCTTCTCTCCAATGTTGATCACAACATGTGTCTCAATAATAAGGGCAGAGGCACCGGGAGTGACCACGATGGTTTGAGTTCCATCTGCCAGAATTGCCGGGCCTTTGATCCTATCACCAACCGAAAGATCCTCAAGCTTGTAGATAGGGGTGTCTTTGCGTCCGCCATCAAAAAATATTTTCGATCGCTTGTATTCCTTGTCCCCTGTCTTGATATCCTTTGGTTCTACCTCTTTCAGTTGTTGGTCCACCGTCTTCCCAAGACTCTCAAAACTCTTTCCAATTCCACGAACACGGACATCGTCGACTATTATATCTCTGTCTGGAAGTGTAAATCCAAATTCTTGCTGGTGCTGCTTGACGAAGGCTTTCCCAAATGCCCATTCATCACCTTCAAACTCTTTCTCGGTGTCTTCCTTCCCTGGTTTAACAATCATGAGTGCTGATTCTGTTCCTCGATAGCGCATGTTCAAATACTCCTCGTAGACGATGGATTTATCATTGAATCCTTGATCCTATTCCCAAGATATCAGAGTCAACATACCTTTTTCGGGGGTTTTCGGGAGTAGAATGTTCTAGCAACCGTTGGGCATTGCTACAAAAGGGAAACTACTCCAAGAAGTTGGGACTTACCTGTAACGCTACTCTTGATTTTTTCTTCAGTTCCTCTATTTTCATCTTCAGCGATTCTTTCGCATCTCCTTGGTCAGCCCAAACTTTCGAATCTGGTTCCTGACGCTCATCAACAACATCCGCCAAAGCCATGCCATACGCCGAGAGAACTGATGAGTATCGATGAACTAGAATCTGCCGAATACCGAGACTTTCAGCAATAGCCACAGCATGCTGACCACCCGCGCCTCCAAAAGTTGCCAGGCGATGCTTCGATGTATCGTGGCCTTTCGCTTCGGTCAATGAACGAATGGGCCTCGTCATTGTCTCATTTGCTACAGTCAAGAAGCCATAAGCAACCTCATCAACACTCATATTCTTGCCATTCTCCTTGTTGACCTGCTCAGCAAGTTCTTGTAAAAGCTTCTCGCTTGCTTGAACATCTAGACCTTCATCCTCGTTTTTGCCAAAAATCTTTGGAAAGAAGTCGGGTAGCAAGCGCCCGAGAAAGAGATTTGCATCCGTGACAGTCGCTGGGCCACCTTTTCGATAGCAACCTGGTCCTGGATGTGCTCCGGCGGATTCTGGGCCAACGACGAACAGTCCATTCCGGAAAAACAATCGAGACCCGCCACCGGCAGCAACAGTATTGATATCCAGCTGTGGCGATTGAATCGTCACACCGGCTGTAGTAGTCTCAAAAACATGTTCATACCTACCTGACCCATATCTCGAGACATCAGTTGAGGTTCCACCCATGTCAAATCCTGTAAATAGGTTAGCAACGTATTCCTTTAGGGAGTAGAGAGCCGGGAACATCAAACATCCGCCTGACCAATGAGGTAGGGTGCTCGGGATATAGGGCAAAGAAATAGGTTGATTACCGATGACAGGTGTTCGGGTTTCTGGATCATATGAAGTGAGAGCATATCCTACCACTCCACCAGCAGGACCAGACAAAATTGCTTTCAGGCCAGAGAACTTATTGACATCAACTAGACCTCCATCGCTCTGCATGAATTCACACCTCGCCCCTTTTGCGCCACTCCCATTCTTGACACTCTCGGTTCCCAAGCCACCTTCGAACCCCTTCTGGAACCCAGCAATGTACTTTTTGATGGCTGGGGTAAGATATGCATCGGCGCACGCAGAAGTTGCTCGTGGTACTAGTTTTATCATGGGCATGAGCTCGTGGCTGAGAGAGACGTGCTTGAATCCGATTTCTCGAGCCAATCGCCCGACTAAAGCCTCGTGGTCCGGAAAAGTATATCCGTGCATTAAACACACTGCTATGCTACGGATCCCTTGGTCATAGACATCTTGGAGCTGCTTCTTCACGGTCTCCACTGCCGGCCGCTGCAAGATTCGGACAGCTTCAGACGACAATCCTCTGACCAACTCTTGATCCGCAGTGCCATTTCTAGATTCACGAGCTTCAACTTTCGTGATGTTTCTTTCCGGATCCTCAGCGTAGTCTTCCAGGGTAACGCGCTCTTCGATTTCTACCACCCTCTCATACAGCACATCTGGTTTCTTGATCGCTAGATCAAAAATCCTGGGCCTTGATTGATTACCAATCTCCAAGCAGTCCTTGAAACCTTTGGTTACAACCATTGCAATCTTCTCTCCCTTTCTTTCTAGCAAGGCATTCGTGGCAACTGTCGTGCCCATTCGAATCGACTGAATTTTTGCGGTATCCAGTGGCTCGCCGCGTGGGATCTCCTTCTTGAGAAATTTCGACATAAGTCGCCTAATGCCCTCAAGCGGAGCATCTTCGTAGTTGGAAGGATCTTCGGAAAGAAGCTTGATGATAACATCGTCTTCCATTTCCCCCGTACCTGGGTTGCCTACGCAGTCCGTAAAAGTGCCGCCACGCTTTGGTGATTGTCAGCCTTGTTCAACGGAACCATACCGGTACAATGAAGAGACCAGGACGTGTTGGAAAGGCAGCATGCCCGACTGGCTTTTCACCAGGATGACTTATACAGAGAGCCGACGCCACAAATATACCACAGGGACGCAATTGCAAAATACAGTAATTGAATGGAGCTCCTGGACTTACATCGATAGCTATGCGGATACCCCGCTCTTGCTCCTGAGAACCCATTCTGAACTGCGTGACCTTCCTTCGAGACAGTGATTTTCAGACTTGTTCGAATATAAGAAGGTGGTCTAGGAAATTCAAATGTAATGTTCTGGAAGAAGTATCTCTCTTCTTAACGGATCTGCAGATGACGGAGTTGTTCCACCGCTCGCATGCCACTGACAGATTCGGCCTAGCTCAGCCTTCCATTGATAGTGGGGTCGTGGAGAATCACGTGGTAGAAACATGACAACCAAAGGGCGTCTGGTGTAGAATTTGGAGAATCATCTCTTGGAATGAAGGCAAGTCCATGGTATTTTGAAATTCGATTCAATCAAGTATCAGGGCGATCGCAAGCAACGCGCCTAGAAGTTTCATTTCTAGATCAAAGCTGACAAGCCCTCCACCCGCTCTCCACCAATCTCTTCTAAGCTCGTGAGACTTAGAGATGCCTTCAGTATATATCAACACTGGCCGGAAAGCTTTGACCGATCTACCACCACGCGACCCTAAGGTCAGAAGCTTCCATGAATCCCTTCCACATTACCGACCAACCCCACTCGCCGCTCTCCCAGAGATAGCACAACAGCTAGGCATCCAACACCTCCTGGTCAAGGACGAAAGCTCACGGCTGGGATTAACAGCATTTAAGATTCTTGGAGCGAGCTGGGCTACCGCAAAAGCGGTGGCCAAACGTGTTGGTTTGAAGTCAACGGGCGTAGGAAGCCGAGAAGACCTTGAGAACGAACTATCGTTGAAGAATCTGGCTTCTGTAGCCCAGGCTGCGGAACTTGTCCTCTACGCTGCCACGGATGGGAATCATGGCCGCGCTGTTGGACGCATGGCGAAGTACCTTGGCATCAAAGCAAGGATATTCGTCCCTACCATGGTTGATGAGGAGGCCAAGTCAAAGATTACCAGTGAAGGAGCAACGGTTGAGGTCATTAATGGAGACTATGACCAGACCGTGCTTGACACAAAGTTGGCTGCTGAGGAGCACGAGGGTGGAAAGGGGCTTCTGATCAGTGATACGGCGCTTGAAGTTGATGATGAGATCCCTCAATGGATCGTGGAGGGGTAAGTCCGGCTTCTCGGAATATATCCCTCTTGTAGCATGTTAAAGCTCTTGAGAACACTCCACTCCTAAAACAACCTGAAAGAAGTGTGCTGACTCCGATTTCTTGGGAATAGGTACCAGACCATGTTTGACGAGATCGAGGAGCAGATTCTAGAGGCTACTGGCCAGCAGACAATCACTCACGTTGTGGCCCCAGTAGGGGCGGGCTCTCTATCGTCGGCAGTCGTGACGCATTTCGAGAGGACATCGCGTTCAACTAAGCCAACCATTGTAACGGTTGAGCCGGAATCCGCTGCGTGCTTGAAGGCGAGTCTCGAAATTGGGAAGATGGCAAGTGTTCATGCGACTTTCACAATATGCACGGGAATGTGCTGCGGCACGCTATCCGCGAGTGTGTGGCCAATTTTGAAAGACGGGGTATCGGTTGCTATGACTGTCCATGATGGAGAAGTAGATGAGGCCATCCACTTGCTTCAGAAATATGGCATTTACGCCGGACCGTGCGGTGCTGCTAGTCTTGCGGCTATACGAAAGCTAGCCAGAGTAGAGGGCATCCAACTGTCACCTAATTCTGTTATCGTGATTTTTTGCACTGAAGGAGAGAGAGGTTACCAAATGCAAATTTGAATCTTTGCTAGCCCTACAACAGAGACATCATCCCTCTTGGGGCTTCACCCATCAGTCATTTGATAGGTACGTCTGAAGGGAGAAAGAATGTCTCACGACGTCAAGCAGGACTTCTAGTAGTAACATGATGACAAGATAGAAGGCATGTTTGGATAGCTTCATTCAGGAAGACGCACCACACTACCGGCTGGATTCAAAGGCAGAATTGCATGGAGGCCCTAGCTTAACACATCCAGCAGTTAGTGAACCAACCCATTGCTGAAGGTTTGATCAATCTTGGGATTTTCATGTACAAGCAAGAATATAGCTTCATGATGTACGGTACTGTAGATCCCGTGTCTAGTGGGTATCTGGCGACGACCTCTGGTTCATTTTAATGCTGGGGGAACATCCACTATTGTGTCACATGAACTTGGTGGTGACACTGCAGCCGGATCCCAAAGTGCAGACTTCGATAAGAATCAAGCCTTCCGCAACCTGCTATCTATCCTCCCCACGCTGGCGGGATCGAACGTGAAACAGCCTTAAGACAGTTGAAGTCGAGGATATGTGTAAGCTTTGACTTCTGATAAGCGTCGAGGTACACCTTCGCATAACTCTAGCGAACCCAAGACAGAAAAGAGAACCACAGAAAGTTTCGAAATCCTTCGAGAAACCGAGAGGGAGAAGTGCATGGTTGGTGGGGGCGAGAACTCGAAGGTCTCCCTCCTCTGCGACGTTTCGAAGTGACTGACTCGAACTCGAAAAAAGTGCTGGAGCTTGACGGACTACCGAAAGGCCAACTGCGCGCTCAGATTGCTGGGAGCTGCAGTATTATTTCCATGTCTCCCTATGCAAAGGAGACAGTGGCACGCACAGATCCACGCGATGCCATGCGTTGCGGGGAGCTTGGATGGAGCTCGAGTACCGACGTCTTCTTGACCCTTCTGAAGAAGTGACAAACAGCATGCTGAACAAGCGCACAGGCTGATTGGTTGTTGACAGGCACCAACGGCTGTGGATTTCTTTGCGACCGCTGCAGGAGATCAGACATGCATGTGCACGAGTAGGGGATATCAGGAACACAATGTTTCTCTGTGGCGTGGCACTTCCCAAGCAGTGCTTGCGGTGTGGCATCGCGGTGATCTTAGTCAGGGGGGCGGCTTGTTCGATACAACAGTACCATACAGGGGCAGAAAGAAGCGCTGCACGACGCGGGCATCCTAGTTCTCTTCACTGAGCACGGATAAAAGAATCCGCGGATCGCAGCTGGGCCGCCTGCCAGCACTACGTAGGAAACCAAAGATAGCTCATTTTCTTGTGAGCAGCTGAAGACGAGTTGCTGGCGCTGTCGCACTCCCGGGTTATTCATAACATCACGCCCTCTCGGCACTCAAGCAACCATTGGCGGGGCTGTGTGGAAGTCGCGTCGCTCCGACTGGCATCGAGTAGTCGCGCGAGTAAAGGAGTCTGTCTTACTTAGATCCCGCATCTAAAAGCCGCCTTCAGCTTCAGCTTCAGCTTCAATGAAAGCGGGGTGGACAGGAGGTATCTTCGAGTCTCTCGCGCCAGTCTGAATTCCTATTCTCTCACTTCCTTCTGACGGACGTGGAATTCCAGGATTTCGGACCTCCCGCCTTTTGCGGGAACCTTGAAACTTCCCCAAGACCAGACGTACAGTACAAACAAACGATCCTCTTGAATATCCGGGGGACTCAGAACTCCCCTGAGCTGAGCAGCCGTTGTGCCGCTGCGGAGTGCTACTGTACCGTAGTTGCAGGGAGTCAAGATAAAGGTTCCTAAGTCCCGAGGCTCGACACGAGGAACACGAAGGCATCCCCAAGTCGTACAGTACCAGTATGTAGTACCCAGAACGAAGTACTCCATACTGTACCTGCCGTGCACTTGGAAGTTGGATGGAGTAACGGTTACGAAACAGGCAAGGCGCGCGCTCTCTGTCTTGCCTTGCCTTGTCTTGTCTTGTCTTGGTCCCAGACTCCCAGCCCCTATTGCGAATCCTGGAGAGGGCGAGCTTCGGTGGGCCCACCGAAGAAAAACGCCCCATGCACACCCCGAACCCGTGAACCACTCGCCCGCCTTCGAGGCCGCCTGCAACTGCAACCCCTGAACGCCTCGACGGCAAAACCAATCCTGAGTGGACGGCCAAGACCAGGACCAGGACGGACGAGGAGCGTGGCGTGGTCATCAAGTAGGCAGGTCCAGTATTTCGCGATTACTGTTCCTCAATCGACGCTGCTGTCAGATACTACTTCGGCATCTTCATCTTCATCTTCATCTTCCTCATTCCAAGTGCGCGCCGCATCACGACAGCCTCTCTTGGGTCACCTTCTGCCGGATTTGCACGGCATCCGATGCAGAGAAGACACCAGAGGCCGAATAGATTTTGTAGGACCCCCCGCGATCTAGCCGCCGCCGAAGGTTGCTCTACGATTCCACGAGGACCAGCAGCTTTGCTGCTCGCGCGAAACCTCAGCAGTTGCGAACACACCTCCACCCGTCCAGATACCGAGGTTGGAATTGGCACACGACTGGAGAAAGAGGCAAGAGGCAGAGGCAGAGAGAGTTGTGTTGTATGACTGAGCACTGCGATTGGAGGATCTTGTACAACTTCATCCTTCGACGACGTATCTATGACGAGAGTCGGAACCCATCGCCAAACCCAAGGAACAGAGCCCGTTTGATGCTTCGACGGCGAGAGGAATACCGATGCCCGCAGGCCCCCGAGGAACTGTGAGCGAACAAAGTTGGCTGTGAGGGCACGCCGATAGCCGGCACAGCGCCGCAAGAGGTACGTCGCAGAAGAACTGCGCTCCTAGCACTCGGATCCAGACATCTGAGGACGGCCTTGAGCCAAGAGGAGGCGGCAGCTGGGGAGGTTTCCTAGGGCAAGACTGAAGAAGTGGTTGTTGCGCGGCTGGCCCCTGCTGGCGAGGTGACTCTCTCGCTCTCTCCCTCTCTCTGGCAGCGGCGACCCTTCACCACGGCCTGAGCTTCAATCGCGCAGCTATCCAGACCTGCAAGTGCGCCGTCCTCTGGGGCGTGGGCAGCGCGCACCTGTCTTTGTCTTCAGTTCAATTCTGGTCCCAGTTCGGGTTTTCTGCTGCGAGCCTCTGCCTTCTCTCTGTGCAGGGAAGGGAACGCGGCTAAACTAACCTAGTGCAGCCTCCAGGAGCACCTCGAGGCGTCTCCGCCGACAGCATGAGTCGCCAGATCAACTACGACGAGCCAACAGACTTCTCTGCAAAGCGTTCTGCCGTCTCTCCACAGCGGTTGTCGTCTTTCAGCCGCGCCCGCTCCACCAGCCGCGACCGCGCGGGAGCCTCGCAATTCGGCTCTCAGAATGCAATCAACACCAAACCTCTGACGCAGGCCGACTCGCAAGGGGGCAATCTCAATCGATGGTCGAAATCGACCGGGTCCAGCACCGTGTCCCACACCGACAAACGCTCCAATTCGTTCACGCGGCGAATGTCGTTCGGGGGCGGCCCCAGTTCATTTTTAGACACTTCATCGCCGCCGAGAAAGCTGCAGAAGAACCGGCCCGCGACCGCCAATTCCCCCTCGCCGCACTTGACAATTACGCGGACGCCGTTTGATTCTTCCTCGATAACCCTCCCGCCGATAAACACGCTCCCCGCTCTGCAGACTTCGGTGAGTACATCTTCTCCACTGGCGGGTCCTACGACACCATCACCGTCTACTGCCCAAATATTGTCCGCGGCGGCGCGTTCTGTAGATTATTTCGGGAGGGCTTGGGAGGATTCATCACTGGGGCCCAAGGATTTTGCACAGAAAAGGTCGCCTTCAGCTTCGCGGTCCACGAACTTAGGTCCTTCACCGGTCCTTGGACCTGCTGCGGCGTTGGAAAACGGGACCAGTCGATATCAGTCAGGCGAAGACGAGCGGCATAGGTCAAGAGGCCATTCGAGGAATCGCTCACAGGCGGGAAAGAGCAGTGCAGGCACAGGATCTTCCAACAGAAGCTCGAAACAGCCGTCACAAAAAACCATGCTTTCCAAGGCTCTTCAAAAAGCGAACACGGCTGTCCTACTCGACAATGCGCAGAATTTTGAAGGCGCCATGCAGGCGTACTCAGAAGCTTGCACTCTGTTGCAGCAGGTTATGTTGCGTAGCTCTGGCGATGAGGATAGGCGGAAATTGGAAGCAATTGTGAGTTTGAAAAGCTCTGGGAGAAAATACTGACTCTAACTTGTCCAGCGAAATACTTACACCAGCCGAATAAGTGAATTGCGGAAGATTGCGCCGCACCTCCGAGATGATGGTAAGGCTCTACCTGCAAGGCCAGAGAGTGGAGGATACAGAGCAGATGAAGTTCAATCGCCGGTTGATGATGATGATGATGAAGAGGAGGAACCTGCCATTATCGAGACTGCTACTGCCACGAGAATTGTGAACGACCAATCCTATGCCCCTGAAACCCAACAAAGCCGTGCAATCCTGCCATCAGAGCTACCGGAACGTAGGGAGTCACTCCTCCCGTCCACCTTTGAGTCACTGCAATACCGGCCAAAAACCACACAAGATCAATACATGGGACGGTCTTATTCGAAGTCCCCGATGAGAGAACGGATTGCAGAGATGAGTTCAACACTCGCACCACCAATGGACAGCTTATATATGCCCCCACCTCTCTCACCCAGGCGTCCCTCCTCGCCGATGACACATGGTCGCTCAAACAGTAACCATGAGAGACAAAGGTCATCTGATTTGTCAACTTCAAATCAACCTGCGGCTCAACCGAAAAAGGGCCATGCAAGGGCGGCAAGTAACGAGTCCATGTCATGGCTAGATACTATAGATGAATCTGGCGGCTCTACCGCTTCCTCGGTCCACTCGAGAACCTCATCCATGGGAGTTCGAAGGAAGCATATTCGGGCTCCTAGTGGGGCAACGGAAGCCGAGTTCGATGCGGCTTTGGACGCCGCTGTCGAGGCTGCTTATGATGATGGCTTTGAACCCACGGGTGCTACACCATCAACTCGGTACGACTATGATGACGACGATGAGATTGTTGCCAATGTTAGGCGAAGGGTAGAATTGGCAAAAGAAAGGGTACGCCAGAGTGAACGTGAGGCTGCCATCCAGGACGCACGGGACCGAGAAAGAAAGCGATTGATTATACAGAAAGAAGAACAAAAACTTAACATTGACGATGACTATGATGGAAATGAGTCCGAGGAAGAAGAACGAATGTTGGAGGAGATGACGAGAGGATATGTCATGGAGGATTTCGAATTCGGTTTGCAATCCAAGTCTGCCTTGCCCCGGGAGTCTGATTCAAGTGGATTTTCGGGACGAACTTGGAACAGCTCTATCGGATCCAATCCTACCACTGCCGGAACAACATTATCCACTGTTGCTGAAACATCATCGATCCCACAAATACCTTCGATACAGGCAAAATCACAACTCCCAACACACCCACCTCCCTCACAAGCTCTTCCACCGCCTCCGAATGCTGCATCTCAACCACCACCGCTGAGTACTGCCAATTCTCAAGGCGTTCGAAGCAGACGATTGTCTGGGCAGAATGCAAGGCAACTTAAGATCGAGACTACCACCAGAACTCCCGCCGTTCCAGCACCATCAACCCAGCCCCCCTTGATGCCCCCACCACCTCAGACTAATGGCAGCGTTGCTGTCCAGCCTAAGACCCCCGGACTGCCTCAACAACGACAAACGTTACCTGGCACATCAAGCAAGCCACCTGTGCCTCAATCTGCTCGACAGGCCTCGTCTCCGTTCCCAGGCCCTAGCCCATCCGAAGTCATTCTTCCACCGACACCAACACTTGCCCAGACGTTCACAAACGACAGTGAGAATGGACAGTTGCCTCGCTCTGGCTCCCCTGGTCGTGTACAGTCAAGGACGGGGCTACGAAAGAATTTCTCGTCTTCGAGCTTGAAGAATATGAAGAGTCGCAATCTCTCCGTCTCAAACATAGATGATGGCTCCGACGTTTCCCCGAACACTCCCCTGAGCTCACAATTTAACCCGAGAGAGACAAATGGAAGGCTTCCTGCAATTCCAACTCTACCCACCCCTATCGCCATAGCTTTTAAGGAAAAGCAAAATGGCGTTACCACCGGAGGAATGTATCTCTTCGACGGTGATATACACTCTCCGGATAGCCCAGGCTCGCCGAATCCTCTTAACGCAGGTGCACCAATACCTCTAGAACCTTGTCCTACAGAGTATCTACTTCGTCCGTTCTGGCTCATGCGAGCCTTGTACCAAACCATTGCGCATCCCAGAGGGGGTTATCTCTCAACCAAGCTTTTTGTTCCACGTGACGTATGGAGAGTCAAGGGGGTCAAAATCAAGAGCGTCGAAGACAAGATTGCCAATTGCGATTTCCTCACGGCTGCTCTGATGAAGCTCGCCAAAGTCGATACTTTCGATGCTGATGCCGTTTTGGTGGAGATGCAGTCTTTCGAGGGCGTCCTCGAGCAAGTTCAAGCAACTTTGACGAGGAAGCTTGGTAATGAAGTTGGAGTTCAAGGCTCAGGAGGAATGTTCAAGGATGCGTCCGCTGGGGCAGACGGTGAGACGAGCAATCTTACCTCGAAGTCTGGAAGCGTATCAAGCAAGTCCTCTGGGTTCTCTTGGCGAAGGTTACGATCCAAGAATTCTGGCGTCGGATTGTCGAACGCGTACGCGAACAAAACGTCTGGTGATGGCTCAAAGGAAGGCCTAAGTATGACAACTTTGCCAATGACCTCAACGTCTGTTGCCAAGGTACGATTTGCGAAGAGGGATGTGAGCCAGATTCAGTTTTCAGGGCCGAACGCAAATTACATGAGTGCGCTAGCGAAGCTCTTTGATGCTGCGCAAACTCTTGGTGAGTCCTACTCTGTCTGTCTTACTTGATCTAATCACTGACTGTCTTATTAGATCAAATCGCTCGTCAAGTTGAAGATCCAGGTCTAAAACATGCGGACAAAACGCAAGTAGGTCTCGAGCTCTGTACTCGCCACGCCGCCGAATTCTTCGGCTTCTATATATGTCGCTTCGTTCTCACCGACATCGGAATGCTTCTGGACAAGTTCATCAAGAGAGGAAGCGAATGGGTTCTTGTGTGATGTATATTTATTTGCTCTTGCTATCGAGTGTGAGCTACTCAATTTTGGACATGCGCCTCGAGAGCTCTCGCTGTTGCTGTTGGAATGAATAATGACTGACGGAAGGCGTTCGCTATTTTTCGGTGGATCAAAGTACTTGTGGGATGAAAGTGATACCAAAGTAGAATGCCTGTATTCTATCTCCTGAGCGTCGTTTGTATAGCAAGCAAAGCGTGGCGATCTAGAGCTGCTTTGCTGGAAATTTATCGGGGCGGACATGTATATGAAAGACAAAAAGATAATCGTCCCCGCTGTAAATGACTGGTTCAGTGGACCAAAAAAAGGCACTCAATTCTCAATGTCCCTAGTCAACTTAAACTATTGCAGATGCTTTCCCTCTAATAGCTCTCGATTTACAGTACAAAGTACATTCAATTTCTTCTACCTTCCATTATCTATGGAATTCTTGAACATTTGAACGTGTCTCCTTCCGATACCTAACTCAAATGAGTACTGTACATTAAAAATTAGTTTCGCTTTAATTGTCCACTGGAGGCTGGATTGCTGGAGGGTTTTTTCAGGCAACTCAAACCCCATGGCATGCAGAAAAGAGCCACATCAACAGGATTAGGAAAGGTGCAAGTCTGTACGCACAGTCTCCGGGCTAGCCAAAATTCAAGCATAATTTTAGTTTGACCAAGCAACGGAAATGGATGTTCATTCTTCATTGACCATCGTAAGCTTGGACATCTACGGCAAGAAACTTTTCTACAGCCCCTAATTGCCGCCGCATCTCTGAATCCTAGTCACACATCCCAAAAACCCACTATCCCTTCAGTGCATCTTCTCGTGTGTCGCCATCAACGAACCTTCAAATGTGTCAGTACACCTCAGGCATAGAAATGACAGAAAGACTTACCAATGAAAGTAGTAACCAAACGGCTGCGAACTTGGCAAATGTCTTCCGGCACCAGCCAGATGGTTGCACCCATCTTTCTGGCTATACTGATACTGAGCTTGGCGTTCATATATGCATCCTCATCCGATCTGCCTGGAGTTACGAGTTCGTAGTCGACGTAACTGCTCTTCATTCCGTTCAAGACATCCAAGAGGAAAATGCCGGTTCCGATATTTGAATCCTTGAATGAACGGATCGAAGTATTCTTGCCGCCTTTCCGAGACATGTCGTTTGCCCACTTGACCATCTCTGCGTCGGTAATCTCCCGCTTTCCGAGTCTTTGTGCCAATGCGGAGAGTGTCTCAGATATGTCCTTTCGCATCAACTGCCAAACGAGGCCCAGAGTCAGAGTCCGTTGCCCATCCGTGATATCTGCTCCTTGCACACCAACGAGCGAGAACCGATTCTGTTTACCGAGCTCGATTGCATAATTCGTGTTTTCGACTGCCTTGAATCTCGACATCTCTGCTCCGTTCGTCGGAGCTTTGTTCACGTGACGCCAGTTGACTGATCCCTTAACTACCTTGTCATATGCCTGCAGGAGGATCGTGCCATCCCGCAAGTCGTCGTACAAAGAGTTTACAGCCGGCTGTACGTCAAGACTGTTGAGCCACAGAGTGAAGACCCGAGCCTCTCGCTCGCCCTCAGCATCAAAATCGTCAACTTGAAGCTTCTCTTCCTCCGTAATAGGGTCAAGAGCAGGGTGGGTGTTGAACAGGTTTGCAACAAAGGCCAGATTCAGCTTTGGATTACCAGCGACAAGGGAAGTTGGAGTCAAGAACTTTCGACAGCCTAATGTATCAGCGTTCTGCAGAACTTGCTCTGCTCTTTGTAGGAGGTCTCGGGTTTGTAGTGGGCCACGGGTGCAGTGCTCTGGTGCAATTTGGGCAAGAAGGACAGTATAGTTCTCGCCGTCCTTGACATCTGTCGAGAAATTTGCAACTCTAAAATTCCGTTAGTACGTGTACGATATAAATCACGAGTGGGAGTTTACCTCCGTGGCCAATTGGCAGCTTTCAAGTGATAGTTGAACCATCTTAGTAAGATCTGCTCCGGAGGAAGTCTCAAGAACTGTTCCAGGGTCTCATCCTCTTCCAGTAATCTATACAACTCGGGGTGAAGCTTGATATCGATCTTACCAAGCAGACCTCGTCTAATGACTTGCCAGATCAGACCAAGAATCAGATGCTCACGTACTTCAATGATGTCACCGCTTCCAATGTTGACTACGGAACAGCCGATACCTTTCGCTGACTCGATGACAATGTTGTTGTTCTCGGTCATATGGAACGCATTAAGGGTTTTGATCTTTTTTCCAGGCCGGTTGAGCACACGCTCGTCGATTGTGTCAGGGACGCTGTCATTGATCAATTTTGCCAACACGAGTCCATCCTTGCATTCATCAAACATTTCGAAAGTGTCGGTTGGGAAGGGTAATCGGTTTCCAATATCCGGGTCTCCCGCCAACACGGCATTGATATGGCGAGTAAATTCCGTTCGCTCGTCCTCATTGATAGTATGTGTGACATTCGACGAGGAGCCTTGGACTTGAATACGACCACTGACACTTCCCTTGGAAGCATGTCCTCCAGTTTGCTGTGAAACCATACCGCCACGAGCCGGGGAGGCTGGACCTGTCGACATGCGCTTCTGGGCTGGAGAAGAATCCCGAAGTTTGGAAACCAGCTGCGAGTATCATTGTCAGCTCGAGCATCTTCAGAGGAGCTGGAATATCCCATAGAAACAGGGACACCTCCTTGAATGCCTCACCCCAACAAAGTCATCCAATTCGACTCTCCTCGAGGAATCAAGCTCTACTTCCTTCAGCGCCTGGCGCACGACATCGTACGGTTGCCTCTCGCTGGCTTGAGTCGCCTTGATGGCGGTCGCCTCGTCAATATATCCCTTATCGTCTACATCCAGCTTACGAAAGGCGTCTTGCAGTCCAAAGATCTCATCCTGTTGGAATTGAGGGTATTTCCTGTGGGGAGTTAGCGTCAGGCCCCAGTAGGCACACTCCCAGATGCCTCTACCTCTGCAGTTTGATGACATTCATCGTGTAGAATTCGGAGATCCAAGCGGCAGCTCGAGATCTCACAAGTCGGTGGATACGGGTTCGCTGGCTGAGAAGGTCAGGACGTCAGGACACCAGGCATGCAGCGATGAGGGGCAGCTGCGGGGAGTTATGATGATGCGGTTGTCTCAAGATGGTACAGCTGCTCACTCGCAGAGTCGCTCTCGGTGTCTGGAACGAAGGTGGAAGTTCAGAAAGTTGAGCGCGGGGAGCCGGATTTTGAATGGGGCCTGGGTTGTGGGTTGTGGGTGGTAGTTCTATGCTCTGCTGTCGAAGTCTTGATTGCTGATGTTCGCTCCCTTCTAATCCGCCCGTCGCTTGCGTCTTGACCCCCGCTCCGCCCCGCCACGCCACGTAATTTTGAGCTGTGGTGCCTGAACGCTGGAGGTAGCCGTACGAAGTACAGTACCTTCGAAACACCGCCTTCCGGCCCAGCTTGGCACAAGGTCTTGATTGGCAAGGTCTGAAGCAAATTTCGTGCGGAGTGCCATTCGGAGCCTCGAGAGAAAGCGTTGCCCACAATCACGCGAGATCACCGACCGCTGTCCCGCCCTATTTGAAATCCCAGATCAACTCTCTGCACGAATCTTCAAGCAAGCTGGAAGAAAGCTTTGCGGAAGTTACACGGATTCTGGCGCATGTACTCATCTAATGTCTATGTCTATGTCTATGCCTAAGTCTCCGGTCTACTTGTAGGCCCTCGCTATTACCAGCGCTACCAATGTTATACAAACTTGGCAGGTATCTAAAGCTGAAGCAGAGGTCCTTAATTCTCCGCCATCTGAGTGAGTCCATACCGAGAGTGAGGCTCACGCCAGACGCAAAGACGATGGTGTGCTTGATTCTTCCCCTCCAACCTCCCATCGCCCATATCCTGAGGCCGTGCTATGCCTTTGCTCTCTTCCCTTAACCTTACTTTGGCTGCGAGATGTATTTCGTATGCGAGGCCGTAGCCAGCAAAGGGCCAGGCTTTCCATTTACCAGCTTGCAGATTCTGATCGTCGTGAACGCAACGGACCTCCCCACCTTATTCGCAAGAGCCTCAATCTCAATGGTCTCGCCGACTTGTGCGGTACCAATATACGTAACGTGGATGTCGATACTAGCTCCCGATTTTTCGATGCCGTGGGTACAAATCGCCAGTCCACCGCTCCAATCCACTAACGCCGCACTCACAGTGCCGTGGAGTGTTCCTCTGGAGTTAACATGATTCTTGCTCAGCGTCAGGCGCGAGGAAACGGATCCTTTGGTGGCGGATATAATTTCAGCATCCGAGAGCAGGAAGTCTGTTTGATTGCGTCGTCAGCAATGGCTCGAGGAAGGTTGCTGCTCTGGGAGATTTGCCGTAGATTGGACTGTTCCCTTGCATACGCTGCCATACACCCTTTACATGGTCCAATTCTGGCGAGGACATTTTGGTCCTAAGGTGGTGCCTGATCAGATTGACGTGGAGGCGATGGATTGTCGTCAGCAGCGAGGCAGAGGCAGCGAGATGAGTGTGGGAACCTAACCTATTCTTAGACCCCGCATTCTAGGGCAGGGGCCTTCCGCTACCACCGTGGGTGAAGGTTAATTAATGGCTTATCCATATCATATCGACCTGGATTTTATCTTCATAGAGGGCGAGGAGAAGGGAACTTGAAGTTGTTTCTGTAAATAATACTGAGTTAGCCTATCTGACAATTTTACCCCAGTTCAAGGGGTTTTCACTTCTGGAATTGGCACCTTGAAGAGAGCAACAGGGTGGATGCTGCTTTATTAAGGTTATTGAAGCTACAGACGCTCGGTTGCAATAAGGGGCGGAAGAAAAAGATTTTAACTTTTCAATCTTTGCAGGCTACCTCGCAACTCACCAAAATCCAACGCAAAGTGAAGATTTCAAACCCCCACGACACGTCGAGCTCAATATGGCAGCATGCGGAATTTGCGAGCAGGCGTTGGTCATTGAACTTGATCCCGATTCTTTTGACGAATCCGCCGCAAGCTCCTCAGTTGGCTCTGCGGTGACTGCACCTGACGATCTCTTGCTCCTGTGTGGGTGCCACTTTCACTGGTCAGTTCCGGAAATTTTATTCCTTCTGCCCCTTCGTACGCATTCGAGTTCGATGGGTGGGTGTTCTCAAGTTGAAAACATCCAATAAAGCATGGGAGTCTGTCCAGTCCTCTCTGCATGCTCCAAGCCCGCCATCCATTTCAACCTGGCCATCAAGCGGCTGCCGAGACCTGCTTGATCCAGGCTCGCCGAGATTGGGAAAAGCAACACCCAATTTTCAATGCTCCAGGCCAAGTTGGACTATTTCAGATCCTTCTCCCACGATTGTTACCTCAGTTAAAAGCACTTTCTTCCAAGTCAATTCTGTACAAACATCTCGGAAATCCTAGAATGTCAAATTACTGCCTCTGCAAAGTCCAGACGAATATTCATTCATGACTTGGGACTTTGAATTCGTGCCGCTCTGTTCGTTCGCCGCGAGCCAGGCAGCATCTATTCAGAAGCGCTTGAAACTAATATGATTTAGGCAGTGCTTGCTGGACGAATCTACCCAAATCGCTCTCTCTCTCACGTGCCCAGCTTGTGATAACTCCATCGTTTCCACGTCCCCTGGTCCACAGCCACATATCCTAGCACGTTATCACAACGAAGGAGGAATTCAGGAAAACCTCGATGTCCTTCCTCTCATTACTGAGGAGGCTTACCTAGAGACAAACCCAGCTGCTCGGCCTGCTCGAGCCTTTATGACAAGTATGTATCCTCCGCCTTTATTTCATCGGCTTTGAAAGGCTCTCGGGTTGTGAGGTATTCAAAGCTCTCTCCGTTTGAAGTATATGGGAACTGCTGTACCTTGAACTTCACTGACCTCACCCTTGTCCAGTGTGTGCCGAAGGAGATGTGTCAGGGATCGCTGAGCTGTTGAAGGACGTAGAGGAGCAGGAAGACGAGGAAGGCATGTCGGCCGGAGAGATACTCCGGTGGCAGGACCCTCTTGATGGGATGAAAACAGGTTTACATATAGCTCTTTTGAGAGCACAGCAGGAAGTTGTTTGGCTTCTGTTGTGGCTCGCTTCGGATTTGACCACCCAGGCCTTCCCAGAAGAAGCTTCTCACACTGCACAAGTCATAGGTGCTGACAGAGGCACGACTCGCGGAGTCGATATTCGCAGCCTTGTTGATGAGCAAGGACGAACTGCAGAGGATGTAGCTCGGAGTGCCGGAAACACATGGACACAGCTGCTGGGAGGAGGGGTGCTTAGGGTCAGAGCTTAGAACAGCAGTCGAAGAGGGCTCCGGAACAGCCGGCGGTGGGTGAGCTAGACAATCGAGTGTGTGTTATTGAGCATTGCGGCGAGAATCAATAAGGTTGGAAGACACAGAGGTCTCGTTTGCCGCACACCTCCGCCCGTTTGTCAACATTCGGCTTGGGTTCAAAACGCCTTCCGGCCGAGAGAGCGAAGATAGTGACAGAGGGAAGCCGTGCTCCCGGTGGACAGAAAAAGAGGCGGCACCGATCGTGAATGTCCCAAGTCAAATGGGAAACATTTGATGTGATTGGAGTAGAGCGGGGCAGGAACCCGATTTTCTGGAATTTCCCAGATGCTTATAGGGAGTAAACTTTCACTGTACAATACCACATGCGTACATTCAGAGAGTTAGTCCTTGCGATGTCCAACTTGATTTGGGACCTTGCAAATGGGTGGCGCCTTTTCTATCCCGGCGAGCCTTGGCAGCGGAAGCGGGACCATGCTGTGCCGTGCTGTGCTGTGCTGTGCTGTGCTGTGAGGTCGGCAGATGCCGAGGTTGCATTTGAGCCATGCTAGACATGCCATGCCATGCCACTGTTGACATCATTCGTCTCTGCCAGCCCAGCCCCGCCCCAAAGGTCAAAGTCAAAGTCAAAGTCAAAGTCAAAGCAAAGAAAGTCTAAGAAGAGAGAGCCTCGGATGACCAACTGCTTCCTGTCCATTTGGCTTCCGAGCATTCTCGTGCCTTACTGTATCGCATCTAGTCGCCGCCGCACTGCCAAGCATCTCTGGCCCTTTCGGACTTTGATTGTTTCTCATCACACGACGGATCAGCAATTGCACGATCTATGGCCGATGTAAGAGTGAGTGCCATCCCATCTCGCAACGGCCACGGCCACGCTCCGTGATGCCCCCGAAACCATAAGGTTGCCATCCCACGCCGGACTCGCAAGATTCCCTTCACTTCACCTCACCTCACCTCACCTCACCTCACTTCACTTCACTTCACTTCACTTCCCTCTCCTCCTTCTCTCGCTGCGAGAGGTGTGCCTGCAAATCCAGCAGCGGATCTACCTACCTACCTATCATAGTTCTCACTCGTCACTCAGCCGGCCCATATTTCCCCCTTTAGCTTATGTTGCTGATCCTCGCTGCATCATCGTCGATCTGCTTCAGCCTTCGTTCATTCAGCCTTGCGCCTCATCGCCTCATCGGTCGTAAGCACCACTCTCTGTAAATTGATACCTGTATTTGTTCTCTTGCGTTTTCGTTGCCTCTCTTTTGCGATTCCTCCGTATCGGTTTCTGCGGCTGCGGAACGTAAATGGAAATGAAAGGCCATCGTGACTGAAGCTCATTTTCAAATAGAAATACATATGAACAACGCGAACGCTACCTCGCCAAGCCAAACCGAGAATATTGCATATTTGATGCTCTCATCCCCGTTTCCCGCTCACAGCTCCCCCGTTTCTGAAGCTCTGGGCGTGAGCACTTCGAAATGGCACGATTAGCAGCTACTCCGCCTACATTGGCGAGTCGATCTTCGTCTATCGATAAAGTACCACAATTGGTGGGACAATTGAACTCGGATGGTATTGCCAGTCTGGAAGCAGACCATACTTATACTCAACCACGGCGGTCGGAACCCCCTCGATCGATGAAGATGGCTCTCGGAGCCGTGGACGGCTCCCGACGAAACAGCTCTGCAGACTCCATATCAGAAAGTGCCAGCGAGGAGGACTATGACGCTCTCAGACATGATCCTATGGCAGTAGTTGCTGGTGGCAAAGGCGGTGGCTTTGAAGGGGCAACGAGCGGGCCCGCTGTGGAAACAAATGGCAGCAAAGCATACCAGTCGTTGAAAGTGCCTTCGAACTCAAGACCAGGACCGCCACGGCTAAAGTCCATTCCAGTCACTTTGAACAAGTTGAAGGAGAAAGGACGGTATATCTTGACAGCGGATGATGACGCTTTGAGAGAAATATTGAAAACAGGCATAGAGAGAGTAATTGGAATCTTCACCTCGCTCGGATCCTGCTAACACAATTCAGGAGAGAAACCCAGCTTCTGCAAAGAAACGGCGAAGCAAATTCAGTGATCTGGTATTCACTCGTCAATTCACTACTTTTGATCGGCAAAATGTGGACAGTGCCGACTCGCCGTTTCATGGCTTCTTCACTTTGTTCTGGTTGGGAACTGCTATCTATATGCTAAAATTGGCTGCTGAAAATTGGCGCCAGCATGGCAATATTCTCGGCAGCAATGAGATCATGGGCCTCATGTTCCACCGAGATGTCATGGTCCTCGCATTGTCAGATGGAGTTATGTGTGGAGCTACTGGCTTCGGGTTGATCCTCCAGAAGCTCATTCTCAAGGGATTCCTCAGCTGGGACCGCCAGGGATGGATTATTCAGAGCGTACGTGTTCAACATCGAGACTTCTTGATTACCCGCTTAATAGAATATATGACAGATCTGGGAAATTTTCTACATTGTTGCTGTTCTTGGTTGGACGTTATTCCGGGAATGGCCGTGGACGCACACTGTGTTCTTCGTCCTCCATGGTCTTGTTATGCTCATGAAGCAGCACAGCTATGCATTTTGTATGTTTCTTCTGAGGCTCAGCATTGGGTCAATGCTAATTCACCTGGTAGACAACGGCCACCTCTCAGAGGAATTCAAAATGAGAGCAACCCTTCGGAATAAATTGAAGCAGCTAGATGGTGTTGCTCCAGCAGTGACACCTTCTGCCATAGCACCCAAATTCTCCACATCTCTAGATTATCTTGATCATAGGCCGAAGGCCTCAGATCTCAACCAACGCCGTCAATCAAGAACATTCATCAACGAAGACGGTGCTTCAAACATTGATCAAGTAGGCGCCGCTATGGAGTCCGGAGAACCTCTTGATCTCGACCAAATACAAATATTTCAGCGGATCATCAAGTGGGAGATAGGTGAGCTTATTTCCATACCGACCTGCTAGTTTTTGCTTGAGAGCCTAGCGCCAGGGAGCTTCTCGGGAGCTCACATTTGTCTTGAGAGCTTGGTTACCCGGCTCCTGAGCCCCCTCCCAAAAAAGCAGTCAAGTGCCTACTAATTTGGTTAGACGCCCTCACCGAGGACCTCAAAGGCAAATGCACGAAAGGAGACAATATATTTCCAAGCAACTTGGCAATCAGGAATCATTACGAGTATATTGTGCTCCCTACTTTAGTCTACGAACTTGAGTATCCTCGATCCGACAAGATCAATTGGTATTACGTTGCTGAGAAGACAGCTGCGGTGTTCGGAGTCTTGGCTGTCATGAATCTCATTTCCCAAGCATTTATCTACCCCGTGGTAGTTAGAACTATCGAGATGAAGGATGCGGGCATGCTACTCCAAGAGCGTTTGGAGGAATTTCCCTGGATTCTTAGCGACCTAATCTTCCCCTTTATGATGGAATATATGATGGTGAGTACAATTCGTGATCCTATTCTATTTAAATTCACTGACATTTCTAGACTGTAAGAGTAACTCGCTTCCTGAATGTGTCTTGGTAGTGAATTGCATGGAAATGAAAGATTCGCTTAGCACCTCACCCCCTTTTCTCGCCCGAACCACGTTTGCAACTTGTCAAGTCATTTGCTAACTCAAAAAGTGGTATCTAATCTGGGAGTGTGTGCTTAACGTTCTTGCCGAGCTCACCTACTTCGCTGACCGCGGCTTCTACGCGGATTGGTGGAATAGCGTCTCCTGGGATCAATTCGCGAGGGATTGGAATCGTCCGTACGGAAACCTTTTCTTTGTACCATACCCCGATTCCACTATTTCACTGATCGGGACGATGAGACATCCTCGCGCCTCTGTCCTCCCGGACAAAGAGATTGCTAATTCGTTCTAGTGTGCACAACTTCCTTCTACGACACGTCTATCATTCCAGCATTTCTTCAATGAAAGTCAACAAATATACGGCCACAATCATCACGTTCTTCCTTAGCGCGTGTGTCCAGTAAGTTCAATCTTCAATTCCGGAAACAGCTGTGGCCCTCCACATCCGGGTTTCCACTGGAACATATTTTCTCTACCGCTCTTCGGGATGTGGGGAAATGGCTAATTTATCATCTGTTCAGTGAGCTAGTCATGTGGTGCTTGTTCAAGGTAAGCTTATTTCCATGCCGAACCGCTGTTTTTCTGTTTGAAAGCTCAGTGCCCCGATGCTTGCACGCACATTTGTCTTTGGAGCTCGGCTCCATAGGCCTGGGGTTCCCTCTTGTAGTTGAGGGATCGCACATGCTAATTTGGTGATAAGAAACTCCGGGGATACCTCTTATTTCTGCAAATGTCACAAATTCCATTGGTGCAATTAAGTCGTTCTAGATGGCTCAAAGGAAGGGCAACCTTAGGCAATCTCATCTTCTGGATAGGGATATTCACTGGCCCCAGTCTTTTATGCAGTCTCTACTTGATCATATAACGTTCACCTCGATAGACAGGTCGCAATACTGGCACTGGCTTTGATAAAGGAAAAGGAACGATATACCCCCGCTAGAACTTGGCAATCTTGATGCCCGGTCAGGAATATAATGCTCTGGCATCGTCGCCACTCATTCTGATCACGACAATCACTTCCTGACTATGGTGAAAGTTGAATATGCTCGTTGTGGAAAATCTCATCAATGGAGGCAAGCTCAATTTTCATTGAATGCTACCACAGATCAACACTCACCTAACGCCCCTGTCAAGTCCCCGATACAACCACGAACGCCGCCCCATAATCTAATCTATTTCCCCGTCTACCTCTGATTTTTTATTTCCATTCGTACGAAATTTCGATACCGTGACAATAGCCTAGAAAATCGACAAATCAGTAAACTCCTATCCCATATGTTTATGAACGTAGATCAAGCCGAGGAAGCTGGATTGAAATGTTTTAATAGTTATACTTGGACGGCAAGGTGCCGTAGAATCTGCAAAGGAAACTAAGAAGCGGTCGTGCTTACTGGGACATCATAAAATGGCTGACATCCTCATCAGCCCAATAACTTAAGTGCGATGCAATAGTACTGAGTTTGTCAGCTCATGGGGTGCTTTAGCGTAGAGGAGAAATCATACTTTATCGGATTGAAGTCCAAGACACTCTCTTGGATACAATAGTCGACTCTACCATTCTGATTCAAGGCTCTTACTTTGGCCTCTTCTCTCCGGAGCTTCTTGCCTTTTTCTTCGGCTTCGGACCATTCGTGCTGGGATGGGTGGTCGGTTTGGTGGCTCTTCCGCCGTTTTTGAAACCCAGCGTAGAGCGTCTCGATTTCGTCATCAATTAGTGTTGCAGCATTGGCACCAGAACCATCTCTATCCTTGGCGGCTGTATCTTCAGCAAGTTGTCTCATCTTCTCGTTTGTATTTTCTCTTTGAAGAGTGGGAATATCCGAGATAACTCCGCCGCCTGATATATTTGTCCCAGCTCCAACGGATTGCGATGTGCCTGTGTTTCGTGGTACATTTGGAGATTCCATTCGTGCAACATCGTCGCTTGTAAGACCGAGGCTGCGGTTCAACAGGCTGCTTGCGATGCCTGAACTCAGACTTGACCACAATCCACTTACGCTTTGCCCGACTTTGGCGCCAATGCCGGAAACACTTGCGGCAATTGTCTTTTTCGTATATGGAAGAAGTTGAGGTTTCATAGACGACATCGCTGGGGAGATAAGAGGCTCCAATCGGTAAGAAATGGGATCTGATGGGTGAAAGATATTGTAAAGTTGGGACAATTTCGGAGATGAAATGGTAAGAGGTAGCCCTACCATCGAATTAGCAATGTATTTCTTTGACGAGGAGAGAGCTGGGAACGAGCCGGGAGCAAGAAACATCCTCCCGACCAGTGAAATAAGGAGTTTGGCATATAGGACAAAGAAATAGGTTAGTTACCTGTAATGCTCGAAATGTTCTCACCTGCACAGGCCGGTGTGGAGGAAGCAGCCAAGAACGGATCCGCCATATATTCGGGATCCATAGGGGATTCAGCGGGCAGGGCATCCTCTCGAGAATGGCGGGCCAAGATGTTCCGTCCCTTTAACATTTGGAAAAGGCCTGATTAGTGTCATTAGCAGCAAATTTTCTTTGATAAATAGAATTTAGGCATAAAATATAAAGTGGCAGTACGGCCCAAACACATATAAAGGATATATTATTATTATTATTTTTGACAAGGAAACCTTGATAGATCTAACAACTCGAGAGTTGGTTGAAAAGAAGTGCACTATCAAGCATTGTAGAATTCATATCCAGTCATTCGCAATGTCTAGGACTTCTTAGAACATTCATGTTTTGTTTCCTGATCTTCCAGAAGATTGCTAAGAAACGAGACTGACACATACCAATGGGAGATCCTAGGCAATAGAAATCCTCCACTGCAAAGTCAAATTCCAAGTCCTTTAACTTAGACTTGTTGGTAGCTGGGCGCTGATTCTTATAGTGATTCTGGTGCGTGACTGAGGTGGGAATCTTCGGGGCTTCTTTCTGACGGCACAGAATATCGAACAGGATCGCCGATCCGAGCGAATGGCCTATGAGACTGACCTTGCCTTTGAATTCTGGGTTACGCTCCCGGAAGAGGTTGTAAATACGATTAGATTCAGCAAGAACGATGTTGCTTATGTGCTCCCGATATGCGCTTTGGTAGAGGAGTATGTCCAAAGCTAAGGAAGGACCAAGTTAACAAAACCCAAGTAGATCGATAAAAGCGTACCTACCTAAATCTGTAATTAGAGACCGCACAAAAGGTACGCCTTCAACGGTAATATCCTCTAGGCTTGGATATTCTTCTTCATCACCAAAGGCATCGCCAATGTCATGTTCCTTTCTAGCCTGGCGGACGCTTTTTTGGGGGAAATCCAGTAGATGACGCCAGCAGACTGGCAAGACTTGAATGCGGCAATTTTTAGGTAGTTTGTCAATCTCCGCGTTGAGGGCTTGAAGGTCTGCAGAGCTTTCATAAACGCTCTTGAGAGTTTGACGGAGCACATTCACATCGTGAACTGCCATCAGTTAGAATGCATTTTTCCTGGTAATGAAGAGTGGCTCGCGGCGGACAAAAGGCGGCACTAATTGTCCTATGCCCACTAGGACATTTCGACTACTTCCACTCCAAATGAACCCTCGAGTTCTCGTGATCCAAAGTCTACTTCTTCGAAAGTCTCTGAAGTTTTAGAATCAGAAAAGCAAAACCCTTGCACCTCCAAGTCCAGATATATGTTCTGCGTTGGCCAAGGGTAATAAAACCATTGCTGCTATTTGTATCCACCGCGAGAATGGGCTCATGAGCCGAGATGCCAAGCCCCGGAGACAAATGCGCGTGCAAGCTTCTTCAGGTTCTCGGATCTCAGATCTCATTGATGAAAAGAGGAAATTAGTATGAGATGAGCCTTACTAAAATTTACTGATTCGGTTCTGGAAACGATTGTCAGCACTGTTCTGCAAGTGAGGATTGTTTAAGACACTGACCTCATGCCTAACCGCTGGCCAATGCCATGGGTAACCAATATCAAATGCTCGATCTCTCTTCCTTGGTTCTCACCATTCCGGTCGTTGTAATCGTTCTGAATCTCCTTTTCGTCTCTTCTCCTTACGGCTTCTGCCTCGATATCCTCGTCACCTAGAGACGACATTACCGCAGTTGCTTGGTCTTCAGGGCCGGGTACTGGTCGGGATGTACTCGGGGGTGCAGATCTCCTTTTCAGGAGTCTCTGTTGGCGTTCATCGAGTTGCAAGGATGGAGGCATGTTGGATCCTTTAGTGGCTGCACTAGTAGGTGTCGACGGAGTTTTGTCAGCACCCGGTTCCTTGGCTTTTCCAGCATCATATCCACGGACGAGTTTGACACCACCTAAATAACCACCACCTGCAAACTTTTGATACACAGTTGATGAGACACGGCTCATGAGACTGTCTGCAGAAAGCCAAGCAACCGAGGGATTTTCATAGGTTACAGTGCTGTTCATCCAGGAACCGAAGAGCCGATAGGTTTGCGGTTGATGCTGAAGGGATGTCCCAGAAGGAACTGGGACATCCTTCAAAGCGTTTGTGGCATCGTCAGGTGCTTGCTGATTGGCCGCTCGTAGGGTTTCCACAGAGGCCTTGGGAGTAACCTCCCCAGAACCCGCTCGATTTCGACCAAAAGCCCCCGAAAAAGATAGAGATTTGGGATCTTCGCCCGGCTTCGTTGATGCTGGTCTAGAGGTGGGCTTCTCTGGAGCTTTGGGATACCGGAAAGGTTTGACTTTGAGATAACCCTAACCCCAGAATATCGGATTAGTATTGCCTTTGAAGGAAGTAGTTTTGAGTTGAGAGTGTCTCATGAGTAGTCTAGCCTGAGGGTAGCTGGGGAGTGAATTGCTTGCAGTACATGAGAAGGAGGAAATTATACCCCGAGAAATTCAGACTTACCTCCTCCAACTGAGCAGCCAAGTTCTCTTCGCAGGGCCGCAGAGTTGATCCTTCCTGAAAAAACCACGAGCCACGTCTCACTTCATAGATCGGACCAAGCCAAAAAACTACCGTCGAATCAGTATGGAAATTTTCTGCAGCTGAGGAGCCAAGATCCTAAGACAGACGGACATGCCGGCTCCCGCGAAGCCCCTGCGTTCTGAGCTCTCAATGAAGAAAACAGCAAAAGAGGATGAAAATAAACTTACCAGGAGCAAGTTCTCGTTGTTCAATATCCACTAGAACAAATTAGCTACATATTTGTTCGGGAAGCGGGGAGGAGGGAGGGAGCGGGGAGACTGAGACATCCCCCCGGCCAGTGAGATAGGAATGGGTCAAAAATGGGCTCTTTACCATCGAAGAGAAAGTCTTCGTGCACCGGAACTCGAATGTTTCCCCCGGCTCCCTCTTCATTCCCCGCTTCATTTATACTCGTATTTGTCTTCTTCCCAGCGGCAGACGGCGATTGCCCTCCGCTGGCATCGTCCTCTCCTTTGGATCGAAGGTCTTTACTCGGATCATCATATTCGTCTGCCAGCTTTTGGTACGCGGATTCAATTGAACTGGAATCATGTTCTGAGAATGTTACAAACTTCTTGGGTGGTGATGCAGGCTTTGTTTCCTCATGATGATTCTTCAGCAGTTTGGGTTTTCGTTTGGGAATCTATGTCTGAATCAGCAAGATCCTAAGTTAAAACTGGGGTAGCAAGCTCTACATCAACGGCGTAAAACCAACGAGCAGCCAACGGTGGACAATCCGGCGGATATCTCTTCGAGCTCAATCCATGCTTCCAGCTCTGTGTTGTATGATCTCCTCCCTGCTGGCTTCTCAAACCAGAAGCCTCTCTTGCAGCGGAGGGAGGTTTCGGAGTCGAAGAGCGGGTACCGCCCCATGGGGATATCGATTCTACTGCAGCTGAAAGATAGGATTTCTCGGGTTTCTCTGACTTGCTTTCGGGCGTGGGGTCCATTCTCTCCTTACCCCCCGCCACCTGGAAAGCCGTGGCAGATTTGAGCAGACCTGCAGGAAGAGACCGAGGCACGTTTCTGGCGTGCTGGGCCAAAAGGGATTTGAAATAGCCAACCGCCAATTTGACGGTTTTACTTCAATAACACGAAAGAACAAAGGAAAGCGATATGCATCGCAGCTCTGATCCGAAAATCATCAAGGCAGGTGCGTTGTGAAACAAGATCGAGGTCTGGCAGCAACTACCACTTCCACGCGCCACACTTGCAGGGCGAGCAATGACGATGTTGTAGTTCGACCCTGGCAAGCACGTGAAGTTTTCCACGTGGTTAATTTAAGTCGCTCCAGGCTACCTCGCGTGGAGAGAAAGGCGAACTAATTATCAATCTCCTCAGTTAAGCTGGACAATAAAGGAGGCCACTTCTAGAAATCCGTGGACAGTATGAGTTGGTAGACTTTGAATTTACATAAATCGAATGAACGTTCTTCCAACGAGAAGCGTCCGAAATGGTCCAAATTGACTTCGGACAATTGGCTGCTTTGTCTGTCCATGGTGACGCTGCCAAGTTGAGGACGGACTGTTAATGGAGCGGAGAAGTTCAGAATGGACAACGGGTGCATAGAAGACATAGTTGTCACTTCATGGAAGTATAAAAGACTGCGTAATGTGACCTGTGGAAGGGGATCTCAATCTTGGTATTGCTATGCTACGGAATTATTATGGGACTACCGCAGGAGGGAAAGGTCTTGAAGTTCACCACTTCTACCGCCAAGTTACTCGTCCGAATCGAATCGAAGGCCTAGGGGGAATGAATCTAGAAACACAGTTGTAAAATCAGGCATGAAGAGAAGAAAATACCAGCAGCCCTTAGCACAATCAACTTTTTTTCCGTCGCGCGTACGCCTCGAATAATAGACGAGCTGTTTACTCAGCGATGTCCCTACTCAGCTGTGTCTAATTCATCGTGCGCAGGAGGAGGAGAATCCATGGCAACTGCCATTTGGTTATCAGCGAGTTTAGTTCTTCGTGCGACTCGGAAGTATAAATTCACCTTTCCTATCTTCGCCGTTGGTGCCGTTCTCTCGAACTTCCTCACGATCACGGTCTCGCTCGTCCTTGATATCACGGTCCCTGGAATAAGAATGTTAGTGACTGGGACTAGAGACTCGCAGCATAACTCTCACCTGTCATCAGGACTGCGGGAGCGGTCGCCTCGGTCTCGACGATCGTAGTCTCGGTCACGGTCCCGGCGGTCATCCTTGCGAGGAGAGAAGTTACCTCGGCCACGTCGAGGAGATGGAGAGCGGCGACTGCGAGGAGAACGACGTCCAGTTGGACGGTCGCGCTCACGGCCGGTATCAAAGCGCCAAGATGCAGAGGGAGGAGTTCTGGCCCACTATCGATGGTTAGCATTAGAAGACGATGAGGCATATCTGGGTCATACCTCAATCTTCAAGACGTCGTCACGGTCGAGACGCTTGTTATGCATTTCGTGATACGCATCATCCGCATCACGGCGACTCTCATACTCAACGAAGGCGAACCTACTTTAAGTGTCAACGACATTAGAGTTGACTTCAAGACGTTACGGGATAAACTCACAGACGACTGGCAGCAGTTCGAGGTGCTGGGATGTCACAACGAACGAGGCGACCATATCTGCAGGAGTTCGTGTTAGATTGTTCTGTTGCAATGGGAGGGTAAGGATATAGGAAGATATCAAAAGATTGGAGGAAGTTAAGAAGCTAGAAAGCTCGATCCGCCGCATTTCGGACTTTTCGCACGAAGGCAAAAGTGAAGGCAATATTCGTGTCATTGTGCGACCGCTCGATCGAACGAGGAATGGGGAGGAGGTATAACGCGCAGGGAGGCAGGAGACGAGTAAAGGTGACAGCGAAGTCTCGACGAGGAGGACGAGGAGGGACGAGGATAGAGGGTGGATGGATCATCGCACTCGAGGACGATCATCGAAATATCGACGTTTGGCTGACATACCGTTCGAATTCGTATGCTAGGTCGCGAGCGCGTGTGCCGGGTCCAAAGCCCTATAGCAGAGACAGTTAGTTGCGTTCTTTCGTGCTTCATGCGGTCGACTGCGAGCTCACAGTAACGTAGAGAGTGGTCCCGCCGCGCGACATCTTGATGATGGCTGCCGCACTGGACTTTCAATGAGAAAGGGGTCGAGTAGTCAAGTCAAAGAAGAGCTGAGGTCTCAGGGGCAGATTGAGAACTCGGTTGTTGTACAAGTTGATAAAGTTGCGGTGGAAAGTTGTGGTTGCTCTGAAGCTGCTATGATGTAGAAAAGTCCGGAGAGATCGACGCTAAGTCCCAACCTGTACTAGTCGGATCATGTCACATGACCAGATAAGTTGAACTGTCCTGTCCGCACCTGAAAGTCGCTGTTTGTTCCAACAATCTGCAGGTCCAGGTTGCAATACATCTACTAGGGTTTGATTTGTTCCAACATGTCAGCCAGCTTGACACAGGCCAATGACTGCGTGCGAAACTGTATTTACTCCTGTCTGATACATGTCTTTGAGAAATCTATGATGCCCCTTTTTGGTTCACCCAGAAGGTACAGTGCAAGGAAAGGTCTACCCTCTTTCTACAAGCCTGCATGCGCCCGCTCCCAATGCCTATCCAAATATACCAACCAATCATTTCATGCCATCATTTACAAAGCGTTCTGCTTGGATTGACCTCTCAGTAAAACCAGAGCGGGAAACGTTGGGATCGTCTACGAAACGTCAAGTTCCGACCGAGGAGATAGGACTATTACAGGTCTTGCGGCTCTGCTCTAAGGGTGAGCAAGAAGTCTCTGGTGACCTCAAAGCTAAGCCAACTACTCGCCATGCTTGGGGCGACCTTTAGTAGGTTGGGGACAATGCCTTTGTACATGCCCTTGACGCCTTCTTGAGCAATGATAACTCTGACTGCATCAAAAATCGATTTGTACTGATATCCCATTCCAGACATTGTATTGATTTGGAATCGACGCCGAAGAACATCACTAGGTTGTGTTAGTATAGATGCTTGGTGGCTGGACATAAACTAGATTAGGCATACAAGGGGTATGTGCATGTCTGAGCGACCGCTCCTGAGATAGCACCTGCAGCAAGCTTCCGGACCGCACTTGGGTTTTTGTCTCCTTCCGGGGTGAGGTACTTGCGTACAAGCTCATAAGTCATGAAGTTCAGGCCCACCTAGTTTTGACTGTTAGTCATGTTCTCGACAATGGAGCAAGCGTAACTGACATAAGGTGCAACACCAGCCACCGTAGGGATTATGCCCCGATACAAGGCAAGTATTCCGCCTTCAGTCTTGTACATGGTAATCAAAGTTCCCCACATGCCCGGAAGTTTTGTTCTTGGTCCCTGGCCAAGCGCGGCGAAAGATGCCGACTGGATGGAAAGCCGTGTTCGGACAATGTCCAGGGGATAGGTGAAGAACACAGATGTGATGCCGGCCGCTCCACCACAGATCAAGCGCCGAAGAGAAGTGAGGTCTGCACCGGGAGTCGGCTCAAAGAACTGCAGCAATGTTAGTGTTGATACTTGTAAAAATTCTTTGTAGATACCGGCCGAGGAAATGCCCAGAATAACTGCTACATCGCGTTGAACTGTCTTCAAAACGGTCGGCTATCATGCTCACCTTCTTATAGAAATTATAGCTTCCAAACTGCACTGCGGAATACGGCACAATTCGGATGCAATTGGTGCCATTGCCTCGCATGAACCCTCGCCATCCCTCGTCCTTCCACATCTTCGCCAGGCCCTTTCCCACGGAGAGCTTGTATTCTTCCCGGCCAACGCTTTGTATTTGGAAGAGAATCTTTAGTCTTTCGAGAGGCGACACCACAGTCCGCGACACAGCTCCTGCCACTCCTCCAGCACAAAAAGCCGCGAACACCGGCTGCGCGATCATCTCACGCAGCTGTAATACTTTCGGTCCATATTTTGGCTTGAGAGTTTCACTCTCAGGCTGCGATGGGTATTGAATTAGCATTGGCAGAGGAATGAGATGGGGTGAACTCACAGCAGACATTCCGAGTCAAGGTACGAGCTATGCAACCCAGGGCTGGAAGCTCAACGCGTATGATCCCAGCGCATGCGAGCTGGACCGGCTCTTCCAGCGATGACAGAAGAATTGCGCCGATTCAGGGATGAGGTATCATTTGCGATTTGTAGATGTGCGGCTTTCTTCCACTTGCAGATCTTGCCCAAGGCACGGTTTGGTGGGAAGTGCTGGTGCCGCTGGTGAGGCTTCGACTAGTCTGATGCCAGAGCCGACGAAACAACAGGATCGAGCAGAGGTCTTGGAGGGATCAATTTAGGGTCCATTCAAGGAACATCGAGGAGCGGTTGGAAGACGTGGGCTAGGAGCGAGTGGGGAGGTTGGAGCAGGTGAATTGTTTGATAAAGGTGCTTCGGTCATGGGGGAGGTTCCTGAGGTCAAAATTTGATGGATGTCGCGCCAAGCGAACTTGAAGTCAGACCTGAATCTGGCCACAGGCAATAATCACTGGGAATAGTGGCGAATCATCATCGGTGGCTGGCTCGCTTTCCGGTTACAAATGGGATGGGATTCTCAGGGACGTCTCTCTGCATTCACTTTGGGAAGGTATTTGGCAGTCTTGAGACCGTAGAGAAGTGATTTATCCGCTAGTTGCTGTCTCTTATACTTGACCAAGCCTCTTCTAGCAAGAATCGCGATCAAAGGATTGGTCATATCTAGAAAAGGATATTTCGCAGTATAAGTCACAACAATACTACCTATGTCGTGATACCACAATGGTTGTTGCACTGAAGGTCCCGAACTGAACGCTCAGATCGTTGTCAAAAAGACGGATATGAATGATGTACGAGGTTAGAACCACACCAAGGGTCAAGCCTAACCGTTCCTCAATATCCAAGAGACTGGGAGATAAAATGGGGCAAAAGTTACCATCCTGAAGGACTGGGATCCAGTGCGGTGGTAATGAGATGCAGGTGGTTCTCAAGGACCTCGAGTCTCTCGTATGCTTTTCCAAATCTCTCGGAAAAGTCAGCAAAAGGAGCTAGCACTAAATTGGACTAGCATCTCCCACACTGCCCAAATCCAAAATCCGCGAGATATTTACATTTTCAAGTCAACCACAACGTCGACAGCGCAACAATGGGTATGTCCTATCCTCGCCTTCGTATGCAAGTGGCGGTCTTGTATCTCTGCGTAGATGACCGAAATTCAAAAACAAACTGACGATGAGGTTCTCACTACAGGTATCGATCTCGACGCTCATCACGTTCGCAGCACGCACCGCAAGGCGCCTAAGAGTGACAATGTCTACCTTAAGCTGCTGGTGAAGCTGTACCGCTTCCTGGCCCGTAAGTACCTGAGCATTGGACAAGCCCTCTTCTAGATACACTGACCCTCGAACAATAGGTCGAACCGAGTCATCCTTCAACAAGGTCGTTCTCCGCCGACTCTTCATGTCCCGTATCAACCGACCTCCGGTCTCGATCTCCCGAATTGCTGCGAACACCTCCGAGAAGTCCAACAACAAGACCGTTGTCGTTATTGGTACAGTCACCGATGACAACCGCCTCCTGACTGTTCCCAAGCTCAGTGTTGCCGCTCTTCGATTCACTGCGACCGCTCGTGCGCGTATCCTCGCTGCAGGTGGAGAGGCGTTGACTTTGGATCAATTGGCCTTGAGAGCTCCTACCGGAAGCAACACCCTCCTCCTCAGAGGACCCAAGAACGCCAGAGAGGCTGTCAAGCACTTCGGCTTTGGACCCCACAAGCACAAGGTAAATCTCTCTATATGCTTGATGGGACCTTCGCTTATCACAATCTTAGAAACCATATGTTGAGTCCAAGGGTCGTAAGTTCGAGAAGGCTCGTGGACGTAGGCGGTCAAGAGGTTTCAAGGTCTAAATCTGATGACTCGGGAGATGTTGGTGTTGACGATTGGCTTTGGCTGGACAAGACATCTGGAGATGTGATGGGCTTTGATGATGTCCTTGCGATATGCATGGCAAGGTGTGGCGTTGTGCTTTACCTGGCATGAACAAAATGGGAAGAACAAAATGCAAACATTGAAGAATCAACAATTCTTCCGTTTGATTGATGACATAGATCGAACCTTCGGCCATGAATTTGAATACACCGTTGAACAATAAATGATATTAAATAATTGACAAGAGGCCTTGACGTCAAGCACGGAGCCTGTCTTTAGCATTTTGCTGCTATGGTTTCGCATGGTCTGCACTCGCTCAGGAAGCATACCTAACTACTGCAAAATTCCAGAAGTCGAGGTTTATGAAAGCAGTTTTCATTAAGTAACCTCATTTGAATCACTAGCACTCGAATCCTCAACATCAACTTTCCTCCACAGTGCCACAAAATACGCCTCTTTGGATTCCTGCCAAGAGTTTAGTTCATATCAATGTGTCCCCCTTCTCAAAAGTTAAGCCTACACTTCTTGAAGATTCCGGCTTTTCCCTGTGCACGGTTCTAAACATCTTCTTCAACTCCCTTTCAAAATCCTTATCCTCGGCGCCTTGGTAAAATTTGCAAATGAAGTGGCCACCGGTTCGAAGGGTATCGTGAGCGAAATGCAATGCTGCCGCACAGAGGTCCTGGATGGGAATATCAATTTCGTGCTCCTGCAATAAGTTGCCCATTCACATACCATACTTCCAGCATGGTCTCTGAAGGTAATGCCGCTCGTGTTCATCATCCTATAAGGATTACTTAGAGTTCTCTTCCAGAAACCGGTAGTCTGTTCCCAGGGTTCGGACATATCACTCAAAATAACATCCACCGTCTTTCCCAGATCTTGAGCTTTCTTGCCCCTCTTGTTAAGTGTGCTACCTCCTTCTGGCGGATCGTCCGCATGTCGTTCGAGGTCTATATAGCTACGATCCTCTTCAATTACCGCCTCTGTGACCCCAGTGTCTTCATGCATTAAAAATAATTGTTGCTTGGGCCGTCCTCGACCAGGATCTGAGAGGAATCGCTTCACCTCCTCTTGTACTCCCACAGATAGGAAGTTGCCTTGTATCGTTGACACGCCTTTGGGTGGTTGCGCAGGAATAATATCGATGCCGAGGATTCTGCCATTGGGCTTTGTCCGTTCTACCGCGACCTGAGTGGGGTGTAAGCTGTGTTGAGATGAATTGAGATGAAAACAAAACCTGTGACCAACTTCCTGGTGCATAGCCCTAAGAAGAGTCAGCTCCTCGACCAAAGAGAGGTGGCTAGACGGGACGGACAAGATCAACAACGGTCTGGCCTTTTTTAAACAGTTTGTACTTTGCATCAATCTACTACGTCAGCAGAGACCTGTACCCACAAAAGGAGACCGGATACCTCTAGCAACTTGAAAGCAGCTCTGCTCTTCAGTCCTTGGACCTTCGCTTCTCGTGCATACGAGTCTCTGCCTTGTCTGCTCTTCCATCTTGTCGAAGAGGAAGAATTCCGTGGATGTGAGCATAGAGTTTGCAATTGGCTACGAAATTGACGAGATGGTACTAGATTTCTCCATGGCCGTGGCATGCAAGCTCTGGAACAGTCTCCAAAGATTGCCCACGAAGCGGTTTGCGAATGCATGTAGCCAGTTTCACTGAAGGAAGAGCAACAATTGACTGCATTGAACGGAGACTTGGAAAACGCGAGGTGGTCCGTGCTCAAATTATTCCAGGAGTCGCATTTCAATTCATTCCCATGTAAACGACTCCACAAGTAAACTAAAAGATACAACACAAGCCAACGCCGCCATGCCATCCATTTCCCCAGACCTGAACAGATTGCATATCCTAAGATGGTCACCGAATTCCTCAGACTAGAAAACTAGCCCCAACGCCTCTACGATCTTTCTTCAATGGTGAAAAGCCTCCAAATCCACTGACAGTATCGAGTCCTCCCTTCAGACCACCTTTAGGACCAGCCAAACCGCCTTTGCCCAGTAATCTCGGGGGGCCTAGAGAAACCTTTGCCGGCCGCTTCGTGGCTTCTCCATCTTCCTCATCGAACAAAGTCCTGCCTCCACCAAGGAGTTTTCGTTTCTTTTTCTTCGGGCCACTCTCTTCGGCATCAACATTTTTCAATTGCACTTGGCCTGCTTTAAAAAGCATCGGCGCCCCGGCCCCCTTTGCTGCAGCAGGAATAAATTCTTTCATCTCATTCTCATCCCCTTCCTCCTCACCGACTTTCTCCAAAGTGCTCAACACCCGAGGTTTCTTTGCAGGTGCCTTCTTGTTCTTATTGCTGGCCTTGGCTTCCCCGAGGACTTTACTTTCTGTTACTGGTGCATTTTCTACAACCTTCTTCCTGCGTGGTTTAGGAACAGCTGCCGGTGCCGGATCTGCCCGGCTCGTGGGTGGCTGTTCTCGAACGACCTCCGCTGTTGGCTCGCCTGTGACCTTTCGTTGTTCCTTTTCTAGAGCTTCAGGCTCCATCTCCTCGCCAGGAGTTTGGGGGGCCATGCTGATAGTACGATTGAGGAATGGCGTGATAGAGAACATCGATTTCTCTCCTACCATCATTTGGTCCATCCGTCCCCTTTTCGCTACTGGCCGCTTCCCTCGCATAGCCACTCCGTCCGGAGTACCAATCTCCACATCGGTGCTCATCTCCAAGGCGCCTCTCTTCTGTGGATTTTTAACTGCAGCATCTCCCTTCGATGCCGCAGGCCCAGCCTTCACTACTACTGCTCGGGCCTGGCTCAGCTCGGTCTGGCATTCCTTGAGCTGGTCCTTGGTCGCCCGCAGCTTCATTCTCAATTGATCCAGCTTGCTTTCAAGGACAGAAATTCGCGTCTCCGCAGATTTCAGTTCCTTCTCGGCCTCCTTGCAAGCCTTTTCCCCATCTCGTCTCTCTCGGGCCAAGTCCCTCTGCAACTCTTCCAATCGATCCTGGACGTCAGTCTCGGTCTCCTTTCGATTCTTTTCTCTGGCCCTCTTCTCCTGTGCGAGCTCTCTCTGCAGTTCTTCGACCTGGCATTGGTGCTCCAACTCCACTTCTTTGCGTGCCTTTTCGCGTTCCCTCTTTTCGCGAGCGAGGTCTTTCTGTAGCTGGTCCAATTGGTTTTGAAGTTCGATTTCTGCATCACTATTGCGACTCTTTTGTGCAGCTCGTTTCGATGCTCGTTTCTCGGTTTCGAGTTCAACTTCCAAGGTACTGACTTGACGTTGCAAAGCCAATTTCTCCGCCAGGACAGTGTGCTGATATGATGCTTGGGAGCGAAGATGTTCAAGCTCCGGTTTTAGCGTTGCGAGTTCGCGTACCAGGGACAGTTTCTCAGTAAGTATCTTTGTTGTGTCTGTGGTGATCCCGTTCATAGAAGCTAGCTCAGCCTAGGAGTGTCAATGTATGTTCCACCTCTGACAGAGTGCCACCAACCTTCAGATTCTGCAATTCCCGTGTCTGTGTCCTAAGCTCAGCCTCCCGTTGGCAAACATCTTCCTGCGCTTGTCCCAACTGGCCTCGTAGTTCCTCGCTCTCTTGTTCCAGGACATCAATTCGGTCATCCTCTAGGGCAAGTTGTTCGTGAAGATCGTCATTCTCGTTCTCCAGCATGAGGATCCGCAGCCGTAGTCGTCGCGCCCCTTCATCTTTAATAATGATGTCGGTGTTGCGCAAAGTCTCTTGATACGCCATTTCTAAGCTCTGAGCCCTTGAAAGATGCTGTTGCGCTGTTAGCACAACAGAAGCGAGCCAATATTGGTAGGATCTTACGCTTTCGATGTGCTCATCATCATTGTAGCTAATTGAGGAGTCCATTGCTGTGAATTGAATTGATGTCGTTACGTAGGGCTTTGACCCGTAGAAATGGCGTTGCGTGAAAGTAAACAAACATCGGGCGAGCACGTGCGCAGCTAAGAACGGAACCCTAAGGCATCAGGCATCAGGCATAGGTGCCTGGCGTGGCCGCGGCTGCAGAGGACAACGAACAGCTTCCTCAAGTAATTGCGCCGACTTTCAACCCACATTCATTGGAGTTGTCAACCAGCATTGTGCTCCTCCTCTCTCTTTTTTACAATGCATTTCTTGAAGGGGTTGGTTCTGTCCTTATTACCTGCTGCGGCGATTGCAGCGAAAAAACCTGCTGTCGATAAATTCCAGCAGTTCCATTCGAAGGCCCTATCCTCGTCGCCTTTGAAGCTCGACGACTCCATTTACGGTCAATTGACATCCGCCCCGAGGGACTACTCTGTTGCCGTACTGCTGACAGCTCTGGAATCGAGGTTCGGATGTCAATTATGTCGTGAATTCCAGCCTGAGTGGGATTTGTTGTCCAAGAGTTGGACCAAAGGAGACAAGAAGGGAGAATCACGGCTCGTCTTTGGAACACTTGATTTCACTGACGGCAAGAACACCTTCCAATCTGTCAGTATTGGAAGGACTATCCTGCTTGAGCATAGCTAACACACCCCAGCTGGGTCTCCAAACAGCTCCAGTTCTTCTCCTTTTCCAACCAACTCATGGACCACATGCCGTCGCAGACAGTGCCCCGCTGAGATACGACTTCACGAATGGGTAAAGCCTTGCTTCAATGATTCAAGATATTTATCCTAATGCTTTTCTAGACCCCAATCTGCTGAGCAGGTTCACTCCTGGGTTGCCCGTCATCTTAACGGCCGCCCTCACCCAGAAATACATCGACCCATCAATTGGGTCCGAGTGATCGCGTTCACCACGACTATACTCGGCACGCTTACATTTCTAAGTGTTGCTGGCCCGTATCTTCTGCCCATCATTCAGAATCGCAATCTTTGGGCGGGGATTAGCTTAATTGCTATCCTTCTCTTCACAAGTGGCCATATGTTCAACCACATCCGAAAAGTCCCATACGTTGCCGGTGATGGACGGGGCGGTGTGAGTTATTTTGCTGGGGGTTTTTCAAATCAATACGGCTTGGAAACCCAAATCGTTGCAGCCATGTGTAGGTTTCTCCGGTCTCTAAATAGGAGCTCTGACTAACAAACCGTTCAGACGGGCTTCTCTCATTTGCCACCATCTCACTAGCACTGAAGGTTCCACGCATCTCGGACCCTCGAACCCAACAACTCGCAGTCATAATCTGGGGAGGCGTGATCTTTCTCATGTACAGTTTCCTGCTCAGCGTTTTCAGGATCAAGAACGGCGGTTACCCCTTCTGGCTGCCACCTTTCTCGTAGATGAGTGGGTGACCCTTCTGGGGTCTGGAGTCGAGTTCACTTTTGAAGAGGTATATAAAAGCAATCAAGCCCCTGTATCATAGTCTGGTGGTCGGCGCATCTGAATTTAAAGCCATTTTGTCTGGTAATCAGCACTTCATCTCTAAGTTCTCAATCCACATCGAGTCCTGTGATGTTCCCCGACTTTTTGTGATGGAGCCATTTCAAGGCGGGTCTTTGGAAAACCTTAATGGGCCTCACTATCGAAAGTTGATCGAGTCAAGTGAGTTGTTTCTTCACGCCTCTCGAGCTTCCAAAGATATCTCAACTGATCGAGATTTTATCATTGAAAAGAGACCGGGCAAGGAGAACATAACGTTCCTGAGCGACATAACTGATTGGTTGAGCTCCCTTTAACAATATCACAAATCACCACATCGGACTATTATAAAAAGACGGAGTGAGGTGATGTATAGTAGGAGGTGAGACTGGTCCGCGATATCGCACACGCTGGCCCCGTAATTGATGGCAATAGGAGACCTGGGCGATCACTGAGCGTCTTTGTCACCCCATCTTCGCGGTACCGCCCATCTTCAGTCTTGTCGGGATCTACTAGTTCGACAAATAGTCTATGGCCTTCCATAAACGTTTCCTCTCGAATAATTTCCAAACGCTAGACACTCCTGAAGACTGCGTAGTGCTTTGGAAGCAGTCTTCTTGCTCTGACCCTCGACAGTGATACTTCCAACTCGAACTGCGCTGTCATTGGTGTTGAAAATAACACCGTTTCCATCTTCGACATACATCACGGGATGCCATGTTTTGGCTACCTTGGATGCCACAACAAAGAGAGGAGCCACAGAATGCATCTCGTTTGGTTTTTCGGCACTCGCTCCAGGTCTATGCTCCCCACTCTCGGTCCAGGTTATTTTTGGCTTTTCGACTAAAGTGATATCTTCGAATATTAGACGCTTCGTCGTCTTTGCGTCAATCCATACATTCGTCCACAGACGCCCTAGAGCACGATAGTGTCGGTAGATTCTGTCTCCTTCCCAAGCAAGGAAATCAATTTTTCTATCTTCAGGGGTAATCTTGGTCGCGTGTGTTTTCCTGTGTCCCAGGGAATCGCATCTGTCACCTTGAATGGTGAAGAGTCCAACATTTAGGAGAGGCGGAATAAACACCCGGTCTCGCAGTCCTTGAACCAGCAAGCTCGCTGCCTTTGGCGAGATAAATTCAAGAAGTTCATGGTAGTTACAGTGTTCCCAGTTAGGTACCGAAAGAAATGGATCTGGCGTCTGGGCAAGAATGATGCCACGGTCGAATGATTTGTCATCCAGGGTTTGGAGTGTAACTCCAGTTTTTTGGGCATCTGACAGAATCGTGTGCTGCAAGGGTGCTGGGCCGCGAAACCTACTAAATGAGCCGCCTGATCATAAGTGTAGTTCTGGACTGCTCACAATGGGAGAAGTGACGGGTGGACATTCAAGCCTCCGTACTCGGCACATTTCAGAATCCTGGGAGGCACAAACAAGCCAAAGGAAACGGCGATAATGAGATTTATAGACTCTCCCTGGGGCTTCGGTAACTGACTTTGATCAGAAAGCATCCAAAATTTAAATAGATAAATACTGACGTCCCATCCTGTAAACGTGTCCCTCTCATGGACCGCAAGTGACAGCTCCTGCGCGACGGCTTTGATTGGGACTAATGACAGTCAATACGGGCAGCTCTCCGCCGCTGACATCTTCAATACCTTCTCTGATGTTCTTTAGAGATCTCCCAGAAGGCTTGCCGGGACGACAGAGCACATCAATAGACTTGATGAGCTGAGGGTTCCGTTCACGTTCAGCATCGAGTGCCCGGAGAGAGGCACTGCTGAAATCATCCGACCCGCAGAAAAGGATCCGGAGAGGCTTGGACGACTTTGTGCTGTAGGACCTGGTGGTCTCGTATAGCACGAGTAGGGAAGGGCGTGGTATCTTGACAGAGCATCGAAGCATGAGCCAGGAAACCATTGCTTCTCTAGATTAGTCCCACCGAGCGAATCTGATCGTACCCAACCTTCAAGTCATGCCATTACGGGTCTGATTGGTCGGGGAGGATAGCTTAGGCAAGCCAAGGTACTTAGATTCGAATTTTGCGCCTTCAAGAGGAGCCTGAAGCGAGTCAACATTAAATCATAGCAGACTGCGGGAAAGGGTTTTAAGAGGAAGAAAAGGGGGCTAACCCGGAGTTTTCCTCTAGCACAGGAAGGAAGAATACAACAACACAAGGGCTCCCCAGCTTGAGAAGTCCCCTGCGTCCTTGATGGAACAGGCAAGTAGGCGTGACTCGGGCAGGGCAGGGCAGGTTCGTGCACTGGACACGACCCACGTGACGGTTGGTGAGACTCGGTGTTTCTGAGGAAAGGGGAAAGGTTTCGCTTCTCAAATTGCGGGTCCCTGCAAGCGCATCTTCTGCACTTCCCATCCAGCGCAGCAGCCAGGAAAGAAAACAAAGCGTCCACTAACTCGCGCCTTCTCTCTGTTCACTATCATCGTCTTCCTTTCCGTCGTGTCCGTCACTCCCGCAGCGGCGGCACTACCAAGCATGCCTTTCCTGCCGGCCTGTCCATTGCCTTCCTAGAACCCGTCTGTCTCCGTCTCTTCTCGAAATGCCATGTCGCTTTCCTCCGACCAGCCCCAGGCCCCAAAGGTCGTCCCAGCCCAATTGGGATTCTTGGCCATCTACAACCCCTCGCTGGGCACCACCGATGAAACTCTACAAAACCAGATTGTTTACTACTCCTCGTCCGAAGCCCGCCATCGAAGTAGGCAGAAGGCGTCCCCGAAGCCCAGTGACGAGGCTCTGCGGGAGGAGAATAACGAACAGCTGAGGCAGATTGGGCTCGCCCAGGCCATGGTTGAGTTTGGCAGAAGTTTCTCGGAAGGCAGAGCAGTAGACACAGTGGAGACCGAGAAGTCGCGCATTGTTTTACATGAGCTTGAAGCTGGATGGTGGATTCTGGCTGTTTGTGAGAGCATCTTTCAGAAATACTCCCGACTAATTGTTTCTAGTCAATCAACCTGACAGTGCTCCCAACCACATCAAGGACTCCTGCTGGAAAAGGCCGAGTTACTGAGCACCAAGAAGCAACCGAATACTCATCTCGCGAAGTCAAACCTGCGATATTGCTCCTAGGGGATCTTTTACGAGCACATTCTACTTTCCTATTGCATCATGCCTCCTCCATGAGCGCCCTTTTCGTGCGCACGCGCAGATCAAAGTTTGTCGGTATTCTTGGCCGTTACTGGGATACATTTCTCTCAATATGGAACGTTCTCATGCATGGCAATCCGGCAAACAGCCTCTATGGGGGAATAAAAGTTGCAGCTTGTGGAGAGCTTGGTATGGGAGTGGGTGAAGAGGAAAGGGGTAGCGGTGAGCGTGAAGTTCTAGAAGGATTTGTTGGCCGAATAGAAGGACTTGTTGATGTGATCGTGTCCCGATTTGGGGACCTCGAATCCGTTAATGATCCTGGCACTGATAGCAGCAAGAAAGAACTACCCCGTCCCAAGCCTACCTCACCGTGGCTTGGTTCCGGTACTGAACCCGGCGCAGAGGACGGTGTCGTATTTCTTGGTACTGGAGCCGTATCACGGAAATCCCTCCGGGACATTTCGCATTGGGTCGAGGACCTCTATAGATGGGGCCCGTATGCGTATGGGGTTCTGGATAACCCGACCTCAACTCGCAAGCCCAAGAAGTCAAAGCAAAAACAACCTGGCAACAAGAGAGAATTATCCCCCAATACGAGGAAGAAATCTAAACAAGTGTATGGGCTGGCAATGCGTGACAAAGCGCCTCAAAATGAGAGCCTATCTTTCGAGGGTCCATTGACCACGATGCCTCCCATGCCAATGAGAGACGGCGATTCCCCCAACAGCCCCAAATCCAACATAAGACGGCCTTCGTTCCACCGTGGACCATCCAGCTTCACAAGCACTGGCAGTGAGTCGAGCAAGACCAACAAATTTGTCTCCTATTTAAAATTCGGATATGGAACACACTGGGCTCTTGGTGGGACATCCTCGAAGAATGAAGGAATTGCTGCTCCTACTGCAGCCCCTATCCCCAAAGCAACCGCTCGACCCCCGGGCAATTCCCTGCCTGAGGCTGTTTTTGATGGGTCATTTGAGACGTCTTTGATTCCACGCAATGACTCCTCTGGCCATTATATGATTGGCCTCATGGGTGATATTGAGAACGAAGATGGCGAGACTTCAGAGGCGGAGCCCCAAATCCCGAATGATCACGCAAATTCGGAGGAATACAACGCAAGATTAGTCTTGCGAACTCTGACTGTCGAACTAGAGCGAGAAGAAGATGCTCGCGCAGAGACAGAAATAAGTATCGACCTTGGTCAAAACGAGCAACGGCCACCGTCCTCTAAACTTGCCGGATCAGAGCATACTGGGACGTCCAATGCATCGTTCGAGAGCCAAGATCGAAACAAAACCAAAAATCTCAGAGTCGTTGTCTACGTGAATAGGCCATTCATTTTTGTTTTCTTGTTTGAACTGAGAACAGATGCCTTGGCTCTTTCCAGTTTCTACCGCTCTCTCCACTATCAAATTGGCCCGCTGCACAAACCACTACTTAATTCGACAACATACAGGGCGTCCAAACCAGACGTTACCCCCGCTGATGGCTCTACCACTCCAATATATGACCTTGTTTGGGATCCGAAACTGTTGACCATCAACTCGACGATCCCTAATATCCCAGAGCCGCTTCAGCTGCAATTGCAATCAGTTGAGGTGTTACCATGGTCTCGTATCGAAGCTTTGAACACCCATATGCAGATTATCAATACGTATATCGCTAGCAGCACAGACAGAGGCAAACTTGAGCGTACTTGCAAGACGAGCCGAGGATGGTGGGTTGTCTGGACAAGAGTTCCGGATCCTGAGCCATCTACAGCATCCCTTACTTCTGGTCAGGTCAAGATTCCTGGTCTCATTGCCAAAAATAGTGCCGAAACTCAAACATCATCTCTAGGCCCTGGACCTGGGACTGGGGCATCTCGGGGAACCAGTACATTCATGAGTGCCACTTCAGCTGCTCATCCTTTCCTCGAGGCCGTGTCCAATGGCTATGGATTTGTTCCAAAGGACAAGGAAATTTTCTTGATACGGCGAGCAAGTGATTATGTGGCAAGCAAAGCGGCGGTCAGGTTTGCAAGCGGTTCTTCTGCGGGAGTGTCGGATGCGAGTTGGACTTCAAGTGGTCCAGGAAAGCTGGCCCAGGGGATTGGTGTCGATACAAAGAGATATATTGAGGCCTTGCTGAACCTGAATCGATAGACCAACAAAGTTTATTTGTTCATCCAGTTCAGATTCCTGTTCGGGTACCACTTATAAAGATAGGAACTTGCCCCAATGAAATTTGCAATAAATCAAGCGACTTTATGAGTGGATGCTTTTCAGGTGACATATTCAGCGAGCCTCAACCGAGGTCCCACCATTCTCTGGAGCCGGGGCCAACTATGAGTAGGACAAGTGTTAGCTTAATGCTTACCCCTGTTTGCCGGAAGTTTCAAGATTCCACCTCGCGGTACAGCAGGGTTAACGATGAGTAGTAAATAATACATAAATCAGCATGATGTATGTGTGTCAAGGCTGCCAACTGGACGAGTTTGTGGCCAATGTCATTTCTTGTGAACTGCATATACCGTGTTTGTGATCGTACTGACGATTAGTTTGGGAAAGGAATTAGCTCGGAACAAGCAAGTATGCGCATCCTCGAAAACCTTTTATTCCTCTTGATGATCTGCCTCTGCAATACATCCAGATTCCATTATTTCATCTCCCCTTTCTCCTGATCAAGTAACACCAACCAGCGTTTAGCCCATAGCGAGTTCATGTATATTTAAGGATGGTTTCTACTGAGGATCTCAGAGCTGAGAAGCTCTTCTCTGTCAAGGTTTCGTCTGCGTTGTGACTGGAGGTGGTGCGGGCATTGGTTTATTGTGAGTTCATCAATCAAATGCTAGTGGTGCCAGACTCATAATTCAGGGCGACGCAGTCTTTGGCAGCGAATGGAGCCCGAGTGCATATCACTAGCCGACGTATGGAAGTTCTTAAAAAGGCTACAAAGGCACATTCTCCCGCCCAGAGAGGAGAAATCATCCCGTAAGTTTCTCTTCTCAGCCACAGGCTTGAGTCGATTATTGAATGAGCTCAGAGTACAGTAGGGCCTTGTGACGTAACGAAGGAAGAAGAGCTCGAGGATCTGGTAGTCCAGATTAGCAAGAAGGAAAAGTAAGATTACATCAATCTTCTTATAACGAATGCTGGGATTTCTGGTCCAAAGGCGGAACCTGAGAGTGAAAAAACCTCGGAGTTGAAGGAGAGACTATTTAACGGAGAAACAGTCTCCGAATGGTCCGACACGTTCAACACTAATGTGTGAGCTATATACGTAGGTTCATTAACCCTACCGTTGAACTGTAAAGTGCTGACCTGCAGGTTTACAACTGTTGCCTTCCTTCCCTTGTTGCAAGCTGGAGAAGAGAGTCACGGCGATCTCTCGGCCTCCGTGATTGTCATTTCCTCCATGTCTGGAATTATGCGCTATAGGTAGTGGGAAAACCCCCTTTTACCCTTCTTAATATTCACGATCATTTTCCGAATACATCTATTCAAGCAGTTGCTTACTCTCCTTGCATACATGCCCAGGGACATTTCAGCTATAACGCAGCGAAAGGATCGACAGTCCATCTTTCTAAATTGATGTCTTATGAGTTCAAGAAAGCAGGAATACGAGTGAACAGCATTGCGTATGTGTCTTTCTCTGAGCGCGAAGCTCTTCCTTCAGAACCTCTTGGAAGTTATTCCATGCCTAAGACCCAGCGGAGAGAAAAGCACTATTCCGATTATAAATTGCTCCTCTTTGTGTCCTGCTAACTCCGGAATCATAGGCCTGGCTACTTCCCCCCCGGGATGACGACGAAAGAGAGTGATGAGAATCAGAAAGAGTTCACTGCCGCAGGAGAAGATCAAGGGAAAAGGTCATGTTCCTGCACAACGGTCCGGGTCTGATAAAGAGATGACACAGGGCGTGATATTTTTGGCAAAGAACAATTACGTTAATGGGGGAACCATTGCGATCGAGGGAGGAGTGCTTCTTGAACAAGAAGTCCCGGGCAGGTGAATGAACGTGGAGCCTCGAAGGATTGTATTACATCTGTTAAGACTATGCCTCTAACTTATCGACCTTTCCCTAGAAAGGCAAAAAAGCAAGATATCAAGCGCAAAGGGAGTTGTGCTAGAGAAAACCCTCATATATCCAGTAACCAGCAATGCGAAAATCTGATTGCCTTGTTCTCATCTACTTCCCTAGCAAACGCCGGAGACCTATGTTCTATATCATGCAGAACGGCACGGCACGGCGGCCTCGGATGTCCTCTATCAATAACTCCAGCCCAAAATCAAATAACTACAGCTGGAACTCGTTGTTCAGAAGTCTGACTTCCTCGCCCGGCTTAAAAGCGAAAGCTGGCATCCCAATATACGGGCAACCATCACACCGAAATGCATCTCCCAAGCTGCAATTTCCACAAGATCCAACCTTGCCTTGAACAGTGAAGTCTACCTCAGCAAGGTCATCGACGCCAAGTTTAAGGGTCTTGAGCTGGGCATCAGCATTTGACCGCTTGGCTGCGTCTTCGGCTGCAATCTTCTCGGCGAGTCCACAGGTGCAGTCCTTGCATGCTCGACGACGCTTACCAACTCTTGGGGCACACTCCGGAGCTGATTTGACCATTAGCTCAAAAGAAAGGAAAGCCCTACAAGATCGAACACTTACGAATGTTCACGGGTCTCTTGAGATCTTCCTCTGTAAGCAATGTATCCTCATCAATAAGATCGTCGTCATCGTCTTCTCCGGTAATCATGGGATCTCCAAAATCGTCACTGAAATCAACAAATCCAATACCTACGGGCTTGCTCGGGGCCATATCAACGCCCTTCCGCTTGCCATTCAGTTGAACTGCCGCCGTCGCCACCGGAGGCCCTGCACTGGAAACCACGCCGTTCTTCTCCTTCCTCCGTAGACGTAAAGGCACCGCATCACTCGCACCATAATCTGGCTTGGCCATTCCACTACCGTCAACGATCAAACCAGCTAGGATTCCTTCTTGACGCTCTGGCGCCGTTACACCTTGTCCAAAGGTTCCATCCTGTGCCTGTAACTTGCCGCCTGCCTTCAGAGCTTGTGCAATTCTGCCGAGGACATCGCGGCCAAGCAATTGAGAGGACTCGGTCCGCGTTCCGTCAGCGTCAGTGAGGATGAGGATTAGGTCGTAGGTGGAATCGGGGAGGGTGACAAGGCCAGCCGAGAGGCGGTCGAGCATTTGCAAGTCGGTGACAGATCTGTTGTGTGAGGCTAGGACATTGCGCAGGTTCTCTTCGTGGCTGGAGATGGACGGCGGCGCGAGGAGGAGAGTTCTGGGGTGAGAGGGAGAGGGGGGGGCCTCTGTTGATGCATGCATCGGGGTGAAATCGGAGTCATTGTCAATGATGACGGAGGGTGCCATTTTCACAGACAAACTGTGTGTTTGTTTGGGGTTGTTCTTGAGTTCTTGATGGGGACTGGGTGCAGAGTTGGGTGAGCTCGACTGCGTGGTGGGGGCTCAGTCGCCTGCGCATGCAAAGCAAAGCAAAGCAAAGGGGATTGATGAAGATCACCAAATTTGTTTGACGCGGAGATGCCAGTGGTCAGTGGTTGGGGGTCGAGGGTCGGCGGTCGGGGTCAGTGTCAGTCTGGTGAGTGGTCCCTGATGTCCCGTCGGCGAGAATTCTTCAGCTCAGCTAATCTGCTCAGCTCAGCAGGCGGGGCAAGGGCGGGGCAAGGGCGGGGCGAGGGCGACTGCCGGACTGGAGCGATGACGCCCGCCCCACTTATTTGCGGAGTGGAGGGGCAACGGGCTCAGGAGTCAGGTGACCAGGTCGCAAGCAGTGCAGCAAGGCAGAGAGTTCTAATTGGGAGAGAGGATGATGATCAATCGAGGGTGTGCGAGGAGTGATAAGTACAAGTACAGCTAGCGCACCTCGCTAAGGAAGGCAGCGAGGCACATTTCCCACGGAGGCGGGACAGGCAGCCCAGAGCAGTTGCTTCCCCAGATTTCGAGGGAAGGGAAGGGAGGAAGGGAGGGGGAGCGGAGGGAAGAGAGGCGGAGGGAGGGGGAGGGAGGTAGGGCACGCAAGCAGAAACGGAACGACGTATAGCTTGCTGAGCATATAGTAGCACTGTACTTGCAACAACAGAACACCACTGCAATTGATCAGGCGCTCTGGCGTCACCTCAGGGGCTGCTGCTGCTCCAGCTGCTCGCGTGGCGGGGTGATCGCGTGACATTTGTGGCCCCATTAGGGCGGGGCGGCGTTCCATCTGCATCCATCCCATCGCCAATCCTTACATTCGCTCTCCCTTACTGTACAGACCTCGTCTGCTTCCACCTCCACACCTCCCACCTCCAACCCCATCCAATCCAACATCATCTCCCTCAATCATAAAACACCAACAAACACCGAACAACTTTCATCCATCTCCCTTCTCACGCTCTCAAGCTCTCAATTCCCACATCAATCCGCAATCAGTGAGTCGCTCCAAACCTGCTTCTCATCTTTACCCCTCCTCCTCCTCCTCCTCCTCCTCGTCAGCTTCCGTCCCTTGCTTCCGTCTTCCACCTTTCCAATGAGTGTACAATACCACTTCAATGGCCGTTTCCGTCATCACAGCTGCTGTTTGAACGTCTGCTAATGTAATGACAGTGGGCAAGACCAACAAGTTCAATGACCGCGGTATGGGAACCCCTAGGCTACCTTCTGTCGACTCTCACCTCGCGTCCTTCACTCACATCCTCCCAAATGCCCCCAGCACGCCCCATCCATCCCCAAACGTCTTCCCTTGATACTTAAACCAGCCTTGGCGGCCTACAAATTGCTGACTGAAGACTTGTAGACCACGCTGGCTTGGCTGATGGTACTGCCGCTGCTACTGAAGTGAGCTCTCCTAACCCCTCCTCCCACATTTCGTCCTCATTCGTGTCTAAAAGCAAGTCTAACTGAGGTCACCACAGCATCTCCCTCGTTACTTTGCAAAGGCAGGTCACGTCGATGCCGATCCCAAGAAGACCAAGAAGAATGGTGCCGGAAAGGGAGGCTGGTGTGTAACCCTATCCCCTATCTTACAATGTGGAAACACGGCTGATGCCTCACAAAGGGGTGTCGATGGCGAGGAAGTCCAGGACGAGGGCTTCAATCTTGCCAATGCACGCCGCCGCTCCAATAGCAGCAGCTACACGGCCGGCTTGAAGGATTTCAAGACCAAGTTCGAGCAGGTTGAGCAAGAGCCCGTCTTCGAGGAGGAACTCCACGGCCCAGGAGAAGACTTCGAAGAGCTCCCCGAGACTCGACGTGTTAATACCGAGAGCTCCGATGGCAGCATCGATGAGGATGACAAGGCCAAGAGCGTTTAGGTTGGGGATAACCGATCCAGAAGTAGTCGCTGCTATATCACTGTGGGATATCAGGCAGACGTATGGTGTTGTCTGCTGGCGGATAGCAGAATAACTTCTGAATCAGGCATCGTTCGCCGATGACAATTTGCTGGCATATGACCAGGTGTACTTTAGCTTTTCAAAGGCATAGAAGGATTGCCCAGTATTTTACAGTTTCCCAATGACTTGTGCTGAAGATTAATGGATATCGAATAACCCCTTACGCCTTACGATTGTTTTCGGCATGGTTCGTCGTGAAGACTGTCGGTCTATTTATCCACGCGTACTGGACGTTGGCAGATGTCAAGGTGCCGGCAGCTCTAGCTCTCGCTCTCGCTCAATTGAAAGTCACCTGCCCGAGGTCCTGATCCACCCCACATCCCACCCTGCAACCATTCACGCAAACAGGCCAAATAGAGAAAGGGGACTTTCGAAGAGGGCTTCACAAACATGCCTTACTCTCTCAAGGGTCGAAATGTCCTGGTAACGGGGGGTTCGCGGTAAGATTTTGGCAACTTAACCAGGCACAAGCGCCCCTGCCATCGATCTATGGTGCTGGTTCCTGACCAGTAGCTTCGTCGCCCCCTTTTCGTACTGCGCCAACACAAGTACCGTAGCTGACTTACATCATAGTGGACTTGGTGTGTGACCTCATCTGCTATTTCCTATCCCATATATCTCGCGAGCTCTCCATGCCGAAGTTGACGTTTCTCGATTTGCACTGCTCGTGACACAAGCCGTCCACCGCATATTCTCCCGTGGGTATTGCTAACTGTGTGACCCTGGCAGGTGAACTCATCTGCTTCAAGTTCGCTGACGAAGGATGCAATGTGGCCATCAACTATAAATCCAGTGCCGACAAAGCCGCAGCAGTTGCCAAGAAGGTTGAGCAGGATTACGGGGTGAGGGCTTTCACCATTCAAGGCGTAAGTAAAGCGAGTCCCGCGGCTTTCCCCTCGTAATTGGTAGCTTGATCTGGCTAACTTCAATAACAGGACATGTGAGTTCAGCACACAATGTTCCACTTCTCTTCGTGTAATATGCCGCAAGCTTATGAGACTGTAAACCAGAGCAGGAAATGCTGACCTTAGGTTTGATTAGGGGACTCCAGAAAGACTGTGCCCACGTTGTAGAGGAATCTATTTTCAAGCTAGGAGGGCTTGATGTCATCATCTCGAACGCTGTTGGAAGCCCCATCTCGAAGATCCGTTCCGAAGCTGACACCCAGAAGGGCTACACCAGGTTTTCGAACTTCGGGGATCTAAATGACTCAACTGTGGAGGACTGGGACCTTTGCTACGCAGTCAACGTCAAGTCTCATGTCTTTCTGATGCGTGAGGCACTCGCCACTTTCAATGCTAATCCAGACGGTGGCGTATTCATCATCACTTCCAGCATAGCAGGCAGGATACCAGTCAGTCTACGACCAATATTTGAAAGAAAAATTTTTTTTTTGATGGGAGTCGAGAGCCTGGAGTTTGTGGCAAGGGCCATTGTGACTCCTTTATTCTTGTGCATCAAGAATAAAGAAGGCTTTGAAGCTCCTGGCTTATTCGAAACTTCCTCGGCTCTTACTGTGCTAATAATCTGGCTAGGGTGGTAGCAGCATGCCGTACTCAGTCACCAAGGCAGCTCAATTGCACCTCATGCGCTGTCTAGCAGGCACTCAGGGCCCCAAAATCAGGGTCAACGCTGTCTTACCAGGATTCTTGAGTACTGAATGGGTCAGTATACTTGTAATTACCTTCTCAAAGCGTGAAGTAATACTCATTCCACCAGGGAGAGAGGTACGGGCCAGACAGGATCAAGGACATGCGAGAGAAAGCCTATCTCAGGCAAGACGTCAGTTACTTGGAGATCCATCCAGTGCAGTATCTGATTCTGTATCCAGACCGACCTCGATGATGCAGCCCAGGCTTTCATCGATATTACCAAGAATACGTCAATGACTGGGCAGAGGATTCAAGTTGGTAGGTTCTCTCGATACACTGTCAACCGTGCGTCCACTGACTCCATATGAAGACTCGGGTCTTGGTCAAAATGATTAGCTGGGTGCCACTCATCGTTGAAAGTTAATGAATGGCACTGTGCACGACAATTTCTTGCGTGGAGCCATTTAGCTAAATCAGATGATTGGACTTCTTTTTGCAGTTTTTTTTGAGTGTTTTGAAGAACTTCTACAAATCCATCAGCATCTGAATATCACGTCCCCATAGAAGAAATAGGCGGCGGCACAACGGAAAGACCAAGTCAATGCTCTCGGTCCTCGCACCACGCTGAAAGCCTTCACCCAATTGCTTGACTTGACCAAGTGAAAGACTACTTATTTGAGCAGAGACTCGCTTCTACCCTTCATGAACTATCTGCGAATTACACTACCAGAGCTGAAAACAAGCACAGTAATACGGTCAAGACTATTGAAGCATGACACTTCAGTTCCGGACAATGCCAGAAGCCTGGCCTCCATCTTCCTCGAGTTCTCGGGCCCTAGTCAACGGTACTGTTAGTAATTGTTTGATACAGATTGTTTCGTGAGAACTGGGACACTGTCTGAAAAGAAAATCATGGGACAGCCAGAAACAGAATCGGGATCGATCGCCTACAATTCAGTATCCAAGTGTTGAGTCTCAGCCCGCAACTTTTCGGCTTCAATCCTCAAATTCTCAGCCTCTTCTTCTAGTTTCGTGGCCAAATCTAGGTCTTTCAATCTCTGCCTCTCACCAACACCTCGAACCGTAGCAGCCGTGCGCAGCTCCATGGCTCGACTATCTTTTGACTTTGCGGCCTGCTCCATCTGAAGCGCTTGTGCATGTATCTTTTCTGCACTGTAAGATATTGGCGCTGGGTGCGTCATGCCGTTGGGGACGCAGATCCGACCAGGGGCATACGGCAGCGCCTGAGTAAAAGGCCAGCCGCCATGCATCGCCTTCATGCCTGGCCGACCAGGTCGGCCAAAGCCAAAGCCAAAGCCAAAGGAAGGACTTTGAACTGAGGGCACAGAAGCTGCCCTGGCCAAGGGAATGCCAGGTGTAGCTGGGGCTAGTATGGGAGGTGCTGGAGGCAGCACCGTGTTGGCGGGAGTCTGTAGAGGTGGCTGATTCGCCATAAAGGAGCGCGGAACAGCCATCCAGGGAGGCCCTCTCCCTCCACCGTCACAATGTCTCTCGGCCATCTTACCTCCTCGACGCACTTCTCTCCGAGCAGCCTGGCGTTCTTTCTTTTCGAGTCGCCTAGAGGCTCGCCGTTCGCGTCGCGTCGCTTTCCTTTGCCTCTTTCGAGTCTTTCGATTCTCCTTCATTGATTTCAACAAATCCTTTACCTCACTCCGCATCCTTTTGAGATCTTGGTCAGGGAGTTGCGGCGATGACGGCTGCCTTTTGGCAGCCTTAATGTCCCTTCGAACATTCTGAACGAATTCTCTAGTTATTGGCTGTTCTGGGTGATTTAGCCATTCCATTAACGACTGTTTTATGATTGGCAATTGTTGATCTGAAAGGTCATCGTGCTCTAGAAGAGAACCAACTGACGAATCCGAATCTGAAGAGCTACTGCTAGGGGAACTGGATGCCGACGAAGACCGGTCTCTTCGATGTTGCCCGTGCGAAAATGACTGGCCTCCGTGGTGGCCATGTCGGCGACCATGATGTCCCCATCCCCTTGCGTGATCATCATCAGATTCTCTCCTCCCGAATGGCTTGCCACAAGGGCTTGCTCCATTTCGATCTTTGACGAAACCTCGCAAGCCTCCAAGCCTAAACCCATGTTGATCACTTACGAGGATGTTACCCAAGCGAAGTCCTTCGTTGTTCGCCTACGGCATGTTAGTGGGCCATGCTCGTGAGACTAGATGCAAAGGTAGAGGCCAGAAATGAAAAAAGTCCTGAAAAGTTGCACATGCGCCAAAATTGTCCCGGGACTTCCCAGGACAAGATTTAACATAGCGACTCCTTTAATTTCTGCCAGGTCAAACTAAAGAATCCAACCAGTGAGGGCGTGAAAGAGCATCTTACTACAAGGCTTTTGCCAATTCGAAAACCTTCATTATTTGCCTGTTGGAAATGAGTATGGCCAGTGATGCAAGGAGTTGAGCTTTGACTGACGACGATGGGTCCCATCCGAAAGCCTTGGGGCCCGGCATCGATAAAAGGAAAGCCGCCGAGGCCGAGAAAGCCTTGGCGATTGTTCCTTGAGGATTCTTGCCGCATCTCTTCCCCCGGAGGAATGTATGAGTATGAGCTTCGTCCTGTCTCCTCTCGGGCGGCTCTCTCAGCGACTTGATCAACGGTACTGATCAGTATTTTTCGGGGCCTGAAAAACCCTCTGTTCCATTCTAAAATCGTAGGCTCCACCATTTCTGACCTTTCCGTGGTGTTGGATATCTGTTGCCGTAAGTGTAGTAGCTGAGCGTTAATTTCGCTGCCGTCGGACCTTGGTCGCTCGCTTTGGTTGAGGCCAAGCTGATGCATGCCTTCGACAAGCTCCGCCCGAAGCTTCCGATCTACAACATCGTTATTTGCCTCAGCTGCATGATCCGGAAGCAAATAGTTGACAAATGTAGCCCACTGAACATTGGCGCAGTCAGCAATTTCCATTTCAGAGAGCTTCAGAGTATAACTGAGCGAAATGGATTGATTAAAATATTATTGGATGAGCTAAGAGTATCATAAAACGACGAGGAAAGATTTGAGAACCCAGTTTATCCTTACATCCTGAGCAGTGCAATCCTTTGCGAGGAAAGCTGGGGAGTACTTAAGGTCCTTTGGTGCTGTTGTTGCCGTGATTGCTATCCTGTGAATCTCTAGGGTGCCAGATACTGGGGTGCGTGGAGGAGGCCTTGATTCGAAGTAAGCGGCGGCAGAAGAAGAGGCGAGGTCAAAGTCATCTCCAAGCGTCTGGCTTCGATGGACGCTCGCTGTAGGGGAGTAGGAAGGGGTATAAATAGTTTCGTCAACCGACGAACTTGGAGATCCCAATGGATTGCGTGCCTGGGGTATCGCACCACTCAGGGTCCCTGTGTCACTTTCCGAGTAGGGGGGTGGTGGAAATTGTGGGATATAATCATGTTCCATTTTGGAGCGTTGGAAGCTAGCCTGAACGACCAGGAGGAAGGTCAAACTACGGGAGGAGGATCTCTCAGAGGATGGCCCTGGAGGTTGGTCGGGCGATTGATATATTTACTGATGCTTGAATGAGAATGGATGGGGTGGTGCTGGAGCAATATCGGAAGCCAAGAGGGAAAGATGTACGAGCCACGGCGTAGTGTCAACGTTAAGCCCGCCTCGAGTCGCAGATACAAATGCGAGGGACGCGGAGGGGGGGACGCGGATGGAGATGGAGATGGAGAAGAACTACAAATGAAGTAGTAGATAAGGAGAGCTTGGAATATAATATAATATTCGGCCAGGAGGAGTGAGGTGGTTCAGCCCAGCCCAGCCTGCAAGGGTGCTTCGCAAGGCCACCAATGAGAGATGTTCGTCCTCTGCGAGATGACGACGCTTCGCAAGGCAGCGACCAGAGCATCGACGACGACCGGGAACTTAAGATATGGTGCGAAGTACATTAACACTGCCCAATCGCTTCGAGAAACAGAAAGACAAGCATAAGGTAACAAAGCACATGCCAACGTTAGGCATTATGGTACAGTGTAGAGACCTGCGCGGATAGTGTGACACTCGAATCTAGAATAGACAAGGTTACAGGTGCTCCTTATATAGATGAGAAGTTGAATTGGAAGCTTCGAGCACTCTTACAGCAATAACTAAGAACTGCTGGTGCCTGTACTGCACAATTAGCAGGCTTTAGAGCAGGCTTAAGCACAATCGGCCTTCTCTCAATCTATATGGTGCACAAGCCCGGAATGGTGGATGTCCAGGTCAACGCCGGGTGAGCAGAACCACCCCACGTAGTGGCGCTCAGAGATCGATTCGGACCTGTCTCGACCTGTCTCGACCTGCCATCTCGCGTCAAAACGGACTTTCCGCGTATGAGAAGCACCCAGCCAAAAAGCATTGAACTGTGAATTAGTCCCGACGCTGCTTGATGATGCTGGAGGGGGCTCGGATTTGCGTTGAAACCTGCATCCTTGAACTTCCTTCAAAATTGCAGTTCTGGCTTGTGAAAGTTGATATCTTCTGGTTTGTAATGGTCCGCAACGATCCTGTACAGGTACGATGGTGCATGTGCACCGCTGGAAACATCTTGTAAGCATGATGAAGAGGGAAAAGGGCCTAGGTATCTTACAGATTGGTGATGTACAAGTCAACCAGATCAGGAGGTACGTAGTCGTAAACCGGGTTATCAACCTCCAGGTGATCAACCAAAGCACCTTCTCCATAGCCTATGATGTTCCCAGGGTCTCCGTATTCTATCAATGATTCAAATTCAAAGGGATACTCTGGGCTCAGTTTGTAGACCCCGCTAACAACGATCACAGGTGTTCTATGCACCTTCGCTGCCTTGGCAATGATTCGGGCGCCAGCAGCTGCTATCAATCCACCGTTTGCAATTACAGCATGAGTTGCCAAAATGACTTTGTTGACCCTCGACATAATCGCAAAAATAGTTGCATCGGTCATGAGGATAACGGTGATGCCGGCAGCGGAGAGTGGTTTCAAGAACGTTTCCGTACTCATCTCGTCGCCCTCGACATCTGGGCTAACCTTCCCAGTCACTGCTGCATGGGTTGCTTCGTGGTCGTTTGGATACGACTCGGCAACAATGACAGTGAATCTCCTTTTCTCGGCGGCCTTCAGTAAGAACTTCTGGACACTTAGTGACGAGGAGTGGATCAGTATGACTTCGTTTGAATGGATGTGCTCCTGGGCATATGCTGCAATCTGGTCATCAACCTGATCAAGCTCGTCGATAATCTCCTCAATCCCGCTTATGACCTCAGCTTTGAGATCTCTTGTAGTAATTACTATTCTCTGCGCTAGAGAACTCGCGCTGATTGTGGATTTTCCGTGGGGAGAACTAGTATGCGGAGGGGTTGAAGAAGGTGTTGGGGTAGCAGAAAGCAGGTTGAACATAGACTGCTGGACTGGGACACCATTTAAGACGGCATAAGACGTATGGGAGGTCAATAATGGTGGCCGGGATGTGGGTTGTGATCTCCCTCCAAACACATCATCTCCGCTTGCCTCGCTCAAAGTCGAAGCGTCCGTCGAGACAAAGCGAAGGGGGCTGGAGGATGTCGCTCCTCCCTCCGTTCGGAAGGATCCAGACTCGCTGCGCTCACGCCTAGGCGAGCCTAGTTGGCTTGTAGACGTAGAATCGCTAGCATCTTCGGTTCGGTCTTCCTTGGCTTCATCCCTGATCATACCTAGAACTCGGCGTACAATGTTTCCCACCACCATCTCCCTGGGTTGCGCCTCTACGAGCCTTTGGCCGACCTCCTGTATCCGCTCAAGGAGGTTCCCAATATCCGTCCACCTAAACTTTGCCACTACTTGGAGCAAGAGATGGGCAGTTGCTATTGCACATGGCCGAGAGTTTCGGATCTGCCTTCGTTTGAGAAGCCTGCCAAGCGTCAGTCACTGGGAGACAGGCAATTTGTGGCTGCACAGACGAAATCAGGTTTTCAATCGATGATTCCAAAGGGGCAGTCTTGAGGGACTTGAGAAAAATGCCCAAGTTTGGCGCATAGCCAGCTTGAAGTGATGGCATCGTGGCCACGCTTTGGGGGGCTCTCCCGCGTCAATTGGGGATCCCTTGTTCAGTGTGCCTGTGTAACTTTTTTTAAGTAAACACCGCGCAGAGTAGATGCTTTGGCAGGGGGGTTGTGGAGCGCATGCTTACTATGGTCCGACCTTTGTCAATCGCGTCTGCTGATGTGGATTGGGGTGTGGGATTGTGCTATGGAGGTCGCGGTGTGATGTTGTGCTGGTTCTACTTACTGTGAGAAGATGACTCCTCCAAAGTTGTCGTGGATTTTTGGCGACAGGGAAGCAACGCACGAGGCTGAAAACCGGCGCCGCCGCTTACTCGAGGCGGGCAAGTGATCCTTGCAACTTCGGCTCAACACCATAACAATCCGATTCAATCCAATCCAATCCAATCCAGCACCGTAATAACCAAACAGTTCTATGTTCTTGCGCGAGCCCATCCGACTCCTGCAGTCGCAGCTTCTTCTGCCATCCGCCCATATCCTTTTCCTAAACCCGCCCTCTCTGCTCCCCCCTCGCGTGGCTTCCTTGTAAGGCCGCAGAACCTCACCTCACGTCGCCCCAGGTCGCAACGAAGACAACTCTACGATATTGTCCCAGACAAGTTTCTCGTGCGTTCAGCCTTCGAGCAGATACTGTGCGCACGGTGTCCAAAGTCCTGGAGCCGCGGGCCCCTTTTCTGGCTCTCTCACCTCATAATAACATCAATAGAAGTTACTGAGAGGCCTTCCTTCATGGCTGGGATAGAACGATGAACTCTTTGAATATCCTCTCGGCACGAGTGTCACCGCCACAGACTCCAGCACCTTCGCGAAGTAATTCTTATGGCAATATCCTCGCGTCCGCTACCGTGACGGAGTCGAGAAGGAACTCGCGAGGAGCCATATTCAGCGAGAATGCGGATGATGCGGGAGACACTCCAGAACCAGACGATGTGGATGATAGTATAGTCCAAAAAGAAACGCCCCTCCTGCACAGGGAGAGCAATCAGCAGTTGGGTTCAGACAAAACCTGGTGGCTCATCATCCCGAAGAGGATATCTTTCGTCCTCATAGGTTCGATCCGCTGGATTTTTTCGACATTGGCTGCCCCTGGCGTGTACTTGATAGCATGTCTGTATGATGAGAGGGGAACATTTGGCCCGTTTTCGCAGCTGCGAAAGTTTGGGGCCTCGTTTTCTGGTACTGGAAGACGAGCTTCCGCTGCCGATGATGTTCTCATCTCTAGTGCAGACAGTGCAGGCTTGTTGGGAGATCCAAATAACGGTAGGAGTGCATTTGGGAGGCGAGGATCGTCGAAATCAATGAGAGGGCTCTCGTCGAACTCGTCCTCGTCCGGAATGTCGTCCGAGTCTGAATCCGACCGAGATCGCTCTATGAACGATGGCGAGAAGCTAGATTCATCATCATCAAGTCGCCATACCCGCTCAAAGTCATTGCAGGGTTCCGACGAGATTGCCCCGGCCAGACGATCTATTCGAATCAAACTTCATAATGAAGATAGTCTGCGGCAACGAAAGCATAGGAAAGCTCAGTCAACAAACACCCAAAGCAATGGTTCTGGTGCTATTGCTATTGCTACTGGCGAGATATCTCCGGCTACACTGAAATCGCCAACTTCTCCGGCTGCGTCTATGCTTATGACCAAATATCCTCGTGCACCAGCGCCCCCGAGACCACTCATACCTCGCCGTCAGCCTTCTTACACCCTTCCAGACGCACCCAGCGCCAGACTTACGCAGAAGACTCTCATTCTTGATCTTGATGAGACTTTAATCCACAGCATGGCAAAGGGTGGCCGGATGAGTACCGGGCATATGGTGGAAGTGAAACTCAGCACGCTCGTGGGAGCTGGCGGTGGTCCAACACTCGGCCCTCAGCACCCCATTCTTTACTATGTTCACAAGCGGCCTCATTGCGATGACTTCCTCCGACGAGTGAGTATTTTTACCCCTAATGTGAACGATCCTGATGAATTACAGATCTGTAAATGGTACAACCTTGTTATTTTCACTGCTTCCGTCCAAGAATACGCAGATCCCGTAATCGATTGGTTGGAACAGGAACGCAAGTTCTTCTCAGGTCGATATTACCGCCAACATTGTACATTCCGACACGGTGCCTTCATAAAAGATTTGAGCTCTGTTGAACCAGACCTCAGTAAAGTTATGATATTGGACAACAGCCCCCTGAGTTACATGTTTCACCAAGGCAAGTATAACATCCATGGTCAGCCATCACGTACTAATTGCTGCAAGACAATGCAATACCGATAGAAGGTTGGATTAATGATCCCACAGATAACGATCTTCTGCACTTGGTGCCGCTGTTGGAAGGCCTGCAGTATGTGACAGATGTTCGGGCCTTTCTCGCGCTTCGGGGTGGCGAGGATGGGAAGCATATAGCTTAAGACACACCTGTTGCATAATCTCCCCCTTCGACCACTGTGATTTGAATCTTTGAGGTGGAAACGTCGAGGCTACTGCCCATCTGCGTCGATACTCTGCAGCGATTCCTTTCCAAGCAGGCAACGAAGCAAGCCATGTCCTCTCTTTTACTCTTTGACAGCTCTCGACCCTTCAAGCTTCATGCGATCCGACTTGGTTGTAAGTCAAAATCCAACGCCGAGCCGAATCAGTGCTCCTGAGCCACGTTCTCCCCTTGAACCGTAAATCTGAGACTCTCTGCTTCCGCAAGGCCGTACGCTACTGGACCGGACCATCGTAGGGTTTCTCGTTTTTATTTAACTTGCATGTCGTATTTTTGTCCCTATCTTGCCATTCGGCTGACCATTGAAACCCCAAACAAGGGTTCACATCAACCCAAGTTGCAAGTTGCAACCAACTGTACCGCCAACAGAGGCGTTCTGTTGAAACAAAAAACAACTAAACTCAACAATTTAGACAAGTTTAGCTGCGTTTATCGGACCCATTTGCTGGGAGGCCGATGGGCCTGCACTGTGGAAGGACGCATTGACAATGTGAGTTGAGCTCGCCGTGCAACTACCACAACGAGCTGTTCTGATAACGGATAACCAATAACCAGATGGGACGCTGATTGGAATATGATTCGTGGTCTGGGTATCCCCAGAAGCATGTCTTTTAGTTAGCAGAGTTGCTTGATCAATTGATCAAAAGGCTAGTTCACCACAATCCCTTGCTAGTACTTGTTATTCGGGAAGCATATTAGGATCTGACCAGATGTCTGAGCGTGTGTTTCATGCATGAGCGCCCCAGTGGATCGTTGTCGGTTGCATTCGGGAGAGAGTTCCCAAAACTACCATCATCGTTAAGGAACCCTCAACTCTTCATTTTCGCGACATGGACCTTGCTGTTTCTTGGTCTCCGATGGTCCCGTCTTTTGCAGTGTTTCTTTTCGTTGGGTTCGCTCTATGATGCCGCTGAAGGACGCCCTCCAGTGACGGAGTCCATTGCCAACAATAGCAACCCCGAGGAGATTACCGTAGAGCGCGAGCCAGCAAGCTCAGGCACTACAGCAGCGGCGCACATGTTCTTCTCTTGCTTGTATTCCAGCAAGGCCACGGTGGAGGCACAGACATTCTAAATCTGTTGCGGGTACTGAGGCCATTGTACAGGGCCTCAGAAATCGATCTTCTACAAGTCTCTGGAAAAACTTTGCGAAATACTTGGCATATATATTTTCATGACGGTTGTAACTAATGGGTCTGACTAAGGTTAACCATACTGAGGCCATTAGCGGGCTAGCGGACAAAACCGAGAAGCGAAAAGTGATTTTCTGATTTTTTGATTTTCGCACCCGTACCCCCCTACCACACCTCACTAAAAAAAAAGTATAGTATATATGCCTTATTCTCGACTACTTCTAATTCCCCCTTAGCTTATATAGTCCGTAAGGCAAATTCCATAAATTACGAGATATATCTTCCTTATTATTTATATTATTTATATTATTTATATTATTTATATTATTTATATTATTTATATTATTTATATTATTTATATTATTTATATTATTTATATTATTATTTATATTATTTATATTATTTATATTATTTATATTATTTATATTATTTATATTATTTATATTATTTATATTATTTATATTATTTATATTACTCGAATTATTTATATTTTCTTTATTTTCTTTTTTAATATTTTTATTCTTTTTCTTTATTATAATTTCTTTTTCCTTTTTTCTTTATCTTTTAATTCTATATTTATTTTCTATATTTTATAAATAATTAAGGCTTTAATATAAAAGATTTTGTAAATATAAAATAAGATTTTCTAAATTTAATAGAATTAATATTAAATTAATAAAAAGTATAAATCTTATTATTATTATTATATTTATAATTTATATAAGTATTATAATATTTAAAAGGGCCTTTTAATCTTTTCTTATTATTATAAGTAATATAAACTTAAAAGAATTTAATTTTATAAGTATATATTAAGCTTACTTTTAGATTTGCTTTATTTTTCTTTAATTTTTTTAGCTTCTTATTCTAATATAGCTTTATTTCTTTAATTTTAGCCTTATTATTAATTTGCTTTATTATTTTAGTATTATTATAAAAAATAAATAAAAATATAAATATAAAAAAATAAAAATTATATATAAAATAAAAGTTAAAAAATAAATAAGTTTATTAATTAAATATATTAATAAAGAAAAATATTATAAACTAAGTTTAAATTATTATAAAATATATTATAAAATATATATTTATTTATATTTTTTTTATTACTTTTATTTTTATTAAAGCTATTATTTAAAGCTATATTTAATATATTTTAATAAAATAAAGCTTTAATAATAGTATTATATATTAAAATTAAAGCTAATATAGCTATATTTTTATTATTTATTTTTAAAATATAAAAATATTTATTTAATATAATTATTTAAATTCAAATAAATTTATAATAAATAATACTTAAAAATAAAAATATTAATATTTAATAGCCTTAAATTAAATATATTTAAATATTAAATAATTTAAAATTCTTTAAATTTTTATATATAGCTTATTATATAAACTTTTATATTTTTTAAATATATAATTATTAAATTAAAAAAATTTAAGAATTTTTTCGATATTATTATTATTAGTTTACTAGTAATATATAATACTATTATATAAGTTATAAAATACTATTTATATAAGGTTAGTAAAGTTATTATTTAGAAGTAGGAATTATAATATTATAGTATTAATATGCGATTCCTAAATCTGCTAAGCCTAAAGGAGTCTAGTCTACTAGTCGAGTTACTAATAAGACACAAGGTTATATAATTATATCCCGTATCCCATATCTTATTACCTATATCTCATTACTCATATCCCGTATCCCGTATCCCGTAACTATATATATAACTCCCAAAGAAATAGTTATACTAATACTAGAAACTCTCTAAAAACACGAAAAATAATATCTCTCTCTAATTATATACAAATTCCCTAATCCGGCCTAGTACCAGATTTCCCAAATACTTTATATATCCATATTACTTCTGAGGTTTTAGTTATATACTAAAGGCCATAGCCTTTTATATATAATTTCTTCTTTTATAATATTCTCTTATCCTATATATCTATTTTCTGCCCTATTTATACTTGACTTATTTCTTTATATCTAATTATATAATATTTATATTAATTAGGCGCTTGAGGGCATTTATTAGCTTTAATTTTATTATAAAATCGGCAGGATTTAATTCTCTCTTAATTTATTTAACTTCCGTAATTTCTCGTTATTTATATACCTGGCGGAAGTATATTATATTAATTATTAGATATTTTTCTCGAGTAATACTTAATTTAATAAGGTATTTATATAATAACTTTGAATCTATATAAATAACTAGTAGTAGTTCTATTTCTAGTACTTTATTAATTATAGATTTAACTAAAGTACTTATATTAAAACCGTAAGCTATATTATAGAGTTCTAAAGCTAGAATACTTCTAGTAACTCTTTTATATTTAATAAAGAACTAGTAAATAATATTAGTATATCTAGTTCTATTTACTAGAACTAGAATATATCTGATTTAGGAAAAGAGATCTCTATTATTTATAAATAAAGTATTTATAAAAACGATTAAATATAAGAACTCTTTTACTAGCTTTATAAATCTTAGTTCTTTAGTAATATTCTTAATTTACTATTAAATATATTTATTAAATGCCTTTATATTAGTTTCCGAGAATTTAATAGCTTAAGTAGTAATTAATAAGTTATATAAAGCTTCTGGTTAATAAACTAATATAATATATACTTCTCTAGTATATTAGGTAATATATTAGTTCTTAATAAAGAGATTTTAATAAATAGTATTCCTATTACTTATAGTAGTAATATTCTTTATAGAAATAGTTCGGAGGTTTTTATACTAGTATTCTTATATAAGAGTAATTCTAGTAGTATTTATATAAATAATACTTCTATTAAACTTGAGATTATAATTAAAAGTAAGAGATTTATATTTCTTAGCCAAGAACTTAGCCTTATAGAGCTTTAGTTACTTTGCCTTTATAAAATTATTAGTTCTAATAAATAAGATATTATTAGTTTAAAGGCTAATAATTCTAAAGAATTACTTGCTATAGAATAGGCAAGGGTTATAAGTTAACTATTCTATAGAGAGCTTATTAATATAATAAGAATAATAAGTCTTAAACTAGTAATTCCTAGCTTCTGGTATATTATATAGTAGTTTTATAATCTTTAGAATAGAATTATTCTTTAGATTTAGCTTTCTAGTAAGCTTATAAAATAAATTAATATAGAAATTATAATTAAATAAAATTATTAATTAGATATAAGCTTATAAGATATTATATAAATATAATTCTATAGTATTTATTATTATAGTAATAATACTAAGGATAATTCTCTAGCTAATATATTAGATAGTAAGTAATTATATTAATACTATATATTTCTTACTATTATTATAAGCTTAAATAACTAGTCTTAACTTCTTAAGCTCTTTTTCTATATCTTTATTCTTAATTTTATTAATAAACCGGGAATTAAAAATATATACTTTTTTTAGTACCTGAGATCTAAAAGTAACCTTAAATATATTCTTTTCTAGAAAACTAGTAACTTTAACTTAATAGGAATTCTCGTATAGTTTATTATTCTATAGAAATACTATAATATCCGGAGTTTTATAAGGATATCCTTTATTATACTTTAGTAAAATAGCAGGAGGAATTATAGCCATATTACCTTTAGCCTTACTATTAGATTCGGGAATAGGTTTAGGTTTAGGGCTATTAGTAATAACCTTAATACTCCCTATATAAAAGAGCTTTATAAAGGTTAAACGGAAATTAATATTACTATATAATAGAACTAGTATATAGTTCTCTCTATTAATAGCTACTAGTTTATATAATCTATTCTAATTACT